TTCTTCTCCTCTTTTATAGTTTTATCAATATATGAATGCAGATAGATAAATTTTACAATTATTAAATAAGAAAAAATTTAAATACTTTTTATAACTGGTTTTATTTGATTAATAAAAACTTGTTATTAAGATAATGAAAATGATTAAGTATTTAAGCTTATTTTTATTTATATTATCTATGATATAAAAGGAATCTAAAATTTTAAAGAAATTTATATTTTTTAACATAATTTTACCAATATTTATCTAAATAACATCTATTTTTATTATATAATTTATTTAAATTATTTATCTTCTTCTTATTTTTTATTTAGCACATAAATAAATTGATATTCTAATTTTAGTTTCAAAGAAGATTTAAGATGAGAATTAAAGTTAACATTTATTTTGTATTGACTTCAAAAAAAGTATACTTTAATTTTATTGGTTCAATTAATGATATTTATAAGAATAAACAAATTAGTTTAATAAATAATATTTGATTAATTTTTCCTTTAATGAATTTATTTAATTTAAATTCAAGATTTTATGAATGGCAGGTTATTTATTTGGTCGAGCAGCTCAAAATTACGAATAATATTATTTTATGAAAAATTGTTTAAATCTATTATTATTTTTGAGATACTAATATTTATGCAAGTAAATTATGCTTTTTTTGTAATTATATGGAAATATTCATATAAAAATATAATAGCAATTTAGTTATATTCCTAAAGTTATATCAAATTATCTATTTAAAAAAAATATAAAAATACTTTTTTGATTTAAAACATATTTTTAAAATAGGTTAAATAATAAATTTTAATATTTTTAATCGAGAAAGTATAAAAGTTTTTGTACTTTTTTAACAATTATTTGTGAGTAAAGGATTTTTTTTAAGACTCGATCAATATCACTAGTTATTTTTTAAAAATTTTTATATTAACAAATGCTTTGAATCAAAATATTTTTTTCATAGATATTTAGGATTATTTCTGTGTATGTTTTATATGATTCTTCATCCTAATATTCAAATTTTCAAGCCAGAACTAATTTGAGTTTTTCAAAAAGTATATAAAAATTTCTTATAAATTTATATTTAGAAATAAGTTTCTAACTTTTAATCCAAAAGATTTAAAAATTTTATTACGCACTTAGTTTTACCCTATCAAATGAACAAATATCTTAAGTATTTATCTTATATTACTACTTTTGTTATTACTCCCAAACATAAAGTATTATTTTAAAATGTGTAAATAATGTTTTTGGAGAGATCAGTTTTTGATTGTATTGTAAATCAATTACGTTAATGGTTTCTTCTTTGATCATCATTAAAAAATATAAAATATTATATAACCAACCATATCTTTAAAATTCATTTTTTCTATATTCAACTTTAAATTTAATATGAAATTTATCTTCCTAACTAAATCATGTTATCTACATTTTATTACTCTTATTCTTTTCTAAATGTCATATTTTTCTTTGAAAAAAAAAGATAAACTACATTTAATTTGGAGTAATAAAGAACTTATATACCCTCTATTATTCTAACTTTCTGAATTAACATATTTTAGTTTCTTACTTTTCTTTTTTATAGTAGGGTCGAGTTGAAAAAAGATGGAATTTGGTAAAATAGTTTTTGTATATTTACCTTTTTACATATTCTTACTATTTTAGAAATATAATTTTTATGTGATTCTAGTTTTAATATACTTTTGTTTTCTTTTTTACGAGGAAATTAATTTTTTTTGATCAAGTATGTAATTACTTCTAAGTATATTTTAGATAAATTTTTTAACTTCTAACTTTTTAAAAACTCATGCTAAGAGTTGTTTTTATTAAATTAGTATAATTTTAATATTACATAATATGAGACAAATATTTTAAAATTTATTTTAATTCTTAATTGACTTAAAATTATTTATTTAATATTTTGATTGAGAATTCAAAATATTTTTTTTAAATAAGTTGTGTAAATAACATCTTATCTAAACATTATTTTAATTTACTAAAAATTTGTACATATGTGCTTTAGATTTTAATTATCTAATAATGAGCTATATATTATATAATAATTAAGGAGTTTTTAAAAATTTAGTGTATTCACTTAAAAATATCTAAATATCATTTTATTTTATTTTAAATGTAATTTTTAAATGAACAACTTATTATTTACAAATATTATTTATTTAAAGGTTAGAATATTATATTTTATTTCTATGTAGTTGTCATTTAATATTAATTAAAGAACCTTGAGCAAGCGTAAAAAAACAATATAAAAATGGCAAATAATAAATTGATATTGAAGATTTTGATAATATTTTTGTAGATCTCAAATAGGACATTTAAATAACAAAAATTAATAGGAAAAGGTGGTGAATGTGAATAAAAAAAGAAAAATGGAGAATTAAAGTTGGTTACGCTTTTAAAAAAACTTTTAGCATAGAATAAATATTTAAAATAGTGAAGGATTCTTTCATATTTAAACTATATCCTTTAGCAAGAATCAGTAAAAGTTATGTGATGGATCATATTATGCATTTAAAAATTGCAGATCAATAACAGAGTACTATTTTTAAAGTACGTCTTGAATGAGGTTGCTGATCATGAAAAAAAATAAGAACTCAAAATGATTTGAAAAATAATTTAACACTTTAATAGATTCATGCAAATAAAACTTTAAACATTAAAAATGTTGAGAATCTTGCCAGGAATCTTACTAATGAAAAATATGGATCTGTTTTTAAGGAAAATGATCAAATGATATTTATGAAAAAGTTATGATTTAAATTCTTATTTTTTGATTTTTTACATTTTCAGAAGTTAATTTTTTGTATTCAAATAGATAAATAACTTTAGATATATTTTAAAGGAATTTGATTGAGGAGAGTAACAAAGAGATCACTTTTAGAAAGTTGAAAATGTATTTACTTAATGGTACATCAAAATAATATTAAAGAATACCTTTAAAATAGTCACTCTTTATATATTCATTAAAAAGCGCATTTGGAGCAAAGGTATCAGCTAGCTGAATCAAAGAGATAATAATGATAGATACAATTTATAGCTTCAATCATCTTTACCATTTAGTAGCTCATAAAAAGTTAGGTTGGTTGAAAAAAATTGAAAAAAACAGAACATTTAATTAAAGAAAAGTAAGACTCACCAAAGAAGCAAAGCTTTTGATGGTTGGAATTTACAAAACCAATAAATAAAAGAATTAGAATCTCTGCTAATTTCCCATAATCTAATTTAGTATCAAATTAGTATTAATTTTTTATATATTAACATATTTTGCTTAATAGGAATAATTTAAAAATAGAAGGATATATTATTTATTTAAAATATTTAAGTAAGAATATGTGTAGAGACTTGCTAAAAGTTGATTGGATATGAGGATTCAATTTAATATAAATCTTTAATAAATCATGAGTAAATTTATTCTCTTAATTTTCATCTTGAAAAAGGAATTTAAAATAGCTTACAATATGTTTCATAATTAGAGAGAAGTTATTTAGTAAATTAGTAAAGCAAGTAAGACTAATTAATATCATGAAATGCATAAATCATGTATATTTAAAGGAAAATTTTTAAAACTCTAAATCATGACCTTAATTTACTGATTTATTTTTTATTTATTTTTAAAAGTAAACTATTTGAAAAACTTAATTTTTTTTTCCCTCCTCTATTATGTTTACACAATTTCAGTGATTTGAGGAAAAAAACTAGAAGTAAAACTACTTGAGAATTTTGCTGGTAAGTAAAGAGAGCCAAATTATATAAAAATATTAATGAATATAAAGCATTAATCAGCTAATCAGTTAAAATTTTTAAACAAACATATGGTGAAGAATCAATTTAGAAAAGTGATGCATAAGCAGAGATTGAAGACTGAATACATTTTAGAATAGCAGTTGAATGAGGTTCATCAATAAAATTTATATAGTATTATATTAATCTATATGTCAATAATCATCCACTTTTAGCAGATTTTATATAAATATACCTTTTAAATTTAAATCTTAAGACTTTGATTAGTTAATAAATTATTAATTTAAGCTATGACAAAGGTAAAAATTAACGTTATCAATTAACTTAAATTTTATTACTATTTGCTGGTTTTGCAAATTGAGAAAAAAAATTTTTAGAGAAAATCATCTTATTTGTGATGATACTTATACAAAATAATTAAATCTAAATTTTTCATATTAATTATATAGAATAACTAAAGACTACTAAAATATAAATTTTTAATAATATTGATGTAACTTCAATTTTTTTTTAGAATTGCATAAAAGATTTTTTAAAAATCATCAAGAATTCAAGAACTCAAGGTTTCGAAAATATCACCTTATCATCTTTAGATACAATAATTGATAAAATAACTTTAATATTATTTTTTCATTTTAAACCAGTTTTTTGAGGTAACAGAAATTTGTAGAAGCATTTGAGTTTTAAGCTAAAGCTATTGATGGCTATGATTTTGATTGTGATTATGATTCAATTTCACTAGCTAAATTTTTGGAAAAGGTGACATATGACATGAATAATTAAAAAATAACGGTAAAACTCTCCCATAATATTCAAAAGTCATAAAAATTAGATAAAAGAATACTGATTTTGATTCAAATCATCAATACCTTCTATCTTTGCTTAATATTTTAACAATATTTAATGCTAAGTAGTTGGTTTTATTTATCTAAAATTGTAAAGCTTTAGTTTTAATCAATTAAATGAGTAACTGAGCTCGAAAATCACAATAAGGTAACTCAGGTCAAATTCAAAATGCACTTAATAAATTGAATGAGGCTCTAATTTAGAGATTAGGCTTAGAAGATGAGAAAGATTGTACTAAATTTAAATTGTAAAAAAAATAAATATTTGAAATAGCATTAATATGTTACTGCAATTGTATTACTTTATATTAAAAACATATAACTAATATTTAAGTATTAAATTTCTATATTTTTTTTAACATTTATTTTAACAGAAAAAATAAATTATCTATATAATAATTATCATTTCTTCATGCTATTTCTCCTCTACTTATTATAGCAATTTGTAAAATTTTGAAGGATTTGTCTTTCTTATGCTATAACCATCAAATTTATTTATTAAATGTAATAGTCTTTATCTTTAATTTTAGAATCTTAAAGCCATATTTTTTCAGAGTTCTTCAAAAAGTAATGAAATATTTTTTTCAGATTTCTGTTTTTACTAAAATTTTTAACCTTGAGATTGAATCTTCCGAATATTGCCAAATTTGTAGTTACTCTAAGCTTAATGTGTTCAAAAGTCCACTTATCTTCACTCAAATTTTCATAAAAGCTCATCAAGAAAGTATCTTAACACTCGGTAATATGTTTCTTAAAAGCTGACAAGATATTCTTATACAAGTTATGTTTACTTTTCGATATTAAATTAAAAATTTATTAATTTTCTATAGGATTGACTCCCTTTTATTCACCAATAATATTTGACACAACTTCAATCATGGGAACTTTTTCTTTATATATTATTTTATTCCAGTTAAATTTATTAAAAAGCAATTAATATTTACTTATTCTTTCATTATGATTTATGCATTTTATTTTTGCCATACGACTCAGTTTTTTAATTTAGTTCGGAAATTTATTAATATAGTCCTTATATTAATCAAATGGTATATTCAAAGATATTTGAGATTATTAATTTAGTTATATTCTATACTTACAAGTATTTTAGTTTTAATAATCATCCTCATTTTATTTTATTAATTAAAAGTTTTCTTCTGTTTTAGCAAGAAAATGATAGTTAGCCATATTTTTATATGCCAAAAAGTAATTTTAAAAAATTGATATTTGATAAAGATTATTTTTATAATTATTATAAAATCTTCTCTAACTTTACAATTTCTGTTTCTGCAATAAATTATACATCAAAAAGTTGATTTTATTAATTTTATAATTAATCAATCCCCTCTATTTTCAAAAAGTAAAGAGAAAATAACTCAGCTATTTTTTTATATTAAACTAAGAAAAATAAACATTATTTAGAAATTAAATTTAAACAAATTAAATAACATACATAATTATAAATACATTAATTGCTATTTTTTATCATTTCATTTTTATAAAAAAATGTTAAAGTATTTAAATATTTTATCCAATAATCTATTACATAAAGTTTATTTTGCTAAATGTTAAAAATTTTCAAAAGGCATAGGATAATTAACCTGAAATATATGGACTACTTTAAGTATAAAATAAAATAATTGTTTCGATGATGAAAATAAATGGGTATGTCTTAGTTATACACCAAAATATTATATAGCAAAATCTCAAAAATAGCCTAATTTTGGATAAATATAAAAAGTACTTTTAATGTTAAGATATCAGCTGAATGTAAGAGTTTATGATATTAAAGATAAAATTGGAAGTTATAATTATCCTTTTTATTATTTACTAGCTCATGAAAAATAAAGCATCTTGAAAGAAGCATTAGGGAAGCAAGAAAATTTAGTTAAAGAAAATTAAGAATACATGAAAGAAACTAAATGATTTTTTTTCAATTATTTTGTTTGGTAAAAGTAATAGATAAAAAATTAAAAGATACTTTTCATTTTTCTTAAGCAAATTTAATTATTGTATTAAGAATCATTTTAAATATTAACTTATTGTGCTTAGAATGATGAATTATTTATAAATGGAAATAATATATTAAACTATTCAAGAAGATTTAAGATTATGATTGGAGAATTGGTAAAAATTGATTTGATGGGTAAGAGCATCCAATTAATGATTACTGATTGATAATTTTTGCATAGGCTGAATCTCTTAGTCCCATCCTGAAAGAATAATAAGCTAATATCTAATATCTTCTTATGTAATTAGAAAACTTAGTAATTGTTTGTAATTTAAACTGTACTATCTATTACCGAAACCTTTAGAATGTAAAGAGATTTAATTAATATCAAAAAATACACAAACGGGTAAAATAAAAAAAGTTTTTCATAACTTGAATTTAAAAGTATAATACTTAATTAATACTCAATAACACAGTGTAACATTATTTAAAAATTTTAATAAATTATAAGTGTTTTCATATTTTTATATCTACTAGGTTTAACATGGTTTCAGCGAGATAAGCAAAAAGTAATAGAGCTCAATGTACTTGTAGTTGAGAAAATTACTTTTGAGTTAAGTAAAGACTTTGATGCTGTCTTAGCATTTAATGAATCTTACTGATTGATTAGCAAAGCAGTTGAATTTTTAAACAAATATATGGCAAGAAGTCAAACTAAATAGTTGTAGTAAATGCAGAAACTGCAAATTTATTCACTTGAAAATATCAGTTGAAAAACGCTCATCAATCAAAGTATAGTGTGTTTAAATTTTGAAGAATATATATTGCTATAATCATCCACCTTTGTTTGATTATTATGTGATGTATCTATTTATCTTTTACAATTATTTACAAAATGAATTTTTTAATTAAAGCTATGGAAATTAAGATGTCATCCTATAATTGCTGGCGCATACACTTGGTAAAAAATCAATTTTGAATAAATTATTCTCAGATTTAAATTTCAACTAATACAATTGCATTTTTTTACTTTAAAAATCCCTAAAAAACTGTATAAAAACGAAAAAAGAATTTATAATCATCTTTAGATGAAATAGTTGGTATAAGAAATTTTTTATTTTTTATCTTAAATTATCTTCTTTTATACTATTTTTGGCAGAAATTTAAAGAAGCATCAAAGTACTAATCTAAGTTTATTGGCGGCTAGGATTTAATTTATTATGGCAACTATTCATTTTAGCTAGCTAAATTTTTGGAAAAGGTGGATATAAGAAAATATGGCAAATAAATGCTTGAGGATGATGGGATATATTAATTTTATTAGGCCACAAAGGAAACACTGAAGTTATACTCTAATATTATAAAAAAATATTGCCATATTTGTAGAAACTCTTTGCTAAATACATTCAAAAGTCCACTTATTTTCACTCAAATTTTGATACACACTCATCAAGAGAGTATCTTAGCACTCAATAATATGTTTCTTAAAAGCTGATAAGATATTCTTATACAAATTATGTTTACTTTTCCAAATAAAGTTAAAAATTTATTAATTTTTTGAATCACTAATTCCTTTTTATTCGTAAAGAAAGTTTGACACAACTTCATCACTTAATTTCCCTTTTTTATTATTGAATGTCAGTTAAATTTTTTATATAGTAATTAATTTTACTTTTAGTCCTTTATATTGATTTATGCATCTGGTTTTTGACACATGACTCAATTTTTTAATTTAGCTTGGAAATTTGTTAATATAGTCTCTAAATTAATCTAATTGTATTTTCCATAATAAAGTTACTAACTAAATGTGATATCAATATTTTAATATTATAATTTTTTTCTTTATTTAATTTATATTATCCTTTTTATTTAATATTTTGATTACTATACATTTTTAATTAGTTAGTTAGATAGATAGATATCCTCATGTAATACTTTAATTTACTTAAAATATGTTGAAAATTGCTTTAAATTTTATTTATTTGATAATGAGCTAAAGAGAAAAAAATATTAAAGAAGTTCTTTAAAATTAAATAATTCAACTCAATAAAATTAAATAATAAACATTCTTTTTTTTTTCATTTTATTTTTATGCTTTATGGAATCTTAAAAAAATTTATTACTCTGCATTTAATCAAAAAGATATTTGATTTATTTCTATTTAATAACAATTTAATTTAAATTAAAAAGAGTCTTAAGCAAGTGAAATAAAACTAAATAAAAAGTCAACAAATAAATTGATATTGAATATTCTGATAATATTTTTAAAGATTTCAACTAGAGCCTCAAATAAAAGAATTATGAATAGGGATGGAAACGAAGATTGATAAAATAGATAAAATAGAAAAAAGATTGATCTAGTAAAAAAAATATTTTTAGCACAGTATAAATCTGTAAAGTATTAAAAGACGCATCCACATTTAAACTAATTATTAGCAAATGCGTAGAAAAGCTCTATTACAAAAGTTCCTATTCAATATAAAAATCATATTCATGTAAATTTTGATAAATGAATTTGTAGTTAGGCAGCTTTTAATTTTTTATAAAGATAATTTCATTCTTGATATATTAGATTACTAAGTCCACTAAAGAAATCATTTTTACAAATGGGATAATCAAACTCTCAAAGCTTGCTGAAGTCTACAAAAAACAAGTAATAGCTTGGTAAAAGTAAGATTTATTGTATATATGAAGTGAAGATATTCATTTTGATATACAGTTTGAAAATGTAGTTATTTTTGAAAAAGAACTATTAATTATTTAGAAAGTTTCAAGTATGAAATTTGAATTTAAATTAGAATTTTAGAAATTGTGGCATAGATTTTAGAATATATCAATAAAATTAATGCGATGAATCAAATTATCTGTCGACATATAGTAAAGCACATACAGAGCCTCAATTTCTAGGAACCTTTTGGGTGATATTATTTAGATAATAATAATTATTTTTAAATGGTTTTTTTCCTATGTTTTGTAAAATTTTGAAAGATTTGTTTTTCTTTTTATACAACGATCAAATTAATATGTTATATGTATAAGTCTTTATTTTGAATGTTAGAATCTTTAAGTTAGAGTTTTTCAAAAAGTAATTGTATATTGTTTCAGATTTCTGTTTTTACTTTAATTTTTAACTGAGATTGAATCTTTTGAATCTTACCAAATTTATAGAAATTCTTTGCTATTAACTCAACAATATCAAAGTGTATACATTTTATTTTATTTTAAATGCAATTATAAAAAGAACAACTTATTATTTACAAATATTATTTATTTAATGGTTAGAATATTCGATTATATTTTTATGTAGTTGTCATCTAATTTTAATTAAGCATAACAAAATAATATAAAAATGCCAAATAATAAATTGCTATTGAGGATTTTGATAATATTTTTGAAGATCTATCTCAACTAGGACATTTAAAGAGAAATAATGAATAGGAAAAAGGAAGTGAATGTGAATAAAATAAGAAAAGTGGAAGAATTAAAGTAGGTTAAGCCTATAAAAAAATCTTTTAAGACAGAATAAATATTTAAAAAATGAAAGATACTTTCATATTTAAACTATATTCTTTAGCGAGAATCAGTAAAGTGTATATGGTGGATCATATTATGAATTTAAAAATAGCAGATCGTAAACAGAGCCTCTATTTTTAAAGCACGTTTTGAATGAGTAGTCTTTTGCTCATCATGAAAAAAAATAATGTACTCTAAATGATTTGAAGAATAATTTAATACTTAATAGATTCATACAAATAAAATTTTAAGCACTAAAAATGTTGAGAATCTGATCAGGAATCTTATTTATGAAAAATATGGATCTGTTTTAAGGAAAAAAAGAAAATGCTATTAATAAAAAAATGGTGATTTAAATTGTTATTTTTTGATTATTTTTATTTTCAGAAGTTAATTTTTTGTATTTAAATAGACAAATGATTTTGGATATATTTTAAGGGAGTTCGATAGAGGAGAGTAAAAAAGAGATAACTTTTAGAAAGATGAAAATATATTTAACTTAGTATTTCATCAAATATTATTAAAGAAAGTCTTTAAAATAGTCATACTTTGGAATCCATTAAAAGGCGCCTTTGGAGCAAAGGTATCAGCTGAATCAAAGACAGATATAATTTAAAGCTATAATCCTCTTTACCCTTTATTAGCTCATATAAAATATGGTAGGTTGAAAAAAATTTTAAGAAAACTGAAAATTTAATTAAAGAAAATTAAGATTCACCAAAGAAACAAAAATTTTTGGTGATTTAAATTTACAAATCCAAAAAATAAAAGAATTAGAAGCTCATTTAATTTTCCATAATCTAATCTAATTTAATATTAAATTAAAATTTATTTATATATATAAACAATTTGTGCTTAATATGAGTAATTTACAATTGGAAGGATACATTAAATATTTAAGTAGATTTAAGTAAAAATATGCTTTGGAGACTTTCTAAAAGTTAATAGGATAAGAGCATCCATCCAATTTAAAATAACTCTTTGATAAATCTTGAGTAGAGTGATTCTCTTAATTTTCATCCTGAAAAAGGAATTCAATAGCTTACAATGTGCTATTTTATTAAAAAAAAGTTATTTAGTAAATTATGAAACCAAGAAGATTTAATTAATCTCAAAAAATACATGAATTATGTATATATATTTAAATGAAAATTTTTAAAACTTTTAATTATGACCTTAGTTTACTGACCTAATTTATCATTTATTATAAAAAGTAAATAATTTGCAAATTTTATATTTTCTTTTTTTCACTATTAAGCTTAACTCAATTTCAGTAAGCTAAGAGAAAAAGATTAGAAGTAAAACTACTTGAGAAAGTTGCTGTTGAGAGGTAAGTAAAGACAGTGATGTTGTCTAAAAAGATTAATGAATCAAAAGCATCAATCAGTTAAGTAGTTTAAATTTTATACTAATATATGGCGAGGAATCAATTTAGAAAAGTGATGCATATGCAGAGATTGCAGACTTATTCACTTTAGAATAGAAGTTGAAAGAGGCTTATCAATTAAATTTATAGTGCATTATAATTGTCACGAATATACATTCATCCACTTGGCAGATTTTTATATAAATATACCTTTTAAATTTAAATCTTAAGACTTTTATGAGTCAAACAATTTTTAATTTAAGCTATGGAAATTAGATAAAATTAAACATTGTCAATTAACTAAAATTTTACTATTTGCTGATATTGTAAAAAAAGTTTTTTTCAAGAAAATCTTCCTATTAGCTCTTGATACATACACAAAATTATTAGTTATTCAAATTAATTACAATAACTAACTATCAAGTAAAATTTAAATTCTGAATAAATTATTATATAACTTCAATTTGTTTTTCTAGATTTGCATAAAATAATTGTTAAAAAACAGTGAAAAACTTAGTGGTTTCGAGAATAGCATCACTTTATCATCTTTAGATGCAATTATTGATATAATAAATTTAATATTTTTTAATATTATTTTTTCATTTTTATAGCAGTTTTTTGCTCTAATAGATGTTTAAAGAAGCATTTTTGTTCTAAGCTAAGGTGATTGATGACTTTGATTTTTATTGTGGCTATGATTCAATTTCGCTAGCTAAATTTTGGAAAAGGTGACATATGACATGAATAATTAAAAAATAACGGTAAGACTCTCCTATACTTTTAAAGAGTCATTAAAAATTAGATAAAAGAATATAGATTTTGATTAAAATCATCAATACCTTCAATTTTAATATTTGATATTTTAACTATATTTGATGCTAATTAGTTGGTTATTTTTTACCTAAAATTGAAAAGCCTTAGTTTAGATCAATCAAATGAAGAATAAAGAAGCTTAAAATATAAAAGCGAGGAGCTAAATACAATGAAAACTCTACTAGGAGAGAATCACAATAAGGTAACTCAGATCAAATTCAAAATGCACTTAATAGAATGAAAGAGGCTCGAATTAGATATTATTCTTAGAAGATGTGAAAGATGAGATAAAATTTAAATTGTAAAAGAAAATAAATACTTGAAATAATATTAATATGCTCCTGTAAAAGTATATACTTTGTATTAAAAGCATATAACTAATATTTAAGTATATCATTTTGTATATTTTTAACTTATATGACAGATGAGTATTTTATTTTCAATTTTAAAGTCTAAAAAACAAATTACAACATTTATTTTAACAAAAAAAAATAAATTATCTATATAATAATTATCATTTCTTCATGCTATTTTTCCTCTACTTTTTATAGCAATTTGTAAAATTTTGAAGGATTTGCCTTTCTTATGCTATAATCATCAAATTTATTTGTTTTACATAATATCCTTTGTCTTTAATTTTAGAATCTTAAAGCCATATTTTTTCAGAGTTCTTCAAAAAGTAATGAAATATTTTTTTCAGATTTCTGTTTTTACTCAAATTTTTAATCTTGAGATTGAATCTTCCGAATATTGCCAAATTTGTAGAAACTCTATGCTTTATGTGTTCAAAAGTCCACTTATCTTCACTCAAATTTTCATAAAAGCTCATCAAGAAAGTATCTTAGCAATCAGTAATATGTCTCTTAAAAGCTGACAAAATATTCTTATACAAATTATGTTTACTTTTCGATATTAAATTAAAAATTTATTAATTTTCTAAAGGATTGACTCCCTTTTATTCACAAAGTATACTTGACACAACTTCAATCATGGGAACTTTTCCTTTGTATATTATTTTATTTCAGTTAAATTTATTAAAAAGCAACAAATATTTACTTATTCTTTCATTTTTATTTATGCATTTTGTTTTTGCCATACGACTCAGTTTTTTAAGTTGGTTAGGAAATTTATTAATATAATCCTTATATTAATCAAATAGTATATTCAAAGATATTTGAGATTATTATTTTAATTATTTTCTATACTTACAAATATTTTAAAACTAATAATCATCCTCATTTTATTTCATTTATTAAAATTTTTCTTCTGTTTTAGCAAGAAAATGATAGTTAATCATATTTTTATATGCTAAAAAGTAAGTTTAAATAAATATAAATTATATTTGATAAAGATTATTTTATAATTATTATAAAAACTTCTCTAACTCTTCAATTTCTGTTTTAAAATAAACATCAAAAAATTGATTTTAGTTATTTTATAATTAATCAATCCCCTCTCTTATTAAAAAAATAAAAAAAAAGCAGCTCAGCTATTTTGTTTTTAAGATTAAACTATGAAAAACCTTACCCGGTTTTAGAAATTTTATTTAAATGAAATAAATAGCATTTATTCTTATAAATATATAAATTATCATGTATTATTTTCTTCATTTTATAAAAAAATATTAAAATGTATAATTATTTTTATCTTTTCAATAATTTATTTGTATTTTAAAATAGAATTTTTGAGATTATTACATCAATTTTAGTCAGAAGAAGAGGAAGATTTCAAATTATATCTATAAGCTCTCACCTGCAAATACTATAAATAGGTAAAAAATTGTTTACATAGTTATTTTTTTAATTATTTTTACTTTCTAATGTTAATTTTTTGTATTTAATTTAGGTCAATGATTTTTGATTTATATTTAGCCAGTAAATTAAATAATGGAGATTAATAAATATATAATTGTTTAACAGATAAAAATGGGTTTGTCTAAGTAATATACCAAAATATCATTAAGCAAAATCTCTAAAATAGCCTAAATTTGGATATACATAAATAATATATTAAACTATTTAAGATTTTTTAAGAATAATATTGGAGAATTGGTAAAAGTAGATTTGATGGATAAGAGTATTCAAATTAAAGTTTACTGTTTGATAATTTTTGCATAGGATGAATCTCTTAATTCTCATCCTGAATGAATAATGAGCTTAACGTCTTATATATTCTTATGCATTTATAAAAAAGTTACTTAGTAATAATTTATAATATACACTTTACTGTCTATTACCGAAACCTTAAGAATGTAAAGGAGATTCAATTAATATCAAGAAATACACGAATGGGTAAAATAAAAAAAGTTTTTTATAACTTGAATTTAAAAATATAGTAATTACTTTATGCTCAATATGACAAAATTTAACAATTATTTAAAAATTTTAATAAATTAAAAGAGTTTTCATATTTTTTATCTATTAGGTTTATATGGTTTCAGTAAGCTTAGCAAAAAGGACAGGAACTCAATCTGCTAGGGAAAATTACTTTTGAGTTAAGTAAAGACTTAGATGTTATCTAAGCATTTAACAAATCTTACTGTTTGATCAGCAACGCAGTTAAGTTTTTAAAGAAATATATGGCTAGTACTCAATCTATCATGATAATAGTAGTATAAGCAGAAACTGCAGATTTATTCACTAGAAAATATCAGTTGAATGACGCTTACCAATTAAAGTAATGTACATTTAAATTTTCAAGAATCTAAATTGCTATAATTATCCATCCACCTTTGGTTGATTATTATGTATATATATCTTATGCATTTAGAAATTCTAAAAATTGATTACAAAATTAATTTTTTAATTAAAACTTTGGAAATTAAGATAGTCATTCTATAATTGCTGGTACTTAAATAGAGCGGGCTAATATCTTAACTTAATCAAATTACTGTAAGCAGGTAAGAATTAAATTTTGAATAAATTATTCTCTGATTTAAATTTCAACTATTAGAACTCCATCATGTTGTTTTAAAAATCCCTAAAAAACTATATGGAATAGAAAATAGAATTCATTATCACCTTTAGGGTAAATAGTTGGAAATAGAAATTTTTTATCTTAAATTTTCTTCTTTATACTATTTTTGGCAAAACTTTGAAGAAGCATGAAAGTACAAATCTAAGTTGATTGATGGCTAGGATTTAATTTATTATAGCCACTACTAGCTATATTTTTGTAAAAGGTGGATATAAGAAAAAGCCTTAGAAGATGAGGCTAATAAGTGCTAGAGGATGATGAGATAAATTGATTTTATTAAGACACATTGGAAACAATGAAGTTGTGCTTGAATATAATAAAAAAATATTAAGTGTTGTTAGACAGGTTCTAACTTAATAACCAAATTTTTACTAATTTTTAGAATCAATTACTTAAATAGAAGAAAACCAATTTAATTTTTTTTTTATTTTTGAATTAATAAAGCGATTGATTGGATTTAAAAATATTGTAAAAAAAAATAAATATTTCAAATAAAATTAAATATTTTTTTATATTGAAAACATAAATATTTATTTATTTATATTTTTAGCTTTGTATAAACAATTTTAAAGTCTTTAAAAAAATTACAACATGGTATAATATAAAAAATAAATTATTTAGATTATAATTATCGTTTTTACATACTATTTTTCCTAAATTTTTTGTAACACTGTGTAAAATTTTGAAGTATTTGCTTTTCTTATGCTATAACCATCAAATTGATTTGTTCTATATATTAATATTTGTTTTTAATTTTAGAGTTTTAAAGCCATAACTTTTCAGAATTCTTCATAAAGCGATTGAATATTTTTTGCAGATTTTTAATTTATTCATATAAAATGTTTGAAACAACTTCAATCACTAGAAATTTCCCTTTATATTATTGAAATTCAGTTAAAAAAACTAATCATTAATCTTATTTCCTCAATAAAAAATAATGTAGGTTTGGATTTGAGTGTAAAAAACTAAGAAATTATTAGAAAAAAATTTTTATGATGCTAGTTAGTAATTTGATTTATGAATAGAATTTTAATTTGATAAAAAATTTATTTTCGATCGCAAAAATTAATTAGAAGATTAATTATGAAATTGATTAAAATATAGATAGATGAAAGCAAAAACTAAATAAACAATTTAATTTACAGTATTTTTTTAATTTAAAAAAATAGTAAAATTTATTATAATGCTTACTAATTGCAAAAATAGTAACAAATAATCTTTATTATTAGCTAACAAACTTTCTTAAAATAATGCTTATTCATAAAATTTAAATATTAATTGATGTTATTTAATTTTGCTCTGCTTTTATATAATAAAGCTTTTAAAACGTTAGATTTAAAATTGCTTTATTTTAGAATCTAAAATTATTACATTTTATTATAAATAATGATTTTACAGATATTTTATAAGTATTTTAAAAGCTTATTTACAATTAAGACATAATAAAAATTTCAAGTTGGGTTTGTTTCTTCTCTTAATTCTTAATTTGCTCAATTAAAAGCAGCTAGATAAATTTTTACAATAATTATTTTAAGAAAACTTTAAATAATTTTTATAACTTTTGTTTTATTTTATTAATTATAACTTGCTATTAAGATAATTTTATTAATATTAAGTATTTAAGCTTATTTTAATTTATATTATCTATAATATAATAGGGACTTAAAGTTTAAAGAGATTTATATTTTTTAACATAACTTCGCCAATGCTTATCTGAATTAACTCCTATTTTTAATCTATAATTTATTAAAATAATTTATTATCCTCTTATTTCTGATTTAATAAAAATAGAATTCAAACTATTTTCAGCTAGTGTATTTATTTTCTTTTACTAAATTTCGGAGGTATTTTTAAATTAGCAATAAATAACTTTATGTTTCTATCAAAATTTTTATCAAAGTTTTAATATGTTTTTTTCTTGATAATTTAGTAAAGAAACTAATATTAATTTTAAAAATTATATAAAATAAATGTCCAATAATCATAATTAAGAATTGCATTTGAAAAGAAAATTTAGAATTTAATTCAAACCTATATTTGATTTGTTTCACAAGCAAGATGAGAATTAAAGTTTACATTTATTTTTGTATTGACTACAGGTAAAAAAATAAACTTTAATTTTATTGATTCAAGTAGTGATATTTATGGGAATATAGTAATCTTAAAATTTAAATAATTCAATTAGAAAAATTTATAAGTATTTATAAATATTTAATTAATTTTTGCAACAATAAATTTAAGCAAACACAAACAAACATTTTTTTTCAAGCTCTTATCTTTATGGAGTAATTGAAAATTTTGAATAATCTTAATTTAATAATATTTTATAAGGATAACCATTAAAATATTATAATTATTTTAGAGGTATTCTTTTAAACAGAAAGTTTAACATAAATTAAACGATCATAGATATTTCCTTATGTATATATAGAAAAGAAAATAAATATTGAGCTTGAGTATAAAGTGTTATCAGCCACTGGAAGAATTTTTTAATTTACATAAGCTTCACAAACAAATCAGCTATAATGAATAGAAAAATTATAATAAATAAGAGTAGCAATAATTATAATTGAATATAAAAAGTAAATTTTTAATTTATAATTGAAAATATTAGCCAATAAAACTCAATAAAGTAAGCAATTTAATTTAAAATATTTTTTTTAACTCTAAACAATTTAAAAAATATATTAGGACACTCTCTTAATAATAGCTCATAAAATTAATTTTACATTATTTTTTCTTTCGGTTTAACTTAGAGGGATAACGTATTAATAAATTAGCATAATTTTAATTATTTAAAGTTAAAAACAAAATTTGACACATATATTTTAATATTTTCTTTTGTTTCTTAAATTAATTTATTTAATATTTTAATTGAATATGCAAAATATTTTAAATTAGTTGTTTATATTTCCTCTTATCTAAACATTATTTTAACTTACTATAAATTTCTACGAATGTGCTTTAGATTTTGATTATTTAATAATGAGCTATATATTGCATAATATTAAAGGAATTTTTGCAAATTTACAATTTTAATTCAATAACATTTTCAAAATATAAATTTATACATTTTATTTTTATTCTAAACGTAATTATAAAAAAACATATTATTTACAAATTTTATGTATTTAATCGTTAGAATATTTAATTTTATTTTTATTTTTAAATAGTTTCCATCTTATTTAAATTAAAGACCCATGAGTAAGCTAAACAAAACAAAATAGAAATGCCAAATAATAAATTGCTATTAAAGATTTTGATAATATTTTTGATGATCTTAACTAAGACATTTATAGAATATCAATTATTAGGGAAAATGAAGCTAATGTGAATAAAAAAATAAAAATGAAAGAATTAAAGTAGGTTTAGCCTTTTTAAAAAACTTTAGCACAGAATAAATATTAAAAATGGCAAAATAAACTTTCATATTTAAACTATATACTTTATCTATATTCAGTAAAATTTATGTGGTGGATCATATTATGCTTTTAAAAATAGCAGATCATAAACAGAGCCTCTAATTTTAAAGCACATTTTTAATGAGGAACTATTGCTGATCATGAAAAAAATAATGAACTCTAAATGATTTAAAGAATAATTTAATACTTAATAGATCCATATAAATAAAATTTTAAACATTAAAAATGTTGAAAAGCTTGCCAGCAATCTTACTAATAAAAAATATGGACCTGTTTTTAAGGAAAAAAAGAATATGCTATTAATAAAAAAGTGGTGATTTAAATTATTATTTTTTGATTATTTTTAATTTCAAAAGTTAATTTTTTATATTCAAATAGACAAATGACTTTGGATATATTTTAAAGGAATTGGATAGACGATAGTAACAAAGAGATAACATTTAGAAAGATGAATATAGATTTAATTAGTGGTACATGAACATATTGTTAAAGAATGTCTTAAAAATAGTCACCTATGGATATCCATTAAAAGCCTTTCGAGCTATAGTTTCAGCTGAATCAAAGTGACAGTTATGATAGATACAATTTAAAGCTATAATCCTCTTTACCCTTTAATAGCTCATAAAAATATGGTAGGTTGAAAAATCAAGTAAGATTTAATTAATCTCTAGAAATGCATTAATTGTGTATATATATTTAAAGGAAAATTTTTTAAACTCTAAATCATGATCTTAATTTACTGACTTAATTTATCATTTATTGTAAAAAGTAAATAATTTGCAAATTTTACATTTTCTTTTTTTCTCTATTAGGCTTACACAATTTCAGTGAGCAGAGCGAAAAGGACTACAAGTAAAACTATTTGAGAAAGTTGCTGTAAAGGGGTAAGTAAAGACAATCATGTATATAAAAAGATTAATGAATCTAAGGCATTAATCAGTTAAGCAGTTAACATTTTTAAACAATATATGGTGAGGAATTAATTTTGAAAAATGATGCATATGCAGAGATTTCAGATTTATTAACTTTAGATATAGTAGTTGAAAGGGGTTCATTAATTAAATTTATAGTGTATTATAATTGTTACAAATAAATATGTCAATAATCATCCATTTTTGGCAGATTTTTATATAAATATACCTTTTAAATTTAAAGTTTTAAGACTTTGGTGAGTCAACAATAAATTTTTAATATGGAAATTAGGTAAAAATAAACGTTATCAATTACTAAAATTTTATTACTATTTAATGATCTTGTAAATTAAGAAAAAGTTTTTTGGAGAAAATCATCCTATTAGTGATGATACTTACACAAAATAACTAGTCAATCTAAGTTATTTAAATTAATTACAATAACTAATTGTAAGGTAAAATTTAAATATTGAATAATAATTATATAACTTTAATTTGTTTTTTAAGAATTGCATAAAATAGCTTTAAAAAAATCGAGAAGTACTGATAGTTTCGAAAATAATATCATCATATCATCCTTAGATGCAATAATGCAATAATTGAAGTATTTCATTTTCTATATTTTTAACTAATAATACAGATGAATTTTTTCTCTCCAATTTTAAAGTCTAAAAAACAAATTATAACATCTATTTAACAGAAAAAATAAACTATATATATAATAATAATAATTTCTTCATGCTATTTTTCCTCAACTTTTTATAGCAATTTGTAAAAGTTTGAAGGATTTGCCTTTCTTATGCTATAACCATCAAATTCATTTATTCTATGTACTAGTCTTTGTCTTTAATTTTAGAATCTTAAAGCCATAGTTTTTCAGAGTTCTTCAAAAAATGATTAAATATTTTTTCAGATTTCTGTTTTTACTCAAATTTTTTATCTTGAGATTGAATCTTCCGAATATTGCCAAATTTGTAGAAACCCTATGCTTAATGTGCTCAAAAGTCCACTTATCTTCACTCAAATTTTCATAAAAGCTCATCAAGAAAGTATCTTAGCACTCAGTAATATGTCTTTTAAAGGCTGACAAAATATTCTTATACAAATTATGTTTACTTTTTGATATTAAATTAAAAATTTATTAATTTTCTAAATTATTGACTCCCTTTTATTCGCAAAGAATACTTGACACAACTTCAATCATGGGAGTTTTTCCTTTATATATTATTTTATTTCAGCTAAATTTATAATTAATATTTACTTAATCTTTCATTTTGATTTATGCATTTTGTTTTTGCCATATGACTCAGTTTTTTAATTTAGTTCGGAAATTTATTAATATAGTCCTTATATTAATCAAATGGTATATTCAAATATATTTGAGATTATTATTTTAATTATTTTCTATACTAACAAGTATGTTAGTGTAAATAATCATCCTCATTTTATTTCATTTATTAAAAGTTTTCTTCTGTTTTAGCAAGAAAATGATAGTTAATCATAATTTTATATTCCAAAAAGTAAGTTTAAAAATAATTTATATTTGATAAAGATTATTTTTATAATTATTATAAAATCTTCTCTAACTCTTCAATTTCTGTTTCAGCAATACAATATACATCAAATAATTGATTTTTGTTATTTTTTAATTAATCAATCCAATCCCCTCTCTTTTTGAAAAATAAAGAAAAAACAGCTGAGTTATTTTGTTTTTAATATCAATCTACCAAAAACCTTACCCAACTTTAGAAATTTAATTTAAACAAAATAAATAGAATTTATTATTTTAAATATATAAATTATCTATTATTATATTTTTATTTTTATAAAAAAACATTAAAATATTTTATTATTTTTATCTTTTCAATAATACATAAAATTTATTTTACAAAATATTAAAAATTTCCAAAATGTGTTGAATAATTAATATACTGTGAATATAAATGGTTTACATTTATCACTACCTTCATTATTTATTTCCAGATAATTACAAAAACCTGAAAATACATATACTACTTTATGTATAATATAAATTTGAAATATTAATCATAAAACTCAATAAAATAATCAATTTAATTTAAATTATTTTTTAAATTCTAAAAAAATGGGTAAAAAATTTTTTAAGTTCAAAATTTGAGGAAAGGCATTAAATGTTATCAAAAATTTGTTAAATTTTGATAAAAACAGAATAATAAAAGCTATTCAAATAATGAATTAGCAAAATTAGCTTAAAATCATAAAAATGAAATAAAATATTGGTGACTTTACCTAAAGAAATATTAATTATTTTCAAAGTTTTAAATAAAACTTTGTATTTTAAAAAGAATTTTAGATATTATTCTATCAAGTTTAGTTAGAAGAAGAAGAATATTTCAAATTATATAAATAAGCTCTCTCTTACAAATACTATAAATTGGTAAAAAGTTGTTTACATAGCTATTTTTTTAATTATTTTTACTTTCTAATGTTAATTTTTTGTATTTAATTTAGGTAAATTATTATTGATAAAATAATGGAGATTAATAAATATATAAATTTCTAACAGTTGAAAATGGTTTTATCTTAGTTATACACCAAAATATTATTAAATAAAATCTCTATAATAGCTTAATTGTGGTTAATCATAAAGTACTTTTAATATTAAGATATCAGCTGGATGAAAGAGTTTGATATGATAGATGTAATTTGAAGTTATAATTATCTTTTTTATTATTGCTGGCTCATCAAAAATAAAGCAGTTTGAAAGAAATTTTAGAGAAACAAGAAAATTAAATAAAAGAAAATTAAGAATTCATGAAAGAAACTAAGTGATTGCTTGGTTAATTTATTAAATTTGGCAAAAGCAATAGAAAAAAAATTAGAAGAAATATTAAAATTTCTTTTAGGATAATTTAATTATCGAATTATATTTATAAACTCATTGCGCTTAAAATCAATCTTTTATAAATGGAAATAATATATTAAACTATTCAAGAAGATTTAAGAACATGCTTGGAGAATTGGTAAAAGTAGATTTAATGGATAATAATATCCAATTAACGCTTACTGTTTGATTATTTTTCCATAGGCTGAATCTCTTAATTCTTATTTTGAATGAATGATGAGCTTAATATCTTATATATTCTTATGTAATCAGAAATGAGTTACTTATTAATCGTTTATAATAACCACTTTAAAACCTTAAGAATGTAAAGGAGATTCAATTGATATCAAGAAATACACGAATGGGTAAAATAAAAATAGTTTTTTATAACTTGAATTAAAAAAATAACAATTACGTAATTCTCAATTACACAATTTAATAATTAAGTTTAATATTGTTTCAGTGAGCTAAGAAAAAAGGACTAGAAATCAATCTGCTTGGGAAAATTACTTTAGAGTTAAGTAAAAACTTTGATGTTGACTAAGCATTTAAAGAATCTTACTGATTGTTCAGCAAAGCAGTTGAGTTTTTAAAACAATTTATTGTCAGGAGTCAATCTAGATAATTGTAGTAGATAGCAGAAATTGCAGATTTATTCAGTTGAAAATATCAGTTGAAAGACTCCTACCAATTAAAAAAAAGTGCATTTAAATTTTCTCCATATTGTGATAATCATCCACTTTTGGCTCACTATTATGTATGTATATATATATATTTTATATATGAGAAATTCTAAAAATTTTGATTACAATTTGACTTTTTAACTAAAGCTATGGAAATTAAGATAGTCATCCTTTAATTGCTGGCACTTACATAGAGCGGGCTAATACCTTAACTTAATTAAATTACAGTAAGAAGTTAAGATTTGAATTTTGAATAAACTATTCTGTGATTTAAATTTCAACTATTAGAGTTACATAATATTGCTTTTAAAATTCCTAAAAAACTTTATGGAATAGAAAATAGAATTACATTATCATTTTTAGGGGAAGGTAAAAGAAATTTTTATTTTTTGTCATAAATTATCTTCTTTTAATGTAACATTTTTTTTTTTTGAGTAGCAGAAATTTGAAGAAGCATGAAAGTACTAATCTAAGATGATTGATTGATGGCAAGGATTTAATTTATTATGGCCATTATCCAATTTAGCTAGCTAATTTTTTGCAAAAGGTGGATATAAGAAAAGTCTTAGAAGAAGATGAGGTAAATAAGTGCTGAAGATGATGGGATTAATTAATTTCATTAGGCCACAAATGAAGCACTGAAGTTTTGTTTGAATATTATAAATAATAATTAAGTTTTGTTAGAGAGGCTCTAACTTAATAATCACCTTATGACTAATTTTAGAATCAATTTCGTAAATAGTGGAATAACGAATTTAGTTAATTTTTGATAATTGAATTCAGAAAGCAATTGAATTTAAAAATACTGTTAATGAAAAGAAATACTTGAAATAACATTAAATTGTTTTGATAAAAATGCTTTTTATATTGAAAACATATAACATTTAGTTATGAAATTATTTATATTTTTAGCTTTGTATATTCAGTTTTAAAGTCTTTAAAAAAATGACAACATTAGATAATAGAATAATTAAGTTATTTATATTATAATTATCATTTTTACATGCTATTTTTCCTATATTTTTTATAGCACTATGTAAAATTTTGAAGGATTTGCTTTTCTTATGCTAAAACCATCAAATTAATTTGTTCTATATATTAATCTTTGTTTTTAATTTTAGAGTCTTAAAGCCATAGCTTTTCAGAGTTCTTCAAAAAGTGATTGAATATTTTTTGCAGATTTCTGTTTTTACTCAGATTTTTAATCTTGAGGTTGTATCTTCCGCATCTTGCTAAATTAACAGAAACTCTTTGCTAAATGTGTTCAAAAGCCCACTTATTTTCACTCAAATTTTCATACACACTCATCAAGGAAGTATCTTTGCACTCGATAATATGTTTCTTAAAAGCTGATAAGATATTCTTATACAAATTATGTTTACTTTTAGAAATAAAGTTAAAAATTTATTAATTTTCTTAATCATTAATTCCTTTTTATTCAAATAAAATGTTTGACACAACTTCAATCACTGGAACTTTCCCTTTATATATTATTGAATATCAGTTAGATTTTTTAAATAGTAACTAATTTATTTACTTAGTCCTTCATATTGATTTATGCATCTTGTTTTTGCCACATGACTCAATTTTTTAATTTAGCTTGGAAATTTGTTAATATAATCCCTATATTAATCTAGATGTATTTTCCAAGATATTTCAAATTATTAATATTTTCTATACTTACAAGTATTTTCATATTAATTCCCATCCTCATTTTATTTAATTTAATAAACGTTTTCATCTGTTTGAGCAAGAAAAATATAGTTAATCATTTTTTTAAATATAAAAAAGAAAATTTTAATAAAAGTTGTATTTATGTTTGATATTTATTATAAAATCTTCTTTAAGTTTTCAATTTCTGTTTTAACAATAAATTATGAGTTAAAAAATTGGATTAAGTTATTTATAATTAGTCATCTCTATTTAAAAATAATTAACTTAAAATATACAGTTGTTTCTTTTAAATTACATAATTCAAAAAAACTTAATGGCTTAAGAAATTAAATTTAAAATAATTCTGAAATTAGATTATATTTACTTTTTTCAAAAAAAAAAAATATAATTAATTAGTGATTATTAACTTTTTCAACACCTAATATTAAAAGCTTATAAATTGCTTTGAGTTTTAAATTAATAAGTAAACTGTAAATAAATGTAGATAATTTAATTAAATTAATCCTACCCTAATATTTTTCTTCCCAGCATATTTCAAATAATAATTATAAAGAAATGATAATATGTATAGTCCTTTACATATTAATTTTAAATGATCTAATTAAAAAAGTTAGTCATTAATCTGATTTCCTAAATAAAATAAGCAATTTAGTTTACATTATTTTTTTAATTTAAAAAAAATTAGTAAAATTTATTATTATGCTTACTAATTGCAAAAATAGTAACAAATAATCTTTATAATTAGATAACAAAATTTTTTTTTAAAACGATACTTATTCACAAAATTTAAATAGTAATTGAGGTTATTTAATTTTACTCTGCTTTTATGCCATAAAGCTTTTAAAAAAATAAAAAAATAGATTTAAAATTGTTTTATTTTAGAATCTAAAATTATAATATTTTGTTATAAAAAAATATGATTTTTTACAGATATTTTATAAGTATTTTAAAAACGTGTTTACAATGAAGTCATAATAAAAATTTCAACTTGTGATTCTTCTCTTAATTCTTAATTCGCTCAGTATTTGAAAGCATATATATACATTTTTACAATAATTAAATAAGAAAAACTTTAAATACTTTTTATAACTTTGGTTTTATTTTATTAATTATAACTTGCTATTAAGATAATAATATTAAATATTAAGTATTTAAGCTTATTTTAATTAATATTATCTATAATATTATAGGATAGATTTATATTTTTTAACATAATTTCACCAATTTTTATACGAATAAACTCCTATTTTTATACTATAATTTATTAAAATAATTTATCATCCTCTTATTTTTGATTTAACACATATATAAATTGATATTCTAATTTAGTTTTAAAATAGATTTAATAGAACAAAATAATTAAATCTAATATTTTTAAAATTAAATTAGAATTCAAACTATTTTCAGCTAGTGTATATATATTCATTTACTAAATTTCGGAGATATTTTTAAATTAACAATAAATTACTTTATGTATCTATCAACATTTTTCTCAAAGTTTAAAAAATTTTTATTTTTCTAAGACAATTTAGCAAAGAAACTAATATTAATTTTAAAAATTATATAAAATAAATGCCCAATAATCATAATTAAGAACTATATTTGAAAGAAATGAAAAGAAAATTTAGAATTTAGTTCAAACCTATATTTGATTTGTTTCATAAGCATGATGAGAATTAAAGCCTACACTTATTTTTGTATTGACTGCAAATAAAAAATATACTTTAATTTTATTGATTCAAGTAGTGATATTTATGGAAATAAATTAATCTTAAAATTTAAATAATTCAATTAGAAAAATTTATAAGTATTTTTAAATAGTTATCAATAATTAATTTTTGTGATAATAAATTTAAACAAATAAACAAACATTTTTTTAAGCTTTAATCTTTATGGAGTGATTGAAAATTTTGAATAATCTTAATTTAATAATATATTATAAAGATAACCATTTAATTATTATTATTATTATTATTATTATTTTAGAGGCAGGCATTCTTTTAAACAGAAGGTTTAACATAAATTAAATTATCATAGATATCGCCTTATGTTTATATATAAAAGAAAATAAATATTGCGCTTGAATGTAAAGTGTTATCAGCCACTGGAAGAATTTTTAAATTTACATAAGCTTCACAAACAAATCAGTTATAACGAAAAGAAAAATTATAATAAATACTAGTAGCAATAATTATAATTGTATATATAAAGATTTAATTTATAAAATATAAAAATACTTTTTCTATTTTAAAATTGTAGGTAAAATAATTTAAATTATAATTTTTGCTAATTTATATTTAGTAAAACAACATTTTAAACTTTTATTATTATGATTATTATTAATATAGAAATAGCTTATTTTTTAATCTCTAATCAATCTCATGAACTAGCTAATTTTTTAAATTTTTTATAGTAACAAATGTTTTGAATTAAAATTTTCTTTTCGAAAGCGTTTAGGATCATCTCAATCTATTTTTTATATGATTCTTTATCTTTTATCTTTGAATGATCAAGCCAGAATTGATTTGAGTTTTTCAAAAAATATAAAAAAACTCCTGATAAATTCTCATTTTGGAATATGTTTCTAACTTTTAAGCCAAAACGACCACAATTTTAAAGGTTTTACTACACTCTTAGTTTAATTCTATCAAATGTCCAATCATCTTACGTATGAGACCGATATTATTACTTTTACTATTCATCGCATTAGTATAGAATGTGATTTTGAAACGCATAAATAAGGTTTTTGAAGAAATTAGTTTTTGATTTTTATAGAAAATCAATTACTTCTTATTGCTTACTGTCATCATCATTTTCTAAAAATATTAAAAATATTAAAACAAATTAAAAAAAATCCATTTTTATTCTTCCTTAAATGTTCAGAAGAATCAATCACATTACCTTATTAAATCATCTAATCTTCATTTTATTACTCATATTCTTTCTTTGAATTGCTCTATTTTTCTTCCATAGAATCCAAGCTACCTATATTCTTCATATATTGATCGTAGTTCTAAAGAATAAAGCACTTATCTACTCTCAATAATTCTAACTTTCTGAATTAACAAGCTTTTAATTTCTTACTCTTCTTTTTGATTGTAGGGTTGAGTGGAAAACATATAGAAATTGGTAAAATAATTTTTGTATTTTTATCTATCAGTTTGTACTTAGCTATTTTAGACATAAAGGTGTTAAATGTTTGTATTTTTAGTTTACTTCGATTTTATTTTTTTACAAGCAAGATAATTTTTTTAAATAAATTTTCTATATATTTCCAAACAAATCTGAGATAGGTTTTGAAGCTTCATAAGTTTTCATTTAAAATTCATCTTCAGCATCAATAAATATACAAAAAGCTTTATAAATCTATCTTTATTAGTTAGGTTCTCATAGACCTTATTTTCAGTAAAATAGGATAAGCAAAAAATTCAAAATCCTTATGATGAAAAATCAAGAAAAATTGAAAAAATATACAAATATTTTTCTATTAATTTAGTAGAATTATTTTAGATTCTTATTGCAATTTTATGACTAAAAAAAAGTAGGATGAATAAAAAATATGGATTTTTTATTGATAATATATTTTTAAATATGAATGTCCACTAATATTATTTACTGAAATTATCTTCAAGATTATTGGAAATTGAATGTAATGTAAAAAAAGTGATTTCAAAATAATATTTTTTAAAAATAAGTATTATTCATTTATAAGATTTTAACTTACAATGCAATTAAAATTTATCAGATACTTTTGAAATTTAATTGTATTTTTACTTTTCAATAAAAGTAATTGATAAGTATGAAAGTGAGAAAGTATCATTTTTTAAATGAGGTATAAAGAAAAACTTACTACTCAATTTTTGTAAATCTCCTATTTTCTGGGGCTTTTTACTTACAATTAAAAAAAAAATTGCCCAAAAAATAGCTAATATTATTTAACTATTTCTTATTTTAAACATCAATCTAGTCTATAGAAAAATTATATTTGAAAAATTCAAGCAAAGTATGTAAACTTTTTTATTGATATATGTATATTTTACAAATCAAATAAGCACAACATTCTATTTAGAAACAATATAAAAAAACATATAAAACTAACACATTTGATTCTAAAGTTGAAATTTATTGCTCCATATACTATTTTTAATATTCAGTAATCCAATAAAATAGTGTAAATTCAAATTATTTTTGTAAACTAACTAACACAATTTGATTGTAATATTTAATCTCAAGTATTTTTATTAATATCAGCATTTATTAGAAACAAAAATAAATTATTTTATACTGTAAGTAAAATGAGTATTTATCTCAAGTAAATTTAGTTTTTTTAGAAAAAAATTCATGAAATTTTGAAGAGTTGTGTAAAGAAACTTAAGAATTTTTCTTTGAATAGAAAAGTTAATAAATTAATAAATGCTCCAAACCAAAAAATTCATTTCAAACATACAACTAACTAACCTACTCAACTAAGGTTTAATTTGTAAAAAATATCTGTATTAAAAATATGTATGATATTATATTTTTTTGAATTTTTTGATTTATAAACGACTAAAGAAATGTAAATTGTAAACTTCATAGATAAACAAATTAAATTACAGAAATATTATAAATTCTGAAGTTAATCAATTATCAAGGTAAAGCTTATCAAAGTTATAATTGATCCAAAGAAAATAAATAAAAAAGGTTACAATCATGAAAATTAATTATAATAATAAAGCTTGCAAAAGCTAACTTTAAATATGTTTTTAAATATTAAAATGTTAAGTTATTGCGATAAGTAATAGCGCTTTTAAAGTGTACATGAAACTTTATCAACATCTATTAAGTATCTAAAATAATTTAATCCTCGTCTAATATAATATCTAATTTCACTCCTCTTCTATTTCTTAATAAGGAAATTCTGAAATGTTGCAATAATAAATTATTTTGTAATAATTATAGGCTATCTTAAATTAATATAAAATTTCAATTTTTTACTTATATATTACACCTTTGTTGCTAATAAATTAGTTTCTGCTAATTCTAGAATTCATTTTAAAGCAATTCCTTTTAAGAAATTTAACAATAAAAGTAATAATAATAATAACAACAACGAAAAAAAAGTGAGTATAAGACTACAATAAAAACTCTTTTCAAATGAGAGTTAGTTATCTTAACTAAAAATTAGTATCAAATAAATACAGTTTTTGGTTATTTTTCGTACTAGAAAAATTTTTCATAAAAATTTGTTAAAAAGAATTCACTTATTTTTATATAGATGGATGATTACAATAAATATTAACTAGATATCTTTAATCACGAACTTAAATATTATTTTATTGTAATAAAAAATAAAAAAATACTTTTTATCCTTGAATAATATCATTAGTTTTAATTTCAAGAATACATTCATTTTCTTTAAATTTTGTAAGCTAAGCAAGAAACTCAATCAAAATATTAAATTTTATCAATACAATCACAAATAATTAAAAAATATAATTCAGTAAACACAATCATAATAAGGTGAATATAATAATTTGAATAATGTGAAATCTTTAAATTTTATGGACTATTTATTTATTATCTTTAGTTATATATTTGCAAATATTAAAAAGTGTCATCAGTCATCTTACACTCACTCCATATATCCAAATTAATTTTGCGCCTTTAAAAATTAAAAAGACCATTTACTGTTTTTCAATTTTACTTTAAACTAACATTTATTTATTATTATGTAAATATCTCCAAATAATAATAAAACTATTTGAAACAAATTTATATATAATAGATTTAATTTTGTTATTCTTAAATAATGTAAAGTATTATTTATCATCGGTTTGATTACAGTTGCTATTAGTGATGAAAAATTTTGTCTAAATATCAAAAAAATTTTTATCACTGGGCGTTAGTTGCGTCTTTCAAAGCAATTATTTTTTAGAGTATATAAATTTATATGATTAGAATCAAATAAAGATTAATTTATTATTTTGCTTTCTTTAATGAGTAAAATTATTGGCTGCTAGAATATATTTACTTATTTTTAACAAATTCAAATCTTTTTTAATCTAATTATATACATATAACTTTATTGATTGTAAAGAATAATTTAAAATAATATTTTTAATTTAACTTATAAAAATTTAAAAAAATTCAATATCATTCATCACACACTTAATAAATACTTTATAATGGATAGACATTAAAAAGTTTTATCATTCTTTTTAATATGATTCATTTATTATCTTTTTTTATTTTTTGTAAAAAGAAATATTTTAAATAAGGACATTCTGATTGTAGGCGTCTAAAATCATTTTAATTTACTTTTTATACGAGTCTTTATTTTTTATTTTAGATTAGTCGAGCCATATTGAATCACTATTCTTTAAAAATTATATAAAAACCTTAGATAAGTTAGAATTTTATAACAAATTCCTAACTTTTAAACTAAATCTACTACAATTTTAAAGGTTTTATTAAACTCTAAGTTTTATGTGGTTAAATGACCAGCTATCTTAAGTTAGTTACTCATAATTCTGTCTTTGAGTTTCTGTGGTTTAGTAAAGTATGTGATTTGAAAAAGCGTAGAGAATATTTTTATAGAAGTTATTTTTAGATTTTTATAAGAAATCTATCACTTCTTTCTTCACATCTTCATTTTTAAAATTGTTTTTAATATTAATGCGAGTTAACAATGAGTATAATAAAAGTGTAAATTCTAATTAAAAAAATACCTTCATTATTAAAGGCTTATTTTAGTTCTAAATGTGAATGTGGGGTTGAAACCTATTTTATATCTTTTTTTTTAACAAATTTATTTATATATTATTAATAGTTTTGATCATTCATATTTTTGTCACATTTTTATAGCTATATAACTTTGTAAGAGCATATTTTTTCATATTTCTTCTTAGTCTTTTGAATTATTTTTACCTTAGATGGGCTAATTTCATGTTACTATTGAGAGCTTTGGGTATTTATTAATCTATACTTAGCAATCTGGGGCATTTATTTTACAATTTTGAATTTTGTTTTGTTTCTAATAATTCTATGTTTTTTGATAGTTATTTTATAAAAAAATGCAAAAATTAAATAGCGCTTATCTTTTATATAAACAAAAGCAATTGTAATTTGTTTTTGGTAAATTTCTTTGCTTATTTCTTAATCTTTTTCTAAAAAAATAGCTATAATTTATTATAAGTAGAAATTTCTTTTTTACTTATAGTAAAATAGATAAAAATATTATCATTTTTAACATAGTTATTATGGTTTGACTATTTGCTTTACTTTGTTAACTTTTTTAGTTATTTTATAAATCTTCTTTAATATAATAATTGGATTGATTCTAAAATAATCCACCTATTCACTTGCTAATTATTTATTTATTTATCTATCTATCTATCTGAATTTTGAATTTAAAAATTTTAATATAACTTGCTTGCTTAATAATTGCATGTGATGAATAAAACATATGGTTTTTATCTTTTCTTTAATCTAAATTGTTTTATACTTCATTAGATTTGAAAATCAGATTTTCTTTCATTAAGATTGTTTGTACATTTTACAACAAAAAATACAAAATTAATCCAAAACTTGATTTAATAATGAATTTTTATTTGCATACACAGTATTAAATAAGGCGAGGAAGATTAGTACAAAAAATATCATCTGCTTTACATTCAAATTGCATTTTAAAAAATTTTAGTGGATATGTAAATAAAATATTATCTAATTTATTATATGTTGAAATTCTGACTATTGATTTTCATTCATAAAATATATTTTTAAAATGAGTTAATAAAAATTAATAGTGTAACATGGTAAATAATATTTGGGTATTTAAATTTTGCATGGCTAAAAAAAGGAAATTAACAAAAAATTAATTAAATGCATTTGTTTAAATTGAAAGGATATATAAGCTAAATACCTCTAAAAACTATAAATGATTATAATAAATTACACAATTTTTTAGTATTATTTACAATTTTTAATTTTGTGAAGCGCATTGAAATTCTTAAATATTTTAAAATATTTATGTAAGTTTGTTTAAAATTTATATTTTTTAACACTCTTTTATAACCCTTTTTAGATTACAAATAACTTTTTTAGATCTTTAGGATAGAGGAAAAACCACTATGAAATTAAGAAGAAAAAATTAGTCTTTTTAAGATATTATAAACAAAATCTGATTATATAAAATAACAAATTTATATGAATAGAAATCAAAAAATAATTTGCTCTTGATAGCAAATAAATTTTTAACAATCGTAATTTAGCTAGTTTCTGCTTTTTTTGAAATTAATTTTTGATTTATTTTTATTACATTATTTTCATGGATATAATTTGATTAGACAAGCAAGAAATTTTAATTATTACTAGGCATACTTTTTGTTTTGAGCATGAACAGAGAAATTAACTATTATGTTTTGAGTATTAATAGAGAAATTAAATATCAAATATTATCATCAAATAAATTATATTGAACAAATTGAATCTTTGAATTATCTTAAAAAGAAAATATAAAGACAAATGATAACACAAATATATCAAAGATAATGACGTAGCAATTTATTTATTTATTTACAATACTATAAAAAACAATGATTATTAATTTTTAAAGTGAATTTAAACAAAAAAAATAATTTTTATTAATGAATTTATAAGATTTTTATTACAAATTTGACTGATTTTGATTATATTTAATCCATATTATAACAGTTTATGATAGTATTTTACTTAAATCATATTTATTTTTAAGAATTATTTAAATATATCCTTTCTATATCAAATATTTATCACTTTACAAAGGAGAAATTAATACAGATTTACAGATTTAAAATATAAATTCATTAAAGTTTATTTATTACTAGGCATACTTTTTGTTTTCAGTATTAATAGAGAAAATAACTATCAAATATTATCATGAAATAAATTACATTGAACAAATTGAATCTTTGAAAAAAAAATAATATAAAGACAAATGATATTTCAAATGAATTAAATACAATGACGTATCAATTTACTTATTTACAGTACTTTATAAAACAATGATTATTAATTTACAAAGTCAAAATTAACAAATAAAATAACTATTATAAGTGAATTTATAAGAATTTCAATATTTTTATTACAAATTTTACTGATTTTAATTATATTTAACTATATTATAAACGTTTTATGATAGTTTTTTATTTAAATAATTATTTATTTAAATGAATTATTTAAATATATCCTCTCAACATCAAACCTTTATCACTTTACAAAGGAAAATTTAATGCAGCTTTAAAGATTGAAAATAATATAAATTCATTAATATACTGAAGGATCTTAATTAATTATCCATATCCCAATGGAAATAGTATTCAAAATTGAGTAAATTAATTAGATGGGAAAAATATATTTTTTTAGGTTACTAATTACTCATTCTCTCATTTTTATAAAAAGCAAATTTCAAAGAAATTGACATAAAAATTTGCTTTTGATTTATCTTATAACTTAACTAGTGACATAATAAGAATTTATTTTTATAAATTTTAAAGTTATTTTTATAATAAATTATTTTATGGTATGGTTTGTGTTTAGTTATTTTTATATATATTTATTTATATATAGATAGATATATAGATATAGATATTTAAAATCCAATTGCTAATTAATTTGAATTTGTTTTTTATTTTATTCAATTTGGGGGATTATTGCACCAAGGACAGTTTGCAAAGTTTTATAAGTACATCGACCAATATTCTTTGAGACCTCCTTTTCCGCAACTTCTACAGTTAACGAATGTTCCCTTTAAAAGAGGTTATCCTGTTAGGATACAAACTTCAGCCTCAGTTTTACATTTAGGACATGTTTGGCATCCTTCATATATTTAAGTTCTGCAGCTTTCACAACTACGGATAGGTAAGTCCTTTTCTATTTTAGAATTGCAACTAACTTCCAAAATCCAATTACGTATTCCTTCAATTTGATTTGAGTCTACTAGGTTCTTTTCAGGAATGAGTTCTACTTAATAAGGAGATGGAATATCAGTATTTAAGAAGACTTAGTTATCTCCAGTATCAGCACTGTTAGGATCTTCTATGACTTCAAAGATATCTAAGTATCTATTTAAGATGACGAATGCATATGTGAGCCAGTTCTATTCATTAAGATATTTATTAATATTGTAAAAGATAAAGAAATTTAAAACATTTTATGAAGAAAATTATAAAGTCGTTTTGTTACTTCTTAAATATTTTGATAATGAAAAATATAATATAATATCAATTTAATTTAATATTTATTTAAAATTTTTACTTATTTTTTGCAAGCAACACCTGCATCATAGAACAATTTATCCATACGAATAAGATCTCCGTATCTAAGCATTGAAATTGAAGTTCTAGCATAAAGAGCACTCATATTTTTCTTTTCATAAACATTCTTTAGGTTTGCTAAGTGTGCTATGGTTAAGTACCTTTAGAATTATCTTCCTTCTTGAGACTAGTCTACTTTAGAGCCTTATAAGAGTTTGTAAAAGTTATATAAAGCAGTACGCAAGCTGTTGATTTCTTTAGGATCGCACTCAACAAATATTTCTAAGCAAAGGTTAATGTAATGCTTAAAGTTTTCAGGAATCAACTGCATGCCGTAGTGAGCATAGGCTTCAATAGTTTCACCAAATTTACCACTTTCCATAGTAAATTTGACATAGCGTCTCATTATCTTGGCTAGTATTTCTGCACCCTGATTTTGAGCTGTGTCTAATGCCTATCTCCAATCTATGTTTAAAAATCATAATATTTAATTTATAAATTTTGTAATTAATTAAAAATAATATTTTAAGCCTTAAAACATTTCATGTTATTTTCTGTAAAATGTTTGGCATTTTTTTATTTAAATAAATAAAAAAGCTAATTTATTGAATAAAATTATTATTTCATATTCATGTTAATTGTATGCAGAACATTTATCTTATTAAACTTAAAATTTAAGAAAACAAAATTTTTTTGTTAGAACTATTAGAAATTAATTTTTTTTAATTTATAATTTTAAAATCAAATAATTTTGTTACCTCCTTTTTAAATCATCATTTCTATAGCTTAGTCAACATGACCACCTTCAATCATACCTCTAGTATCTCCTGTGTTTTATTATTCAGTCATTTGAAGTTATTAGATACGTGCTATCATCTTCTACTAGAACTTTAATTATTTTTTTTTTAAATTTGTTTAAATAAATTATTTCTGCACCAAAAATAAAAATTACACTAGGATTATTGACTTATTAGGCACATTATTTAGCTTTGGCATAATTTCTTAATTCAAGATAAAGTTATGAAGCTTCTTAGTAGAATCCAAAGTTTTCATAAATATCAGCAGCCTAATCAGCTTTATTTAAATTTTATAATCCCTTTGCAACAATTAAGACAACTTCTTGCAATCTTTCCTTAACATAAGTTTAGGCAATTTATATAGCTTTATTCCAGACTGCTACCTAAATAAATTATATTTAAAAATCTTAAAAAATTCTTCTTAAATTTAATTTTTTTATTATTACAACTGTATTTTCATCACAATTTTCAGGAGTAACATTGAGGTAAGAATCTATTGCCTTGTTGTAATCTCTGCTATCTTCAGATACTCTAGCATTTTAGATATAGTCTTCACCAGTCATAGCTCCTCCTCTACCAACTTATTAATGTTAAGAAGTAAGTTCTGAAACTAAATGAGGAGCTTCCTTTTTGGCTACTCTGAAGGCTTCTTACCAATTTTAAATATCCTTGTACATTTTAACTGCTAATTCTGGTTTCTTAGCCTGGATAAAGCAGTTTTCAGCCTTCTTATATTCTCTTTTTTCAATGAAAGTACGAGCTTAATTCATAAGAATCATGCTTATACTCTATTTTTAGTGTACTTTTGCTACCTATAATGCAGCTTAGAAATCACTCAAATGCTCATACATATTAATAGCTTCTTCAGGTTTACCTGCCTTAATAAAGTGTTCTTCAGCTTCCTTATATCTAAATATTTGATTTTATTAAATAAAAATTTTCTCAAAAATATTAAAATAAATAAATAAATAAATACCTTTTGTTATCTTCAAGTTCAAATGCATATTTGAGGTGAACATCAGGCTTTTTATGGATAGCCTTTTGAGCCATTCTAAAAGCTTCATCGAATTCCTTTCTATCACAAAGATATTCAATGACAGCATCGATTAAATTGTATTTTAAAAGAATTTTCATACCAGCATCAGGACCCAAAGTTTCTGCCCATTATTTAGCAAGTTCACATGTTTCCTTATCAGATCCATAAAGCTTGCAGCATCTGACAGCATCTTCCCAATTTCCATTAGATTGATACATGTCAACAGCAGCATGCCAAGCACCAGCTTCAATATAGTGATGTTCTGCTTATTTCAAGTTTCCAGCACGCTATAATCTTTGACCAATTTATAAATGAGTATCTCTTAATTATTTAGGTCTATATTTAGCTACTAAACGAAGCATAGATTCATACTACTCACTTCTTTAATACATATCAATAGCACGATCATACTCATCTACTTAGCAGTAGAGTTTTTCAGCTTCCTTATAGAGGTTTTGTTCCTAGAATTTGATAGCCTATTTAACATATAATTAGACAATTTCAGTTTCAGGGAGATTTTCACGAGCAACACGTAAGGCATGCTCCCATTTTGAAGCCTTGGCATACATTTCAAAAGCTTCAACAGCTAAGCCAGCCTTCAAATAATATTTCTCACCAAAATCATATTGACGAACATCAGCATAATGCTTAGCAATTTGTCTATAAAAAGGACGAGCCATTTCAGGACTTTAATGTTATAAAAGTTAGATTGCCTTGCTCCATTATCTTGAATTGATACTAGCTTCAATGGCCTTTTAGAAAGATCCAGCTTCAATATAATGATTAACAGCACTTTCAGTTTACTTTTAGCTAACTAACCAATCACCACACCTCTCTTCTAATTCACGGCTATATATATAATTAAAAATTAATAACATTTGTGAAATAGAGAAATTTGATTTGAAAATTAATAAATAAAATTTCTTTAATTAATTAAAATATTTGATTTATTAATTTATATTTTATTTTCCTCGTTTATTAATTTAATCTTTTTAATTTAAATTGAATTTCAAATAGAATTTTAATAATTTTTACACTAAATTTGGTTGAACTCTTTTAGCAAGATCGATTGCTTTTTTGTAAGAATTTCCTTCACGGTACATTTAGAGAGCTTTAGGATATTATTCCATTTATTCATAGAATTCACCAGCTCTTTCATACATTCCTGCGTTTTTGAGAGCTACAGCAATATTTTCGAGAATGTCCTAAGGGAAAGAGTGATCATATGTAAACACTACATTAGCAGCTTTAGCTGGAAGATTACCTTGTAAGTAGAGCTAGACAGCCTTGTTAAAATCTCTTTCATTTTCCTTAACTTCAGCAGCCTTTTTAAAATTAAAAATTAAATAAAATATTAGAACTTGTAAAATTTAAACTATACCTTAGCTTCCTACTTTGTCTTTAGAAGCCAAGTGTAATAATTTTCCTTGAGTTCTCTAACCTAAGGATGGTTTTTCTTTTCAGCAATCTTAATTGATTCATCCCATTTATGGAGTTCCTAATACATTTCCATAGCTTCTTCAACCTCTTCATGATCTAATAAAATAGCTTCAGCTCTGTGGAATTGTTTATCGAGGATGGCAAGCTTAGCTTGAGCCTTGTAGTAATTGATACCTTCTTCACTTTCTCTGGCAAGCTTAGAAATCTTTCTTAAATAAGAAGCCTTGCAAATATCACCTAAAGAAGCATAACAGTGCTCAGCAACTATAATATTTTACTCTTCAAGAGCTAACTTAGATAATGTTTTCCAGTTAGCTTCTGTGTCAGCATTCATCTCTAATGGGTCAAGAATTGTAGCTGCTTTTTCAAGATCTCCTGATTCAATTGCAAAACCAAAGTTAATAAGAGATTCATCTAAGCTGTAAGGAACTACATTATTTCCTTCATTTACCATCACATCAGTCTTACCTATTAATACAAATATTTTTCTTTAACAAATATTCAATTTTATTTATTTATTTATTCATTTTATACCTCCATTTCTTTCAATAGACTCAACTTCTCCCTTAATGTTATAGATTGTGACTTTATCTGGATTTTCAATTGAATACCAAACACATAGGTTTTATCTGTTTTAAGCAACAACTACATCTGATTCAGGAACCCACTAAGCATAACTACAGTAACTGAGAAGAGTATTTTTAGTTTAAGTTTTGATATTATAAAGGTAGAGTTATCTTCTCTTGTCTCTAAACAAGAGCTTATTAGCATGAGTGTTAAGTTCTAAGAAATCAATTTTCGAATCATGAAGAATCTAACCAATATTTGAGTTACTCATGAGATCTTAAATGTAAATGGTTTGCAAATCTAAGAGATAAGCAATCATTTTAGTTTATTTCACACTGTGGTAGTTTAATCTAGCAGAAATTAAATTAGTTTTCATGTGCTCAGTTCTGCAGTTACCAAGAGGTTCATTGTTTCCATATTCGATCAAAGTCAATTCTCCACTGCTAAAAACCATGCAGACTCCTGGATTTGAAAAGTCATACTTTTCTTTACCATCATTTCTCCATGGAATTTCTGAGCATTTATCAACTTCTAAATCAGCTACTATGATAGTATCATAAGTATTACCAACTGCAAAACGGTCCTAGAAAATGTTGATTTTGGTAATTTCAGCACCTTAGGCACTTCTAACAACAGATTTTCTACCAGATGATAATGTTTTGACTACAATTTATGAAGGAGACACATAATTCAACTCAAACTTTCCCTTATAATTAATCATTTTAAATGAGGCATTGTACCAATCAACACTTCCGCAAAGAGAACCAGTTACTAATTTAGAACCATCGTTTTTCCATGCAAGAGCTGTAACAGTATAATAATTTTCAATTTATTTAACACCAATTTCTTCCCAGAGACTTCTTCTGGAGTTGTAATGATAGATATAAAATCTAACATATAAAAATATAATTGATTTACAATTCAAAAAAAAAAAAATGAATAAAAGAAAGAAAAAGTGAAACAAGCATTCAAATAATTTATTTGCATTGAAATAATTGATTAATAAGAATAACTTAAAATGATGATTTAGTTAGTATTTATTAATATTTGTTAGATAATGATGATGATGATTTTTTATTATTTTGATTTCAAATAATTTTTAAATAGTCACTTCCTAATTAAATCTTTCTTCTATATAAAAATATTATTCTCCTTAAGCTGTCTTATTTTCTTTCATCCAATATATTATCAATTTAAAATAGAATTCTTTTTTTGCTGTTTAAAATAGCATTTTAATTCATGTTTTACCTATTGAAGTTGCCTAAAACAACTGTGTCGCCAGATGGGTTGAATGCGGCTATAGTGAATTCTCTTATTTTATCATCATTTGTATAATCAAAACGTTAAATATGATTGCCATAAGCATCGTAAAAAGAAACCTTTCCATCATTACCAGCAGCGACAACATGTTCTCCCCAGCCTAAAGCATATGGGATTGAATGATGAACTACAATTTTTTTTCCAAATGCGTAGATTGTACCATCTAAGTGACCGCTTACAAAATTTTCTCCGTCTTTACATGCTGCTAAGCTAACAACATAACTATCAGTTGAATACATTACTTATGACTGTTGTTATAAACAAAAATTGAATAAATGCTTCACGCCTTTTGATAAATTAAGTTGATTACTTTGTTTGAACGAAGGATACCGGATTTGACTTTACCTTCAGCCAAACCAAAAATAACTTCTCCTGCACGTTCATGAGGCCAGCAAAGACATGTTACTGAGGAAGAAGTTGGGAATTTATTACAAATAGATTTTTTTTCACCCCATTCCTTGCCAATCTTATAGACAAAAACTATATTATCTGATTATGCGACTGCTACCTTTTCACTATCTGGAGAAAAAGCTACTGCTCTAACAACATATGACTTTTAACCCTAAATATTTTTAATTATTTTTTTTATTAGATTGAAACGCTATAAATTTAAAATTTTAAAAACTCAAAGAAAATTAAACATATTTTCATTCAACTTTATCTAATCAATCTTAAAATATTTTATGGCTATTAGCTGATGCAATTATACTAATAAAAATCCATTTGGATTTATTTTAATTGTCATTATTGAATTCCTTTTTTTATTTTTGTGAATAAATAAATACCTTGTCTGATGGTTTTGTCATAAACTTATCTCTACGCTATCCTTGCTCATCAAACAAATGAACTACCTTTATTTATAAAAAAATTCTATAAATTAAACATTCATAATAAAATTAATCATGTTTTAAATCTTTTAATCGCTAATTATTTAATGGTTTGAATTCCTTTTAGCTTAGATTATTTGCTATTGTTAAAAGAATAAAGCAGTTTTAAGTGCTTTCTTTGTATATGAAAATTAAGTAGAAACCTAACTTAAAAAGAAAAATAACAAAGCACCTATGGAAAAAGTATGGAAATTTTGTTTACAAATCGTTTTAAAAATGAAATATTTTAAATCTTACTCTTTCAGCTGTGCAAACTGCGAGTTTTTTTGGCCCATGCTAATTAGGAGACCATGCTACTGATGAAATCTTTTGCATTCCATCAACTGGTGGAATGATATTTCCAAAATAAGCAAGTTTCATTTCTTTACTTTATAAAATTAAAGCAAATACCTTTATTATTTCTTTTTTATTTTATTTTTTTATTTTTTTTCTTTTTTAAAAATTTGAAATTTATTCAATCTAAAAGATTAAAACAATGAATCCTCTCTTTGGAAATTAGTAATTGTTTGTGTTTCTGAATGGCTTTATTTTTTTTTTATGCATTCAAAGATTCTTGTACATGAAGTACTATTTCAATTAATAATCGAATTTGTTTAATGGTTAACTCAAAATTTTAAAAATATTCTTTCAAGATAGATGATCTATAAATACTTAATTTAATTTTTGAGTGTAGCTTTTCAAAAAATAATTTTAAGAATTATTGTTTTTTTTATAAAATTTAAAATATTAAAAACTAGTTAAAGACATATTAACCTCTTTAAAAAAACATCATTTTAAAGAAAAGCCTTAAAATTCATATTTAATATAATTTATACTCTTTTTACAAAACAAAAAAATCATTTTTTAGATCTTTAAAAAGAATTTAGAAATATTAAATTTAATTTAATTGATTTTAAAATAATCTATATTTATAAATTAAAGAGAGTTATTTAGCTATTATTAATATAAACTTGTAAAAATTTTTTAATAAACAACAAACTTAAAAGATTTGAAGAAATATATTTTAATAAATGTATTAAAATTTTATAAATAAATAAATAAATAGAGCTCTAAAATTTTGAAAATATTTATTTGATTGATTTATTATAGATAGATTAATATCTTTTTGAGTAAAATTTAAATCATATTAAAATTAATCAAATTTAAAAAGAATGAAAATTTAAAATGGAAAAATTAAATGACAAACATAACACGAATAAAATTAACAACTTTATTTTACGATTAATCATTATCATTCAAATGTGCAAATAAGAATTTGATTGATAATTAATTAAGTTAGTTGCTTGGTTGTTCAAGTTAAACTAATTCAATTAAAAAATTAAATGACAAAGCAATTAATTTAAGTATAAATATTGGTATTTATCAAACAAAGATATCAATTTTTGAATGTAAAAAATTTTTAGGTGATAGGCTGATAAATTAAATAATACTAATACATTTGAGAAATTCAAAAATAAATAGGTCTGTCTCCTTGACTTTCTTTTAGCTAAACTACAATACTATAAAAGCTTAACACGTTTATTTATCTATATCAAAAGTTAAATCTATATCTTAAAGTAGAATAAGTAAATTTAGAAATACAATTGTAGAGATCCTAAACTATATTTAATTAGCAATAAATATGGGATAGAATGGTAGCACTAATTGTTGTGGAACAACGGCAGATTGTTAATAAACGGAAGTTGAGGTGAGTGAATACCAACTCAACCAAAATTAATCTTTAAAAAGGCCTGCTTAGATTTAAAGTTAGAATGGAGTTGCTTTAAGTGAGCAGTAGTAAAAATAGCTTGAGGAGTAGCATAAAATACTTATTTAGTAGCAGTAATAAATATAATAGGACTAACACTTAGGCTCTACCCAATAATTTTAGACAGGGAATGATAAAAGTAGCACTAAAAAGAAGAAGAATATGCAAAATCAAGAATTAGCAAATCATTTGAGAAAGATTTCAAACAATGACAGGATTATAATGGAGAATAGTATCATACATTCTACTACTAAAAGATTAAATGAAGTGACATCTACTAAAAAGATTAAAAAAGAGTTATCAGAAATAGTTCATTTTGCAAAAGTTTTATAGTTAAAAATTATATCTTCCAGCACTTTATCAAAGGGAAGTCTACTTTACATAAATGCCCAAGGATTAGAGAATTCTCTTAGAAAGGAGCTTGATGGGATGACGTTTTTTGGATGCAAAAAGAGATGTCGTAACATAGACAATATCAACTAAGGATAGTTTGATAACTTCTCTTCTTATAGTAGCTCAAGTAGCAATGAAGATGAAATGGAAGAAGACGACCATACTTTTGACTAGGCTGCATCTAATTAAATTTTAGATGACATCTATGATGATTAAGATAATAATTAGCAGAATAATATTTAAAATAAATAGCAATTCTTGTAATAAAAAAATCAATCTTCATTTCCAAAAAGCAATCTTCAAAGCTAACAGCAATAAAAAAGCGGGTTAAATTCAAAAAACAATTTAAAATAATCATCATCTGTGTCTGCTTAACAGAAATTTAATAATTTAAGAGGCAGTTTAAAGTAAAAAAATTAAAAAGATGTAGATATTTCTTTCGAAGAGGAAGAAGAAAAAGAGAATAACCCTCTCTAAATGAATAAAAATGGTTAATAAAAATAAAATGGATCTTTAGCAAAAAAATAAAACCAAATAAATAACAACAATGTAAATAAAACTACAGGTGATGGATTCAAGAAAAATTTAATCACTAAACAACAGTAATCAAATTAAATGAAAAAGGAAGAATTAAAAGACTCAAAATATATAAATAAAAGTGTAAATCCATAATCAAATAAAATAAATTTAAATATTAAAACAGAAAATTTCAAAAATAACAAAAATTAGTTTATTCTTGAAGAGAAAAAAAATAAAGTAAATAAAAATGGAGAAATCGTGAATGACTTTGTAATACCTTCACCAGATCCTGAAATAAGTAAAAGACATAGAGGGAGACATTTTTAAATATATTATGATCGTACTTCTAACTCTTACAAAATAAAGGATTTGGGAATAGGGTTTGGATGCTTTTACAAGCTTGATGGTCCTCTCCTTTTAAAAGATAATCACTTGCTCAATATAGGACTAATATTTGTAGTGATTAATTTTACATTAAACCAAGATAACACAGTTTTGGATGCTTCCACTATTAACAAGAGTAGCAACACAACTTAGTAGCAACATCCTTCTAACAACTCACAATTAAAAAATAATTAATCCTTTTTAATATCACAAAATATTTCTAATAATAATAAAAATACCTAAAATAATCAAAATCAAATCTAGCTTTAAAACAATCAACTTACATCTTTAAATTAAAGTGTTGATTTTGTAAATGAAAGTATCAATAAAATATGTATTCGTCTTAAATTTTTTGGTGGGCCTTGCAATGGAGAATCATGTGTTCTGGATCCTCAAAAAGAGACATTTGCAACTATTGGTAGAAACAAAGAGCAATGCACTCTTCATTTCGATGATCATCTTCTCTCAAAAATATAATGCCGTATTGTTTTCAAACCTAACGAAGGCTGGTATCTGATAGATGGTTCACAAAAAAGAGCATCTACTAATGGCACTTGGCTATATTTAGCTGAGGAGAAAGAAATATACGAAGGCATGATATTCAAAGCAAATTAAACTTTATTTTAATGCTCTATGCAATGAAAATTTCACTCTGAAAATCTAACAATCTAATTATACAAAATACATCCATAATTAATTTTACTCTAGACAACATTTAAACTAAAAAAATAATTCCATTTTATTATTTATATTATCATAAACTAAATTTTGAATTAATACATTTAATTTGTTTCTAACATTTATGTGTATCAATCAATATATTTCTCTTTTAAATATTAAAAATTCCAAATCTTAATATTAAATTAAATTAAAATTGAGATTTCATAAATTAAAAAATCTATTTTTTAAAGAAGATTGAGAAAAATACTAAATTTATTCTTAAATTATTTATAAATTTTAAATAGTATTTTTGCTTTTTTAACTTTAAGAAATAGTTCTACTTTACAATTTATTTAAGAATATTTTAAAAAATAATACATTCTTTATTAGATTTATTTAAAAAAATAAATTATTTAATTTACATAAAAAATAAATTTTTTAATTTTATATTACAATAAATGGCAAAAAAATTAAAATACTTAACTATTCTTAAAAAAATCTATTACATATTGGATTAATAGGATTTAAATTTTGTTTCTATTTGCTGATCCAATTAAAGAATATTAGTATATTATAATAACATTTAAATATTGATAGAAGAAATATTGTCAGATTTATTAAAATCAATAATAATATAATTATTATCTTATTTTAAATAAGAATTAAATTTTTTTAAATCTTAAAAATGAGTAGTAAAACTTTTATGAATAAGGAAAACACAGAAGGAAAGAGCATTAATATAAAGGGGAGTGTTACATCATAAGGGTAAATCCCTTAATAATAGCAAGCTTAACAATAATAGTAAAAATAAGGTTTTGTCTATAAGGATCCTAAAGCGCTTTAATCTTGGGATGTTATAGAGTAGGCTATTTAAATGATTTATGAAAAGAAGACTCATACATTATCGTATTAGGAATTATATCATCACGCATATATTTTAGCATTTTATGGGCATGGAGATTAAGCGTATTCTAGATTAAAAAGCTTATTAGAAAAGTATTCACTTAAAATGCTGAATACTTTAGGATATTATGATAGCGAAGAATAAATTTTGGTAAAAATGGTTGCAGTGTGGTAAGATTATAAATAAATGATTAACATTCTAAAAGGAATATTCCTTTATCTAGATAATAATTATGTTACTACAAAAAACTTGCAGCCCGTTTTGGTTTTAGGTTATGAGGTGTTCTAATAAATACTCTTCATTTAAAAATCAGAAATATATTCTAAAGTTTTAGAAATAATATTGACTATGATAGACAAATAGAGATTAGGAGAAAATATAGAGGGATAACTAATCTAAAAAATTATATAAATGAGTGTAAATAAAATTAATTTAACATAATTTATTATTTTTTATCAATTATCAATTTTACAAATACAGTTTTCAATCTTCATTTTTGATAAGTTTGAATGACTGATTTAAATTCTAGATTAAAAATTTAAATTTGTTAAAAAACATTACAATAAATATATTTATTTTGAGTTGTTACTGAAAGTATTTTTAAAAATTTTTTAATAGCTTTATGAAGATTTTAAGCATTAAATAAAATATTTTATATTGATTTTAATAAAGGTTGATCTTGGCATGAAAGCAAATATTCAAAAATGCAATTAATATTCTAGATAAATATAATATGAATATATCCCTGAACTCACTATTTATGAAAAGTATTTTGAAAAAGGATATCTTGATTGCTCTGAAAAGTATTTCTCTGAAGAGAGTTAAAGATTAATACTTTAGTTATCTCCTAAAGACTATATAATAGCTGTAGAAAGAAGGTTTTTAGAAGAAAAGAAAAGAGTTCATAGTTATTTTTATCAAACATCTAAGAATAAGATCTAATCACTATTCTTTTAGAAATATATAAATGATTTTGCAAAAGCAATTGTAGATAACTAAGAAAATGGATTATTCAATTGGTTAGATAATGACGAAGTTGTGATCATTAAAAAATCACATACGCTTTTCTAAAATACAAAAGAATCATACACTATATTTCTTAATATATTTTATAAATACGTTGCTCATTAAACTTCGGCATTAGCAGCAAGATAATCAACACCTGTGAAAGAATATATAGAAGATATTATATTATTTAGGCTTAAAATTATCAATATTATGCAAGAGGCCTTTTTTTCTTTACTAAAAACAGATGACCAACTTACAATTTAAAGGTAATTAATTAACTTAATATCAAACATTTCAAACAAATAAAAATATAATATTAATGATCAAACAAAAATAGATATCAAAGCATTTACATATTGAATTTAATTTATAATATTTTTTACTTTTAAAAGACTTTTGCATAAAATTTTGAATTTATTTTTTCATATTAGGCAGAGACAAATTAAATAATTGTTTACAAATTTTTCCTTCATGTCTTAAAAATGAATAAAATTAACATTTTTTTATTAAATTTAAATCTATAAACTAATAAAAGATAAACTTAAAAATCATTTGAAGATTCTCTAAATGACAGTAATTTTCCTACAGAGCAACTAAATTGTTATATTGATGAAGCTTTTCAAAAAGATTTCAAAAATAAATCTGAACAATAAATTGAAGAAGTGCTGAATTCCGTCTTTGAAATATTTTGCTTGATAAGAAATAAAGACTATTTTGCAAGTATTTACATGAAAAGCTTAGCAAAGAGAATACTTTACAACAAAAGTTTAGATGAAAACAATGAAAAGTAAATAATTAGTAAATTCAAACTAGAATGTGGAACAGTTTATACTAAAAAAATGGAGACAATGTTTTTAGATATGCAACAATCTCTTGAATACTATAACGAATTTAAGTAATTATTTATAAAGAATCTTAATACAAAATCAGCCTATAAATCCTTAGATTTTGATATTAAAGTTCTCACTTGTGGTAACTGGCCATATAAATTAAATTAATTTTCTTAAGTCAAAATTCCTAATCAGCTTGAACCTTATATCTCAGAATTTGAAAAACATTACAAATCTAAATTCAAGGGTAGAAAATTGAAATGGATATATTCTGTTGGAAAATCTATTGTTAAAGGTTACTACAGCTTCAATAACTCAAAGAAAGAATTTTAGGTTTCTAATGTTTAAATGGTTATATTACTTTTATTTAACAACAAGATTAAATATACTTAGCAAGAACTCACAGCTTTACTCTAAATGCCATATGAAGAATACAAAGTAAATCATTTTTTGAACAAAAACAAGAATATCAAATATATATTTAATAATAATACAATTTTTTTAAATATCTACTATGTATTTATTATAAGCAGGAGCTCTAAGATTTTAGCTTACTTATCATATATAAAACAAATATAAACATATTTTCTATTTATAATATAAAATAAATTAAATCTTGACCAGTTTTAATAATAATAATAAAAATTTTAATTTTTCCAAAAATGCGATTACTGTAAAAACAATATAAAAAAATTTAATTACAATTAGTGTTCTTAAGTTTAACTAACAATTTAATTTTATTATTCTCTAAAAAATTTGTACACAGTGAGTTATGGAAATAAATCTTTTATGTCTTAGTTTTTATTTATTATTCTAAATTATTTAACGTTTTATCTAACTAAATAGCTTCACTTACTGCCACTTGTGTAACTAAAAATTTTGAAATCTGAAAACAATATAGACTTTGAATATAATGACCAATTTAGTTATAAAAATATGAGAGTGCAAGTAAATGTAATGAAGAAAGAAGCAAGCAAAACTGAAAGTTCGAAAAACCTTGAGTAGATCTGCCTTGAAAGAAAATTTGTTGTAGAAAGCCTAATTGTAAAAATAATGAAATCCAGAAGAAAGATGGAACACTAAGAATTATATCAAGAGGTAGCAAGAATATCTTAGTAGCATCTTTTTTTGCCAGATTAATAAACAGTAAAACAATGTGTAAACTCACTTATTAACAGAGATTATATTCGCTTATCTGAAAATAAAGATTATTTATAATACGTTGTTTGAATTTTCATTTTTATATTCTTCTTAACAAAATTACTTTGTTAACCAATCAATATTACAAAAAAATATTTTTATTTCAGTCAAACATTTTTATTAATATTTTCTATCTCTTTATATACTTTATACAACAAGTATTTATGTAATTACTTTACTCAAAATATATCTTATTATTTATTGAAAATAAATTTCTCTATCTCTATTAATTAAGTTAGTTCCCTCAACTATTTATCTTAATTTAATTGATTAATGAGTTGATCAAAATATGTTAAATTTATGATCATAATTTTAAAAAACTTATTTTTATATAATAAATAGTTGTAAGAAAAATAATTTTTTATATAAGTCTTGCCGAACTTATCTCTCCTAAGATCCTTTCAAAATTATAACCACTCACTTAGTAGATTACATAAAGTTCTCTTTGTAATTATGTTAAATAGTCTTTCAAATTTTTATAAATTGGTTTTTACTTCTATAATTCTTAAAATTTGTGGGATTTTAATACATAAACTAAAATTATAATTTTTACAATTTCTAAATAAATCGAATTTTCTAAGACTTTTTCTAAGGTAAAAAACAACAGCTTAAAAAATAGCAATCTAAAAATAAATCATTAAGATTACTACTGTTTAATTTTTATCATTTCTCCCTTAAAAAATATTGAATAAATTTTGAGAAAATGAGGGCAAATAACTATTAAATTTAGCGATTTCTCAGAAAAAGGACAGATTTTGTTAAGGAATAATTTCGGTAATTATCTTAAAGTATCATGGATAAAGATTTTCTTATGATAAAAAAAATATTAGAATCAAATTTTCTATTAAATACACTCAATAATATTATTGCTTTTACAATTAAAAGAGTCTTTTAAAATTAAATAAATTGAGTTAGTTATCAATACAATTTAAACATAAATAGGAATTAAATTAAAGATTTAAATTTGATATATTAATTGAACAAATAATTAACTTAAAAATTAAAACTAACTTATTTCATCGTCTTAGATATAAACATTGTTACTTTAAATGGAGTAAGCTATTCTAAGAAGAATGAATTAACTAAATTTAATATGTTACTTATATAGAAAATTAGTAGGTTAATTATTTTAAGCAACTTTCTTCATTTTTGTTTTTTATAATAAAAATGAATAGCTAAATAATAAATATAATGAAATATATATAATTGAGTGTTTGTAGTATTTGTTCATTTGCCAGCAAAATTTTTTAAAATAATTAAGATGTATTTTCACTTTTATAGTTAATTCTAAATGATTTTATATATTAATATTGAGAGTAGTAGAGAGGTTATTTTAAAATTATAAATAAAATATGATTACATCATCAAATGTAATTTAATTAAACTGGCAACTAGAATTATCTTCATTTTCTAAATAAATATTCTATTTTTATCCAATTTAGATTATTCTATCATTTATGTTTTTTTATTTGTAAGACTTAATATTTATTGCATTATCAGTCATATGAGATAAATATCAATTATTTATTCGAAATGAATCAATTATTATAAAATGGTTTCACAAATTTTTCAGCAGCATGCAGCACATAAATTTAAATACTAATTTAAATCAACTTTTATAATCTTATATTCTGCATAGGCTTCACTAAGCAGAGCTGCTAATATATGATTGCAAATAATGTTGTTTGAATCGCTAACTATATTATTAACATAATCTTCACAATTGCAGTATTTTGCTCCATTTTCGCTTATAAATACAAGATAAGCCTTATTTTGCTTATCTAAACTTTCTGATCTTTCGTTGATCTTATAAACACTCATCAAAGGAATGCATTATTACATTATTTCGCATTAATATTTAGAAATATCTTTTTAGTCAAGTAGTATTAATGCTTTCCTCATTTATGGACCAAATATGAAAAAGAGTTAATGTAGAGCTATTTTTTCTTGCTTTATCGCCTCTGGATTGTTGGGGTTATTTTAAAGGTCTTTTATTAAAGATATAAGTCTCATGTATAGACTATCGATTGTCTGTAATTCCATTTATTATTTAAAAATTTTAAATTCGTTAACACTGAGCTTATTCTCAATTTGTCTTAAATTAATCATGATTAATTATTATAAAATTGTACATATAAATATTTGTTTATGCAAAATATGTTTTGAGTAGCAAATACCGACATAAATATTATTAAATACACATAAATTTGGAGGGAAAAAAATAGTACATTCATAAATTTTATAATTTAATGAATTCTATACTTTTATCATGTAAATTAGTAAAAGCTTTAAAATAACTCAAATCTATATTCATTTCTGAAATCTGGTTAATTTAATCTTTTATCACTCCTCAATCACATGATTAAACCCAAAATTTTTAAACAATAAATCTGAATATAAATTGTTTAATTAATTTTAATGGTATTTTATTTTCAGGTAATTCAAAAAAGATTTACAGACACTTACAATTATCGTAATAGAAATGTCTACAGTTTTAACTAGAAAAAATTATTCCAGTGATTTATGATGTTAAATACAAGTTATTAATTAATTAATTAATTAATTAACAATTGACTGAAGCCTTTATAAAATTCATATATGTTTCACTTATTGTTAAAATACATATATGTTTGCTATGAAATTAATATGGTATTACTGACTTCAAATATGCGAGCAGTTTTGCTATTTTTAGATAAAAAACTATGAAAAAATAATTAGATAGTAAATTTATAATTATGGTAACTGGTTAACTAATTACTGATTTTAATATTTTTAATGCGTAAAAATCTTTTATTAGAAAAACGAGTTTTAATTTTTATTTAATTAGCTTAAATATTACTAAATATTTATCAATAGGTATGTACTAATACTATCTTTAGGTCTAATGACCTAATTTTGATGTTCAAATACCTTATTTTGATAAATAATAATCACATCAAAGTATTCTGTATTTTTCTACTATAACTAAACATATATTATTTAAAGCTTCTTTCAATGTCCCTCTTTTCCCACAAAATTTGTTTAAAGATAAAAGTAAATTTATTTCTTTTTGAATTCTTTTAATGGAGTGGGAATTTTCAGTTTTTTATTTTTATTTAGGAAGAAAGTTTTACTTGTCAAATGGGTTGAAATTTTTGAGGTTAAAATGAAAGGAAAGTAAATTTATTAAAATAGAAATTTAGAGTTATTTAATTAAATTAGGGATGATTAAAGAAAGTATTAATTTATATTTTTACAAAGTAAAAATAAATATTATATAATAATGAATACAGACAGAGTTATTAATTAGATTTAATATAAGGATAAGAAAGCAGTGAGAAGATTTTGTTTGAATTAGAAAGTAATTAAATTAGATTTGTTTTGAATTGATTAGAATTAATTTATTATGTGTTCGTTTATTTATATAATGCAGTAGTTAGTTCGTTAGTTCTTAATATGATTGATTCAAAAGAAATTGCTAAAATTGAATTTGCCTCTTCTTTCAAGGATTAAATTTGATCTTATTTCAAGAGAGAATTCTTTAAGATTGTTTCCGTTTTATAAAGGAGAAAGAACTTAGGATGAGCTATTGCTGCTGCTACTAGAGCTCATACTATCTTCCCTTTAAATTTCTTCAAAAGCAAATAGCTTTTAAGATTGATAATATTATTATTATTTTTAGAAGGGGTCTACAATGCATATGTTTTACTCATCGAGCCAGTCATTAATATTTTATTCAATAGATTCCCATTCATCTCTACCTTTAGAAGCATTCATAATATATTATATATCAAGAATACCCTTTTTCTTCGATTAAGGAGCCTTGCAAGATGATGATGATGATGATGATGATGATGATGATGATGATGATGAAGAAGAAGAGCAAGAAGATAGAAGTAAAGAAGACATGATAATACAAATCTTTTTAGAGTGTTAAATTTATGGTTGGATTTATTTTAAATTTTTAAACTTTATTTTTTTATTTATTTTATTTTTTTAATTATTAATTAATTTCATAAATAATTAATTTCATTGTTACGAATTTTAAAGACATGCAGTATGTATGAGTGCATGTGGGTTTCTGCTTAATTTACAAGTTGTTTGTTTTTAATGACATTATTTTTAATTCTTTAGAACGGCTGAGGAAAATTAATTTCTGGATAATTTTTTGATTTTACTGTCATCTTTATTTTTAATAAATTCTGATATAATCTAAAATTTTGGCTTACGCTCAGATTATAAATAAAATTTTGAGCTAGCTAGCTGGCTTTTTTTCATAAATCAAGGAGCACCTATAAGAATATTCTTCTTAGCTGATATAAAATAGATTAGGTACAAACTCATTAAATTATTGCATCTATCAAAATCGATTATCATCCAAAGCAAAAGAAAATATAATATTAATACTTTCAGCCTGACTTATAGAAATTCTAGCAAAACAATAATGATAAATCATCAAGAATTAAATTCCATTCTTTAATTGAATTTTCTCATTAAATATTAAAAATAATTTGATATGCGTTTCAAAAATATTCAATTCCTCTCTCGAATTACATTTTTAAAATAATTCAATTTTTTTAAGAATTATAAAAATTATGTATTTGTTTAACTAATTTAATAATAAAAAGAGTTATATTAAATCAAAATACTTTGTTTTTATTTATTTATTAATAATAATTTTTACAAGATTATTTTTGATTTATATTATAATTTGTTCTATATTTCATTCTCTCTCTATTAACAAAAGAACTAAAAATAACATTTCTAAAAACTAAGCAAAAATACTATTAGATTATAGCATACAATATTACTTTATTGCATATTTTGCATCAAAAAGTTTTATTTTAAATAGTAAACCTTAATCCAAATTAATAATAATAATCCAAAACACATATCCCTAAAACTTCTACAAAAACTAAGCTCTTTATGTTTTTTATTCTTTGAAATGCGTTAGAACTATATTTAAAAAACTCATTCTGTACAGATAGTTCTAACACTGAGCTCTATAAACCTTCTTAATACATGGAATTGATGGAATTCACGAAAGTTTTAAAATATGTAAACCTTTTATTTGTAATTTAAAATATATTTCATTAATGTGAAAATAAATCAATAATCTTAAACGTAACATATCTTGACCTGGAAAAAAAACGTTTTTATATTGTCTGTAGATTACTGCTCAATAAAAAAGGAAACAATATCCAAACACTTCCAATTTGCAAAATAAAGTATTGTATGAAATAAATTTTATAGTATTTTTAGTTTAGCAAATAGCTTTTGTAAATATGCTTCTATAAATTGTTTTAGCAACGTCAATACAAAAAATAAAAAATTTAGTTTATTCAATCAAATTTAATTATATAATAATAGGTTATTAAATTTTATTGAGTTATTTAAAAGGTTAATTATAGATTAAAAACTTATTCCAACAATAAATTCATTATACAAAAATTTGACCTGTATTAAAAATTAAAGTAGTAAAAACTCAGTTCTAAAATAAAAAAATGTTACTTGAGTTATAAATTCATTATTTAAGTAGCAAAAATATTCAGATTCTATTTGAAAAATAGAACCAAAAATTTTAAGCTTCTTAAAATGATAGTTTAAATAAATTATAAACTGATTAATTGATAAGTAACAGCTTTTATGTTCGTTCACTCATTTATTTTTTATTAAATTTTTTAAAATTTATTATTAAATTTTGAAATCTTGTTTCAAGCTTATTGATTAGCATTCAAGATTTATCTGCCATTTACTCTATTCAAGGATGTATATAATTTATTATAAATTTATGGCTAGCTAAGATAATATTACATTAATTAAATAAATAAAGATAGAATTAATTTGAGGTTAGTTTTTTTCGAGCTTCTTATTTTTTTATTTACAGTTAGTTATTCAAATAATATTTTTAAATAATTGATAAAAAATATTTTATTTTTAAATATCTTAGAAATTTTAATTTAAGAAATTTAAATTAAAGTACTTTTTATTCTTTTTCTATATTTTAACTAATAGAAAAGAGAAAATAATGCATTCTATCTATTCATTCTACTTAACCGCTCATCCTAATTAATCAAAATCAAATCTAAAAAATTCTTTAATTTTTAATTTCTTTTATTTTCTAGTAGATTACAAAAATAAAATAGGGACTTTTTTATAAGCTTATGAGTTAATAAAATTCTTCAAAAAAAGATTTTGAATCAAAATATAGTCGTGTGATATTCACTGAACAGGAAATTAATATTATGAAAACTCCCCATGCTATTATGAGCAACTAAAAGGGGTGGAAAAAGGATAGAGAAAGATCCTAAGAAATTGATTATATGATGAAACCATATTTTGGAACTGAAGAAACAGAACTTTCTAAGTAAAGGTATGTCAATGAGCTGCAAGAAATAGTCACTAAATGGAGCACTGAATTAGCTTAGTAAATATTAGGTGTATCATCAGAAGAAAGCAAAAAGGTAATGCAAAAAATCCTATTTTTATTTCTTAATAAATAATTTAAATTCTAATTATTTAGATAGATTAAAATGGTTAAAAAAAAGGAAAATTACGATGAAAATCTAGTTAAAAATTTTAAGATATTTTAAAAATTAGCAAATATCCATTTTTACAGCTATATTAATTTGAAATTTTTATTAATTTGAATTCATTTTAATTGTATTTTAATATTTATAAAGTATACTGCTAAATTATTGACTTTTGGATCTTCTATTTTAGGTGTTAGCTCTAAAAAGGGAGATATTGATATGGTTTGCACATGTCCTAATTTTATTAAAAGAAATCCTCATTTTGAAGAAGAACTATGTTAAATTTTGCTGAATAATGAGAATGTTAAATAATTATCCAATATTCGTACTGCAAAAGTTCCAATCATTACATTTTAATACAAAGAGTAAGATATCGATATATCGTTTGCTCAATTGCAACTTCCTTAGTTACCTCCTACTATAGAAGAATATGTTAGCGATGATCTACTTTAAAACATGGAAGAAAGAGATATCCTGTCTCTGAGCGGTAGAAGATGCAACTAAGCTATAGTTAGGAGTGTTCCAAATTTATAGAATTTTTAGATTACTTGCAGATTTATCAAATTGTGGGCATAATCAAAAGGAATATACGAAAATTCTATAGGATTTTTAGGTGGTATAAGTTGGGCTATTCTTGTAGCTAAAATATGCTAAATGTTTCCCAATTATGAAGCTAATTAATTGCTAGATGAATTTTTTTATTACTATTCTAACTGGGACTTTACAAGTGTTCATGTGTTACTAAATGATTACTATAACTAGAGAACGCCTAAATGTAACGCACCATATTCATCTTATATTACTATTTTAATATAATTTTCTTAATATACTCCGTATCTTTGTTTATATGTTCAAGAACATGAAAATCTTCTTACTTAATTTCAATTTTACTTCTTAAGATTTCATCAATTAATAAATAAATAAATCAATCAATAAATTAATGAATCAAAATGCTGTTTTTACTTACTTACTTATCTATTTTATTAAAATAATTTCAACCTACTAATACTATATTATTATTTTAACTTACTAAAATATCTCAGAAAGAGCTATTACTCTTTACATGAATGTAATGACAGCCTGTTATCCAGAATACAATTCTACAGAAAGGGTCAAAGAAATTACTCTTTACATCATTAAATAGAGATTACAGTAAAATTAATTTGTTTTTTTTATTAAATTTTAACTTACTATTAATAAACCAACAAAAAAACGAGATTTTAACTTCGTTAATAATTTGATGATTTTCTCTAAAATTTAACTTCTTTTAAAAAAAAAAGAAGAGGTATTTAAGAATATATTTTATACTTGCTAATTAAACCAATTTAAAAAAATAATTATTGATATTTTAAATAAAAAATATTTTTAAGTTTTAACAACTTCCCTCATTTTCATATAATTCATTTTGATCAGAAATTTCATTGATAAAAATACTTTTGAAATTCAATCACAAAAATATAAAAATGAAATATTTAAAAAATATGAATAAGAGAGATAAAAATTATGAAATATCAAATACTTAAATGATATTTTTATTTTTTTTTAAATTATAAAAATAGTGAAGCAAATGAATTAATATAGAAAGAAATAAAATACTAATATAAACACTATAAAGACTTGTTAGTAAATTATGATTTTGTTAATAACTATTAGGTCTTTATAGAATATAGTTTATAGTACCCGGAGAAAATTAAAACATAAGTAACTGACAAGGAATTTGAGGATTTTATGAATGCTTCTAAAGTAAAAATATTAAATTTGATATAAAGACTATCTGAATCTCGTCCATAAGGTGTTGAGTTTTGCCCATGGCCTTAGTTTTTTGCAAAAACATAGGTGTCTTATAAAAAAATTTAAGTGCTTTATATAGGGATAAATGATAATTCAGAAGAAAAAAACTAGGATTTAGAGAAGGACTGTAAACAACAAATATAATCGTTTTATCAGCTTCTTAAGAATGAGCAAAAATATTCGTAAAAATTTTTTAATTAGGTTTAATGTTAGTGATTTAAAAAGATGATTGATTGATTGCTTTTGCTTATTTGATAGACTTACTCAATATCTATTTTTTTTTTTATTTATTTAAAATTAAAAACAGAGTGGATTTATTTAGAAAGATCCACTAAAACTCTTTCTTTTTGATTTAAAATTTATCTTACTTCTTTAATAAAACTCTAGAACTTATTTGGAAAAATTCGATGTCGGTATGGATTGGATCAGCAATAAAGAAATAATAAGAAAAACTTTTAAGTTAACTCAGGGCACATACGAAATAACAATTCCTAAAGAAGATTAACAAAAATAAGACATTTCGAAGTATGAAGTTACAGTACAAAAAAAAATTAAATTGAATGAGTAAGGAAATTAAGCAAGCAGCTCAAATAACAATGTAAATTAAAATGAAGAATTTAATACAAAAAGCAATAATTATTTTATAACTAGGATATTAAGGATTGTTCGAACGAAGATGATCAGTAGTAGCAACTTCAAGTAGGTGAGGAAGAAGAATAAGCAGAGGAAAATTGTGATATCAACGATTTTTATTGAAAATCTAAATACTTATTGATAAAATTTTTGTATACTCTTGGCTTGTTTGAGTGAGTTACTAAAAATAGACATATATACATAAACACATTATAAATTATATTTATTATAATTAAATAAACAAAAACTGTAAATTTAAATTTAATAACATATTTTTAAACCTCCTTATGTAAATCAAAGAAATTAATATTAAATATTTGTAAAATTTATCATTTGCACTAGTGTAGACAATTCAATTAATATTTTCTCATATTATTAAATAATATTTGTCATTTAAAAAATATTTCAATCTCAAAAATAAATTACAGATATATTACTTTTTTAAATTTAACATAAAAGACAATATAGATAATACCTTATGAATTTAAATTAACATTATCAGTTTTTTTGTTAATGAATTAACGACATTATAAGAAATGTAAACATCTGATAATATAATTTACTGAATCACTAATATTTTATGAAATTTTTGATTAACAAATTCAAATAAGCAAATAAAATAAAATTTTGTAGCATTTAGTAATATAAGTATATGTAATTTAAATAATCTGATAAAATTAGTTAAAACTCCTGCTATTTGATTTCAGTTATTAATAGCTCATTAAGTTGACAAAAAGCTTAGAATAATCTATTTTGACTAAATCATTAATTAGTTTTTGATTTTGGATTCAGTATTGATTAGAAAAAAAATCAGTTTGAAATAACAGAAAAATAATATATTTAATAAATATCATTTAAATACAGAAATATATTTCCAGAGTGTATTATTATTCTTTTAAAGTTAAATATACTCAATTATTTCTTATTTACACTTTCATAAAATATGGCAAGATTCTTTTACTCTTCGAAATAGTATTAAATTTTTATAAAATTACGTTAAATCAAACAAAATATTGATTCAGTACAACATTTTTTAAACTCGTTTAAATTGCTCAAAATATTTAAAACAAAAAACAGATTTAAATTTTATGAATATTTTACAAATATGTTTAAAGTATTTTAGTCTTGTTTTCTTACAAATATTTCGAATGAATAAAAGATTTGTTATTGTAGAAATAAAATAAAAAAATAATAAGAAATTTCATTAAAAAATAATTTGCAACTTTAAATTAATTAAACAACACTAAATCAATTTCAAAAAAAATAAATATAATTATTTTAATAAGAATTTTCATGAAGATAATTTAAAATCGGAAGAAATTTTTGTTTCATTTTTAAAATATATGAACAGATTAAATATGGATCTTCTGTATATAGAATTTACACAATAAATAAGAATTAATCTATTTAAATAAATTATTTATATATATATTTTTAAATGATTCAGTTTTTTATTTTAGGCAAAAGAATTTTATTTATGTCTTTTTATATGTATGTAAGTAAGAAATTATGAAGGAGTAAATTAATCTTTGGGTATATTTTTAATGTTAATATCTAATTTTTTTAATAAATTATTATTATTATTGCTATTGTTATTGTCTATAATATATTGAGTTAGTAATCTATTTTATATTAAACCATATTTTTATAAATTAACAAGGAAAAGATTTAGTACATATTTTTCTACCTCCTATAATAAAATGCTTTACATGTGCTCAAAGCAATTGCTATGTAGAAGTAATTTTATGCGCAGGGTTAATTAGACTCATATTTTTTAGGTTTAATTTGGTTAAAAATATAATTTGGTTAATTTTAAATGAAAAAATGATCAATTGATTGGTTTTTTTGATTTTAAAGAAGCCATATTCAAGCAATTTATTCTAACTTTTGAATGATTTTTTTTATTTGGATCTAAGCTAAATAATATTCACTTTGAAACTATCTGGTATTTTTTATTTTGATTTAGTAAATAGATTTATTTTAATTATTTACCTCTCTGTTTAATAAACACGTTTCCGATAAACTAACTGATTAGTTTAATTAATATAGCTGATTTATTAATAGCATTTAAAATTATGTGGCTTTTTAAGTGTTAGATTAAAAACCATTCATTCATTTTTTGCATTTTGTAAATGAAAAGAAGTTTAATTCAGTCAGTCGTTTGTTCTTTTAATAGAGTATTTATTTTTGTAATAAAAATTGAGATTTTGAATTTTATTAGTATAGATTTATTTTTTTGAAATAGAGAAAATTTATTATGATATTTGTTTGACTTTTTCATGTATTCAAGACTTTTATTTATATTTAAAGTCCCTCATTCATTCTTTATGTCATTCAATTCAGTCAGTATTCATCATCAATCCTAGAAGTTATTTAAAAATTTATTAATTTTTGAAAATGTTTGTTTAAATCAAGAGATTTATTGCATAAGGGCAGCAGCTATGCTATGAAGTCAAAATATTGAGATTCAAAAAATTTTGAGACTAAGCTGCTTATTAATTTTTATAATTTAGTTTTTGCTAAATATTTTGTCTGGGATTTTTAATATTTTTGGGGTTATTTACAAAACTATTCAATTATAGTAGAAATATTCATAGCAATTTTACTGGCTTAATGAGTGTGGAGCTTACTAGCATACGTCAATAGTTTTACAAGGATGTTGTCTTCTCTTTAAAAGAATAGAGCTGCGTTGGAGAGACAATTAACTATTCAAAGAGTTAGTAGTTGAGATACTGTCTAAATAACTCATTGTGCCTTACTATTTTACTTTGTAATCGACAATATTTTATGGATTTTCTCTTTACAATTCATTTTCATCAAACGATGATATATTACTATCATTATCATCTTCATCTTGTTCTTCATTGTTATTTTATTTGTCGCAATCTGTTTTTTGAATAACTTAAATCTCATCTTCGAATTCTTTTTTCTACGAGCGAGAACCCTCTTCGTCACTTGAACACTATTAATTAGATAAGATGACTGATGATATCACTTGGCTTTTGATTCTTTAGTAATAGTCCATTTGTTTCTGCATCGGATCAGTTATATAGACTTAATTTTCATCAAGATAATTGTGAATCCTGATCTCCACTTGATCCATGTTCCAGCGCAGTTTCATTTCTTCTGTGAAATTCTTAAGCAAATGTAGTGTTCTTCCTTTCTTCTACTTTTTAAAGTCTTGAAGAGAGAAGTTATCTCCGCTTTAATAAATATTCTGCTGCGAAATCTGCTGCTCAAGATGATCAAAATTCTAACTAGGTTATGCATCATGTTAGCTCGATTATTCTTTGTATAATTCAGATTCTGATAAAAAATTACCATTATCAAGGTCATCAAATATAAGACTGTTTGGGTATATAGATTTAATTTCCATTTTTAATTTAATTTACTGGTTTTCTTAATAAACAATTAATTAGTTGTTAAATATTTGTTATTTATTTAATAGTATTTGCTTGCTTTCTTGCTTAATGAATTTTATTTATTTTGATTTAGTTATTAAAATTTTTGTAAATGCTTTATTAACTTTGTTAGATTGTTAAATCGCCTTCTTTTGCCTATCTATAGGTTAGTTAATTGAAGACTTTGTTTCTTATTTACTTTACTCTGGTCTTATCTTTTATTCAAATAGGCTCAAATATTTTCAGTATCGAAAAAAATGCTACTCGAGAATAAAAAAGCGTATTCTATAAAATTGCAAGCCAAAAGAATAATTCAATATTTAGCTTTTTATTTAAATTTTTTTTGTAAGCTACTTTTTTGTAAGTCTTTTTTTTTGATTAAATATTGATTATACACTAGCAACTGCATTGTTTGATTTTTAAAGCAGGATTAAATCAATTCTTTACTTTAAATTAACTTTCTCTTTTATTTTTTGGTATACAAGTTATTGCATGTGTAGTGAGTATTAATGTTACAGAAATCAAATGATCTCTCTCTATCTAAGTTGCTCGTAACAAAAATTAATTAAAATTTTCTTTATTAAAATATGACAAATTAATTCTTGTTACAATTTAAAAATCTTCATATCACACTAAAAGTATTAAAAATAAATAAGCAAAGATTTATTTTATTAAATTTATATATTTATTCTTGAATTTTGTTATCAGTACTCCTACCAATACATCAATCAAATCTTCTTACCACCAATAGATTTTATAAGAATATTTTTTAAATAGCACCCAGTAAAATCGACTCAATTTGATATTAATGGCAATGAGCAAATATTTAACAAATACTTAGCTGTTAAGTTGAGATTTCTTGATATATTAAAAACTCCAATTCTTTCTCAAAATTGTGCTTGTTCTTAATAATTTTTCCCCCATAATCTGTTGTATTGCTTTCATGAATATTAATTATTAATTATGATCTATTTGTAGTATTATTATAATTTCATGCAAGCCAAACAAAAAGACATAAAATCGTATTTAAATATCAAAATCAATTAATACCAAGGAAATATTTAAAAATAACTAAGACATTTAAGAAATGCAAATTAATCTTACACTTTATCTAAAATCTTTCTAATTTTTTACAATTTATTTATTAAAATTCAATTCTTTAGTTTTATGGTTTTTTTGATATCTTTAATTATTGTAAGAAAATCTGATATCTTTGATCATGAAATTAAACTACATTTAAGTGGTTCTGAAGTGGTTGAAAACCCTAAGAAGCATTGCAGTTAAATGAAATTTATCAAAACAAAAAAAGAATCTCTAGCCATAAAAGAGGCAGTCTATTTGTTTCCAAAAATATTGTACTAACAAATTTAATATTTCCTTCCTCTTTAATTGATGTCAAGACTCATAACAAATTTTTTATTTTTTGTAAACTATTTATCAAGAACTCCATACTTAAAGCTACAAATCCAAATAAAGACATACACAAATACAATTATAAATTTCTTTGATTTTTTAATAAGATTAATTGAATTTATTTTTAACCAATTTAAGGTTCAAATGCTAATCTTAGTAGCAGAAAATTTGACCTATTATTATTATTATTCATATAATTCAATTAACTATAATAAAAATATTTTTATAATGATAATTAATACCTCATATGCATTTAATTATCTTATTAAAAAATCCTTATTTTGAAACTCCCTTTTTTTATAATTTTTTAGTATTTTTTAATTTGCAACTTCTTTTTAGAATAAATATATTCTTGATTTATTTTCCTTTCAATCAATTTACATAACTCCTGCTAATAACTCATACATATTATATTACTCGTTATATTTAATATTACTAAATAGTTAAAATACTTTTATTATTTTACTATTTTATTTATCATTCTAAGACATCTTCGCACTGCTAAATTTTACTCTATAATTTATAGAAAATTTATATTCTTAACAAATTTAACTGTCTATTTGCTTTATAATATGTTTACACTTTATAACGATTGTAAATTTAAATTACTTATCTAACTAATAATCCTATCAGAAAAAACGAAAATCAGATTAACGTAATTCAATTAAGTTCATATTTCAAATAAATATTTATCAAAATTTGAAGAATTTTATAATCTTCCAATCTATAGTAAGTATTAAATAAAACAATATTTCATTTATTTGGTGCTAATTATTTAAATATATAATATAATATTTATAATAATTTTGATTTTTAAAGAATATATGGATAATATTTCAAAATATATTTATTTTGTAGCTATAGTATATACTTTAAATCATCATCAATTAGATAGAGCTAATCTCATTCTAAAAATGAGTGTTAATTTTTAAAACATGTTTTTTGGGATTTTTATATCTACATGATGAATACATTTATGAGGGTTTATAATAAATTAATTTATTTGTTTTTTAGATGAATAAAATATATAAAATTTAATCAATTATTTTCTTTCTTTTTCAAGAAAATCAAAAATTAACATTTTTCATATCTTGAATACTTACTATTAATAAATAAGATTTATTTTCTTATGTTGCTTACTTCAATACACATTAATTTTAACAAATCAAAAAATTTTTAACTATTAATCAAAATTTCATAATTATGTAAAAATAAATTTACAAATTTATCTTATGTAATTGATTGATATTTATTTTTTTTTTAAGTAAAAAGCCTCTTTTTACTAGTGAATAAATTCAAACTAACTTTAAAAGAGGTATCATTCTTATAATTACTAAATAACTTTAATCAAAAATATTTAAAACTTAAATAATTATTTAATTCAAGTGAAATACCAAATAATCGATTTGTGAAATTTATTAAAATTCAAATAATAATTTTGAATTCTTTTTTTTTTAAACTTAATAAATATATTTATTCTAAACTCAGAATAACTAAAATTACTCTTATCATTTTTTGCAATATAATATTTATTTGTATGTATTTATTTATTTATTTATTAAACTCTATAATCTTTCTCTAAATATAAATTTTCAAATTTACTTATTTATTGCAAAATACAATATTTAGTAATTTTAAAAAACACAATGTCAGATATAAGCAACTTTATTATAAATTTTATTATGTATGCCATAAATGCTCAAAAATTTATTTTTTAAAATTAAATAAAAATGTTATTTTCTAAATGTAAATTACTTCAATTTCATTTACAAATAATTTTACAGGAGATATATCATATATTTATATATTTTCATATATAAAGGTTATCTCGATTTAAGTTTAGACTCTCAATTAAAGTTCATATATACTAATCATTATTTCATACAAAAAGCCTGGCAAATAATTATGCAAATGGGAATATATATGTATAATGCATTTTTTTTTCAAAATATTTTTTATTAGGTTTTAGTGACTTGAAATCTTAAAAAGTAATTGAAAAATATCTTTCAAAAATTCAGATAATTCCATAGAAAAATGAAATTGATGATAGTTTTAGTAATTAAAATATTTTAAAGTTAGGATTTAAAAAATTTACGAAGATTAAATTTTTAATTTTGTAAATGATGGAAATAAAATATATTTTTAAAGTGATAAAAAACGAAAACTTAAACTAATAATTAACTGATACATAAAATAATTACTGATTTCTTTCATAATTATAGAATGAAAATATTATATTAAATTCGATAACTTCAAAATTCGATATTTTAAACAAAGGAAGGAATATGATGAAACAAAATTTAAATACTTGGTGATCGAGTGAGTATGTGATATTTATTTACTTTCATAAAACTAAATTTTCTTAGCAAAACTCATTTATTTCCTAAGCCAACTCATTAGGAGAATCATAAGGAGGGCAGTGACCAAATTCTTCTTTTATTATTACCTTACATTTATCTTTACCTATAAATTCTGCATTACTTAAAGCAAGATGCTTAGGAATAACAACATCCTTAGCACCATGATAAATCAATATGGGACATTAAATTCTATCTAAAAGATTGGTTTTAGCAATATTAAAATTTGATAGAGCAAATGCTATTTCAACATAATTTTACTATTTCAAAAAGCCCTCAGCAAATAAATTGAGCTCCTCACATTCTAGGTTTGGAGCATATAATCCATTAAAAAGAACAGATTTACATATATTTTTAAAAGTAGTTTTATCTTAGTGTTTTATTATTTACTTAAAATATTAAATTTTAGGATGAGCATTAACCTCTTCTATAGATTGTACTCTTCTAGTCTATGTATTATCAGAATTATCATTATTAGTAGAACTACCTTATACATCATTGATTTATAGAGGAAAGCCTTCTACATGGCCACTTGCTATCAGCACTGCGCGTTTCACTAGCAATGGGTTCTCTGCTGTAAACTGCAAAGTCACAATTCCACCTAAACTCCATCCACAAATAATTAAATCTTATAATTAAAGAGTTTGGCAGAATTCTTTTAAGTCAGAACTCAAGTCTTCTATCTTTTCTATTTTATTTATATATGAGGACTCTCCATAGCCTCTTTAGTCTATTGCTATAATCCTGTAAGGGAACTTACTTAGTTCAACAACTAAACGATTCCAACTGTTTTTTTCAGACATATTTCCATGAATTAAAAGCACTGTTTGAACATTATCAGGATTAATTACAGAATAAGCTAAAGTATCACCATTTGACAGCTTTAAAAACTAGTTCTGAGCTTTAAACATTTTCTTAAATTATCTAATACTAAAAATAAAATATTATCTATTCTAATCCTATCGTTTAAATAAAAATGAGATGCTTTTTAGAAAAGAATCAGCTCTTATTTATTTGCTCTTTCAATAAATTTTTTTTGCTTTTGTTTTTATAAATCAATCTTTAGATTGAATTTTTTAGTGAAAATATGAATTGTTTTTGGCTAATTATAAACAGATTTTATAAGAAAATAGTAAAATCTAAAAATAATAAATTTTAATTTTCATTGAATAATCTTTTACAATTATTCATTTCAGTAAAGATTTTTTTTTTTCACAAAAAATCAATGTGTATTAGTCTTTCATAATACGTAAAAGAGCTAATTCACTCAAAAAATAGTGTAGATTGATTCTAAAATTCATAATGCTTAATAGTTTCTTTACAATTAACGTAGAAATTCATTAGGCAAGTTATGGTATAAGCCAATATTAATTCAAACAAAAAATAAAATTTTTGGAAAACAATCTTTAGTTTATTTTATATAAAACTTACTTTATTTATTTCGATTTAATTAATTCTATTTTACTACAAAAAAAATTATTTAATTTAAAGTTTTATTTTTGAAAAAATTATTTGAATTATTTCTGTTTTTTGTGGAAACAATATAAAATCTAAACAAAATTAACTTAATTTTATAATTTATAAAGCATAAATTTATTTTGAAGTATTTGTAAAACATCATTTTTTTAATTCTTTTAAAAAACATTTTCAATAAATTAGATTTTTTTATAAACTAAGAAATTTTCTCTTCAAAAATCAAATTATTTATCATAATAATTTTTTAATTGTTAAAAAAAAAAATTAAATTTTAAGCATTTATTTAAATTGATTAAAAAATAATTTATTATTTCTTCAATAAATTTTATAATAATTTTTATTTAAAAAATTATAATTTAGAAAAAAAACTAAAATTTAAATGCTATTTAAATAAATTCAAAATTTTGCAATTAATTTTCTAATTAATCAAAATAAATGTTTATGATTAATTAATTGTATATATCTAATTTTATTATGAAATTAAATAATTTAATTATAAATACAATAAATTTATACACAAATTGTAAAAAAAGATTCAACTTTATTTGCTATTAAATTATGTAGTTACTTAAAATAATAAATTTTTTTAAAAATTCACCAAAAATAATGTATTACAGCATCACTTTTCAACCCTATAAATTACATAATCTTTGTCTAATTTTTCAAATTATTTAGCTTAAAATTAAAACTTTACTTTTTGACTGTTTTTAAATATTTTTGCTTTACTTAACATTTGAAAAAAATATTTTTAAATTCTTTTTTTTAAGCTGTTTCATTAATTATTGAATGAAATATTTTGATAGAATGAAAATAATTTGTATTAATTTGAATGATATTTATTTATATTTGTAAACCTAGCTTTGAAAAAAAACTTAAGTAAGTATGTAAGTACGTATATACATATATGTTTGACAATATAAGTATATAAATTTGCCTTTATTTATGTTTTATAATATATTTAAATTTTGTAAAGATTGTTGTTTATTATTAATTTGTGAAGGAAGGTTCTTGTAATAATTATAATTAGTTTAATCATAAGAAGTAATCGGGAACTCTCTTTTTCTCGATTGTATCAATTTCTTATTAGGGAGCTTAATCGAATTATAATCTATTATTCATTAATTTTAAGAGTATTTTAGATAAAAGATTACAAGCAGTAAATAATAATAAAATCTTACAATGTAGTTCTCATATGTTCATCTACTTCCATTATGGCTGCTAAGTTACCACATCTATAGCAATAGTTAGGAGCAGAGAAAATTGTAACGACATTCTTATCATGTGTTTCTAAATAACCCTATTTTTTATATTGTTTTCAATGATTTTAAATTTTTACAATCTCTTTTTATATAATTACATCCATAGCCAATTGATGTGCACGGGCAATTTTAGTCAAGTCGTTTGTGTGGTTAAATTGTTCTGAGATTTCTTGGCCGAAAATGAAACCAGCACCTCTTGGAGAATGTCTCCAACCTTTTATATTAAAATAACTGATTAGATTTGAATGAAATAATTTATATTATACCGCTAATATTATCAGGATCAGACCAAAGAAGATCACACATAGGACCTTCTTAAGGAATTTCCTAAACTCTATCTAATTATCTAATATTATCGAGTGTGTCAAGAGAAGGAGATAAACCACCGTGTAATGAGAAAATCTAGTTTTAGTAAAAATCAATAAGAATTTAAAGTTTAATAAAACATTTAATTGATTCTTTCTTTTTCTACTGATCACTGTTTTTAAATTTTCTTGTTTTTGTTTTATTTTTTTTTAAACATTTTTTAAGTAGGCTACAATCAATATTTCTAACTAAATTTTATATTTATTTTTGAATTTTATTGAAATTAATTAAAATAGTCTTGTCTCTTAATAGGTTTATTTATTTATCAATCTATCACTTTCTAGTTTTTTTTTTATAGATGATTAAGCTCGTTTTACATTTAATCATGATCAAGTAGCTGGTATAAATAGAATTTTTCTTACTTTTCCTTCTACTAAGGCAGTCAATGGAAGATAATCAAAGACTTCGGTGAAATATTTCCATACATTTGCATTACCATATTTACGCACTGATTCATCATAAAAACCATAAACTTAAGTGGTTGTTCTACTTTCGTGGTTACCTCTGGTAAGAGTAATTCTATCAGGAAATCTAACTTTCAATGCGAATAATAAGCTAACACTTTCGACTGAGCTATAACCTTTTTTATCAATACAAATTGGTTTATTTTTGATGTTACATACATCTCTATATATTATTATAAATCCTATGGTAATGAATGGCTGAAAGAAGTCTTAAAAAATTTAATTCAGCACTTATTTTATTTTAAAATTTCATCATTTTAGGCATATTTTCTTTTTATTTATTGCATTTTTTATCTGTTTTACCTATTTTTCACCTTTATATTCCATATCTACCCTATCGTTGAATGATTTTTTTGTCAAACCAACTTAGGAAAAAAATTAAAAACTAAAAGGAAAAACAAGCACAGTAAGAAAAATATATTTAAGTTATATACCTCTATCAACATAATCACCAGTGAACAAGTAGTTGGTCTCAGGAGGCTTACCACCGATCTTAAAGAGTTCTAAAAGATCATTAAACTATCCGTGAATATCACCGCAAATAGTAACTGGAGCTCTTACGGGTTGCACATTTGACTCTTAACCTAAAATTTCCTTTGCCTATATTTTTGATGTTAATAATAGTATAAATTTTTGCTGCATTATTTATGGTGTTCATAAAATGAGTCTTTTTGCTTTAATAAAATCAAGCTATTTTTGGGTCAAAAACCAAACAAAGCTCGCGCTCTTTAAAAATAAGATGAAATAGTTTTAAGGTATTAACTTTTTCACAGAGAATTTTAATTTCTGCTTCAGAAAGATGCTTGCATTGATATAACTAAGCTATTTGCTTGTCTAGTTAGGCGATTGAAACTTGAGATGACATATGGATATCTGTTATTTTTATTGCTTTTCTTCTTTTTTTTGTTTAATAATTTTTCCTTTAAACTTTGATTTATTCTTCTTTCCACTAGCTATTTATTATTTAAAAATTTTTTTTATTTATTTGCTCTTAGCCTTTATTGCTTTCTAAAAATCAAATAAAGATCTCATCCACATCAATATATTTTATTTCATCAAGCTATATACCTACCTACATACCTACACATTATTTCAATTCTTTGCTAAGCTGGAATTCATTCATTTATTAATTAGTTTGAAATTTTTAATTAAATCTATTTGTTTATTTATTTGTTTGTTTGTTTGTTTTCCATTTTCAGTTTTCATAATTTAAGTAAAATAAGACATTTTAAATTTTGCATTTTATTTTTAAATGAAGTATTTTCCAGCTTAATTCGTTTGCATAAAAATAAATTGAATACATCAAAAAAAATATTTTAAAAGTGCCCTAAAAATTATACAAAAAATCATTTAATTTATTGAAATATAAAATTTTTTATGAACATTATTTCAAAATAAATGCAAATAAATACAATATCAAAACAAAAAATTTATTAAGAAAGCTGGAATTCTAGTTAGCTAAGGAAATATAAAGATAGTCGCTTTAAGAAATGCTTATGATTTTTACTATTTAAATTTATATATTCGATTATTTTATTATTTATTTGTTTTTATTCTTATAAATTCTTATTTCTATTAAATTACAAAGTTATCATTAATTGATACTCAAAAATATTACCATACAACTATTTTTATATGTCTAAATTTTTTAAATAGAGATTTCTAAATGAGATTTTAAACAAAATATTAAGAAAATTTGTTAATTTATATACATTTCAAACAAAGTTTAATATAATTTTATACTTTTAATATTTTTAATTATTAATTGTTATTTTATTTAGTAATTTAGGTAAGGTTATTTTATTTTTTAGGTTTTTTGTTAACTAGTAGGCACAATTTATTTATAATAATTCATTCATTCAAAACTTCATAAAAAGTAATCTGGAACTCTCTAGGGTGAAAGAGTTATTTGTTTTCCTTCTTGCTAGGGTGATGGACCGAACTAAATTCTAATTTAACAAATAATATTTTATGTAAGAATAATTAGTAAATTAATTGATCAATTTTACATTTCTTATTTCATGTGCTCATCTATTTAAAGTATAGCTGCTGTATTACCACATCTGTAACAATAATTTGGAGCAGAAAAAATTGTTATTACGTTTTTGTCGTGACCAACTTCAAAACCCTTTTAAGTGAAAATAAATTTAGTCTAATGTATAATTAAAAAAAATTGGTTACCTCATTCACTAATTAATGTCCACGAACAATTTGAGTTAGGCCATTTCTATGGTTAAACATTTTTGATTAATCTTCACCAAATAAATACCCTGCTCCTCTATTAGAAGGTCTATAACCTTTTAAATTTTAATATATTCATTAATTTTCATTATATTCAAATATATATGTTAGTTACCATTAAAACTGTCAGGATCAGACCAGAGAATGTCACAAAGAGGACCTACTTCGGGAATTTCTTATAATCTATTGAGCTAGTTTATTTCATCAATAGACTCTATTGAAGGAGACAGTCCTCCATGCACACAAAAAATCTTTATAAGTTAAAAATTAATCTGGTAAATCAGTCAAAAATTTAGTAAAATAAAAAATAAAATAGAAAATTTACTTTGTTTTCAATTACTGCTGAAAGTGGAAGATAATCAAATATGCCAACAAGATAATTCCAAACATTTTAATTTCCATATTTTCTTATGCATTCGTCATAAAATCCATATATTTATGTTACTTATCTGCTTTCATGATTTCCTCTAGTCAATGTTATCCTTTCAGGATATCTAATTTTTAAAGCTAACAGCAATGAAATAGCTTCAACTGAACTATATCCTTATTTTTCAAAACAATTTAAGAATTAAAATTATGTTATTTTAAATAAATATATACCTCTGTCAACATAGTCTCCTGTGAAAAGGTAATTAGTTTCAGGAATTTTTCCTCCAGATTAAAAAATTTCTAATAGATCACTAAATTGCCCATGAATATCTCCACATACAGTGACAGGAGCTTAAACATGTTTCACGTTTGGTTCTTTTTCTAATATTTCTTTTGCCTAAGATTTTAACATAATTAATTAATTATATTTGTTAAGGAATTCAAATAAACTAACTTACTTTGAGACAAAGAAATTTTATTTGACTTTCACACAAGAGTTCAGACTTCATAAGTTTTTAAATAAAGTGGTCTATGTCGTTAATTTCCTCCATTATAAATTTATTTGAATAATATTTTATGAATTTAATTTAAATCGAGATAAGTAATTAATTATATTTAAAATTGTCTGAAATTTTATACCTTTAAAGAAGCATGCTTTTCTATTTTTTCAGAGTTTTTCTACTCTTATTTATCATTAAATTCATAAATTCTGACTATTAATTTTCTATATCAAGTTTCTTTTCTATTAAATTTGAATAATCCAATAGCAGCGCATGTGATTTAATAAACTTAACACAATTACTTTTCTCAGAATTAAACAAACATTTTTCTATTACAAATTCGTTACTAAAAACAAATAATAAAAGGAATAAAACACATAATCCTAAAATACAATAAAGCAGTATATATAATATGCTGAATTTGTAAAATTTTAAATTCAAGGAAAATACTTTTCACTAATAGTAGCAAATTATTGAATATGAATTTAAATTTAATTTGTATAAAATAGTATTCCTATTTAAAATAAAAATTACTTGATCAGAAAAAAATAAGAAGCTATCAGATTAATAATCTCATGTAATAAAATAACTGAGAAATTCAAAAAATGAATTCAAAATAAATTAAATATGAAATATGAAAAAGGAAAGCTAATTATTCAAAGTATAAATTTATTTAGAATGTCTATTATAATTTTTTGTGCTTATATTTTATAAAAAAACTCTAAGCATTTGAAATAGAAAACTATTTATTGATCAGCATAAATCAGAAATATTTTAAATTAAAGAAACCTTAAAGAACTATTAAAGAAAGAAAAAGGCTTCAAGTAAATTTGAATATTTGGTTGAAATAAAAGTGAAAATTACAAGTTTTAATAATTTGTATTATTCAGAAATTAATTTAAAATTTGTTATTTTTAATTTACTCTTAAAATTTTATTTAGAGTTAAAATTTTAAATTAAAATTAGATTAAAAGTTGCAATTTTCTCATCAAATAAACACAAAATATTAAATTTTAAAAGTTTATTTATATTAAATGTTAAGACATGATTACTTTTTAGTTATAATTTTTTTTCCTTCTTTTTTTAATATAATTTTTAACCTTAAAATTAGCTTTCTATTTAATTTCTCTTTATAATAGAATACTCTAAAATAAATAAAAAAATTGCTAATTAAAAATAAATTAATAAATTCAATTAAATGAAATTAAAATTAATATTTTTAATTTAAATTTTTTGGATTAAAATTAAGAAAATAAAAATTTTGATATTTGATTGTTTAAAAATATAAAACTTTTTCATGAAAGAAAAATAGTTATTAAATTATTCAGTCATTAATTGCTTAAAATTCAAATAAAACTAAATATAAAAAATTAAAAATATTTATTTTGTCAATTTGTGAAAAAGTAATTTGGAGATCTTGTTGATTTTAAAAAGATTTCTTCATTCAACTTATGGGCTTCTGTTTTCATATGCTTCTCAAGCTTTGATCTCCAGTCAGTTACGTTTTAATCTTAGAATTTGATTTCTTCATCTTTCTTTTCACTGTCATTCATGACACAATTACAGATGATACAACTTATTTCATTTAGCTCAAGAAGCATTAAAGCTTTGTGTTCTTATATTTCAATTTACTAATCTTCAGTTAACTTAACCTCTTAAAAGTCTTCATACCCACTAAATACTTTATATTCAAGGTCTGGATATAGAATTAGGAGCTGGTTGCAATCTGGGATATGCATTTGATTATATAACTAATTATCGTCTTAAGTAAATCCAATAAGATGGCCATTTTAACAGGCTTTAAGTTAAATTTATATTTAATTTGTTTAAATAATTTAAATGAAAAAATTTACCATAATATTTGAAGCTATAAATTTGATCTGAGTTTTATGAATTGAGTTAATTAAAATTATATTTCAATTCTTTGATAAAATCTGCATTTTGTTCTAAATCTTTTTCCTATTAAGTCTTTAAATTTTACAATTAAAGTTGGTCTGAGAACTAATTAAAAAATTTACTTTATATTTGGTTTTATCTTGGTTAAATTCTGCTTCTTGAAGTAGCTATTCAATTTTAATGTCCTTCAAATATAAATTATCTGTAAAACCATTAAAATTTAATTTCATAAACTTTTCAAGTTGGGCTTACAATTTATTTGCTTTGAACAAAGGCACTTAAAAGAGCAGTTAATGCTTTTTTAAAAAAAAAATTGTTATTTTTATTCTTATTAGATTAATCTAAAGTTACATAGCAAGCTTTGCAAGTTATAATTGGCTCATCTATGGTATGAAGAAGGAAAAATCTCTTGAGTTCTCTCATTTTCATTTGCTTCCAAATATTGTAATTCTCAAAGTATTCCTATAAAAGATTGATATTTTCCTATTCAGAAAGAGTTACAAGATTCGATTCCTACTTCTTAGTTTGAAGAATTTAATTCATAAATCCTTTCTCAGAAGCATGAGTTATTTTTTCTTAGTTGTTTTTTCTTTTATGATTCTAAAATAATAACTTAACATTTCTCTTTTTTTAATTTTGTTATGCAATTGATAATGAATTGTTATTTTTTTCTAAATCCATTTCTTCGTTTTAACATTCACTTGTTTTACAATTTTCAGAACTATTTGTCGTCCTGATACTATTCAGTATTTTCATCACCTTTTATTTGTTTTATTCTTCAACATTTACAGAAAAAGTCCCATTTAGATATTCCTTGCTATATATGTCTTCCCATTTCTCAGAATCAACATGTCTCATCATTACTCTAGAAAGTAATTTTCTTTTTACTTTATTCCATAAATCTAGCTGCAGATTAGCTTATCCATTGAAAAAACTATCTTCATCTAAGCAAGCCCTAAGTTCTCTTCTAATATCATTTATTTCTTTAATATCATTATCAAGCATATAATGGTCTATTTCTATTTCAACGCTATCCACATTAACTCCTTCGTATTTCTTGCCATCTTTATCACAACTTATAATTTATTATTAATAAATATATCTTTTATAATCAATATATGGGAAAAATTTTATATTACTTAACATAACATTATGACCCAAAAATCAAAGCTGCAAAAGCCAAAAATAAAGGAAAGTTTGGAGGCATAACAGTAATTCCTTAAGCAACTACCCTATGACCTCTGCACATTAACTCTGAGGCGACTAAGTATTTATGCCTATTATAATCTCCTAGTGTAACTAAATTTATAGAATCACTCTCAAGAGAAACAAGGCGATTAAGTTTTTAATTTGAAATATTCAATTTTGCTTCATAAGCATATTTAAAATTATTTTACTACTTAATAAAGATTTAATCAAAGTCAATTTTTTTATCTAAAAAAATTGTAGCCGATATTTCTTTAATGTTAGTGTCTTTGTCTTATAGTTTAATGAAATTGAAGTATCTAAAAATTAAAAAAAAATATTTAATTAATATCAAATCATATTAATTTTAATTGGTGAAAATTTTGAAATTTAAAATAAAATAAAAAATAACCCTAAAAAGCATATTTCTAATTTAAATAATTTATCTTTAAAGTTGTCTTTTTTTTCTTTTAAAAATTTAAAAATTAAGTATTTTGGTGAAATTAATTTAAAGTAATTTCTTTGAAAAATTAAATTTATTTGATGCAAAATGTTTTTATTTAACTTAAATAATCAATTAATTAAAATTAAACTAAAAAAAAATTTAAAATAAAAAATTGTATTTTTAAGTTCTCATTTTTTTCCTATCTAAAAATTTTAATCATTAATTTTTATTCTGAAAGTAATTTAAAGAAATTTCTTTTAAAAGTTAAATTTACTCAATGCAAAATAATTTTAATTAACTTAAATAATAAATGAATTTAAAAAAAACTAAAAAAAATGTTACATTTTTTTAAAATAAAATTTTAAAGCTCTCTTTTTCCTATTTAAAAATTTTAATAATTAATTAATTTTTAAACTGAAATTAATTTTAAAAATTAGCTTTTAAAAGCTAAATTTATTCAATAATGCAAAATATATTTTAATTAACTTAAATAATTAATGGATTAATAGGACAGTATTAAAGTAAGTTTTATTTTAAGTTTAATTTTGGGAAAGTTGGAAAGTATTTTAAAATAGATTGATTAATTATTTAATTACCTTTTTTTGAAAGTCATAATTTGCTTTAACAGGATAGGAAGTTTTGAAAATTTTTTGAATTCTATGTAGACTGATGAATATTTAAGCTTAATTTTTGAAACGAAGTTGTTATTTAAAGCTTCTACATTTTCGTATGGATCATCTAGCTCTTTAAATAGCTGTTTTGTTTTGATGAAATGGTTGACTCCATCTATTATTTTTTTAATTATAATATCTTTGTCATTAATAGAGAGAGATTAAAATCCATAAACTGTATTTTCTATAATTATAGTGCTAAATGGATCCATCTACTCTACTAAAAGGTACTAACGGATTTTTTACATTTCCTTTATATCAAATATGTCTGACTTTAAAGTGTATTTATTAAAAGCTCCAGCCAAACAAAACTTTATTTTCATCAAATGACTATCATCATTTAAATCTTTGAATTCAAAAATATCGTACATGCTTCCTGCTTCTTTTGGTATTCTCTATTTCAGGTCTTCTCTCGTACTTAGAATTTCTCTCAAAACCTTTTATTTATCAATTAATTAATAAATGTTTATGAGATATTAAAAAATTTTACTACCTTAGGATCACAAAAATGCTTTTCACACCATTGTAGTTCTTCTCTAGAAGCTCTTTTCTTCTTAAATTCTTCTATAAAATACCTATCTATTATTCCTTTTAGTGGTTTTTCTTCACTGCTCCTATCTGGTAAATATTATTAAAAAGAAAGAGTGGGTGCAATAGAACTATCTTAATTTTAAGGATGGTTGGAAGAATTTTTTAATAATTCTAATTGCTTAGACAAAGGTAATTTGAGTTATTCTTCACTCAAAATTTTAGGAATTGATTGATCCAAAGAAAGAAAATCATTTTATTCTGATTCTTGCCTAATTTACCTGCTCTGCATTTTAGACTCTTTCCTTAACTTGATAAACTCTAGCTAAGATTAAAAAAATTCATTTTCCCATTCTTAAAATATCTTAAGTTCTAATATCATGTCAGATTCTTAGCCTTGATCATATCTAAATATCAAATCAGTGAATTAATCAATTTATTTTAAATTGCCACTAATTTTGTAAAAGGGATTAAAAAATGATTTTCTCTAGCTGTAGATGCTGGCAATAGTGATACATTCTATAAGACAATCGAAAAAGTACCCAAAGCATATGAATTTAGCAAGCTTCAGGTCGCAAGGCATGTCATTATAAAATCTACCAAGTTTAGTAACTTTTACTTTTATTTTTTCTTTTTATGTATCAGTGTATTGTATTTTTTTTAGTTTCAAAGCTCCTACTGACATCAAATTTTCCATAGACTAGCAAATGCTATAATCATCAGGTGCTTCTATTGCTCTTTAAAGAACTCTCACAGGGTCTTCAAACAATCTTAAATTTTATGAATTCTCTAATTACTACTTTTTAGATTTATTTTTAGTAATAGGTCCTGCTATAAGGAAAGCTGTATCTTGCCCATCAAAAACAGGTTTTGTATCAAATTACTTCATATAATCTATATCATCAAAATCAGTGCTAAAATTTAATCTCTTTTTTTTCGACTTCTCGCTTTACTTCTCTTTAATTATCTCTTCTATCAAATTATTTTATTCAACATCGTCATCATCACCTTTTATTAGATAAAATAAATATGTCAAAAATAAATCAAAGAGTCATTTTAATTTAATATTAAATTTTTATTCATTTACTAAGATGAATCTTTTGGTAGTCACTTTCTCCTTCATCTAGAATTTTTATTTTTAAAATAACCTTTTCAATTGGGCATCTTAATATTTCTGGTGTTTAATAATCTTTTATTTCTGCCATAAAAAATTGTTTAGGAACTAGTCTAATATTTACACCATTGCAGTTTCTGCCAGTCTAATTTAATTAAATTTTTTATATTATTGTAAATATTTAATAAAAAAAAATTATTCTTTTACTCTGCCTGCTCTTTGTGTAATTGAAGCCTTTGAAGCCCATTATAGTTCAAGCTTTTCAATTCCACTTGATGGATTATAATTTATTTCTTTAGTCAAGCAAAAGTCAAACACTACAAAGCAGTTTGGGATAGTAATAGAAGATTCTGCAATATTTGTGGCTAGAATAATTTTTGTGTAATCTTAATTTCTCCCAAAAAGTTCTTTAGTATTGATGTCTCCCAAACAGGAGTGCAACTCTATGATTTTATATTTATTTTAATTATAAATACTCTAATTGGTTTGTTTGAATTCCATCATTATTTAATCTAAGATTGAATGAAGCTTGACGATTTCGTTGTAACCTGGAAGAAATACAAGAATGTCACCTTTCTTATATGATCTCAGCATAGGTTCTTCCTAAAATTGCACTCTTTTTATTTCTTTAGCAACTATTTTATAAAGATCTTCATTCAATTCAGGTTTACGAGCATTAAAATAATTCTTGTTGCATAACTTTTAAGTATCTTTTAAATCCTCTAACCATACTGTCTAAATTTTGTATTTTTAAACTACTTGGATCTCAACATAATTTTTTTAATTTGACTCATATTTGCAATTAAATCTGCAAATCATTTTTTGCATTTTTTCATATGTATCATCATGGTCATCTTGATCATTCCAAGTTTGATGAGCTTTCTGCTGTCCCCAATTACTGTAATCGTCATTCTATTATTGTTTTTTTGTTTGATAAATTATAAAAATAGTATATAATTCATTTAATATTACTTGTTTAGTAATTTTTAGCTATTCAGAAAACTTCGAGCTATCAAAATAATATTCTTGACAATCCTAATCTTCCTTTATTTCCTTTTCAAGATTATTAAGTTCTGTAGTTGAAAAGTAATTTAAAAAAATATCTTTATTCAGTGTAGCACTCATTACAATAAGCTTGATAGAATTTCTATTCTTATGCTGAGATAAAAACGTCTTCAGTGCAATTAAACCAAAATCAGACTCAATACCTCTTTCGTGGACTTCATCTAGAATTATGTGAGTGTACTCTCTCAGAAATTAATCAGGATCATTAATTAACTTCTATAAAAATATACCTATCGTAACATAGAGTATTTATGTATTTCTATTAAAGTTAGAGTCTTATCCTATATTTCAAATAAATATAAATAGCATTTTTAAAATTTAATCCATTAACAAATATCGAACTTGAAGAAAATAAATCAGAAATAATCAAATTATATTCGGTTGTAAATTTGTTTTTTTGATGAAATATTTTCATTTTAGAATATTTTTCTAAAAAAAGAAATATTTTAATGTTTAACTAAAAGTTAATTAAATTTAATTTTTTCATATTTTTTTTTATTAAACTTATGAAAATATTCAATGAACTATTATTTTAAATAAATCTTTTAAATAATTTTAAAATAAAACTAAATATTTTTTTTTCATGTAAATAATTTTAAGTGTTTCGAAATTAAGCAATGAAAAATAAGTTTATTTATCAAAAAAATTTCTTTAAAAATTATTTTTTTTGTTAAATTTCTTTTTTAATTATTGATCAAAATTTTATGATAAAATCGTATCAAAAATCTTATTTAGCAAAGAAAAATTGCTATAAAATCTTCAAAGACTGACTTAGTTAAGAGAAATTTTTGCATAAAAGTAACTATAATGTCTCTAAATAAAATATTTTACCTATTTAATAGCCTACTCTTTGTCCAAGATTTGATTTTAACTCTTATGATACTCTTTCTGCCAAAGCTATTGCAGCTACTCTTCTTGGCTAAGTTACAATAATTTTAGTAGAAGTATCATCACAAGCAATAAATTTAGGGATTTAAGTACTTTTGCCACAACCTGTATTTCCAGAAATTACAATCACGCTGTTATTTTTAATTGTCTCTAAAATTGATAGCCTATTTTCATGTACTGGAAGCTCTTCTTGTTCAGGACTAATCGGCTCATTAAATTCGTAAAATACTTTTTTCTTATTTCTATTATTGCTATTATTTTAATCCTCTTCAACTACTATCTCTTCTTTAACTATAGTGTTACTAATCTAAATCTCCTCATCAAATTTCATAAAATCCTCTTATCCTTCTCCAAATTTATCTTGCCTATTCCCACTATTTAGGAAGAGAGTATTTTTAGGAACATCGTTTATTTAAAAAGAATTCCTCTTTTCTTAATTTTTTTCATTTCTTTTTTCACTAAGTTGCACAGAAGATGGGTTTATTTTGCTATACTCTTTTGTTATATCAGAAATAAGCTTAATCTTTTTGATTTTTTCTGGTTCATTTATAATTTAGATATCTTAATCTTAAGCTTTGCTTTATGTTTTCTCAGAGCTAGCATTTTCTATGAGAACACTCATTTTCTAAAATGGTCTCTTATAGTTGACATTGCTCATGATTTCAGCTAAAATTTTAGATAAGATATTTTAAATGAAATTAATTAATTAATTATTAGCTTATTTTTTGCAATTAAACAAACAAGTTAGAATAAACAAATTAGAGTAAATATCAGTTGATTTTATTATTAATCAGATATTAGATAATAATCTTATTTGTACAATTTACTTTTTAATAATTTCTAAAAATTTATTTATACCTCCATGCTAATAATATTTAAATGAGTACAATAAAAAACCCAAATACTTACTAATAATTAGAGTATTCTTAATTAAAATTGCAGACCTATATATAAAAATAAAATCTTAAAAATTTTTATAATTTAATAAAACTCTTCATTTTTTTTGTACATTATTTTTTTCTTTTGTTCATAATTTTATTGCTTAATATCCTATTAAACTTAAGCAAAAATAATTTTTAATTCAGACCACCAAGGTATAAGCTAATGTAGGCGTAAAGATTTAGGAATCCTCGTATGATAGTAATTTTTAATTTATTGGTAAAAAAACCATAGAAAAAGCATAATAAAATTACAATAGTTAATTATAGAATGAAGTGATTAATTAATTCATTTTTAATCAAAGATAAAGAAATCCTTAATAAAAATATAACCTATTTAATATTCTTATTTGTTTTTCAGTGAATAATTTTATAAATTAGCATTATAATCCAGCTAAAAATTTTAAGATTCAGTCAAATAAAACCTAAAAGGTAATAAATAATAATAGTTCATTAAACAAAAAGCGAGGAGGCAATCAAGTTAAAAGTTAAAAATAAAAGTGGCATTTAACAGATAAAAAACCACAGAAAAATATTAGCAAAATTGACATTTTAATACAATAAATGTAAAAATAGTTTCATTTTATAATATTCTTTCTCTTTATGATGAAATAACTATTTTTAATATTTCAATTATGATTTCTTGAAACATTTTATTAAGTAAATATTCTTTTAAAAAATTTAGTCAATTCAAGCTAGATAAATATAGTTAAAAGAATAATACAAGATGGCATAGAAATAGTAATCTAATGGTTTGAGCGTTGATGAAATCATTGAAAAAATAATAGGTTTTGCTGAAAGAATAGATACACCATTTGGTGAGATGTGTTCTCTTTCATGTGATTTATAAAGTAATGGTAGACTTTACAAACCTATAGAGGAGTCGATTGCAAAGCTAAGAGCTCACTTAAACTAAAGAACTTAAAAGTAAACATATGATGGTCATTTAACACATAATATGTATCATTACAGCGTGAACACAATACTTGAATTTTTTGGACTGAATTCGAAATAATATTAAATTGAGGAATGTGGATCAAATGAAATTTCGCCGTATACTTATCTAGGAAAGATTTTATAAATAAATTATCCAAATAGAAGATATAAAGATGAAGAAGAAAACAATAATGGAGCGTTTAATTCAGAAGTTAATAGAGTACCTTAAGTTTATGTAACGAGCAGTGAGAGTTATTATAATATTTTACCATGGGCTTTTTATGGATGCAATATGAATTCTATTGAAGTAAATAAGCAATCAGAGATTAATGGAGTTCAACTTATTGATAAAATATCTAAGTCAAGCGATTAAGATTTGCACATTGTTAGCATTTCTGCTGTTTCTAATATCACTGGCTAGAAAATACCAAATTTAGAAAGCATAGTGCAAAGCATTATTGGTTTAAGAGCAGAAATGGCTTTGAGAAATAAGAACATTCGCATTTACTTTTGTCTTGATATTACTCAATTAGCTTAAAGAGAGAAAATAGATGCAAAAGAAGGGGTTTTCAAAGATGTAGATTTCTTCATCCTTCAAAGTTCTAAGCTCCTTGGCGGAGGCTTTGATTCTACTAACATACTTATCAGTAAAAAAGAGAGTGCAACTAGCGTTTTAGCTCCTTAAAGACCTTTGGCAGATAACTGCAATAATATCCTTGACTCGCTTACTGAAAATAATGATCCTACTAAATTATACAGAGTGGCATTATCCTTGCAGCTCTTGGAAAATATTACTTTTGAAAAAATTAGAGATTTAGAGAAGAAAAACATAGATTTATTGCTGAAGGAAGTAGCTTCTGCCAATAAAGCTCTTCGCAAATTAAGCGTCCTTCGATATATTAATATATGGGGAGTTGTTTCCGAAAAATCAGAGTTTTCGTATGGAAACATCCATTTAAATATTTATGTTCCAGGCAGTGAAATTTTCGATAATGAAAATAAATCTTATCTGCATCCAGATTTAGTTTGCTAAATTCTTCATGACATATTTGGAATCTAAGCAACTATGAAGAGAAATGTTAACCTCACAGACAATATTGTTATGCTTAATATTCCAAAAAATATTGCCTCTCAGCTAAATTCTATAGGATCTTCTGAGTCTATGCTTGGTTGTATTTCATTAGACATCAGCTTTCTCCATAAAGAAGATGAAATAAAATATATTACACAAGCCCTTCAACTAATCTGTGAAAAGGGTGATGAATTTATCAGATATTATGATAAAAAAACATTCTTGATGAATAATTTTAATTATGATAGCTATGACTTGCACTTAAATCAAATGCTTAAAGTGAACGACACGAGAGAAGAAGTTGTCAAAAAAAGAAGTTAAAAATATGATGCATAAATTTCATTAGCAAAAACAATATTTAAAAACTACACGAGATACTTTTCTTTGCATGATGGCTACACAAAAGAAAAAACCGAATAGATTAAAAAAAAAGATATTCCATTTTCTATGCCTCCAATAATGACATAAAAAAGTATGGTAAAATTACCTGATGATCTAAACGATGAAACAGTTTTGAATTTGTAAAAAGTGGCGATCGAAAAAGCCTAAGAATTCGTCAAAACAGAGCTTGCTAGAATCGAAGCTGAAAGACTTAGGCTACAAAAACTTCAAATGCAAGATAGTGTTGTAATTAACACATAGCCACCTCCGCCAATAGTAAAATAAATTTATTTAGTTTTTGTTTTTAAAAATTTAATTTTTTTTCTAAAAATTTTTGTTTTGATTTAAAAAGACTGAACCAGAAATAAAAATAGAACCAAAAGAGCCAAGTATCCCAAAAGACGAAATGGAAAGATAACTTTAAGAACTGATTGACAAAAAGCTAAATGAAAAGACTAAAAAAGAAAAAGAGGATATGGAAAAGCTTATGGAAGCGATGAGAAAAGAAATGTAAGAAAAAATTGATCAGTCATCAGGATACAAAGAATAGTTTGTTTTTGAGGATTTATAGCCTTCAGTTATGTTTAAAAATGTAATTGATCATAGGGAGAAAAGATATAGAAACTTGCGTATTATATTTAATAACTACGCCAAATTGAACTTAGAATAGTAAGAATTAGAACCAAAGAAAGAAAAAAAGAGCAGATTTGACATTGTCACTTAGAATTATAAAAAGCAAGAATAACAAATAGCATATACAATCAACGCTTAACAGTTTATGATGTTTTGCAATTAATTCAATTTATTTAGCGATTAATTTGATGCTAATATTGCTATCTAAATTTACTCTAAAAGTTTAAATAGATCAATTAGTACAAAGGAAATGCATTTTACAGAGTTTATTTCTTCACTTGAAAAAATTGCATTAGTTGTGTATTACAACAATAATCTTTTAATTACCAGCTTTGATAAGACAGAAGCACTTTATTAGTTTTTGGAAATCGACGATGTTCATAAAATTAAAGTAAAAATGTCTTTACCTTTGACAAGAGAAAATTTCTCTGTCAACAAAAGCCAATACTTTGGAAGTAACCCCAGCAACGTTAGAGAAGTGCCTAGCTCTCATAAGTAGCTTAGCATCGGAAACGGTTAATCTAAATCACCTGGCTAAAGCCGTCTCCATTAACTAGATTATGACTCGGGTGATCTGAGTTAATAAGTAGCCCTCTAAAAAAAATATGTTCATAATCACCAGCAACCTTAAAATTATTCAATAAATTCTAACAAAAAAAACAGCAATATATTTTAGAATCAGTCAACTGATCTAAATTGGAACGAAATAAATTCTGTTATGGTGAACCCCTAATCATTATTTAAAAATGAAAGCAACTTTCTTTATCATGAATATGGTACAGGAAGGACTTCATTATCTAAAGTAAATTCAAGCAAAATTTCAAAAAATATTGATACATCCCAGTCACTTTCTTATTTATCTCCTAATAATTTACTGTAATAACAATAATATGCAAAGCATCTGTCTTAAAGTCCTATCAAGAGCGGTTCTACAGATATGCAAAAGCAATATCCTATTTAAAATTACTCCATGTAGTAGCTATATGGAATGCAACAATCTCCAGAGAGTCGAAAAAACAACATGATTCATAGAATAAAAGAAATAGAAGACAGTGAAATTAAAAAATAAAAGGACCTCTTATCTTTCCTTCAAAGTAATATGAGTAACTAAAGATACAGGCACCCAAAAAAACTAATTTGAATATTTTTTAATATTAACAAATTAGTTAAAAAAACAAATAAACTTATTTTTTATAAAATAAAACAACCAATAAATAAATACATTAATAAAAAACAAATAGATAGATAGATAAATAAATAAAGAATTTATAATATAAAATTAAGAAAATATTATAAATGGATTAAAATATAATAAATTTATTAAAACAAGAATTAATTTTCTTTCAAACTTATTTTGTTTTGTAAATAATTAGATAAATATTATTTTATTTTGTATTTTTAATTCAGTGAATGTATCTTATTTCTAATAAATTTCATCACAATCATTCAAATTAAATATAGATAAATAATTTTTTTACTTTTTACATAGAAATATAGCTGTTCCTGTATTTGAAATATCATGATTTGTGATATTTCAAATAATTCTTATATTGATTATGAATTTTTTTTTTCGAAATCTTATATTGAACTAAACTGAAATTTTTTTTTACAATTTATTGACATTAATTACTGAGGATTTAGAGTATTTAAAATTTATTTGGAATTTGATTTATCTTTTTTTAAATGTATTTTATTAGACCTTTTTTTTTAAATTGTAAAACATATTTTCTAAAAATTTAAATTTTATTTATAATAAAATTTAATATTATTCATTTATTTTTAATTTTTTCTTAGATTTTTTATTATTGGAGTTAGTTTATAAATGCAGGGATGTCAGCTTTTTATGGATCTATTTTGACTTTTACTATTTTACTACCTTATTTGGATTGATTTGATACTTATTTGATTGGCCTGTAATATCTATGATTGTAATATTTTCTTGGTAGTAGCTCTAAATCGTCTTCTTTACAGTTTTAAATTGGTTAATCAGGAGATTGACATAATTTTGCTTTTCGAGATGGACAAAGTTCAATATATTTTTGGTCTTTTTAATAGCTAGTTTAATTTTAAGAATTAAATTATCCTTCATAACTAGGAATTTGCAAAAAATATCCAACTTTATTTATTTTTTAGACATTTTAGTTAATTAGGTTATCTACTTAATTGTAATTATATTCTTAATCTTTAGAAATTTTTATTATTTTACTTTAGTATTCCTAATTGCAATGATTTTTTTTGTAGGCTGTATCTTCTTCAACAAATTTATCATAGCAAGAAAATACAGTTTTTTATAATTTTTCGGCTTTTTGAGCATAATTAATGAAGTCATTTTGAGTTAAATCATTTTTTCTTTCAAGCACCTATTTTAATTTGAATGAAACTTTTTCCTTATCATAATCATTATTTTGAATTTGACTTCTTTGATTTGGACTGAATGACCTATGTCTGTTTAAAAATTTAACTAAATCTTTTTAGCCTAAATTCAAAGCTGATTTATCGTTTTCATTGTTTACCTTCTACTCAAAATTACATTTATTTTAATCATATAAAACATTATCCTTAAGATGACCAAGTTCTTCAAACATTTTATGAGATTAAACTCTTGAAAACGAATTGATATTGAAAGGAATCGAACGCACATTAGGTGGTAGTTCTTATAATTAAATTATAGGCTCATCTAACTTAACATTTTTTTATGCATAGTTTTATCTGTAAGTTGAGTCAACCTCAGAAGGAGATAGCTATACTTTCAAACTTGATGTTTTATAATTATTTTAGTTTCTAGCCTAAGTTACTCTTATCTGATTGTCCAAGTCTCTCTAAAAATTTGTTTTAGAGCAGAGCTGATTTATTTCTTCATCAGTAAATTATTGATTTTTCTATTTAGGTGATGGATCATAAAAAGGTTTTTCGTTACCATATTTTAACATTCTTGGATAGTAATTCGCAATATCCCTGCTAGTAAGACTGTCTGTATTCGAATTTAAATCTCCATTTTGATTACTTCTACTTTCAAGAGATCTGGAAGAACTGCCAATTTTTTCATTTGTAAATCTTAAATTTAATACAGATTTTGTTTAATCAACTTATTCCTTAATACTTCCATTTCCTGCATTATAATTTTTATTAGGTGGGCTGTAACTTCTCATATAAATTGACTATGGGGCTGCTTAAATTTGTATTTATAATTTTTGGCTTCTACATTTACATTTTCCGCAAGAACAAATATTGCACAAGCAATCCCCCTTGACATGGTTAAAGTATTTTTAATTTTTTTCCTCTAAATCTAGCCAATGGTTCTCTAAAATTTCTTTTTTCTCTAAAGCTTCTTTATTTAGTAGGTTATATTTATCAAAAGTTGAACTCATTTGTAAAAATACAAAAATTAATAAAGTAAAAAACTTTAAATGAAAAAAGTAAATAACTAAATATATTTTTTCATTTAAGAACAAAAAATATAAAATCTAAATTCAAAATAACTGTGAAATAGATAAATTAATTATTCTCCAACCCTTCCTAATTTAAATTATAAAAGAACATTAAATAGAATTGAATTATATTTTTTCGTTTATAAAATAATATCAAATTTCTATTATTTTACAATATTTTCATTAAGATTTTATATTCCTTAAAATATAAAACAAAAATGATTGACAAATTATAAAAGTAATAACAATACCAAACAAATTGTTTTTTAATTTTATTTTATTTAAAGCTTTTAACTCATTTTTATTATTTATTAGATGAATTAAAGTACTACATTTAATTCAAATACAATTAAATCATTTAGCAAATTGAGTTAATAATTATGTAAAAATACATAAATTAGTCTTAAAGCAAAATATATTTTATTAATTAAATTAAAATTAATGAAAAAACTAATAATTAAATTTATATTTCGATTTAAAAACAAATTGAAAAATTTACATTCTAAATAAATGTAAAATAGATAAATTTATTAATACAAACATTTTTTTTTAATTATTTAAGACATATAAAAGAATTATATTTTTTCATTTACAAATTACAATAAAATTTCTATTAATTTTATAGTTTTAAGATCATGGTTTTTTATTCCTTAAAATATTTTTAAAAAAATGAATGATGAATCATGAAATTAAAAACAATATCAAATAAATTGTTTTTTAATTTTATTTTATTTAAAATTTTAACTAGTTTTATTATTTTGTTATTTTTTTATTGTTTATTAGATGAATTTAATTGTCTTAAAGAATTACATTTAATCAAATAAACTTAAATCATTTAGCAAATCGAGTTAATGATTCTGTAAAAATATGAATAAGGATTTATGAAAATAAATTATTCTTAAGACAAAATGTATTTTATTGATTAAATTTTTGTGAATATTTTAAACATGCGGAGATAAGATGTAAATCTGTCTATGTATTTTATAATTTTCTTAGTCAAAAATGTTAATGAAATATTTGATAATTCCTTTTGAATAAATGAGATTACTAGATTAATAATTAGTCCCCCTAAAGAAAAAGTGGTTAACTTTTAAAGTTCGATAAAATTTGTATCTAGAAAGAAAGATTTCGAATAAAAACATCATACTCAGTTTATTAGAAGATAATATTTAGTTAAAACTCGCCAATTTTAGTTTTCTTTAATTAGAAAAAATCTTAATGCATGCATGTCAGTGAGTTAAATTTGGATTGATTGATTTCTGTTTAGATATAAAACAATCTAAAAAATTAAAACTTTAATCAAAATAAAGTAAAACAAAATATGAGAAATACCTTTTTGCTTTGCATTTTATTGATCGCAGGAGTTAGCTGCTGGTGGGATGGTGGTCATATGATGACTGCTGAAATCGCTAAGTAAGAAATTCTTGCAAGAAATGCTACTCTTTACGAACAAATTGAAAAGTACGTCACTATTCTTAACCCTCTCTGTGATGCAAGAAGTTAAGATTTTGTCTAAGCTGCTAGTTGGGCTGATGATATCAAGGATGATGCTATGAATTTCTGGTACGGATGGCACTTCTATGACAAGCCTGAAAATCCTTAAGGTTTGTATGTTATTTTGGATTAGGACAACCAAGTCTACAACAGTATTACTGGCATCAAGAGAGCTATTTAAGAGTTATCTAGAAAGTATTATTTACCTCTTTAAAACAACTTGAATATATCAGTATAATAAGCTATTATGATGCGTCTTTTAATACATATTGTCGGTGATATGCATCAACCTCTTCATAATGTTAATATGTACAACTACACTTACACTTAAGGTGATTTAGGTGGTAACAAGGAAAAAATTTTACTCCTCAACAAGACTTCTATGATTCTCCACTCCTATTTTGATAGTGGCGCAACTCGTCTTGACAGCTTCCCTCGTCCTCTTACATAAGAAAAATTAAGTAATCTTTCTGCTTTAGCTTATGAATTCAGAGCCTAATATCCCAGATCTTATTTCGGTCAAAGAATGAATGTCACCACTCCTGAACAATGGGCTTAAGAATCCTATGATATTGCTCACAATTTCATTTATCCTTTTGTTACTAAAACTAATCAAATTACTCCTGAATGGGATACTGAATCCTACGAAATAATCAAGTAATAACTTGCTTTGGGTGGTTATAGACTTGCTGATATCTTACTTGGTATCTTTTAAAACTAAACTGCACCAGTTAACCAAACTAAATCTACAAATACCTAAACTAATTCTACTTCTAATCTTAGAAAGACAATTATTGCTTGAAATTGTTAAGCAAACAAAAAATTGAATGAATATGAAATTTGGGTACTTAACTTGATAAGCTTTTTATAGAAAATATATTAATAAATTATTAAATATTGTTTCTTTTTACTCATGGTTTTTATTAAATTTATAATAAAATTTCTCAAAATTCAACTCATTTACATGGAAAAACATGTATTTTTTATCTCTAAAAAGATTAAAATTGAATATTATTATCTTTATTTAAATATATTTTAATATTTAAAATTTAAAATCAACAACTCTCTCTATTTCTAACATATAAAATTATCAAGTAAACAAATAAATAAATAGATTAAATTTAATAAAATCAAATGTAAAAATTATAAATCTAAAAAAGGGACTCAACTAAATCTAAATAATTTTGTATATTAAAACTCTTTTTCGTTACCATCAAAGCTCGTAAATTAATGTAATCTGAATGAATGATTACATTTTTTTATTAAATTTTTGGTTGGCGCAAAAAAATTATGTTAATAACTCTTAATTTTAATTTTATTTTTCTACTAAATTATAATTTCGCACATTTTAATTGAAATGTGTAGATTATAATTGATCATCTACCTTTATTCATTATATAGTTTTAAGTGTTATATCTTTTGAGATCAATCAAATATTTTTAGAAATATATTAGGATTTTTATCAATCAATTTTAAATGGAGTAAGGTTATTCTTTTACTATCAAGAAAGAAAATCTGTAACTCTAATCTCTAAGAATTAAAATAGAACAAATAAAAAAAAATATTTGCTTGTTGCTGCCTTACAATTAATTGAAAACTTTTAATAATTAATTCAATTAATAAATTTTTTTTTGATTGAATCCTCATATTTTTATTTAAATAATTAGTAAGTAAAATCTTTTATAAACAGCAGATTTATTCTTAGATTAAAAGTTTAATTGCTCTGCTTCTTTAAAAATAGCAATCATTATTCTACCTTTACTAAATAAATTAGGCTTATTGTATTTTTACAAACTATTAAGCATTTAGCAACAAATATTCAAACACTGTTTAATCTTTTTATATTTAGACAACTACCTGCCAAAAAAATCTGATCTTAATTAAATTTTATGAAAATTAATTAATACAATTAATTTGCATCAAATTTTAATTGTTTCAAAACATTAGCATTTTCTATTCTTTGTGCAAAATCTTATTTATGTTTTTTATAATTTTTTGCTTTAAAATTGTCCTTATACAGACTTTGTGAACCATGAGTGATTTGAAATTGTTTAGATAGATCTTTTTAGAATTGTAAAAGAATTAAATTTAATTGTTAAATTGTTTATAATCATTAAATAAGGAGAAATTAAAGAAATTGAAATTTTTATAGAACAAAAGTAATTGTTTATATTATAAATTCCTTTTTATTAATCTATGAAGACTTAAAGTATATTTGCAGTCCTTCTGATAGTTTCATCAGTATTTGGATGGTGGGATGGAGGTCATATGATCACCGTAGAAGTTGCAAAGTAAGAAATTTTAGCCAGGGATCCTGCTCTCTACTTAAAAATCGAGAAATATGTTACCATTTTAAATCCCTTATGTGATGCTAGAAGTTAAACTTTTGTTTAGGCTGCTAGTTGGGCAGACGACATCAAAGACCCTGCAATGAATTTCTGGGATAAATGGCATTTCTTCAACAAGCCTATCAATGAAGAAGGTCTTTATGTAGTCTTAGACTAAGACAGCTTAAATAACAATAGCATCAACGCATTAAAGAGATGTATTCAAGAACTCTAAAAGAATAATACTACTCCTATTAATAATCCTGATAACATTTCAGTTTAATAGGCTATTATGATGCGTTACTTAATTCATATTGTTGGTGATATGCATTAACCTCTCCACAACACAAATCTTTTCAATTACACATTCTCAACAAATCAAGGAGATCTTGGTGGTAATAAAGAAAATGTTATTTTACTTAACGGTACTTCAATGGTTTTGCACTATTACTTTGATAGCGGGGCTCTTCGTTTAGCTGACTTCAGTCGTCCTTTGAGTTAAGAATAAGAATAGCAAGTAACTGACTTTGCAGCTTCATTCAGAGCTCAATATCCTAGATCTTTTTTTAATGAAAGAGTCAATATTACTTTACCTGAAATGTGGGCATAAGAAAGCTATGAAATAGCAGTAAGAGATATTTATCCTTACCTAAAATTAACTAACAAAGTAACTCCTGAATGGGACAATTTACAGTATGAAATGATCAAGCAGTAAATTGCACTAGGAGGCTATAGATTAGCTGATTTACTCACTTCAGTATTCAACCCTCCAGTTCCACCTACTCCTGTTCAAGATTCTAATAACAGCACCTCCACAAACTCTACTTCTTCTATTAGTTTGTTAAGAAAGTCAAACATTTGAAATAAGTATAACTAAGAAAATAATCAGCCAAAAGGCTATTAGAGATAAATTAATTGAGTAAGTAAGTTAGTTAGTTATTAAGTAAGAGCTTAACTTTGATTAATAGTTTTTAATAGTTATTATATCATTTAATAAAGATGTATTTGAAATGTAATTAGTTATTTATTAAGTAATTATACCTCATTAATAACCATATTTAATTCTATTTTTATAATTTATTTTTAATTTTTCATAATTTTCATTTAAAATATATAATTCAATTTTATTAAAATATAACTAATAAATCAATATGATATCAAATAAATATCCAAATATTTCACATCAAAAAAATTAAAAATATTTTTTTTATAATTATTTATTTAAAAAGATATTTTTAAATATTTATTAAAGTAGTTAAACATCGATTGATTATATATATAAATAATCTTATTTTTTATCTATTCAAAAAATTAAATTAGAATTTAACTACAGATTTAGTTTGTTTCCCAAATATTTTTGGCAAAATCTATTTACATCTTTAAGTTAAAACAATTTTAAATGCTTAATTGAATATTTTTAATAATAAGGATTTTAAAATTAATTCGAATTTTCACAAATAAATTTGTCTATCTAAAATGTCTAAAACCATCATATTACTACAAGATTTTGAAAAATAACATATAATTAATTTATCTGTTTTTTCTAAATTGAATTGACTGACTTTCAATTAATTTTTCAACAACAAAATAAAAAAAAAATTAAAAAAAACAATTAATATAAAGAAAGATAAAATAAATGATAAAAATTTTCTTTATATTCTTAGCAATTTGCTTAGGCATAATATTATTACTATCTATTAATATCATATTTATGATAAATAAGCCTAATTTGAAGACATTTATAATTAATTTAGTTATTAGTGCTATTCACTTGATTAGTTTTGCAAAGATCTTAGTTAATATAAACAGTAGCTTTAATCTAAGTCCAATTATTTTATTAGTTGTTTATCCTGGTATTTAAATATGGCTTTTTTTAATTTAGATAATTTTGACACATGAATAATCTGATCACATATTGGTTAGCTTAATACTTTCTTTCTTTACTTTGTCTCATATTGATACTTACTTATGCATAGATTTATTTTCAGATGTTCCTTCATTATTTGGTTCAAAGCATTTCTAAATCTAAAATTTGAATTTATTCATAATTAAAGTTTACACCCTTTGTATTTTCATAGGATTATCATATAATAATATTTAATAAAGTAAATTATAAGTGAATGATTTGATACTTGGATTGTTAAGTTGCTGTTTATTTTTGTTTTAGCAGAAGAAAATATTAATAAGTCCAACATAATTAGATATATTTTCAATTAATTAACTCAAAAGTTTAATTAATTAAGATATTTAATAGAAATTTAAATAAAAATACAAGAATATTAAGTGCATATAAATTTGCTTTTAACTATTTGGAAATGAAGAATATATTCTTTTTTCTTAATGTCTATTATATCATTTCAAAAATCAGGAAATTTATTCTCTTTATGCTACAAGAACATTTACACAACCATTAAAAAAAAATTTTTTAATTGAATATAATGAAAAATGCGATTTATCATAAACATTTTTGAATTCTCTTCAAGACAAACAGTTTTTAGTAAATATTACTCAAATTGATTTTGTTTGCTATTATCCTGAATAATATGAATAAATAGTACTAGAGCTATTTAACAGATAAATTTTTATTGGTAGAAGCGAGTACAATTGGAATATGACTTAAATTGTTGATTTATATTATAAAGCTGTACTTTAAATTCAAGCAGTGTCCTTTTCAATCTTATAATTCAATAAATTTATAAAGAACTAAATATTTTAAAATTCTAATTTAATCATTTATGATTTGTATGAATTTTATTGATGCATTCTATTTATTTATTTGTTTGGTTTTCATAAAATTGATTGTGATATTTAATAGTTATATGAAAGAAAACAATTTTATAAGTTATATTTGAAACAACAAAATTTACCAAAAGTAAAATGCTTGAGATGGTTCGTAGATATCTAGTTAAAGATTTAAAAAACATATCCATCTATCTTCTTCTGTTTTAAATTTAGTTTTATTCGGAATTTTTAACAAAAATAATTTGATCAAAATTTAAGTTATTTGGATGTAAATACAATTCTCATGTAATTTTAACAAAACTGATTTGAATTTTTATTATTTATTTTGTTTAAGATATTTTTTTCATTAAAATTAAAAAGACTTTTGAAATAGTTGTAATTTATTTTAGAGTTAGATTTTGCTAATTAAATAATAATAAAAACAAAGCTTTTATTAAAATAATTTATTTTTATCTAACTAAAGAAATCAAAGAAATAATTATTATATTATAAAAAATTAAATTTTCATCAACAATAGCAACAAAAATAAGCGAAAATGTCAGAATCAAGTTTTATTTTTACTGATAATTTAGCCTATTTTTAATTTAATTTTCAAAAAATAAATATTGATTGATTGTAGTATTTGATAATTCAAGCAAGATTTTTACATATCATGTAAAACTTATATTTTTCAAATGTGATTGATAGTAATCATTCATTTGTATTTCAAAATTATTTAATTTATTTGCATCTAAAAAGATATTAAAGTTTTTATTAGTAATCAAAATTTAAATTTTATACTTTATTTTGTAGCTACTGGTTAAAAAGAAGATTTATGAATAGCAACATGTTCACTGAGGCCGATTTGGCTAGGTAGAACGAAGATTTAGAATTCAAGAAGCAACTGTTTGAAAGCTTTAAATAAACAGGCATTATGGATGGAATGAAAGTGAATCTTCGTAAATAAATTGTAGATAAATTATAATAATAGACCTAAACGGAGAAGGAATTAAAAGCAGCATAAACAGCGATTAATCAATCTAAAAAAGAGGAAATTGAAAGCCTGCGCCAAAAGGAATTTTACAGAAATTAAAGAATATATGCTCATTTAATTGCTGATTATTTGAGAACCTATGATATAAATTATGCATATTCCATTTTTCTTCCTGAAATGAGGGTTAATAGTAATTAAATATTGATGAGAGACGAGATTTGCGAAGCTTTTTTAATTGAGAAAGACGAATATAAATAATTGGATGATTAAAGGGAAAAATTATCTGCTATTGAAATTATAGTTGAAATGATTAAAAAATTCAAAAAAACTAAAAAAGTAAACAGAGAAGTTTAAACTGAATCTTATGAAAAGTCTGCAACAATGAGCATGAGAATGGATGATATTAATTATGAATATGGATAAAAATTAGATTATTTTAAGTTAGTAAGTAATAAAAACGTGGAAGAGTCATTAGCAAAATATCGTAAAGAGTGTGAGGCAAAATACAAAGCTGACTTAGAAATGGAATTATAAAGATTTAGGGACTATGAACTTATTGAAATGCGTGCATTGGAAGCAGAAAGATATTAAGAAAAACTTACTTTCCATAGAAAAGAATTAGATAAGGTCTATAATGAAAAGCTTTAGAAACTACAAGAAAGAGAAAAAAATGCAATTGAACTTTGTAAATAAATTCACAACTCAAAATAAATAAAATATTTTTAAAAAATAAATTATTCTTTATATTTAAAGTTAATTGTAAATTTTAAAAATATTCGTGTAGGCAAGAGAAGATTAGAAGACTTAGAAAAAATATAGCAAGAAAATAGATAAAAACATTTGAATGATATTGAGGCTATGAATAAAAAAGAGTTAGAGTTCAGAAGACATAGTTGTTTAGATCACATTGAAGTTAAAGAATAACGTGAAAAGTTAGATAAACTTGAGAAAGATTTAAAGCTTAAAATGAGAGAGTATGAATCAGCAAAGTAGCTTATCAATACTAGGTATTTTATTTATTTCATTTTGATATCAATTTACTTATGCTTTTGCAAATAAAGAATTGAAGAGGATATCAGCTACAGAAGAAATGTTTTAAGATAAGAGTAAAAATATTAAGAACTACAGAAAAAAGATGTTGAAAATTAAATCAAGGAAGAGTAGGCTTATATAAATCAACAAAAGTAACATCTTAGAAACCTTGAAATGCAGCTTTAATATTTGAGAGATGAAAATGACCACTTAAAAAAAGATGTTAAAGTAATAAAAGCTTATTTTCAAAGATATATGAAAATGGGTCTATTTATACACTAATATATACATTGATTACTTGCTTGCATAATTTTTAATTTAATTAGTAAAATTGGTATATTTACTTACTTATTTTATCTTACAGGAATTAGATTACATAAAGTCTGAATAATACAAAGAAATACAGGCCTTAAGAGATTAGGTTAGAAAACATAAAGAGAGTATCGAAGCAAATGAAGAAAGATTATGTAAATTTTTAAATAATTTTATTAGCTAATTTTAAATATTAAATTAAACAAGAACATGCTAACAAATAAATGGAGATACTCTAAGATTAAATTAAGATATTGAAAAGTGAAGTTGATTAAAAAGCTCATTCTCTTGAATAGAGATAAAGTGATTAGTTAAATTTACATTCAGTTTATACGATGGATATGGAAAGAAATTACAATAAATTAGTTGAAACAGAAAAGGCCTATTCGTTAAAGCTTGAAAACCTAAGATAATAATCAATTAATGATAATTTATTTTTAAAGAACGAAAACAAAGAATTATCAGATATAAACTTAAGACTAGAGGATGAAGTATCTAATCTTAGGAGAGAACTAAGATTTATTCGCAAAAAATTGTAAGAAAAAGAAGGAGAAAACATTGATCCAAATACACTTAATTATTCAAATACATTAAAACTTTCTCCCACTCATACATAAAAAATAAGCAGAGGAGAAAAATTAATGGAAGAAGATCTTCAAAACCAAGATTATAGAAAAAATTTAGATGATATATTTTAAGAAATGAAATCACTGAAAGAAAAAGCACTTTTTGAATTTAATAACAGTCTGAGTTGACATTGCTTAATTATTATTTTTATGTATTTATAGTGTTTGCTTGATTAGCTCTCAAATTTAATTTATTACCTTACCTTACAGTCTACGTTTACAAATCAAATAATTTTATTTTCAATAATAATATTTTGTTTTTTTATATTTAATATCTGTTTAATGAATAAAAAAACCTACCTCTAAAAGAGAGAAGAACCTAAAGTATGAGATTTATATATATAAAACAGATGTAAAAAAAGGCATTTACATAAGGAATTAAAAGAGAATATAGAGTAATTATTTAATATCTTTAAAAATAAAGTATATTTATTTGAAAAGAAAAACAATAACAATAAATTCTTAGCTCCTACTCAAATCAAATTAGATAAACAGATAACAAACAAACAAATAAATAAACTAATAAATAAATAAATATATTTAAATATTTGCATAGTTAAAAAGAATAGAAATTTTAATAAAAGTTAAATTGCTAAGAAGGAAAATACTAAAAGAATCTATTAATTTTATCGAATGAATATGTAAGGTTAGTAATTGCACAACAGAAATGTAGAAGAAAACTCGGATAGTGGTATAAATAGCAATGGAGCAAAAAAAAACATTAAAAATAGAAATTTCGGAGATCAATAGGCAGATGAAGTCAAAATTCTGACTTACAATGTCTTTATGAGACCTCCTTTAATTAAGAATAACGAAGACGATTTTAAAAATGAGAGATGCGATCTTATAATAAAAAATGAAATAGAGAAATTTGATATTTTATGCTTTTAAGAGCTTTTCAGATTATTTAGCTACCGTAGATATAAAATGGCATATTCAACTGTAAAGTAAGGGTTTCTACATCACGTGAGCTCTCCTTAACCTAAACTATTCGGAGATTACTTGGTTGATGGAGGATTGACTATTCTTAGTAGATACCCTATTGTTTAATCGTGTTTTAAACCTTTTGTTTATAGCATTTTGGCAGACAGCTTTTAAGAAAAAGGAGTTTTGTATGCAAAAATAAAAGTAAATGACAAGCATATGCATGTATTTAACACCCACACATAAGCAACTTACAACACAAATGAGAAGGAAATTAAATGGACAGTTGTAGTTAGATTGGAATAAATTGTTGAGTCAAGAAGAATCCTAGAAGAATGTCTTAAATAATATGGATTTGAAAGAGGAGATATTTGTATTTTTGCTGGTGATTTTAATGTAGACTCAAATCATCCAGTTCACCCAATAGATTTTTTAGATAAGTAAGATAAGTTAAAAAGTGTTTTAGGAATAGGCGATGATTAAGAATCGATTGATGAATATAAATTACTTGTAGACACTCTTTCTGGTAAAGGAAAAGATGTAGTCATAGATATAGGAAGAATAGCAAATGATGGTAAACCTCCAATTACATTTGCTGATGTATATAAAGATTCTAATGGATAAATACAACCATTAGAAACAGCTTTAACACATAAATCTGATTTAAAGAGTCAGCAGTCTTTAGATTATATTTTTTAAATTATTCCAAACGGATTAATGGTTGACAATTAACTTGATAATTTAAACAATAAAAACAATAAAATCCATAATTAAATCAATCAAACATCCAAAGGAGGTTATACAACATAATCTAGCTCTAATAATTTAGTAAAAAATGCTTAGAAAAACCTTAATGACAAGAATTTTGTTGTAGATTTCTCTAAATCTAAGGTTGAGAAATTCTTTGTTAAAGGTTAGAAGTTCACTTAGCTTTCAGATCATTATGGAGTGTCTGCTACAATATCTTATAAATGAGGAAGGCTTTTTCTGAATAATTAATAGATAAAAATGATGCTTTTAAAATACATAAATAAATTGATGAAGATATTACTTGCAATATTCATTCAAATAAATAAATAACTACAAATTTATTCAAAATTATTATATAAAAATAAAATATTATATATATTATTTTCAAACAATATTTTTATATTCATTTACTGCTCATTGCTCAACAAATGTTAAATGAATCTAGATTTATCTTTTATCAATAAATTATTTTTTTTAATATTTAAAATTATTAAAAAAAAATAAAATATTATATACCGTAAATCCTCATTAATTCTCACCCTATTAAATTTTCACCATTTTTTCTGAAATTTTGAAAAAAATACCAAAAAAATAAATAGTATTTTTAAAAATAAGCTAAGGATAATTTATGAAATAAGGTTTATTATAAATAAAACTATATACATAAATAAGGGTAGAGTTTAATTTAAAAAATTTTAAATAAAATATTATTTAAGAGCAGATTTATTTGTTAATTAATTAATTTATTTATTTATTTCTTTATTGGTTATTCATTATTTGTAGTGATATAAATTCATATCATTCTTATCTCTTTCTATATACTCTCTTTCTACCAAAGATTCGATTCTCTTTTTAATTTAATGAGGTTGAGTTTAGAACTTTCTCAAGAGTACATTAACTTCGCTAACTAACTCACCATATTTCATTGTCTTTCTGGATTTCATGATTCTGACAATCGTAGCTTCGATAACATGTTCTCTATTTTCATTGACAATATCTTTATTTTATTTAATTAAAAAAATTTAGCATATCTTGATATAAGTAAAGTGGTTTATTACCTCTTTTGAATTTTTATTGGCTTTCTTCAGGTACTGTAGAGAATTTCTTCTTTTAATAAGTAAACTATGTATTAAATTTGAATGAAACTTCATCAGATTCATCTTTTTTTTCCTCTTATTTTTAGGTTTGAGACTTGGAGGCTAACAATATTTTTTTTCCAATCTATTTTTTGTTATTTGATATAATTTTTAATATGAATGAATGAAGCACATTTATTTAGTTAAAATTTAATTCTTACCAGTTAAGCAACTTCCTTGTTAAATTCTGCGATATTATCCTTTTTCATTCCTATAGTAGCCAGAATAGTTGAAATGGGAATCCATGTATCAACTTTTTCAAACTGCAAGAGGATGCATAGTTATAATGGTGAAACATTTACCAAAAAGAAATTACTTTTATCAAAAGTTATATTCATTTTAATATCAAAACTACCTAAAGTATTTATCCAATTTAACTTTTGACTTTTTTTCTATAATTGATAAAATTTTTTAAAATCTTCCTTCAAATTTTCATATAAAGGAGGAAGAATTATTTCAGTGGTGCTTTTATATGATGGCCAATTCGCTTCTTACAATACTTTAACCTAAAAGAATGAATATGTTAATAGAAAAAGAAAACACTAAATATAATGAATTTATACATTCAAGTCTACAACTTTTATTTTTTGGTTCATGTACTCATCAAAGTTTTTCTTTAAATCCATAGTGTACTTAATATCACTTATCATTCCTTCATAATTCTTTGTTTCTTAACCCTAACCACAACATCCTTTAATTTTAGTAATCATTAAGCTTTCATCATCATATCTGCTTCCTGCCTTCAATTCAGCCTTTAGCAAACGTGTGGCTAGCTACTTCTGATAGAGGATTAAATAAATGTCTTTTTCTGTCAAATGATTAAATATTTCAATAATCTAATTCAATTTCGAGTCTAACTCTTCCTGCTTTAAATTCTCCTTCTTCAATATAAAATCTGTGTAGTTTGCTAATAATTCTGGAAGGCCATAGTCCTAATAAATACATTTTATTTATTCAATTATGTGTTTGTTTTAATACTCATTAAAAATTTACATCAATAGGAACATTTAAAAATTTATCTAGAGCAGCCTTAAAGCTCATATAAAAATTGGCATCGCTGTTAAAATTTTACACAATCATATTGTTCATTTCTTTATATTCATTAAACAATTTTTCTACGAATTCATGATCCTAAATATTAAATTTAAAGATTAAAATCTAATTCCAATTAACTAACTGCTAAAATTCAGATACAGTTGCATGTTTCTTTTTCTTTTAATCTGGCTTCTCTTCAATATTTTATTTAATTTTTTCTTCGAAAATATTAGAACCTATTTTGTAAACCCAATCACCAAATGTTTGACGTAGTTCTTCAAAATTATCATTTAAATTTTTATATAACTAATAAATTTATTGCAGTACCTATAAGTTTTAAAAATAAGAATAATGAATTAAAAGCATCAAAATGTTTTAGTTTAAGCTTAAATTTACATGACTCTTATTATTTTCTAACATAAAAGTGAAGCCATGATCTTTGACAAGAAGAATAGGTCTATACTTCAAAACCATTTCTTCGTTAAAGAGCTAGCTGATTTACTTTTGAGTGTCAGTAAACTTGGTAAAACACTTCTCAAATCTTCTATTTTCTTCTTTTTGTACTATTATTATATTCGATATATATTCTTCACAAGAACAGGATTCAGACCATTCTTAAAATTTGCTTTAGTAGTAAGCCTTTGCATGACTCAAAATAGCTTTTCCTAAGTTTTAGTAATTTTCATCCTTGTTATCACTTTTATTAATTTCTACAAATATTTCTGATATTTTTCTGAGCATATCAAGATCGGACTTGTAATTGTTTCTATCTTTTTCTATCTCTTGCTAAAATGCTAATATAATATTATCCTTTAAGTGATCATGCACTTGTTTCAGATACAAGTAATATCCTTTTGCAAAAAAAACAAATTTCAAGTTTTCATCAACGTTTTATTCATTTATTTACCTATTTATTTAAGCTTCTAAAGGTTATTATGCTCTATGTATGACTTGTCCTTTATTTAATAGATTAATAAAACTTTAATAATTAAAATATATTTTAAATATTTTACTAAATATGAAAAGAATCTAGTCATGAATCTTAAGAAGATTTGATAAGTATCCCACTTTTATATTATTTTCTTAAGCAAATCCTCGCCTTTAAGTCCCTTTACGCTATTGAAAATCTTGTTAGTTTATAAGTAAAAGTTTCATTTATTGAGATCAAATAAATTATTTTATTTACTTTATCCTTGACGAATGATTATATTTGCTTTTTATATTATTCATAAAGCTACTCAGAGTTATTGGAGTCTTTTTCCAAGCACAGATTGTAAATAAGTCTATTTATGATAACATTATTAAAATTAAAACCTTTTACTTTTTATCATTGAATTAAAATAATTTATCTCTCATACAAAAGCCGCTTAACAAGTTCAAATCGAAAAATATAATAAATGAATGAATGAAAATATATCTAATTATACTTACGTATATGTGTTACTATATTCTATCTTATTAATCATTAGCTTCTCCTCAGAGTTGCCGCTTCCAGATTACTAGTCTAACATTTTGTTTAGCTTTTAAATAACTGGATCTATTTCCTTCCATCCAGTTTAAAAATCGTACTTTTGGATTGACTAGTGCATTTGAAATTATAAATGTATGTATGTATGTATGACTTTATAGATTTTGTTTCTTTGTTTTTCTGATTAAGATATTATCTATTTATTTAATTAGTAGTTGAAATTTTAAATTATTTTTTATGCAATTTTTTTATTCTTTATTGCTTACTTATAAAATTTTGTAATGTTAGTTTGTTTGTTTATTTGTTTATACAGATTCGCTTGAAAAAAGCTTATTTAAAGAAATTGATTAAATTATATTAAATTTTTAATTAGATCTGATAAGTTCAATAACAAAAAAATAAGTGTTCGAGAGAGACAGATAGTAAATTAATCAGTCAGTCAGTCAGTCTTTCTCATCATGATATTTTACAAATAAAATTATTTCTATAAAAATATCAAAATTATTGGGGTAAATAATTTATTTAATTTTTTGAGATTAGGAAGAATTTATTTGAAACATTAAATAAATTATTTATCCAAATAAAAGTAAAAATAAAGAATTTTCTAAATACACAGGCAATTTTGAACAAAAGATATTAATTACTAAGCTATTTTACAGTGAGGACAATTTAAAATGGGTCATTAATTCCTTTTTATATTAAAAGAATTTGTTATAAATTGCCTCAGATTCTATAAGAAAAGTTAGAGATTTTTATCTATTAGATTTTTGTTTTCTTCTAAATTTGTTAAAATAATTTATTTTTTTAAATCAAACTTATTTTTTTAAAAGTAAAAACAATAATAAACAAGCAAATATTTAATTTTAGTTATTATAGGCTACATTATTAATTAATCCATGTTGAATTTAAACTCTTTTTTAGACTTATTTTAAGTCAGGAAGAATTTATTATAAAATTATTAGAATTTTATCAGTAAGAAAATATAAAGGGAATGAGTAGCTTGGTAGTATCTTTTGCTTTATTTATTTTTGGACTAAAATAAAAATAAATTTGTTTTCAAATATTGACTAATTTTTATAAAATTATTTATATATTATCATTTTTTAAATTTATTTTTTATTTTATTTTATTTCAATTATTGTTACCAATTTTACAGAATAATTGTACATAAAGGAAAGATATATAATTTAATAGGGATGTTTTGTCTAAAAGAAAATATAAAAATTAGATAGAGTCAAAGATATTATATTGAAAAACATATAAATAAACTATCGTTTAAGCACTTTTCTCAAGATAGAAAAATGAAAGAAATTACCAAATTTTTTAAAAAAAAGGCTAAAGAATAAACTTGTGGAATGTTTAGTGAGTGAACATTTCTTAATAAATTTCATTGCTACTAAACTTTCCTAAAGAAATGAAGTAGATAAGAAATTGTATTATCTTTTGCATCTTTTTTAGTTAGAAAATAAATAGAATTATTTTTAACTAAGAATTTAGATCAAAAGTCAGCGCAGTTTCCACAATTTATCATCATTATTCTTTATAAAAAATATATATATTTATTCAAAGGAAATCAAAGAAAAGAGGTAATTCGGTAGGAAAGGATTCCATACCTCTTGATACAAATTTCCAATATTAAATGAGAAGCATATACACCAAGCAATTTAATCAATTAAATTCTTTGAATTTTTTTGTGAAAAATGTTTGGCCACTTGACTTCCCGACAAAAAATTAAAAATGATAGATTCATTCTAATCATATCAATTTGTTATTTGTAAAATTTTTGAAGGTATTAAATTTTGAAATTTTTATCTATAAAACATTAAAGATGAAAGTAGAAATAATTTAGTTGATTGATAAAAATTGAAAAATTGTTATTTATTCAACTTCAAATGTATTAACAAAAAATCTTACTTTTAATTTAAAGCTAAAATAAAAAAATAAAAAAATAATTTAATTTTATTACAGATTTACAATTCAAAAACAAATTAATTTTATTATTTAAATTATTTTATTTATAGTAATTAAAATTTGATAATAAATTTTAAAACAATTAATTTAATATTGTTTGTTGTAGATTTATAATTCAAAAAAATCAATAACATTTTACATTTTTTTTAATCTTAAATTTATTAAAAAGAAATCTTTCTTTTACTTTTACAAGAAATTTAAAATAAAAATTAATAGCAATTAATTTAATTTTGATGTAAATTTTTATCATTTAAAATATTTTATTAATCAAATTTTAGTAAAAAATTTTTAAGCAATTAATATAAATTTGTTGTAGAAAAATCAATAAGATTTTACATTTTGTATAATCTTAAATTTAAATCTTTCTTAAAATTTAATTTTGTTGTAAATTTATAATTCAATGGTTTTATAGTTTAAATTATTTTACTTATTATTAAATTTTTTAATAAAAAACTTTAAAACATTTAAATTAATATTGTTGTAGATTTATAATTCAAAAAAATCTATGATTTTACATTTTGTTTAATCTTAAATTTAAATCTTTCTTTTACTTTTACAAGAAATTTAAAATAAAAATTAAAAGCAATTAATTTAATTTTGCTTTAAATTTATAATTCAATGGTTTTATAGTTTAATTTATTTTACTTATTATTAAATTTTTTAATAAAAAACTTTAAAACATTTAAATTAATATAGTTGTAGATTTATAATTCAAAATTAATCAATAAGATTTTACACTTTGCTTAGTCTTAAATTTGTTAAAAAGAAATATTTCTTTTACTTTAACAAGAAAGCTAAAATAAAAAAATATTTTAAACTAATTTAATTTTATTATAAATTTATAATTTAATAAGATTTTATCATTTAAATTATTTTATATCTATAAATTAAATTTTTTATTACAGATTTTTTAGCAATTAATTTAATAATCCATACATAAATCAATAAGATTCTACAATTTATATTATTTTATTTCTATTAATTAAATTTAAAGAAAAATAAAAATATTTTCTTCAGCTAAATTGTGAAAATTAATTTTTTTAAAAAATAATCGTTTTAGTTTTTTCTAATATTTTGTGTTTTTGTATTAGATAATTTTGTTATAACATAAATTCAAATTAAAATTTAGGCTGGAAAATTCATTTATTTTTTTATCATAGATTGTTGCAAAAGATTAAGTTTTGAAATTAAAAATTAGGATTTGAATGATAGAGAGTAATCAAATTTTTGTATTTTTAACAATAACTGATTGAGTAGAAAGATTATTATTAGATAAATCTAAAGAGACTCCCAAAATTTTAAGTTTTTTGCGATATTTTTTATGATGAACAGATAAAGCAGCTTATTATCATTTTAAAGCTAGTAAGAAAATGAAAATACTTATTTTAGTCATTACAAATCGCTCATGGAAAGTAATTTACATTTTTTAAGCCAAGCTTTCCAAAGTTGAATTTAATTTTTTTCTAATTAATCATAACAAAGATTAAAAGAGCATGAGAGACAAAACTAAATCAATAGATATAAAAGCTCATGATCAAGCTAGTATATCTAATTCTATCGTAAATAGCTAAATATTACAATAATAAAATCAAAATATCAAATCATCTTCCATTTTACAACCAAAGTATTCTTTTTCCAATTTAAGTACTTGCAATCTACCATTGAGCTAGTAAAATACTGCTAGAAATAGAAGTGACTCTCAAAAGAGTTAAATTGCTCCTCGAGATAGCCAACTTATAACTGATTCAAAAAATGAAAATTAATAGTATTTTTAAAATCTTTAGTCCAATAAGTTATTAAATATCAATTAGTAGTAAATATCATCCATTTAAAAATAGTAGTTAAAATCTTAATCAGATTAATAGCACTAATAACAATAAGAAAATTAATAATAACAAATATAATAATAATAATATAATTTTTAATAAACTAAACATCAATCTAGGAACTCATTTCAAAGTATATCATCAGCATCTGATTAGTCTTGTAACTACCTCAAAAAGTTAGAATAATTTAAATAGGAGTAATTAGAAAAATAGAGCACTAATAATACTAATATATACTCTCTTTAGAGCTAGAATTCATATAATAATTTAAAAAATAAAAGCATTAAAGATAAGAGCCTAGAAAGGAATAACAGTTGTTTGGGCTAGCAATCGTTTGGATAACAAAACAATTAATTTAAATCTAAAGATAGCATTTCATTTAAAGAGAAATAAACTAGTGTAGATAATTATGTTGGATTAGACAATTAAATATTAATAAAAAACTATACATTCAACGAGATAGAAAATGTAATCAAAGAACTTAATTGTAAGTGTGGGTATAAAACTGATATAAGAGAGGTCCTCACTAAATTTGGAGAGAAGTTTTAGGACCTAAGAAAGAAAAGAGATAAACTTAAAGATAAGAATAAACAACTAAAAGAAGAACTTAATTAATCATTTAAAGATAAAAAGCTTTTAGAAATGCAAGTTAATTATGAAGGCTATATCAATTAGGTCAATTCAAAACTTGAGGAAAAAGAGAAGCAACTGTAAAGAATTTAAACTGAAATTAAGCTTAAAGAAGCTGAATTAAAATTGAGATAGGACGAAATTCAAAATATAAAATTATAATAAAAGAAGTAATAATCTTAAAATAATACTTTTAATGCATAATAAAGCATTTAAAGTTGCAGTAGCTGCGAGATCTTAAATAATAAGTTACAGTAAGAATAAGAAATATCTTTCTAAAAAAGCAATGAGCTGTAATCTCAACTAAATCAATAGAAAGAAAAAGTAAGAATACTTGAAGACGATTTGGATTAGGTTAATTAAAAATACTAGGAAGTATGTGAAAAATAAAAAGATTATGATTAAATAATCCAAGACAAAAATGAATTAAATGAATAAATAAATCAATTAAATAATACTATTAATGAACAGAAAATAAAATTTGAAAGAGAAAAATCCTCTGTTTCAATGAAAATTCAAGAATTAGATGCTTAAAAAGCTGTAAATAATTTATTTAAATTTTAGTTTTTTTTTTTAGATGTTAAAACTTTAAATAATTTATTTTTTTATTTGATATTTGTTATTATAGATTGTGAAAAGTGACGAAAGACTTCTGCAAGACAGAGAGAGAATACTTTAAGAAAAAGAAGATGCTTTGATGGAACAGATTTAATAAGTAAATTATCATAAATAGCAGCTTGAATAAGAAAAGGAGAAATTTGAGGTGGAGAAAAATAACTTTTATAGTGAAGCTTAAAAGATTGAAGAGGAAATGAAAAAGAAAGAGGATAATATTTAACTTAAATACTATGTCACTAATTAAAATAATAACCTTTAAAATACATCTTCAAAGAAAAATAGTAATTCCTAATATTTAAATAACCCAAACTTGTTGGCATCTCCTCCTATAAATTAAAATAATTTGAATGGAACAGCTAATTTAAATTAAAATAACAATCATTAGAATAGTGCTTAGTCTAATAATATAAGCATGAATAGCATGAAATTTCTTTTTAATTGCTCAGGGATGGAGGCTGACGATGAAGAAATGGAGCTAAAGATGATAGCTTTAAAAATGAATGAAGAAATGATTTCCAAGAAAATAGAAATTTAAGTTCAAGAAATGATCAAATAAAAAGAAAAACTTGATAAAAGGGAAAAAGAACTAAGAAGACTTGAAGAAAGACTTAATGGTCCTTCTTAAAGTCATAGTCATAACAGCAGTACAAGTTTTCCAAATAATAATTCTAGCTTCCACAGAAGCTCTAAAAAAAAACTCTGATAAAAATTAACTAATAAAACTAATAAATGATTAAGATTAAATCACTCAATTTATTATAAATCGTTAAATTATAAATAATTATACATTATGTTAAAAATCCTTTTAATTTAAAAAATATAAAACTATTAAATAAATAAAAAATCTTTATAAAATAAGGCATTAATTAACAAAATTTGCACTCAATAAACATTAAATTAAAAAATGTTTGTATTTTTTAATTAGAATTTCAAAAAATATTTTTGAAAAGATTAATCTTAATTAAATTTTATCGTTATTTAAACATTTCTAATAGCAAGTACATTGATCAATAGTTATGTTTCGAGTTTTTTGAATTTAAGCTAAGCGTTTTATATCAGCGATTATTTATAAAAATCTATCATGATAAAGCATATATAAGCTATTAATTAATTTATTTAGATTATAGTAAAAGTTATAAATTTATTAAAAATTCAAATGTTAAATTTTTTACTATTAAACATTTATTTCAAAAAATATTAAAAATTTTATTATTATTCTAAATTGATTTTTATTTTAAACTTTTTTATGTTAACACAATATAAAACTAAAAAGTTTATATTTAATTCTTTATTTATGATAATTTTTTATAAATATTTTCATTCTTAATATCTATCAAAAAATATTTTATTTAGTTACCGTAGTTTCTCATATATTAAGGACATATTCAGATAAAAACTTTTGATCAAATTTAGTCCATAAAATTAATTCAATTTTTTTTACAATTTATTGAAAAATATCCTTAATATATGAGAAATTACGGTATTTAATATCTTTTTGTTTTTAGACATACTAAGTAAAATAGGAAAACGTGTATTTAATATTATTGAATTTCGTTTTAGAGTTTTTTTGCTATTTTTATTTTAAGTAAATAAAAATTTTCTGAATAAAAATAAATTAGAATTTGTTCAATTATAAAAAAAATTATCATATGTGCTTCTAATTAAAAATAAAGAACATAAATCTAATATTTGGGTTATAGACAATATATATTTTAATGTATACACTCTTATTCTTAGCTTATAAATAAATACTATCACTATACAAATAAAAGAAAATTAACACATTTAATAATTTATTAATTTTAAGTATCTATCTTAACTCTTTTGAAATTAATATTGGTCCAATCATTTTATAATTTAATATTAGCTCAAAGATCTTAAATTACTAATTCAGTTTGTAAATTTATAAAGTTAGTTTTTAATCAAGTAGATTCATTCATTCTTAAACAAGTTTATAGCAAGCAAATAAAGTTTCAAAATGTCTCGTTCACTATTCAAGAAAATGTTCTATTAATTTTCAGCAGTAGAACAATAAGTTTAAACAGTTTATAAGCGTCCTCTACCAAAAATATTGATTAATTTTTCGAGTGAATAAGGTAATATATGGAAACATGTTTTACAATTTTAATATATTAAGCAATAAATATGATGATTAAAAAAGAATATAAAATATGGGCGATGCTATTTAATTTACAAAAAGAAAATATTTATTTTATAAATATAAGGTAAAAAACTATTTAAAGAAGCACTTGAAGAGGGTAATATGGAATGTTATTTTCCTTTAAGTGAATAATTTATGACTTAGCTTGAACCTTCAACATGTGGTTCTACTACATTAGCGATGGTACTTAATACGTTAAATTTAGACCCAAAAAAGCGCTGGAAAGGGTAAAAAATTAAATAATAATTAATGTTATTTCTAAGTTTAAGTTTTTTATAATAAAATAACTTTCTTTATATAAAATAGAATATGGAGATGGTATAGCGAAGAAACTTTAGAGGGGATGAAACCAGAATATATTAAATAGGGAATTGATTTAGAAAATTTTTCTCACATAACAAAGCATAATAACGCATCTATTTAAACATTTTATTATCCACATGAACATTAAAGTTAATCTTCAAAATATGACTGTGAATATCACTGCTCTAAAGATAAAATAAAATCAGCTTCTTATTCAACTTTTGTTATTTGCCTCACTGCTTGTTGTCGTCGCACTGGACTATATATGGTCTTAAACTAATCAAGAAAAGCTCTTAGTAAAAATTTATTTTGTTTATTTATTTAAGCATTACAAAAATATAATGATTATGCTATGTACCTCTTTATTTCATAGTTAAATAATAGCTTTAGTATTTTTAGGTAGTACAATGCATATCAGATATTTCCATATTAGATATTAATTAGATGATAGAATACTTTAAATGCGTTAATATATCTTTTCTGGAATAATCCTAACAACTATTTATTCAAACATAACAAATATTTGAATTTATATTTAACAAAATAAATTAAAAATCAATTATCAGAAAACATTTTTAATTAACAATAGCATTTAAATGTTAAAATTAAAGTTTGATAAATTGAAATATTAATTTAACAAAATTAGAATATCAAATATTAAGAGAAAATTAACACAATTTTGTTTAAGGAAATAAAAATAAACGATTATAAAATAAGAAATTAATTTTTTTAATCCAGCCAGAAAATTATCATAAAAAGTTAATGCATTTAAAAATATTTTTTTAAATTTCTTCAAAATTGACAAACTAATAATAAAATTTTATTTAAAAATAAAACACAATGATTAATTTTATTCAACATAATTTTAAATAAGAGAATAAAAATAAATCATAAAAAATAAGATATTCATCATTCTTTTTTTAATTAAATAAATAAACTTAATAGATTTTTTAATATTTAAGCAATATATAAGAAAAGGAAGTTATGTTTTCAAATAAAATTTAAAAATAAAACTCTATACCTTATGTGAAGTCTAGGATAGAATTATTTAATTAAATAAATAAATAGAAATATTTGATAAAAATAATAATGAAATGAATAGTTATCGAAAAAATAGAAAGAAATTAAAGTAATTTGGAAATGACCATAATGAAAAAAAAAAATTTTAAATGACTCAATAAAATAAAATAGATTTGTAAAGCCTTCTTTTAAAATATTTTATTTTAAGGAATAAATTAATAGAAATGAATACTTTTAAAGCTAAAAAATATATGAAAAATACTTTTTAAAAATGAAACTCTAGTTTATTTTTTAATATTGTTTCATATAAAACTAATAAATTTATTTATCATTTTAATAAAAAAGGTTAAACAGGAGAGGGACATTTTTAGCCTGTCGGTGGATTAAATATGGCTCATTAAAAAGCTTTGATGTTTGATGTAGCAAGATTTAAATATCCTCCTTATTGGTGCAACTTAGATCTTTTATATGAGTCACTTAAAAGTTTAGACAATGTAACTAAAAGACCTAGAGGATTTGCTTTAATATCAAGGGATTTAGAAAATTTTAGCAAGATTTGCAGCATTAGTCCTGACTAAGTGTCTAAAAAGAAACTTTAAATAAAGCTGCAAAGTGAGAATTTTATGAGTAATTACAAAGATATAGATTATAAATATGATTTAATAGATTTCTACTAAAGTTTTTTAAAAGAGATGGGATTTGATTTTTCTGTTTTATTGGTTTATAATATGTATGAAGTTATGAATTACTTTGAAAAGTAAGGAGAATAAGCAGATTATTTGTTTTAGGCTTTTTCTAAAAATTAAATTTACAAAATTAGTGAAAAAATAATTTGCAAGTTATTAGAGGAAAAGAGTGAAGTAGGAATTTTGATAACAGAATTTTGTGGAAATTATGCTCCATTGATCGCTAGTTTAGTTCTTTTATCGATTCCTGAAAGTTAATATATGAAAATTAATAAAAATTTATACAAAAACGATATCAAAAAATTAATTGATGAATATAAAGATTTAGACCATAAAGAAAATTTAGACAACGAATTAGAAATTGAAATTAGGAAATATATGAAATAAATTGTTGTGTCCTTTAAAAATAATCTTTTTTAAAGTTGAATGAATGAATGTCCATAAATATGATCCATTATTCCATCCACTTTTAATAGCTCAATCAGAAAATTTAAACACTTTATTTAAAAAATAATACAACAAATATAAAATAAAATAAAACTAATTTTTTAATTAATATTTAAATAATACAATTAAATTAAAAACTCTTTTGATATTTTATAGTTTAAAATATTTATTTGCTTGCTTCTTGTTTATAACTTATTATGTTATAGATTATTAAAATTATTTAAATTTTTAAATAAATTAAAAAAAGTATAATTAAACAATTTTATTTATATTATTTTGTAAAAAATTTCTCATCAAAAATACAAAATAATAAGCATAATACCTATTATTTTTATTTTTAATCCTTCTTCTTGTTTCCATATTTTTCATTATTTAAAAATTATCTAAATAAATAAATAAAAGGTTTGAAAAATTCTACAATTTAACAAAATTAAGATAACAAAAATTATAGTTTTTGTTTGCTGTCTTGTCTTTGATATTTAATTTTTATGGCTAAATATTCAAACTGAACACAATCTATATAATGGTTATATTCAAATCTAATTTGACTCCTAATGGTAAATAACCTCTAATACATGTACAATATTGTAAATCCAAGATGATGATCCAGCTGATTATACTTGTTAACTTTAAGGAAGCAGTTTTATTGTTTCTACTTTCACATATTTTATTTAATGCAATTAGATTAAAATAATTATTTTAAAATTTAAATAGATTTTATCAAATAGTTGTAAAAAAATCAAATCTTTAAAGTTTTAAAAAATTATATTATTTTAATAGTTAAATTAGTTATTAAAACTGAACTACTAATAGAATTTATTACGTAAAACTATCAAAGATCTTCAAATTGTATTTGATTGTTATTGTTTTTTTTTTCTATCTTGATTTTAAAAATACAAAAAAATTAAAATTAAATTCTTAAATTTTCTCCAAATATTTATGGTAATTAGCATCTTTTTTTATTTTTAAATATAATTTATAATTAATTTAATACAATAAAAAAATTATTTATGAATTTTTAATAAAAATCAACTGAGAACAATTGATATTTAAAACAAATAAATATTCAAACATCGTACAAATCATAAAAAATTTAATAAGGAGAGAAATTTAAACTTGGTTGTATATTTTTAAAAAATGCTATATACTTGTATAACTCTAAAAATATAGGTTTCCCATATAATCTGATTTAATTCTAAGCAATAAATTATGGTAAAATATCATAGTTTAATATTAAAATAATCTTTAATCTGTCTACTTCTAGAAAGCTAATTGAAAACCACAGTCCTTTAATTTTGTAATTAAACATTTTGCAGTTTCTGATTAATTTAAAAGTAAACTCTAAAAAGCTATCTATTTTGCTACCCATAGATATATAGATTAATTTTTATTACTTATTTACTAAGAAATAATTTTTCACTCTTTTGAATATAACTTATGTACATATAATATTAGATTTACTTTAATTGTATATTATATCGAATAGTCTATGTAAATCTTAACTCTACACATCTCTAAATTATAATTATATCATTTTTTACCTATTATTAATTTAAAGATAATCATTTGCTATTTAGATGTCATTTAAACCCTTAATTTTCAATTTATCCTAAATAAATGTGAGATATTATGGTCCATACTTTAAATTTTATGCAAAATTTACTAAGACTTTTGTAAAATAGGGTATTAGCACCACAAAATATACGTTTAAACTTATAAGCGAAGTGCTAAATTTAAATATATTCAACCATAAGAATGAAAAAATCAACTAAAAGACTTGAGTAATTTATAAAATATTTTTCATCTCTGCTTCTTTTTCATAGTCATTTAAGCTACTATCTTTATAAAAAGATAATGATATCCCAAAGTTTTACAAATAAGAATAGAAAAGAATATTTTTTAAACTAGGTATTTCAGCTCTTCTATTTCCAAAAGCTAATATGAATTGATTTACACTCTGAGGTAGAAAACTAGGTAAAATAGCTAGAAAAAGTAAATGAATAATATTATATTTAAAAAATGTTCTATCTTTGTGTAACTCTAAATAATAAGCCAATTATAAATGTGATACTAAATATCTTATAACTTAATATCGAGTTGAAGATAGTGTATAATCGTTTTCTAATATAAAAATGAATACTAAAGAAGTCAGCATAATTGTAAAAAAATACGTCCACTCAAATATAGATATGTAGTAACATTAAAGATGTAAAGCAAAGCTTTGAGCATAATAAATATAACATTTTTTTTCATATTGATAAGGATAATAATATGTTATCCCATTTATTTTTATATGAATTATGTTAAAGTATTAAATGAAAAAATAACTCCATTCATAGTTTTATATTCTAGTTGCAGCAAGAAAAAGCAAGATAAATTCCAAAATTATAATCGCAAGCAAAGTGATAAAGCAATATTAGTAATACAATTAAAAAAAACTAGTTATCATAGCTATTTTTTAAAGTATATTTAAAATATAAAAATAAAACAAAATTCGCTTTTCCATATCTTTTCTTTCTTTATTTTCTTTATTTAATATTAATTTATTTTATAAATTTGAAACACAAAATATGATATAAAAATAGAAAAAATTGAATATTAAAAAATATTAATTAAATTTTGATGTGGTTATCAAATTCATTTCAAATTAATTCTGTAAATCAAAAATAATTATGTTTATTGTCATTTTTCATACAATAAATCCATTTAATTAACATCCTTAAATAAATTTCTATTTTATCAACATGATTTTCAATATTTTGGATAGGTGCTATAGATGATAAATTATTTTTCAAAAGTATATTTTATAAGCAAAATATATGATGTAAAACCATTTTGGTTTACACATAAATTAATATACATTTCTTTTTAATATATTCTGTCTGAATTTATTGTTTTTGAATGTCAAAATAGATAAATATAATACTCTTTTAACATTTTTTGTATGAATGAATAAATCTATTTTAAATTTAAAATGAAAGGTTAGAATAAATAATTTCTCAGATCAGATCTCAAATAAGAAATAAACAAAATTAATAATCTAAAATATTTTAAAAGGTCTTCTTAAATTAAATTCTTATTGATGTGAGACAAAAGAATTTTATTCCTATGCAAGTTATTGAATAACACAAAATATTTTTTTGGAAGAATATGCCAATTATTGAGTTAAATTTATTAAGTAAATAATAATTTTTTTTAAAAATTACATTTTTAATTAAATTAGACAGCTAATTTATTTTAATTACATTCTAAAGACAACAAATTTAGAATTTAGATGGTTGAATCTATTTGTTAGTAAAGTTTTAAGTAAACTTAAACCTAATAAATCACGAGTTTATTCAAGAAGAATATAAAATTTTAAATAAATATTATGTAGAAATGTAAGATTTTAAATTAAATTTATAAAACAAATTTTCTATAATAAAAGTGAGAGTTTGATTTTTAAAAAAAATAATTTAAAGATTAGGAGAAGTAAGCATACACTAAAATGCAAACTAAAAATATATCTATAACTATATAAATTAGAGGTTTACTCCTTATTTATAAAGAGAAAATATTATCTTTCGTTAAATTAATAGTTTTGTTTAAATTAAGGCTTGATAGCTAATTTATTTTAATCACATTCTAAAGACACCAAATTTAGATGGTTAAATCTATTTGTTAGCTAAAGTTGTAAGTAAACTTAAACCTAATAACTCACGAGTTTATTCAGGAAGAATAACACCATCATCCCATAATCTGGAACTGCTATGATAAATACTAGCTTGTTTTTCATAAGCTTGAACGAATTTTTATCTCATTGCTTCTAATTCTTCATGATTTAAATCTTTTTTTTATGCTTTAGCTTTAGCCTTTTCTATTTCTAACATTACACCTGCAGCCTTTGTAAATAAAATAAAACACATTTAAAAAAAAAAAACATTCCTTTAAATAAAATTTTACCTATTCACCACCCATAACTGAAATTTTAGAAATGGGCCAAGAGAATAAATAATTAGGAGAGTAAGCACGTCCACACATACCATAATTACCAGCACCGAAGGATCCACCAAACAATAAACTTAATTTAGGAACCTAGGAAGTTGAGACAGCATTAACCATCTTTGCACCGTGTTTAGCAATACCTTCACTTTCATACTTGCTACCAACCATGAAACCAGTAATATTTTACAAGAAGATTAAAGGGATGTTTCTCTATTTATTTTTGATTAATTTAAAAAATAATTAAGCAACTCAGTGATAATTCTATAATTTATTATATACCTATGAACATAATTCGATGAAGTGAGCACCCTTCAAAGCACTTTCTGAGAATAAGACACCATTATTAGCAACAATACCAACTTCTTAGTTGTATAATTTAGCAAAACCAGTAACTAAAGTAGAACCGTATTCTTTTTTGAATTCCTAGAATTTGGAACCATCAACAATTCTAGCAATAACGTGTCTAGAATCAACACTCTTTTTCAAATCAGGACTTAAAATAGCATTTAATTCAACTGGATCGTAAAGAGGAGCTTCAACATTGCTTAAGTCAAAATTAAATTCTGGGGTTTTAAGCTATTAACAATAATATAAATTTAATTTAATATTTTTAGTAACTAATGATTGATTACATTCTTAACAATAGAACGACCAATTCTTAAGGCTTCGAGTTCATCGTGAGCATAATGATCAGTCAAACCAGATACCTTGCAGTGGACATCAGCACCACCCAAATCTTCAGCAGAAACAATTTCACCAGTTGCAGCTTTAACCTAAAATGAGTATTTAAATAAGTAAATTAATTAAATTTGAGTAAATATTCTTACAAGAGGAGGACCACCTAAGAAAACAGTACCGTTACCCTTTACAATGACGTTTTCATCAGACATAGCTGGAACGTAAGCACCACCTGCAGTACATGAACCCAAAACGAGAGCAATCTAGTTATTTAAATTAAATATATTTTAATTTATTATAAATATTTTAATTAAAAATCATATTATTTATTAATAAGTTATTTTTGCAACTTTTTAAAAGTAGAGTTTTGCTTTTAAAAGAATATTCTTTGCTAATTTCTAAAATACAAATGATTCTTATTCAACTTCTAATCTAAAAGATATTTATTTATTTATTAATTTATTATCTATTATTTTATGTATTTATTTCAGTTTTAACAAACTTTATTGAAAATTCATTTTTTTTCATTAAATAATTGATTTTTTTACAATTATTAAGTTTAATGCTATTTCAAAATAAAATTTACTTGAGGAATTCCTTTAGCAGAAAGATTTGCTTGGTTGTAAAAGATTCTACCAAAGTGATTTTTATCAGGGAAGACGTCGTCTTATCTAGGAAGATTAGCACCACCACTGTCAACTAAATAGACGCAAGGAAGGTTGTTTTATTCAGCAATTTCCTATGCTCTAAGATGCTTTTTGACAGTGATAGGGTAATAAGAACCACCTTTAACTGTAGGGTCGTTGGCAACGATTACGCAAAACTTGTTGTGAATCAAACCTACACCAGTTACTACACCACCAGATGGAACTTCTTCCTTTCCATATAGCTCATAGCCAGCCAATTGAGAGAGCTCCAAAAATGGGCTGCCAGGGTCAAGAAGTTTAGCGATTCTTTCACGGACTGGCAATTTCTTTCTTTCCTTGAGCTTATCGTGGGCAGTTTTAGGACCACCTTCAAGGATTTTATTGATGACTGCTTAAAATTCAGAATTAATCTTCTTAGATGATTCCATATTTGATTTGTAAATGTCACTATCCTTATCTAATTCCATGTTAAGAACAGGGAAATCATAGAAAGATTGCAAGTTAGAAGAAGCAGCTTACTAGCTTGAAGAAAAGGGAGCGCTGATTCCCTTAATCGTGCTTTAGAAAACACTTCTTGCTTTGGCTAATTTAGAAAGCATTTATTTGAATTACTTTTATAATGATATATAATTATTACTTAATTGATTGAAAAAAGTTTTTATCTTTTTCTTTTTGGTTACCTAACAATTTAATAGCTGATTTTTTATGATTATGGCTAATTAACATGCGTAATAAATATCTCAGAAATTTTATTTAATTATATTACTTAACTAATTAATTGTCCTTTTGATTCACTTACACGATTTTGTTGTCCTTATTTTTATTTAATTTGTTAATTAACTAAATAATTAATTTACCTACTAATCTTCTCTCTCCTTAATTTATTTAAGTTTATATATATTATTGTTCATTCATTCATTTATTCACTCTCTCCTCATTTCAAATTCTATTTATCTATGAAATTTCTTGATTGTATGAAAACATATATACTTAACCTTTTTGACTATAAGAATAGCTGTGTATCTAACTATCTATCTCAATTTTTATTTACTTAATTTAGACATTTTATTTTAATCAATTAATTTTTATCAATGACATATTTTCTTATTAAAATTAAGATATACTTGATATAATTTTCATTCCTTATTTGTTTCACGAAATTTCCTATTTTTGATCTTTTATTCAAATCAAATATCTTATACCCCTATATTTACAATATCAAATCTAACTAATTCTGTTCGTTAGTATCTATTTATTTAAATAAATATAAATTTACTATTCTAAAATTTATTTTAAATTCAAATAAATCTCTTTCAACAGTTTCTAATTTTTTTATCATTAAAAATTCAAATGTTATTTTTGATCAAGTTATGATTATTCTTACCGAAAGGAGTTTTTCTCATTTTATAATAAATTAAGTAAAATATAAACTGATTTACTATCATAGTTCTTTTTAAAGTAGTATTTTTTGGTATATTTTATCAAATTATGAATATTGATGTCTTTTTTTTAGAAATTTTAGAATAAATGATTTAGAATCATAATCAAATAATTTTTCGTATTTTTGACAAATGCAATTCAAAGAATATATAAATAGAATTTACTAATTGTGTAATATAATTAATAATCTTCCACCTATCTAAGACTAGTATATTAATAGATTCTCCTTATTTCACTATCATTAATAGAATAAATTTATAAAAAAATAAATCAAATTTAATATTTAAAATAATTAGTTTGTTTTCTAAATTTGTTGAAATAAAAATTAATTAAACTACTAAATTAATATTTTAAAAATACATTTTTTTTGAATTGGATTCAGACAGGTTATGCTGATTGGATATTATCATATGAATTTTAATATAATAAACAAAAATAAATCTAAATTAATTAATCTTAAAATATAATTTTAAAATTATTATTGTTTTTCATTCAATTTTTAATTCTAAAAATTTTCATCATGTAAAATAATTTATAATTTTTTTACAATAAAATACCATTCTTAAATTAAAAAGTATTTAAAATCAATAAATAAAATTATTTTTAAAAAAATCAAAATTTTCTAAAATAATTTAACTTTTTTTACCTCCTAATAAACACTCAGTTCAAAATATCCACTTAACTGGGTTATTAAATTAAATGAACAAAATATTGCGCCAATTTAAAATCATTCTAATAATGCATTTTGCTATTTAAAAATATGAAACAATTAAAGATAAAAGCAACTTAAAAAATAGTAAATGTAATACTTTAATCTTAAATAAAAACTTAAAAAATTATTCATAAATAAAAGTGAGTTTAAATTAAATCTTTAAAAATGAAACTATTTTTTTAATTTATATAAAATAATATCTTTTTTTAAACTTTTCATTTTCAAGATTTTTTGATTCATTCCTTCTATCTTTAATGATTTTTTTAGAGAAACTCAGAAACAAAATTTAAAAAAAATATTAAACAACTCATTACTTTTAAAGTAATTTAATTAATCTGTAAATTTAAATATTAATCATTAAAAATAACAATTATTCTAATTTTTAATACCAATTAATTTAGTTTTAGTTAAAGTAAGCAAAAAAATATGTAGAATTTTGGATAAAACAACTATGATGATTAAAATATAATGGCAGCTAACTCGATGAAAAAAAAGGGAACCGAAGCTTAGTCAATTAATATTGTTCCTGGTTACAAAAATTTTGTTTTAGATGAAAATAATGCAGCATATGATTCGATAGCAGATATGTTTACAAAAGAAGAAATTGAATAAGCATTTAAAATTATAGATTATAGAAATACTGGTCAAATTACTTCCGAGTAGCTGACATTTTTCCTTGAATCTATTGGTTTAGAATTTTATTTTTATAAACATGTGTAAAATTAATATATAATAAAAATCTTATAATAGGTGAATAAGCTAAGCCAGAGGAAATAGAAGAAATGATTAAAATGTGTGATTAAGAAGGATTCGGATATGTTACTAAAGAAGAATTTATTAAGTTAGCAAGTGGATAAAGTTTAGCTCCTATAGGGTAAGCATTTCCCCCAACAGAAGAAATGCTTAAAAAGAAAGAACTCATAGAAAACCTAAATTTAGAAGAGTATTAAAACCAAAAAAATAAGATGATGAGCATGAATATGCAGAATGCATAAGGAAATAAAGCAAAAAAGAATAACTAATAAAGTACATTAAATTTCACTCAGATAAACGATTAAACAACTCTCGGATAATCAAGTAATATAAAATATTTTATTCTTTTAAATTAAATTGTACTAAAATTTAAAAGAAATAGATACAACAAAATAAGTCATAAAAAATGTAAATGCTGACATTGAATAAAATTAGAAATTAAAAACTTCTAATTTGAACGCAACATCAAACCTTGCTCTTAATACAACATCCGCACTAAATAAAACTAGTGCATAATCTAATACTTCATATTCCTTATAGCTCTAACCTAAAAAAGATCTTTAAAATAAGGTATTTTTAAATATGTTCTTTTATTAACAAATTCTACTTTTGACAAAAGCTTAAATAAATTAATTTTTACATTTAGTTGAAAATATATTTTTTAATCAATTATTTTGTGAAAAAAGCCAATATAAATAGCTTAAAAATTTTTTGAAAAAATGATAAAGTAATTCAAAAACTAAATAACTAACTAAATTTGTTAATTAATTGCTTTAATATCAAAAATTAACTTAAATTCTATTATTATAAAATCTTCATAATTTTACTTACCATCGATGAATCAACAATATCATTTGTTAAAGAATTTAAAAGTGCTTATGAATGTTTATAAAAAATGTGTTACCTTTTAAATAATAGAGTAATCTTTAGAAAATTTAAACTATTAGAATAAATCTATTAAAAATATTTAGTAAGAATTAAATACTAAGTTGATAAAAATTAATTTAATATTATACATTTGAGTAGTAGCATTTTAGTTTTGTTATTGAGTAGTTTGAAATTTAGAACATTAACTTAATTCAATCATTAGAAATGTTCATAATTTTACTTACAATCAATCACATCATTTATTCAGTTTAAAACAAATTTATGAATATTTATAAAAAATTTGTTACTTTTTAAATAATAGAGCAATCTTTAGAAAATTTAAACTTATAAAATAAATCCATTAAAAATATTTAGCAATACTCACTCAAATATAAAAACAGTTTATAAGAAATAATTTAATAATATAAAATTGGACTATTATTTTTTTAGTTTTGTTATTGAATGCCAAATAAATAAGTAATAATAATAGTAATAATTTGTTATTAAAAAGGATGCCTTAAAAATAGCATCAACAGCATAAAGTTTTTTATGATAAAATATTAATTTTTCCAAATAAAAATAGTTGATAGCCATTACTATTTAGAAAAATTTATTAAAAAAATTATATTTATTAGTGGTCTTTTTTATTCTAATAAATTTTTTTAAATGCATGTTAATAAATATTTTTGAATTTAAACCTTAGCAATCAATCAATAAATATGAAAAATTAAATAAATAAATTTATTTTTTTAATTAAATTTAAAAATGAAGCTAAAAGTATTTACAAAGTGGTAGAAAGATAATAAAATCAATCCTGAAAGATTACTGCAGTATACAAAACTTATTAATGAAATATAAAAAAATTACCCAGATGAAGAGGAAATTGAAGAAGAGTTCATCAAAGAATACAGAGAATTCTTAAAATTCCTAGGTCTACAGGATTCTCCATAAAATCAAGAAATATTTAAATTAGCTCAAACCATTATTCCTGATGCTAATCCTCAAAAAATAAATATTTATCTCTTTTTATTTGTTTTAATTACTAGCTAAGATATCAACTCTAGTGGTAAATATGGTTTAGCGTTCCAGATGATTGGAAAAGAAATCATAACTTTTGAAGATCTAATATTAATTGAAAAAAGACTAACATTGCAAGAAAATGTATCAGAAGATAAAATAAGAACTAAATTCGTAAATCATAAAAATAAAAAAGAATATAAATCTAAAACCTATGGTACTGAGGAAATGGATAGACAGTTTTTCTTAGACTTAGTTACTAGCTATCCAACATGCTTTTAAGTTTGAATTAAATTTAACAACTCATTTATTTTTATAGTTTTAAAAATTATCTATTTTAAATTAAAATATTTACTCATTGTTTGTTTATAATAGATTATTTGCGTCCTTTATTTCGTTTTAAAAGATTTTTTAACAGATTCTAAGATTTTTTCAGTATTCAAATAAAATTTATATGATTTAATAAATAAATTTTGAAATATAGGTCAGTCAATTTATTTATCTATTTATTTATTTGCATGTTTGTTTGTTTATATTTCATTTGAAAGTTATTTAATAAAAATAAGTAGTTATTAATTAATAACAATAATACAACTTTTACAAATTTAAAACCAATTAAAAAGATACACATTTAGTATTTTGTTGTAAAAAACGACATTTTAAATATAAAGTTTTAACCTTAATATACTTCGGAATTAAATTTCATAAGAGTTTATTAGAAAATAGAAATTATTTTATAGCAAATTTGATTTTATTTGGCTGATTAGGTTCAAAAATAATAAGAAAAATGAGTATATAATCAAGCAATTTTGGGTCTTTAAACAAAAACACACTTGATTTGTAATTTAGGGAATATGGAAATATTGATGATGTTTTGAAATATCAGAAATCTCGAATAATATAGAGTAGTGACATAGAGTAATAATAAGGAAGTGGAAGTAATAATGCATTAATTTTAAGTTGCCCTATTAGCCATGAATGTGATAGCTTAAATAATAGAATAATTATTCCAAATGCGCAGACTATTCTGCAAGAAACTATTCAAACAGACACAGCAAATTTACTTGGATCTTTAGAAGCTGGTAATATACCCTAAAAGAGTGGATTGTAGAAGAACTAAAGTGAATTTTTAGAATAAAAACTTAATTCTATGAAACAGAAACACAAATAATTGTAACAATAACTTTCAGAAGTATCTAAGATAGATTCAGTATCTAACAAGAAAAAAAATGTTGTACATTCTCAATCAACATAAGGATTTTTCAAAGGAGGAGTGAGCACTTCAAATTTAGATATGTTCAATTTTGGTAGCTTAAAAAATCAAATAAAATAAATGGATGTGATTTCAAATATTTTATCTAGTATCTAGTTAAAGCCAAATAATAATCAATAGAAAGACATTGAAGTTATAATAGAAAAGAATGATTTATATAGAATTTTGAAAATATTAATTGACTAATTGGTTTCTTACATTGAGAAGCTAAACTAAGTAGTATCTGAAAGAGATATCATTGATATTTAGAGATAAAATGCAGAAAAATTAAATAATGAGCTCAAAGAAACAATAAGAATTCTTGAAGAAGAGCTCAAGATTTATAAGAATTAAAGCACAGAAACTAAGATAGAGCTTGAAAAGCAAAAAGCTCTCTACGATATCTTAGAAAAAAAATACTTAGATCTTCTCAAAAGAAAATAAGAAGTTAAAATTATCAACAAAGAAACAGTCAAAGAAATTGTAATTGAAAAACCGTAAAATAAATAATAAATACTCTTTTTTATAAATTTAATTTAATTTTATTGTTAAACTAGAATCGAAATACTAAAAGAAATCAACAATGTTAGAATTGTTAAGCAGGTAAAATGTTCAATTGTTTTATTTATTTTGTTACTTAATAATTAATATTTACTAGTTAATTTTTATAATTTTATTTATATTATATAAAAATTAATGAAGAAAAAAGAAGTAAGAAAAATAATTAGACCCTAAGCTGAGGTAAAGCATACAATAGAGAAGAAATTGCATATACTAGAAAGAGAAAAGATCGTCCCTTAAATACAAGTAGGCAATTTTATTCCTACAAAAATAATAATAATTTATCTATTTAATTATTAAGGTGATAGAAAAAGTAAAAGAGATTCCTAAGATAGAGTTTGTGGATAAAGAAAAAGTTATAGAAAAACCATTCTTTGTTGAAAAATTAGTAGATTTATTTGATATAAAATATTAAAAAAATATCATTAATAAATAATAGGTTGATAGATTTGTTGAAGTACCTAGATTTATCCCTAAAGAAGTATTAGTAGACAGACCAGTATATGTAGATAGACCTGTAAATCAATTCATAAATAATAATCGTATATAATAAAAAATCAAATAAAAAAGGTTGAAAAAATAGTTAAAGTGCCTCAAATAGTAGAAAAAGAAAAATTAGTCGAGAGACCAGTATTTATTGAAAAACCAGTAAAATTAAATTTAAATTCTGATCTAAATAAATAAAAATCAATATTTTATTTTATTAAAGGTTGACAGATTTATAGAAAAGGAAACTTTTATTGATAGACCAGTCTATATTTAAGAACCTGTATTTTTTATTTTTATTTAATTGATATAATATTTATTTAAAATGTTTAAAGCCAGTACATATAGAAAAAGTTATAGAAGTTCCTAAGATTATAGAAAAGCAAAAAATAATTGATAGACCTATTTACATCAATTAACCAGTAATTCTTAAATTTTAAATTAAAATTTAAAATAATTTTTATTGAAATAGCGTATAGAAAGAGTTATTGAAAAACCTGTATTCATAAATAAATATGAGCCAATAAATTCTTAGTTAGTTAATTCATATTCTACTCCAACTATTTCAACATAATTTAACTCACCTGCTGCTAATTATTAGAGATTTATACCTGAGTAAATTAGTAGACAAAATAACTTTTTGTCACCTTTTAATTCTATACAGTAAACATTTTCTTAAGATTTAACTTCACCTTCATACATTAAATAGTATGTTTGAAAAATATTTATTTGTAATTGTTAAATAGTATAGTTTAATAAAAATTAGTCTATTCTTAAAATTTCAAATTAGTTTATACTTAATTATTTCCTAATCTTTTACATTTTAAAAAATTAATTTATTTTGTAAAATTAAAAATTATTAAAAATGTATTTTTGTTTTTTAATAAACTATTTTATAGCCCTTGATAAATTTATTATTATCAGATAAATTTATTTAATAAAAATAATTTATGATATTATTTATTGTAAGTAAGCAAAAAATTGATATATTGATCTTTTATAATTAATATGTTAATTTTTTATTTTGATGAAACTAATTATTATTTATGTTTCATATTCTAAAATATGTGTGTGTTTATTTTATTTCTTTTGAAAAAAATAAAAATAAATCTTGTAAAGAAAGAGGATTTGCTAGATCTTATCAAATATTTATATTTAGATAGTTATTACAATATATTTTATAACATTTTCAATAAATTGTTGTAGATTAACTGCTATTATTATTATCATCATCCTTTTTACTTTTAACTAAATTTTCATTTTCGTTTCGCTTAACATTTGTTTATCAAATTCTAAAAAAAATAATCATTTATCTATCTGTTCACCATTCTCTTATTAATTAATATGTTGATGTACAAAAAAAAAATTATTTCGTTATTAACTAGATTATCTAAATGCTACATATTTTTCTACTATCAAATATTTTTCCTTTTAACTAAAATTTTTAATTAGTTTGAAACTTGATTATTTGAGATGAATTTAGTAAATAATATATAAAAATACAAGTAAAATATTAGAATATTTAAAAAAAAAATTTTTTTAAAGTATTTATTTGAATTATGCAAAATATTTTTATATAAAAAAGCATTTGAGTTTTGGTTAATTAAAGGTTTTTTCCTTAGAAAAATACTAATAATAACTAAATTTATAGAAGTACTTTGATGTTTTTGTTTGCATACTGTTAATCCAAAAGTTAACAGATGAAAAAGAATGAGCTTTAAATTATACACAATCAAATCATTAGTGAATCGATTAGAATTACATAACACACGAAATGGATACATAACATATTTTGATTGATATTAATAATAACCAAATTTTCTTCTATTTGCTATTATTTGAATTAATAATATAAAATTATTTTTATACTTCAGTTATTTGATTTTCTAAATCCTAAATAATTGGATTGTAGTTATATTTTACATTTATGATATTTATATTTGCAAAAAGTTTTTTGATAGCGAAGTAGAAAATGTTTATGTATATTTTTTGTTTCGTTTATTCTGATATAAATTTAACTTATGATTCAAGATTATTTTAGAAATTCAGTTAAGCTTTTATTTTCTAATTTCTAGAAAATTAGTAACAAAACCAAAATCTTGCCTTGGAAAAAACTTTTTTTAATTAAATTTCTAAATGTTTTTTGAAAGAATAAAAAACCTTAAATAAATTTTTTTTTTATCTATTTTTAATTGCAGTGAATTCAATTTACAGACTTTAAAATAATTATAAATAAAAATCTAAAATGAATTATTTTAGAAAGGTTAGAATAAATACTGTGAAAATATAATTAAATTGAGACATTATTAATTAATTAATTAATCATACTATTTTTATTTTAAGTTATGGTATTAGGGATGTAAGCAATATCGTTAGTATTAATAGTGGATAATATTAAGCATCTCTTTTACTATAATTAGAACGTTTATAATCTTTTATTTACTCTAATAGTCATTTATAAATTGTGGTTAAAAATCACATGAAATAAAAGAAATTAAGAAAAAGTTTTTTTATGGTTTAAATGCTATTATTTTATAAATTAAAATTATTAAGTTAATCAATTAATTTGCTTGTAAAATAATATTTAAGAATTTTAGATAACTAAATAAAATATATCTATATATTTTATCAACAAATTAAAAAATATTTATGTATTATTTTTATTTCATTTACTCTAATTTTAATTTAACGCATGATTCGAGATTATTTTAGTTATTATGTCAAGCTTTATATTTTCTAATTTTTGCAAATTAATAATTTAAAAAACCAAAAGGTTTATAGGACAAATTTTTTTTAATTAAATTTTTTAATCTTTTTTGAAAGAATAAGAAACCATAAATAAAATTTTCTTTTTATTAATTTTTATTATGACAGTGATTTCACTTTATTTAATTTTGAGACCTTAAAATAATAGTAAATAAAAGTCTGTAATGAATTTTTTTAGAAAGTTTAGAATAAATACTTTGAAGTATTGGAAACATATTTAAATAGAGACATTATTTGATCATACTATTTTTATTTTAACTTACTTTATTAAGGATATGAGCAAGGTCATTAATATCGAGAGCATATAATATTAAGCACCTCTTTTACTAAAATTAGAATTTTTATAATCATTTATTTTTTCTAATAGTTATTTTAATTTATAAATTGTGGTTAAAAATAACATGAAAGAAAATAAATCTTGAAAAAGTTTTTTTATGGTTTAAATGCTATTATTTTAAGCATTAAAAAATAAGAATTACTTTTTTTTAACTTAAAACTCAATTTATTAGCTATAAAAGAGCATCTAAGAGTTTTTTGATAACCAAATAGAAAATATTTAAACATTTTATGCATTTGTTTTTTTTCATTTATTCTGATATTAATTTAACCTATTATTCAATATTATTTTATAAATTCAGTCTAGCTTTATTTATATTTTCTAATTTTTTGCAAAGCAATAACTCACAAAACCAAAATCCTACTTTTAAAGGAACTTTTTTTAATTAAAATTTTTTAATCTTTTTGAAAAAATAAAAAGCCAAATAAATAAAAATTTTATGGCAATAATTTAACTTAATTTAATTTAGAGACTATAATTAATAATGATAATAATATTAAAAAAAAAATCATTTTTTATGATTTTTTTTAGTAAGCTTAGAATAAATACTATTAAGAATGTTAAAATATATTTAAATAGAAATAATTAATTAATTGCTCATAGTATTTTTATTTTAACTTATAGTATTAGTGATGCAAGCAAGATCATTAACATAATATTAAGCATCTCTTTTACTAAAATTAGAACTTTTATACTCTTTTTAAGTCATTATAATTTATAATTATGGTTAAAATAACATGAAAAAATAAAATCATGAAAAAGTTAATTTATGATCTAATATGTTAAAAATTAAAAAATTAAGGTTTACTTTTTTTTAACTTAAAACTCAATAATTGGCTTTAAAAAAGCATTTAAGAAATCTATAATTCTTATATATAATTATCTAAAAGAAATTAATAATAAAAATCATAAAAAATGAGTATATTTAAATTTGATTTATTTTCATCTCCTTTCTTTTTTAATATTGGAAACTCAAATCAAAAAAAAGGGAGCAAATTTGGAGTCCTTTTATCACTCGCTATTATAATGACTATCCTATTTTACTTCGTCTATTTGTCTAAATAGTACTTCTATAATGAGATTGCTCCTAAATTTAGATAACAAAGTTTCATTAGTGAATAAGTAGACATACCTCTTCAAGAAGAATTATTCGCATTTAGATATGAATATAACACAAATCAAAATATTGAAGATTTAGAAGCTTAAAATAATAAGACTTACATAATGAACTATGCTTTATTAAACTATCAAAATGGTTCGCATACAAATTTAACAAGACTCTAAATAGTTAAATGTTCTCATCCAGATCTCTAAGGATATAATTGCATTGACTATTCAAATCTCTAAAATAGTACTATCTCTTTCAACTAAAAGTAAAACATCCTCTCTCAGGTTATTTTATTAGTTTATGGCTGTTACTAAAAAAGCAGTTTTAAATAGGATGTCCCAAGTAATTGTGCAAATCAGTCAGATGTATTAAATATTATCAATGGCTCAAGAGCAGGACTTAGATTAAAATTCTTAACTTCTTAATTCAACACCACTACATAGAAAGAGTAAACAAGCTTTAAGAATTAATTTATTTTTTTTAGAGGAGGTTTACTAAATATAAATACAGTCAGTGTATAGAGTCAAGTTACAACAGTAAGTAAAGGACTTTTGGTCCAGACAGAAAATGTTTTTTCTTCGCCAATTTCTTATGGATTTTAAAGTTAATCATTTGATAGTAGTAGTAGCTTGTAGTAATCACCATATTGTGAGGTTGCTATATAGCCAGATGAAATTGTTTACAGTATTTAAATTAATTATCCAATTTTCCCTGAAGTTTTAGCTCTTGTTAATAGCACATTTGCTTTGCTAATGACATTAGGATTTTTTGCTAGAATGGTATCTTAGAGATTTATCAAGTAAAATTTCTTAATGTTGTTTTTTTAGAATATGTACCAAGATTCTCTAGAATAATTACTTATTTAGAACAAATTACTTGAAGAAAACTAAGTAGTCTTCTTAGAAAAAAAAATGAAAGAATATGAAGTTGCAGAAGAAAATGTAGGATCTAAATCAATCAACTTTGAGGAATAATAACGATCAGTTATGGATAAATCAAAACAAAATAACTAATTAAATACTCTTTACTCATCTAAACCTTTATAAACAGAAGATATTTACTTTTAAACATAAAATGACGAAATTAAAGAAGAAAAATATGATATTTATAAATCCATACCTAGCCACTCACCAACATAACTTGAGAATGTGATTGGTAAAGGCTTAAACTCTATCTCATAAATGTAAAAGAACTTATCAGAGATTTCTTAAACTGTTTTGAAAGATGTTTCAAAAATTAATAATCGTAGGAGGACACTTTCTTATAGAGACAAAGCTTCAAATAAAATCGAATTAACTATTGGAATTAAAGAAAAAATAAAGCAAAATAATGAAAATTCTAAATTACCTGAGTTAAAAGATTACAATCTTTCTTCAAGCCAAGCACAGCAGTATTTGAAAACAGAAGATTTTTATTCAAAAAAACTGAGACTAACTACAGATAACTAAATTATGCTAAAAGCGTAAAAAATTTTCTTAGAAGATAAGTAATCATTTAATAAATTTGACATATATATTTTACTAAATATTTATTTTAACCAAAAAATAATTTATTTAATTAGATCTTGGAATACCGCTAAAACTGACAAAATCTCTAAATAACTTGGAAAGCAAACTAAAAAAGCGATAGAAGAACAATTAAATAAAAATTTAGATATTTTAGAATTGTATAAAGATATAATATTTTTAAAAAAAGCGGCTTTGATTCTGTTAAGTAAAGAACAACTTGCAGCATTAAAGCTTATAGGCTGCTCTACTTTCTATTTGAATAATATAAGCAATAAAGAAGATAAAAATTGTAATATCTTATTTTTATAAAATAGTTGATTTTAATTTAATATTTTATTAAAAAAGCTTCTAAAGAAAACAAGATAAGCTATTTTGAAAAGCAGCTTGATATTTTGTCTTAAGAGAGTCTCCAATCAAAATATATTTAAAAATTCCTAACTAAGTGCTAGAAAAGTGAAAATTTAGAGGATGTAGATTATAGAATTATTTCTTCTATACTTAGATCAAATTGAAATTAAAATTTTACGCTTTTATTACTGATTAATTTTTTATTTTTATTTGTGATTTTGAAAATTATTACATTAATTAAAATTTTTTTTTTTATTGTTTGTTTATCTTTTTAATTTTAAACTTTGATTAATAATAAATTTTATTATTTCCCTATTTAATTACTCTAATGCTCTACTTATTTTTACCAGTCATATAGGCAATTAGTATTTTTAGAGCTTAAACTAAATATTATTACAAAATCAAGGTTTATTAGAACAATTATCAATTATAATTTATATTATATTATATATATATAAACCGAATTGTTTTTTTAATCTGATTTCATTTGAAAAATTTAAAATATAATTTTTTTTGAAAATAGAATTTTAATTTATTTGGTTAGAGAATATCAATAGGGTTGAAATTAAAACCTGCCTATCTACCTATTTTTGCCTTCAAAGAATTTTATTTGGAAGGTTGCATTTCACACTATTTGCTAATTAGCATAGCTTGCTATTGCTTATCGAAATCAAGTTTAGTAAGCTAAACTGCAAAAAATTTTACAAGCAATAAAGAGGCAAGCCTAGTTTCTGTTCATACTCTTTTACCCTCTTATATATTTGGATTATGTTTTATTTTATTTTAAGTTAATATAAGATATTCCCAATAACATTTTATATTAAAAAAATAGTTTTTAAATAAATAAGTAAAAAATAAAAATGAGTAATAAAAATAATTATTATATAAAAAATATTTAAAATATTTTCTAAGCTATACATTTTTAAAAAATATATAGGACAGTTTATTATAGTTAACATTTAATTTTATTTCACTTGAAATAAAAATTTTATCATGCACTTTCAGGAATCTATTTCTTCCATATTTATTTCAAAACTACCAAATTAGTTATTCCAATCAAAATATCCAGCTAAATCTTTTGAAGTTACTGTAGCTTTAACTTATTTTAGTGACTTTACAAAATCTGATTTATTGATAGGACGAATATCACTAGACTATATGTTTGTTATATCAGTACATTGACGGATAGGTATTAAAGCTGCCTCCTTACAAAGGTTTGTCATATCAGCTCCAGAAAAACCTTTTGTAGCTTGAACAACTTCTAAAATATCCTATTTATTATAAATTTTTAAAATTAAAAATGAATAATTTATCTTCTTAGTATTTCTTATATGCAATTAATTTTTTACTTGGTCGCTCATATCAAAAGCGTTTCCTTTTGCTGATTCTCTTTCAATTACTCTTCTTATCAATTACTCTCTTGCTACCATATTAGGTAGAGGAATATATAATTTCTTAACAAATCTTCTTCTAACAGCCTATTAATAAAATAAATTAGATTATGAAATCCAAAATTTTGAAAATTAATCACATCATCAAGTTCTTATGGCCTATTTGTTGCTCCTATAAGTAACAATCTTACTTCTTCTCTTGAAGTAGCACCTTCCATTTAAACTAAAAACTCTGTCTTAATTCTTCTACTTGCCTCATTTTCATTCTAAAAATTTTAAATTTGTAAATAATTTTTTGTTTTATCTTAAATTTTAGCAATTAGGCTAAAATAAATTTATATTTAATTTTATTATTATTTATTTTACTTCTTATCTTGCACATAAAAGTGAGTCTATTTCATCAATAAAAATAACACTTGGTTATCTCATTTCTGCTAGCTTGAAGAGAATTTTTACCATTTTCTCACCTTCACCAATATATTTACTTGTTAGAGAAGATGCTGATATAGAAAAAAATGTAGAGCCAGATTGATTAGCAATAGCCTTGCCAATCATAGTCTTACCTGTTCCAGGTGGTCCAAACAAGAGAAGACCCTATAATTAAATATTAAATTAACTATTAAATTTAAAATGTTTTTTACTTTAGGAGGAGCTCTAATACCAGTAAAGATTTATGGGTTCAACATAGGCCAAACTATAGTTTCCTTGACAGATTCCTTAGCTGAACTTAAACCAGCTATATCTTCCCACTTAACATTAGCAGCATTTTCTACAATTTCGTTTTCAATTAAATCTATTAACTTTATGAAAAAAATTTTTAATAACTAAAATCTGTTTTAATAAATTTTACTTTTTAATCCATTCCTTTGAGCTGCTCACACTATTCATTTTTTTTCCCTCCGGTATTTGAACCAGGTGCTCCTGGAGGTTTGAATTTTCTGCTTAGTCCTGTCTTTTTATATTCGTCTTCTGTACCACCTCCATTTAAGGCAGCAGCTTAATTAGATGAAGAATTATTATTTAAATTGAGGTTTTTCCCTATAGTATGGTAATGGACAAGATTAACAACATCATCAACTCCCTAGTTACTTCCATATTTTGTATATCCGTATTTAGGTTTATTATCATTCACACCTTCAAACTCTAGCTATCCATTATTTCTACCATATTTTCCAGTTTCTTTATTATAGAATCCTTCTTCTTTTTATCTCTTTAACATATTATTTTAATATCTTTATTCTGATGCTGTTTTAAAACCTCCAGCTTACTATTACTCATCTTATTCTTCTTCAATTTACTCCCTTCCTTTATTATATCTATTGTTATTTTGATACCTATTTCTACCATACCCAAAATTATTTGTATTTTAATTTTAATAGCTGTTGTAGCCATTGTTATACTATTATTTATATCCATTTGTTTTTTATGGTTGTTCATCTTAATTTTAACTGCTTTGAGATCTATAAAACCCATTGTTATTATTTTGTTAAGTAGGACCAAAATTATTATTATTATTTTTATTATTATCAATACTATTATTAGGATTGTTCTAAAAACTATTTATATTCCCATATCCTTAATTAGAGTTGGATGAGATTTAATTATTATTGCTATTCAATAAACTACTTATTGCAGGCTTTTAATTTGATGTTTGTCTTTCTGGAAGTCTTGCTTGAGTATTTAACTGTACTGTTTTTCTAGGTTGAGGAAATCTTGTATCTTTTTCATATTCTATAAATTACTCAAACTTTTCTTTAGATATTTTTGGCATTATATTAAACTTTTTATTAGCCTTGCTTGGTTTGTATAACTGATGATCTCTCATTCGTTCAGCTTCTTAAATAAAATCTTCTAAACATAGTGAGTTGTCTTTCTCTTAATACTTTTAAAGTAGAAAAGCGAAAGAAAAAGCATGTTTATATACATCTTCTTTATCTTCTTTTTGAAGAGAGTTTGAATTTTAAGAATACAATTAATGAGTCTCATTCATCTTATTTTTAAAGCTGGATAAAATACTCTTAAGGGTTTCCTTCTACATTGGAATTAAATTATCTTATTACAATCCCCCATCCCCAGCATCTTTATAAGTAGAAAGCATTTTTTTCCGAAATAAAGACGGAGTTACTTCTTTCTTTTTAATTTAAGGTGTTTAATTATGAATGATTTTTTTTTAGATTGAAAATCTAATTCAAATTAAAAATATAAATTATTAGTTTAATTAATTCTGGCGCAGTGGATTTAGCTTAATTATAATAATTTTTTGCGCCAAATATAATCAACTATAAAATGACTGATAAATTTAAATTAAAACAACAAAATGTATTAAGAATAAATAAATAAAAATTATTTTTTCATTTATTTTTTTAATTGAAACATAAAAATTTTAATTTTCAATACAAGTATTTTTTTTAATTTAAAAGTAATTTGATAGAAATAAAAATTAGCATTTTATCATTTATTTAAAAGGTTTTTTTAACATTAATTGAAATTATTTTTAATATTTTAATTATTAATGTTAGGTATTTAAGAAAATAAATAAACTAAAGGTGATTTTATTTATTTAGATTGATCTTTTTAAATAAAATTATTTAATTATTTCATATAAACTAGATTTTAAAATATCTCTTTATTTCTCATTAAGGTAGAACTTATTATTAATTTCTTTAATTTAAATGTGAAAACACTAGCAAATCATTTACTTTTGATTTTTATATAGCATCCTTCTAATGAGACATATACAATTTAAAAGATGCAAAGTGAATTTAAGAATATTGTAGCCTTAAGAGACTTAGTCAAATCAACTACACTTTCAATTGTATCTCTTTATTTCATAATATAATTTTGTTTAAATTTATTTTTGCATATTTTTAAATAATTTTAAACCTATCTGTCGAGTTTTAAGTTGATTCATATTGACCTTATATGTATTCGATTTCATTTATAGCATAATTAGAGAAGAAAATTGCTAAGAGTAATGCTAAAGTCTTTAAAATTAAAGATTTTTTAAATTAACAGATTTGATCAAAAAAGTATATTTTTACTTATGTCATATAAATAAATAAATTAGTAAGCAAAATATTGCTCCACTATTTGGCTTCATTTGATTCTACTTCTAGCATATACTTTTCTTCAAATGATGCATTTCCATTTTTTATTCTTTCATTTCTTTTGCGACTAAATTTTTTAGAGTATTCATCAATTATTTAAAAAATCCAATATAAATCTAATTTACTCTTTAATGTAATTCCAAATATAGTAAGCACAAAAAGGGATGTAAACAACAAAAACTAAAGCCTATTAAATGTAATTTTAATTATAAATGCAATATATATAAATACCTTAAATAAATTTTTACTTAATAAGAAGGAATTTGATTTATAAGAATCTTTTCTAACCTAAAGAATGCTAATTTATTAATCTTTATTTAGTATGATTATAGATTTTCTTTCACACTTTTAAAATAAAATAATAATATGTTTAAATCAGATAAAATAGATAAATACCTAGTCATAATAATTAATGAAATCAAGCTTATTATTAAAGAGGCTATGTATATGAAAACTTTATTTATATTTACCATTTAATCTACTTATATTAAAATCTACAAACCTAAATTATATTATAACCTATTTAATATTGTACGTTTTATTCAGTCTTTTTAATGATTTATTTAATTTATTTATTAATTAATTTCTTTTAATCTCTTTATTCAGATTTTTTTCAAGATTATTATGATTGGGACTTAATACTTCTATCGATATATTGATCAAATTTTTGAAAAATAGACAATACTTTATCAGAAATCTTTCTTTATTCTCATTTCTTACAGCTTCAAGATTGTTTGGATTAGAAATGCTTAAAAACAACATCAAAATATAAACACTAACTTAAATGTAAAGATTATCTAAATAATAAAAGTATTCGTCCTAAGTTAAAAAAAATACTTCAAATCTCCAATTTTTTATTAAAATATTATGTGTTGACTACTCAAATATTACCATTCTATCTAAAATAATCTTTTAAATATTATTTCAATTTTTAATATTAATATTAAATAAATATTAAAAATTTTAAAACTTTTGAAATTTATGATTTTTTAATATTATATTTACTTTCATAAAAGATTATTTAAATATAAAGATATGTTATAGTAAAATTTTAGTATTAGTTTATATTCTTTAGAAATTTTATTTTATATTACTTTTTGTATACATAGTCTTAAATAATTGTTAAATTAAATAGTAATTTGGTGAAAGAATAGTCATTTATTTTGATAAACAAGTAAAAGATAATATTTAATTTAATCGATAAGAATCGTGTTTTTATAAAAAATATTAAGAAATAACAAGCAAGCAACGTTCCCATAAAATATATAGCGATATTGATAAAATGATTAAAAATGCTAGTTAAATTCTATTAAATTAAGACACCTCTTCATTCTCATACACAGACATAAATTATTAGAAAAATAATTAGGGAAACAGCAATGCATATTTGAATAGTAGTAAAAATAGTAGTGAGTAGACATTTGATAACTTAAATATTTATTCTGCTGCCAATGAAATATCATTACAGAAATCACAAATGAGTGCGAGATTACATAATATTAGATAGAAAAGCTTGGATTTTTAAATGTTTCATCAGAATAGCCCCTAGGTTGGTCTTTCTATTAACAGCGAGAGACTTTCTTTTCAAAATAATACTTTATAATATGGATACTGCTCAAAGCATCCCAATAGAAAGGTAAACCTTTTTTCTCTTTTCAAAGAACTTATAAATAGTTTTCATTTGCTAGATTGAATCTGATATATTGGCTGTTTCATGAAAATATAATATTTTTTGTTTATTAAATCATAAAATAGGCTAAATACTATGTTAGTGAAGATTCAACTAATCTTTTTTGCTCAAAATGTGCTCTTGGAAGTGCATTAAAAGGTAAAAAAATTGAATAAGTGTTTGCTTCTGAAGGTAATTAAAATTAGAAGATGATCATTTATAAAAATATAATTGTTAAATAGAAAAGTTTCGAAAAGCAGAAACAGATACTTTTATGAAGAATTTAAAACTAACACAAAACATTCTAAATTTAAGTGATACAGAAAATGAAAAGGGGAAAGAAAGAGTAAAAGAATTTTATGAAATATAGCTAAAGAAAATAAACGAAGCATTCAACCATGTAGAAAGCATGTTAGTAGAAGAAAGGAATAAAATAGTTTAGAAAATTCACTAAAGTATGAATGAATCTCTAAAACAAATAGATGACTATAAAATGAAAATAAAGCTTTTTAAATTTGAGGCAAGCTAACAAGAAAGAGATATTTCAAATCATTATGATAACATCATCTCATAAATGGAAAATTAACCCTTCACAGAGATTTTAAAAAAGTATTTTTTTATTTGAAATTTAAGGATTTGATATTAACTGTTTGGGTAGATTAAATGAGTTTTTACTTTAATTTCTTTTCAAAATTAAATTCAACTACTACAATAAGCTAAATCTCGTTAATAATCAATGCTTATTATTATAATTCCATGACATACTTTTATTTTGAAAATAATAATAAATACACTTTTTTAAATAACTCTCACTATCATTGACAAAATAAATAACAAATAAATTTCAATCTTTTCAGTAAATATTCATAAAATTTTCATAATAATTAACAAACTCTTTTCAATTTAAATTTAAAAGAGTGAATTATTTTGATCATTCAATTATTATTTATATTTTAGATTGTTAAAAAAATTAGTATTTACTAAATTAAAATAAAATTTAAATTATTTGAGATGATCATATTATTTTTATCTATTAGCTTTAATTTCCTAATAAATTTGATTACTTTTAAATCATTCTAGTTATTACTTTTCAAGTTATTTAATGGGAAAAAAATAATTTAAACAAAATTCATTTATTTGACAATATAGCCCAATTTATAGCACGATTTTTGTAAATTTTTAAATAATATTATTTTTAAAAATTTGCTATTCTAATTAATACATTTTGATTTTTTGAAGTGTTTAATAAATTTGTTTGCAATATTTTTATTTTATAAAATTATTACTAAATTACTTCTTTATGTAAATTTATGGGATTTTTTTTATAAATAATAGTTATAATGAGAAATTAAGTTAAATTTAAGATAGCTTAAACTCCATAAATGCATCAAAGATATCTGTTGTTTAAATTGCTGATAAATCTGACTTACAAAAAATATAAAAAATTTTAGAAAATTCTATTGTTTACTTAAGTGATTATGAGATGGATATTTTTGAAAAACAAATTTATGAAGAATACTTAAGTATATGTTCTTAAATATAAATTAAAAAATCAGAAAGGCCTCTAAGTTATTAAAATTCTAATTCAAGTTACATTTAGGATTAGGTTAAGCACTAAAAAAATAATTCTTGTTAGTTAAACTAGTCAAATGATATAACGAAACTAATAAAACACTTTGGAGAAAGAAAGGAATCTTATGAAAGTTTTGAAATAGCTAGCTAAAATAGTTATTTACTTAAGACGGAATAGAGTGATTGTGCCTCTACAAACTCTTTAAAATAATAAAAGCTATTAGTAAATCATATAAATAGAAATAAAACAATAACTGAATGTAAATTTATTCGTCCTCAAAATAGTTAAAATAGCAGCAGATGCTTTGAAGTCTAAAATACTTAAAGCAAAAGCTCCAACACATCAAATAGATCCTTATTATCTATTGAATAGTAATAGTAATAATAATATAAGATAGAAAGTAAGATTACTAATGAAAAATAAGAGAATTAATAAAAGTAAGAAAATATAAATAAAAACATAGTTTCAAAATAATAAGCACCCTACATCAATTTAGAAAATATAGATAAATATAAAAGAATTAATTATAATATGAATCAATCAAATAACAGCAATAAGTTATAAAAAAGCTCTTCAAGCATAGAAAAGAGGTTAGTTAAAAAGAATATTCCTTAAGTTAATATTGATTTTAGAGTTTTAGGGACAAATTTAACTAATTCATATAATAACTAAAAATGAACTACAAAAGTAAAATAAATCTTAAAGTTTTTCTCTAAAATAAGTAAAATAAATACTTATATATGTTTGAAAAATAATAAAATAATCTAAGAAGTTATTGAATATTTAAAGGACTTATAAATTATTCAAATGCAAATAAGATTAGATTAAGCCCAATACATCAACAATAAATATTATTATAGTTTTCTATAAACTCTTCTATGGGTTATAAATAAAACTATGTAAATAGTAATTAGAGTAAATATTAATTAATAAAATTATTTTTAAATAAAAATTATACAGTAATTGACTATTTCTTATATAAAATAAATAGTCTTCATATATTATTAATTCATAGCCTTAATATATATCAAAAAATTGAATAATTAAAAGCATATAAATTAGAAAATTAAATATAATTCAATAACAAATGTACTTGATTTTTACTATTATTTTTGAAACAATAAATCTTTTTTGGTTAAAAATCTGAGATTTTTTTTTGTAAATTAGCTACTTGATTTTAAAATTAGAATTTCTTTCTCTTTTCAAATTTTGATAACAATCATTATTAATTTTAAGTTGGCCAATATTAAAAAATTAATTGATATATTACTTTGATATTACTAAAAAACAAAATCTAAAAAAGTTGTTGAAAATCACTTTATTACAATTATATAATTTTTAAATTTTATAAAATCCTCTGAGAAAATTATTTTATATTCGCTTTTTTATAAAAGTTAAATTTTTACATTGTGCGAAATGCTTTTTGAATCGTTTTATCTAATAATTTTGACAACCCATTTTTATTATTATTAATTGTTTTAGACATTATTTAAAGAATTGCTTTACTATTTTTGATTTTTGTACATATTATTTATTATTTTTTTATGTTTATTCATTAACAATTTTAGGATTTATTTTGTGAAATAAATTATATAATGAAAATTCTTTTTATTTATCAAATTCATTTTTCAAAACACTTTTTTTATTTTAGATTAAATATTTAATGCAAAGGAATTTTATATCATTAAAAATAAGTTTTACTTTTGAACAAACTAAATGACGAGAAAAACTATTTAAAAAAACCATAAATTTTCTTTCTTATTTTCATTTATATTAATATTTTGTATGCAAAATGATTTTTTCTACTTACTATTTATTTTTGTAATAACTAGTAAAAATAATATATTTAATGTAATTTTTACTTTTTAAGGTAAAAATTAAAAAAAATAAATATAAATTAAATTATTATATATAGGTTTAGCATTATTTATTTTCTTTAAAATTTAGAGAATAAGTTCTATGAATTATATAAAATAATAATTAAATAAATTCTGAAATAGCTAAAAACATGAATAAAATCAGTTAACCGATTTAAATTCCTTTTAACTAATTTGAAGAGGAAATAGATGAATTAGTGCATGATTGCCCTTTTAATAAGATTTGTATTTCAAATTAATGCAGCAACACTCAAAAGCTATGTTGTATTGAATGTGTTCAATTTTATCACCCAAGCCACACTGATAAGATACACGATTACGTATAAGCCTTAAAGCATCTCAAATAGTCAATAAAATATAAAAATTCTAATTTAGTTAAAAAAATAAATTATGTGAAAAATTTAAGTAAAAATTTATAGAAGCAAAGAGATCATATGCTCAAAAAAATCCAAAATAGCTTTTAGAAAATCGACACTTATTGCTCTAACCTAGTTACTATTGAAGCAAATAGCTTGCAGTAAAAATTTGAATCTGTATATGAGATGAGTACATTTAATTTATTAAAAGACCTTACTTAATCGGCCAAAGAAGTTTAGCTGGATCAATAACTTTAAATAATTTAAAATGCTAATAAAATTTTTTCTAAGTTTGAATCAGAATATTAACCATGTATTAATTATTTTTAAAAATTTAATTTAAATTAGAAAATTTTTCATTTAAATTTTTTAAACTCTATAATTTTTAATTAAAATTTTACATCCAAATAGATCTCTAATTCAAAAGTAGAAAAGAGAATGAGTTTAATGAGAATGTATAACTCCACATCGAAAACATGAAAACATATTTATTAGATTTAAATTAAAAAAATAGTAGGTTTACAAATAAAATCTATAAACTAAGCAAAGAAATCACTTAAACTCATCTCATAAATTTTAGGACTTGCAATATTAATAGCAACAAAATTGAAAAATATGAAACACCTATTAGTTAGATGGTTGTTTTAAATAAAAATATTTTACTTTTATCTATGAGAGTTGATGTTGAAAGATAGTTCATATAATTTATTGATTACTCTGATTAGCAAAATCAATATGAATAAATAAATGAACTTACCATTTAGCATGAAAAAATTGTTGATTTAAAGAGTAGGTAAACATTTTTAGTGGTTTCTGATTCTAAAATAAGCAAAATAAGATATTCTGCTTAATAAATATACACAATTAAACAAATTTTTTTCATAGAAAAGATATTATTAGTAGAGTTTATACCAGAAACAAATAGCATATTAGTTATAACTAAAGATTTCAGCATTAATAATTAAAATATTAAACTCTAATTCTATAGAGCTAGTGATTTTTCTCTTTACAAAAGATACACGATGGACGATTCTTCAAAAACAATAATCACTGCTTGCTCTTTCCAAACAAATACTCTAGTTACAGCGAATTAAAGGCATTTAAAAGTAAATTATTTATTTCTTAAATATTAAAGTTAGAAATTAAAATTAATTTTAATTTACTTTGAAAATTTGAAAGTTTATTTTAGAAAATATTGCAAACAAAACTGTTTGAAAAAAATCTGAAAGTTTTAATAAATTAATTATTTATTATTTATTATATAGTCATTAAATTTAATGTTTAATATTATTTAGTACTTTTTGATAATATTTATTTTATAAACTTCTATTAATATTAATTAAATAATTTCATATTAAATTAGATTTACTAATTAATATCTGGAAGATTTAATAAATTTTATGTGGTTGGAGATACTATTAATGACAATATTATTGATTTAAAATTTCAAAAATAATAACAATTAGAAAACAAAGATGAGCTTATTGTTTCAAATATTTAGGGGTTAGTAACTAAAATCTCGTTTCCAAAAATAAATAAAAAAATTGTGAACACAAAAAGTCCTAATGAAAAAGTATTTTTTTGTATATTTGAAGAACTAAAGCTATTCACGGATAAGAGATATATTTAATTTATTATAAAACCTGGAAACACATAAGTTAAAGTATTAAAAATTAAAAAAAATCTTAAAAAAAATAGTAAAACTGAAAAAATAGACCAGGTTTTTGAGTTAGATGAAGAGTATACTTGTCATTCAAGTTATAATATTTTAGGAAGTCCTTCTTCATATAATTTATTCATAGGTACTTCTAAAGGTTCTTTCTTTCATTTTAACTATTCAAACATTCAAAGTTGATTCATAAAAGTTAAATCTATGATTAACATACTTTGTTAAATATGTAAAAAAGCATTTATTATGAAATTAAAATATAATATAAAATTAAAAATAATTGTTTGTTATTATTATTATTATTATTATTATTATTTTTGTAACTAAATATTTGTTTTTTAATATTTTGTTTTGAATATTGAATCAAAGTATGTTTTATTAAATTTAATTTTAAATCATTAATCATTATAAATTTCTTTTTAATATGTCCATGATTAAATATATTATTTTATAGTAATTTTTTTTTCTCTTAAAAACAATTTTTGGTGTAAAATATTGGAAATCTTTTTAATTAAAAGATTTTTTTCTTTTTTAAAAATATTAAAATATGAAAGAAATATTATTTATCAATTTAAGATTTTAAATATTATAAATATCTCTAACTTAAACTTAAATAAAATCCTATTTTATATAAATATTTTTTATTATTCATTTTAGAAATGAAATTATTAGTATTATTTGTAAACGAGGATAAATATGTTCGTTAATAAATAGAAATGTATTATTTATTTAATAATTAATATTGACTGGTTTATATGTTAATTAAGAAGAATTTATTAACTTATTTATTTGATAAATAAGGATTATTGTGATATCAACTGATTTATTAGTAAACTGATTGTTTGTCATTCATTCATTATTTTATTAATTTGTATTGAAACTGTATAATTAATTCTGCACATAAAGGATAATTTACCTTTGAAGGATAATATTTAATCAGAAGTTAATAAATTTGGAGGATTGGCTTTTACTAAAACTAAGATAGAATAAAAGCATATTTTTAAGAATTAAATGTCTTGTAAAATTTAGTAATGTAACGAAAAAGATATTACGAGCTTTATAAAAGAATGGATGTTTAAGTAGTTTAAAGATGAGACTTTTTTATAACTTTAGAAAGACTACGAAGCTGGAATCCTCAAAAAGTATGAAGATCCTTACTTTCCACCTAACAATGAATCGCTTGGGTAAAAAATTGTAAAAAAATTCAAGGATTTGGTTTGGAGAAGAGCTCCAGAGTTTATTACTAACGTAGAAGTGCTAGATTTAGAGGTAGAATAGAAGGTTAATTAGGGTAGAATTGGTGATTGTTATTTACTTAATCCAATAGGACTACTAGGATTAATTCAAAAAAATATGATCTCAAGATTATTTACCATAAAGGAGCCAAATTAGATAGGGTAATTTCAATTAATTTTACTTTTTAAATAAATAATTTATTCAAATGTCTTTTTAAAAACTAAAATTCACTAGATATTATAGTGTTTGGTTATTTATTGATGGAAAATGGCAATATATTACTGTGGATGAGAGCTTTCCTTGGTGGATAACTAGAAAAAAACCTTATTTCTGTGATATTGTTAATGAAAATCAAATATGGGCGATGATTATTGAGAAAGCATGGGCAAAACTGCATGGAGAATACAGTCGTCTTTGGGGAGGCGATACTGGATTGGCATTCAGAGTTATAACAGGAGCTCCTACTAAATCATATGGACTAAAAAAATATAGAAAAGATCCAAGAAAGGTAATATTATATTATCTACTTTGACTATTAATTTATCTATCATTTTTATTACAATTTGTAGAAAGAATATATTTACAAACAAATTGATATGCACTTAAGTCAAGGACATTTAATTTCTGTTACTACAGGTGCTTTGGATGACTATGGAAAATCTATTATGACTTAAGGACATAGCTATGCCTTGATAGGATACAAAAAAGAAGAAAATAAATACATAATTAGAGATCCAAGAGGTCCCACTAATGTCTTTGGCAAAGAAGTAAGTAAACAAAAAAAAAAATATTTATTTAATTAAAATTTTTAATAGATTTACGAAATAGATTAAGTTGAGTTGATATACCTATTTTAGTGCGTGATTGTATGTCTTTTACATCCCGAATATGTTTTCACTTAGCATGAATTGGTGTTTGAAGATGAACAGTCTAAATCTGAAAGGCTTTTTAAAATGAAAGTTGAAAAAAAAATGAAATTTCACATTAGCTTTTTCTAGCCAAATAAAAGATTTTTTAAAACTTAAGATAAGAAACAAAAACATAAACTAAGCAAAATAACTGCTAAAGTTCTAAAAATTGATTCAAAGGATGGAATTATAACAAAAGCAAAAACCTTATCTTAGAGGAATGGCAAGAGTTAACAAATAGATTTAGAACTTAATTTAAATAAAGGAAATTATTATGTGTATTGTTTAGCTGAATGGAATAGTTCTATATTTCGTAAAATTAATATTTGCTCTTATGGTTAGTATTTTGTAGAGTTTACAGATCTTACTTCTGATAAAAAATTGTGTTAGTTAAAGGAGTTTTTAGAAATTTAAAGGTAAAAAAAAGAAGAGTAAAAAAAATGCAAAAAAAGCAAATAACTAAAACAAAATAACATTTCATAAAATAAATTAAATTAAGAAGTTGAAATATCAAATTAGTAAATAACTGATTAGGATAATCTAAAAAAAGAACAGCAATAATAGATTAAATAAAATTTAGATTAGTAAACTTAAAAAAATGAAAATGAAACAAAAATTAATTTACAATAGATAAGGTAAACAAATTAAGCATAAAGAAATGATAAAAAAGCAGATACCAAGCAAAATGCATAATAATGTAAAAAAAATGAAACTAAATCAGGTGAAAAAGCAGATAATAAACTAAATGAGATAGATGAAAAAAAATAATCAAGCAGTGTTTCTATTAGTAAATCTAATAAATTAAATTTAACTGAGGAAAATGTATCTTAAATATTAAATATTTCATCTCAAGAAAATAAACATAAAACAAATCTTTTTAATATCTAAGTTGATTAGAATTAGAATACAATCCCCTCTTTAAATAAATTAGAAAATTCTTCCTCTAATTAAAATGCAGCAACCACTAATATTTTACTTTCTTCAGCAACTACTTCTATTTAATTGTAAAGAAAAAATTAGATAAAAAGTAAAACTTTATTGAGCCAAAAAAGATATTCTCTCAACAAAAGTCAAAATAGAGTTTATGCTGCTTAAGAAACAAATGTAACTTAAAATTTGTACTTTTCCTATTGACTTTTATAATTTTATTAATTAAAAATAGCCTGAGCAGTCCCAATCAAAGAATTAGGAAATTCAATAATTATTGTAAGGTAATAATAATAATTAAAAAGATTTACAGATGAATAGAGATTAGAAAAGCTATCTTAATTCTAATAATCATCAGAATCTTCAAAAGCAGAAGCTATCTGTAATAATCAAGGATAGAAGATCACTTAATTTAGTAAATAACTAAAACTAATAAAATGAAATTTTATAATTAGCAAATCTCTAATCCTAAAAATTGCACGAATAAAAAATAGACTAAAAAACAATTAAAGAAAATAGATGTTTAAATATACTTCCCCCTTTATGTCCTTCTCCATAGATTAAAAATTATTGTCAAAACAATTATTAAAATTCAAAGTATCTTTCAATGACTGATTAAAAAATAAATAAAAAAAATAAATAGTTTTTATAATCATCAGAAAATAAAATGAATTAAATGATTATAAACACTAATTCTTCCATAAACACTTAAACACATAACTTAAATATTACTGAGTAGCTAAATCATCAATACGCTCAAAAAAATGTAGAAAAAAGTATTCTTAAAAGTATTAACTTGTTTAATTAATTAACTGACATCAAAAATGCTTCTAGCACATTGCCTTTTAAAGAAAAGTAAGGTTAAAAAAATAACTCTGTTGTGAAATCAAATAGATAATTAGCTGGGAACAATTACTTGTAAAATAAATCTTATTTGAAGCAAAAAGACTGAGTGATTATTTATTTTAGTTCTGTTAAAGTTAAGTTTTTGATAAATACAACAAATATTCTTTTATTAAAAAATACATTCAATGGCTATTAAAAATAATACTTAAATAGTAAAACCAAAGGTTTAACAATTAATTTTACCAACCAATAAAAATATCTTACAAATCCTTTTATAATTAAAAAACTCAAACATTGAATTCTTAAATAAAACCTAAATTTCTCTTAAATTAAATAGAAAACCTTATTTCTCTCCTTTTTTACTTAATTATTTGCAAATAAATTATAATTAAATTATATTAATCAATAAGCAAAAACCTTTCTCTCATTCTATTCATAAGTAAAATATATTTTAAAATTGAAAAAAATATTAAATAATATTATTGTAATTTTGTATAAATACTATTATTCAATATCAATCAACTTTAAGTTTAAGCAAAACTCAAATTTATATAAAATTAATAAATCTGTTTACATTTGAAATAGAATTTTAATAATCAAGTGTTCAATATCACTTTATAATTTTGTAAAGTTTCTAAAATAAAATAAAAAAATTATTATTTTATTTTAATAGTTTGTTGATTTAAGTAAATATTGTTCTCGAAACTTTAAACAAATAGAATTTTTTATTAATTGATTATATGATTTTAAAATTTACACTTTTTTGGATCTTAAGGATCAAAAAAAATTATATTTTTGGTAGAAAATATTGTTTTTTGATAAGATTCGAATGGATATAAATTAAATAAAAAAAATTTGGTTGATTAAATTTGTTTTGTATTTTCTTATTTTTTTTATTAAAAGAAAACTTATATATTGATATTTCAAATCTTTTCTCATAAACCATTCGAAGTTTAAAAATCTATTAACAAAATATCACTTTTACTTTTCTCAAAAAAGAATATTTTAAATTATTCTCTCAAAAAGAAATATGACATTTGAATTTTATTTTATCTGTACTATGAAGCAAGTATTTTAAAGTATTTAATTAAATACAAATAATTAATTTTCATTATAGTAACAGTATTGTATAAAATTTCTTTGCTTCTGTTGTTTACTTCCTCTTAATCCTTAATATTATTTTGGAGCGAAAATTAATAATAACAATAAAGTAAATTAAAATTGGAACCATTAATTTTATTTTTGATATTCATATACTAATCAAAAGCATTCACACTGATAATCTGTTTATAATTCACAATAATTTCGATTTTTATTATTCATTTACATTGTAACTTAGCTGATATTCATAAACATTTTTTCTCAGTATAAGATCCTGATTTTGCTATATTTTTGACTTTTTGATTACTAAATGTAGATACAAATTTTATTTATTATCAATGTATTTTTGAAGTTTTACTCTTATTGTAACAAAGAAAAATTTTAATTCAGAGATAAACAAATTTGGTTTATTGTTTAGATCAATTCTTTAAGAGAAAAATATTTCAACAAGAATCGGAAAATTACATTTTATGTTTAGATCAATTTGTAATTAATAAATGGTATTTAAAGTATCTATTATTTTTTTTGTAATATTTAATATATTACAATCAAAATGATTTATTTTAAGGAGAAAAATAAATAGTGGATATTATATTAATACACATAAAAACTTATGGTCTTAATTAAATAAATACTATCTAATGGTTCTAGTCTAAAGGAGATTAAGTTCAATAATTGAAATAAAGTATGCTTACTTAATCTCTTTAGATCAATTGAAATGTAAGTAATATTAATAGAAAATCATTAGGTGAATAAAATTTCTTTGGAAAGGAGAAAAAAAAATCATATAATTAATAATAACTATTGATTTACTAATAACAAAAACAAATACAACAATATTTAATATTACTGCAGCAAACCACATATATTATTACTTTTATTTCTTTTTATCTGTTTATGAGTCTCATAACTTTAATAATATATACCTTTTTAGCATATTTATGGATGCTAAAGTAGACATCTGCTCATTTATATGGGCACGCATGCTAGCATGACTCCTCTATCCTTGAAAAAATCATGCCACAAGAGTATTACGATTCTATTGAGGAAATAAGCTTAAAAAGAAAATTGGCAGGAGGAACTCCTTAACCTTTTAGAGTTACTATAGATCCCTCCTATTTAGATGATCCTGCCAATGGAAGTGGCATGGATTCCACAAAAAAAAACTATATTATCAAGATTATGAATACAGCATAAATGTTCCTTAAGAATTTCATCAAGGTAATTCCTCGAACAACACCTATTAAAAAGAGAGGTTCAGCAACATGCTACGATATAAATGTTCCTGCTGCTCTATAAAGTACTGGAGTTAGTAATAGTGATCTTCATATTTTAGTAACTTTTGAAAATACACCTAGTAGTTCAGCTTTAGCTAATGCAGGTAAAGAAGTAGCATCAATAAATTATGCAATTTTCTTAAAATAAAAATATCAATAAAGATATCCCAAAGTTTTTAATTAAATTTTAAAAATATAGATTAAATTTATATGATTGAATATTTTTATTTTATTAAATATTACTAAAGTTGCTTGTGACTACGACCCTGGTCCTATTGTTGGTAGAATTAAATTTAATATTGGCACAATGAAAAATATTGGAACAACTACTTAGGCTTTCGAATCAGATTTTGCAACAGCTATTCATGAATTAACTCATGTATTAGGCTTTTCTTCTAGCGCTATGCAGTATTGGATTGATCCAGATACAAATCAACCCTATTTAGCTAATGTTGGAAAAATTTAGGTCAAAGATACTGTAAGAGGAGTTAGTAATGTTATAAAACTAAAGTCTAAAAATGTTCTTGATACCGCAAGGAGATATTACAATTGCCCATCTCTAGACTCTGTACCATTAGAAAATTAAGGTGGATCAGGTTCTTTTGGTTCTCATTGGGAAAGAGATTTGATTCAAAATGAATATATGACAGCTAGCGCTATTTTAGGTAAATTTATTTTTTTAGATAAAAATTTTAATTATGATAATTAATATATAAAAACTAATTTACATAAAATTTAAAATTAAAATATTTTTTATTTTATTTTAAGGCCATGCAATAATTTCAGAATTTACAGCTGCTTTACTTGTAGATACAGGATTTTATGCCGAAATAAATTCAAATATGGTAGAAAAAGGATATTGGGGTAGGGGGAAAGGCTGTGATTTTATAAATAAATCTTGTGATGATACAAATTAATAATACCCTGAGTTTAGTTATGATAATAAGGTTAAGTGTGATTTCTATTCAGTTGGATACGGTACCCTTGCAAGTGATTAGTTTTCTCAATGTAAGGTTATTTAAGACTATTCAAATGGATAATGTTTTGATGATACTCAAATGGCACCTAATATTATTACAAGAAATAATTCAGGTTCAGGATCTAAATGTTTTATTTCTACTTCTTTAGATAAAAGGTATAACATATCTGGTGATAATGGGATTAGATGCCATAAATATACATGTAATGCAGATAATTCAGCAATAAGCGTTAATTTATGGAAAGATGCTAGTCTTAATATTTAAATTAATTGCAGTTCTTAGAATCAAGTTATTGATTTAACCACTGTCTCTGCAGATACAAAAGGTAGTTTAACATGTCCAGCAGATTTTAGTTTATTTTGCAGTTTTCCTAAATCTTGTATAAACTTTTGTAGTGGAAATGGTATTTGCTCAAATGTAAATATTTATTCAATTTTATCTTTTTAAAATAAAAAAAAATATTTAGGCTGTATGCTATTGCTTAGATGGGTTTGCAGGTGAAGATTGCTCTAAATCATGCCCTTCACCTTAAGTATGGGATGGCACCTAATGTGTGTTGAATTGCACTGGAACTTCTTTTTTAAACCCTGATAATGTAATTAAAATATTTATTTTTTGAAATTAATCTTTTCATAATAAAAAATAGACTTGCAAACCTACTTGTCCTAAGGCTTACTTTAAGAATACTAATAAAAATACATGCGATATATGTAATAAAGCATGCAGTATCTGTACAGATTCTTCTAATTCTTCTTGTAGTGAATGTAACTCTCCATATGTATTGAAAGGAACAACTTGTTAAGATCCATCAGCTGTAATAACTTGCGATTCTACATGTCTTACTTGCAGTGGCTCTGCTAATAACTAGTGTTTAACTTGTTCTGATGGAAGATTTTTAGATTCATAAAATTAGTGCACACTTTGTTAATCTCCTTGCAAAAACTGTACAGACTCAGCAACTAAATGCACAAGCTGTATTACCGACTATACTTTTAATTCATCAACCAATACTTGCTCACCTATATGCGATTTAAGTTGCCTAACTTGCTCTTCCCCAAAAGATGCTACTAAATGTTTGAGTTGTAGCGATGGTTATTTTTTATCATCTGGCAAATGTTAATAATGCTCATCTCCTTGCTCTAAATGTGTAGATTCTGCTTCTAAATGTTTATCTTGCATAACAAATTATACTTTTGACAATCCATCAAACTCATGTAAGCCTAATTGTGACTCTTCTTGCAAAACATGCTCATAACCTATTGACCAAAATAATTGCTTGAGCTGTAATGATGGATCATTCTTAGATGGCACAAAATGTTCACCATGTTCTTCACCTTGTAAAACATGCGACTCATCATCTACAAAATGCCTATCTTGTATAGCAAATTATACATATGATAATACTAAAAATATTTGTAATCCTGTTTGTGATTCTTCATGCAAAAATTGTAGTAAACCCAATGATCTGAATTCTTGTACTTCTTGTAATGATGGATCTTTTCTTGATGGAAGTAAGTGCTCTCCCTGCACGTTACCATGTAAAACTTGTGACACATCATCAACAAAGTGTCTTTCTTGTATTACAGATTATACATATGATAGTTCTAATAATTAGTGTAATCCTAATTGCGATGCTTCTTGTAAAACTTGTTCTAAACCTAAAGACCCAAATTCTTGTTTAAGTTGCAGTGATGGTTCTTTCTTAGATGGTGCAAAGTGTTCTATTTGTACTTCACCTTGTAAAACATGTGACTCGTTATCTACAAAATGTTTTTCATGTGTTGCAAATTATACTTATGATAGTTCTAAAAATACTTGTAGCCCTATATGCGATTCTTCATGCAAAAATTGCAGTAAACCTAATGATCCAAATGCTTGTACTTCTTGTAATGATGGTTCTTTCCTTGATGGAAATAAATGTACTGTCTGTACACCACCTTGTAAAACATGTGATACATAAGCAACAAAGTGTTTATCTTGTATTACAGATTATACATATGATAGTTCTAAAAATTAGTGTAATCCTGACTGTGATATTTCATGTAAGACATGCTAAAAGCCTAAAGATGCTAATCAGTGTTTGAGTTGCAACGATGGAGCTTTCCTAGATGGAACTAAATGTACTTTGTGTACTTCACCTTGTAAAACATGTGATACTTTATCTACTAAATGCTCATCTTGTGTTACTAATTACACTTATGATAACTCAAAAAATTAATGTAATCCTGACTGTGACGCCTCTTGTAAAACTTGTTCAAATCCAAAAGATGCTAATCAGTGTTTAAGTTGTAACGATGGAGCTTTTCTTGATGGTACAAAATGTACTTTATGTACTCCACCTTGTAAAACTTGCGATACTTCTTCATCTAAATGCTTATCATGCATTCCAAGTTATTAACTTGATAATTCAAATAATAAATGCAACCCTACATGTGATGTTTCATGTAAAACGTGCTCATAGCCTATTGATCCAAATTCATGTCTGAGCTGCAATGATGGATTCTTTTTAGATGGGACAAAATGCTCAGCATGTTCCTCACCTTGTAAAACATGTGACTCTTCATCTACAAAATGCTTATCATGTGTTGCAAATTATACTTATGATAGTTCTAAAAATACTTGTAGCCCTATATGCGATTCTTCCTGCAAAAATTGCAGTAAACCTAATGACCCAAACGCTTGTACTTCTTGTAATGATGGATCTTTCCTTGATGGAAATAAATGTACTGTCTGTACATCACCTTGTAAAACATGCGATACACAAGCAACAAAGTGCTTATCTTGTATAACAGATTATACATATGATAGTTCTAAAAATTAATGTAATCCTGACTGTGATATCTCATGTAAAACATGCTCAAAACCTAAAGATGCTAATTAGTGTTTGAGTTGTAATGATGGAGCCTTTCTTGATGGAACAAAATGTACTTTGTGTACTTCACCTTGTAAAACATGTGATACTTTATCTACTAAATGCTCATCTTGTGTTACTAATTACACTTATGATAACTCAAAAAATTAATGTAATCCTGACTGTGATATCTCATGTAAAACATGCTCAAAACCTAAAGATGCTAATTAGTGTTTGAATTGTAATGATGGAGCCTTTCTTGATGGAACAAAATGTACTTTATGTACTTTACCTTGTAAAACATGTGATACTGTTTCTACTAAATGCTCATCTTGTGTTACTAATTATACTTACGATAGCTCAAAAAATTAATGTAATCCTGACTGTGACGCCTCATGTAAAACTTGTTCAAATCCAAAAGATGCTAATCAGTGTTTAAGTTGTAACGATGGAGCTTTTCTTGATGGTACAAAATGTACTTTATGTACTCCACCTTGTAAAACTTGCGATACTTCTTCATCTAAATGCTTATCATGCATTCCAAGTTATTAACTTGATAATTCAAATAATAAATGCAACCCTACATGTGATGTTTCATGTAAAACGTGCTCATAGCCTATTGATCCGAATTCATGTTTGAGCTGCAATGATGGATTCTTTTTAGATGGGACAAAATGCTCAGCATGTTCCTCACCTTGTAAAACATGTGACTCTTCATCTACAAAATGCTTATCATGTGTTGCAAATTATACTTATGATAGTTCTAAAAATACTTGTAGCCCTATATGCGATTCTTCCTGCAAAAATTGCAGTAAACCTAATGACCCAAACGCTTGTACTTCTTGTAATGATGGATCTTTCCTTGATGGAAATAAATGTACTGTCTGTACATCACCTTGTAAAACATGTGATACATAAGCAACAAAGTGTTTATCTTGTGTTACAGATTATACATATGATAGTTCTAAAAATTAGTGTAATCCTGACTGTGATATCTCATGTAAAACATGCTCAAAACCTAAAGATGCTAATCAGTGTTTGAGTTGTAATGATGGAGCTTTTCTTGATGGAACAAAATGTACTTTGTGTACTTCACCTTGCAAAACATGTGATACTTTATCTACTAAATGCTCATCTTGTGTTACTAATTACACTTATGATAACTCAAAAAATTAATGTAATCCTGACTGTGATATCTCATGTAAAACATGCTCTAAGCCTAAAGATGCTAATTAGTGTTTGAGTTGTAATGATGGAGCCTTTCTTGATGGAACAAAATGTACTTTATGTACTTTACCTTGTAAAACATGTGATACTATTTCTACTAAATGCTCATCTTGTGTTACTAATTATACTTACGATAGCTCAAAAAATTAATGTAATCCTGACTGTGACGCCTCATGTAAAACTTGTTCAAATCCAAAAGATGCTAATCAGTGTTTAAGTTGTAACGATGGAGCTTTTCTTGATGGTACAAAATGTACTTTATGTACTCCACCTTGTAAAACTTGCGATACTTCTTCATCTAAATGCTTATCATGCATTCCAAGTTATTAACTTGATAATTCAAATAATAAATGCAACCCTACATGTGATGTTTCATGTAAAACGTGCTCATAGCCTATTGATCCAAATTCATGTCTGAGCTGCAATGATGGATTCTTTTTAGATGGAACCAAATGCTCAGCATGTTCCTCACCTTGTAAAACATGTGACTCTTCATCTACAAAATGCTTATCATGTGTTGCAAATTATACTTATGATAGTTCTAAAAATACTTGTAGCCCTATATGCGATTCTTCCTGCAAAAATTGCAGTAAACCTAATGACCCAAACGCTTGTACTTCTTGTAATGATGGATCTTTCCTTGATGGAAATAAATGTACTGTCTGTACATCACCTTGTAAAACATGCGATACACAAGCAACAAAGTGCTTATCTTGTATAACAGATTATACATATGATAGTTCTAAAAATTAATGTAATCCTGACTGTGATATCTCATGTAAAACATGCTCAAAACCTAAAGATGCTAATTAGTGTTTGAGTTGTAATGATGGAGCCTTTCTTGATGGAACAAAATGTACTTTATGTACTTTACCTTGTAAAACATGTGATACTGTTTCTACTAAATGCTCATCTTGTGTTACTAATTACACTTATGATAACTCAAAAAATTAATGTAATCCTGACTGTGATAGTTCATGCAAAAGCTGTGTTGCTCCAAAAGATCCAACAAAATGTTAAGAATGTAATAAAGGTTCTTATTTATCAAGTGGTTAATGTTTGAAATGTAACTCTTCATGTAATGAATGTGTTGATAATGATTCGAAATGTACAAGTTGCTTGCCAGATTATAGCTTTGATAGTTTAAAAAATATATGTACACCTATTTGTGATAGTTCTTGTAAGACATGTTTATATCCTAAAGATTCTACCAAGTGTACTTCGTGTTAAGATGGAAGTTTTTTATTTAATGGAAAATGTTCCCCATGCAAATTACCCTGTAGCACATGTGAAAATAAAGAAGATTAATGCTTATCTTGCTAAATAAATTATACATTTGACCATGTTAATAAGATTTGTTAAGCTGATTGCGATTCCAGTTGTAAAACATGTTCTTCTCCCAAAGATTCAAACTCATGTTTATCTTGTTAAGATGGGTATTTTTTAAGTGGCAAATAGTGTATACCATGCAGCAGTCCATGCAAAACCTGCAATGTTAGCTCCACTACATGTTTATCTTGTATATCAGACACTGATTATTAATATAAATCAGCATCTAATAAATGTGAACCAATTTGTGACTTATCGTGTTTGACATGTAGTGAACCAAAAAATCCTTTTAAATGCATTTCTTGTAATGATGGCACATATTTAAATTCTAATTAATGTTAAAAATGTCAAGCACCTTGCTTAACTTGTTAAAATTTATCAACTTAGTGCTTGTCTTGCATAGATTCCAAGTATACTTATGACAGTACTACAAACACTTGTAAATCTATATGCCACGCTAGCTGTAAGACATGCACTAATCCAGATGATGCTAATGCTTGTAGCTCTTGTTTTGATGGTTCATTTTTAAATGGATCTACTTGCCAACAATGCTAAGCCCCATGTTAAAATTGTTAAAATACTGGAAGTAATTGCCTATCATGCATCGCAGGATATTAATTTAAATCATCAAACACTTGTGAAATAATATGTTCTAGCTCATGCTAATCTTGTTCAAAACCATTAGATGATAAATCATGTACTAGCTGTTCTGATGGATACTTTTTATCAGGTACCTAATGCCTACCATGCTAAGCTCCTTGCTAAAATTGTGTAGACTCTGCTAATAAGTGTTTAAGCTGTATATCTTAAACAGATTATAAATTTGTAGTATCTAATAATTCATGCTAAATGATTTGCGATTCTACATGTAAAACATGCAGTGAGCCAAATAATCCATTAAAATGTTAAGATTGTTTAGATGGGAGCTATTTATTAAATGGGGAGTGTAAAAAATGCACATCTCCATGTGGAAATTGCTAAACAAGTCCTTCTAAATGTTTTTCTTGCATTAGCTCTGATTATACCTTAAATGCTAGTAGTAATACATGTGAACCTGTATGTGATAGCTCATGTAAACTTTGTTCTTCTCCTAAAGATTCTTCTAAATGTACTACTTGTCAAGATGGATTTTACTTTGATGGAGGATTTTGTAAAAAGTGCTCATTACCTTGCTCAAAGTGCATTGATAACGATTAAAAGTGTACTTAATGTATTGATAATGTTAATTATAAGTTCGATGCTCCTACAAATAAGTGTATCAAATAATGCCATTCTTCGTGTAAAGATTGTTCAGATCCATAAGATATTTCTAAGTGTATTTCTTGCAATGATGGATTTTATTTAGATTCTGGTTATTGCAAAAAATGTACCTCACCTTGCAATACTTGTAAAAATTCATCTGAATGTTTGACGTGTTAATCTGGATACACTCTTGACATTTCCTCTAATCAATGTTAACCTTAATGCGATTCATCTTGTTTAACTTGCAGTAAACCAAACGATGCAAACTCCTGCTAATCATGCAAAGATGGTTCATTTTTGAATAACTTATCATAATGTTTATCTTGTAAATCTCCATGCTCAAAATGTAATGGGTCTGCAGATAAATGTACAGCTTGTATTACAAATTATAATTTAAATAATTCGTTATAATAATGCTCTCCAATTTGTGATTCAAGTTGCAAAACTTGCTCAGAGGCTAAAGATGCATCAAAATGCTTATCTTGTAATGATGGATTTTATTTAGATTCAGGAATGTGCAAAAAGTGTATCTCACCATGTAGTAATTGTAAAAATAGTACTTAATGCTTGACTTGTGAAACGGGATACACTTTAGACGTTGCTTCTAGTTAGTGCCTACCTCAGTGTGATTCATCTTGTTTAACTTGCAGCAAACCGAATGACGCAAACTCATGTTTATCATGCAAAGATGGTTCATTTTTGAATGGTTTATCATAATGCTAACCTTGTAAATCTCCATGCTCAAAATGTAATGGATTAGCAGATAAATGTACAGCTTGTATTACAAATTATAATTTAAATATTTCATTACAGTCATGCTCTCCAGTTTGTGATTCAAGTTGTAAAACTTGCTCAGAGGCTCAAGATGCTTCAAAATGCTTATCATGTTAAGATGGTTTTTTCTTAATCTCAAATACATGCTAAAAATGTAAGCAACCATGCTAAACATGCTAAGATCAAGCAGATAAATGTTTATCTTGTATTTCAAATGATTTTAAGTATGATGCATTGCAATTTAAGTGCACTTCAAGTTGTCATTCTTCATGCAAAACTTGTACTGGGCCTTCTTAATCAAATTGTACAAGTTGTTTTGACAGTTTTTATTTAGATAATAATTAATGCTAAACATGTCTTTCACCCTGTGATAATTGCTCAATATCTCAAGACAACTGCACATCTTGTATAAATGGCTATAATTTAAATAGTAATAAATGTGAAATAATTTGCGATTCTTCTTGCCAAACCTGCTCTGCTCCTAAAAGCCCAAACAGTTGTACTAGCTGTAAAGATGGATTTTACTTAGATAAAGGTCAATGTAAACCTTGTTAATCTCCTTGCTCAAAATGCTCTAGCTCCGAAACTTAATGCACAGATTGTATTTCAAATTATAAATTAGCATCTAATTAATGTATACCTATATGTGATAAATCATGCAAAAATTGCTCAAAACCTATTGATAGTAACTTTTGTTTGAGTTGTTTTGATGGATATTATTTGAGTGGCTCTTAATGTCTAAAATGTAACAGCCCATGTGAAACTTGTGAAACAAATTCTTCAAAATGTTTAACCTGTCAAACAGGATATTAATTAAGTCTAAAAAATCCAAACACTTGTGAGCCTTCATGCGATTCTTCTTGTTTAACTTGTTCTTCAAATTCAAATCCAAATGCTTGCTTATCATGCCCAGATGGAAGATATTTAGAAAGTAATCAATGTAAATTGTGTCCAGTAAATTGTCTTACTTGCTCTAGCATTTCCAAATGTGAAAGCTGTAAATTAAATTATGGTCTTGATTTAAAAACAGGATCTTGTCAATTAATCTGCGATAAATCTTGTCTATCTTGCAGCCTTCCAAATAATCCAAAAGCTTGTCTAAGTTGTACTTCAAACAAAATATTAATTGATGGCAGCTGTTAAGATTGCCCATAGGGTCAATATTTTAATTTGAACCAATGCTCAAAATGTTCAAGCAACTGTAAAATTTGTAAAGATTCCAATACATGCAATATTTGTGAAGATGGATATTCTTTAGACTCAAACAAATCATGCAAAGAAAATTCTCAAAGTTATAAATGTCATTATACTTGTAATACTTGTTTAGGTACTTTATACTCTCATTGTACGTCTTGCGCAGGAAATAGAGTCCTAAATAACAAATCTGACAAGACCAAAGCTTCATAAATTGTTGGAACTTGTGACTGCCCATCTGGAACATCCGATTTTAATTAGCCTTTTTGTGATTAATCTAAAATGTAAGAGTCTATTAAAACCACAGAAACTGCATTCTTAATCTCATCAGGATCCACAACAACTGTTTTAGGTAATTAATTATTATTAATTTTGTTAAATTTTTATTACATAAAGTTTAAACATAAAAATTTAATCTTTTATTTTTTTAAAAAAAGCTATTGTATCTGCAAACCCACTGATTTTAGGAAGTTTAATAGAATTCAGTTAGACTATAAGCTTTTTCACCTATATTAATGAGAAACCCGCTCTAGGTTTTGATGATGTAGCCTAAAACTTGTATATAGCTCATATAACTAAAATATTTAACTTCGATGGAATGAGAAAAAATAAATCTTCTAGACTTTTATAAAGTACTTCTTCATAAAATTAATTAGGTGAACAAGGATTTAATAACAATTCAAAGATACCACTTAATGATAAATATCCAGAATTCGTTGTAAATGCTTTAGCAATTTTAGTTCTTACTGGCTTAGCTTGGTTATTGTCTGCCTTAACAAGCATCATCACTATCTAAGATCCAAACTCATTTACTGCAAAAATTAAAAAAATATTTTGCATATCATTTACAATTTGTATATTTGTGTTAACAAGTCAAGAGTTTAGCTTGTTAATATTTTTCTAATTCTAATAGCTAGGTATGGAAAATTAAATAGACACTGCCAGTGCTTTCTTATCCTTCATTGTTTTTGCTTATATATTAGGATTTTTAGGATATCTTTTCTATAAATTAAATTATTAATAAGTTTTAACTAAACCTATGTTTATAGCTTAATCTGCATTAAAAACTTCTGCAAAAGTGCATCCTATATTTGGAGTTGATATTTCTCAAGCAAAGGAGGAAAAAACAATAACAAACCCTGATTATTATACCTTCTATATCCTTCATTTATATATAAAGCAGAACTCTTTCTTAAATCGAGCTTTTATTCAAATAATAGTGATTAGAAAAATTATTACTTCTGTTATTATGACTTTTGGATATTAAAATCCTATTACATAAGTTAGTATACTATTAGCACTATACTTTATGTATTGGCTTTACATAATTTTGAGCAGACCGTTTAAAGAAGTTAAGCATATGATATTATACTCGGTTATTGAAACAATAACTTTAAGCATGTATATTTTATACTTAATACTTCTCAACAACGAATCAGATAATGAAAAGCAGAAAACAATTTCTTTGGTGATGTTAATTCTCATTCTTGTAGCTTTATTATTTTATCTATTAGTTTCCTTTATTTATCTTGTCTTATTTGCTGTATAATGCCTCAAAAAATGTGGCGATAAACAAAATGATATTGCTGTTGTAAATATATCCAATCACTTTGAAAAAGATTAAAGCAATGCTCAGTTTAATTAATAACCTATTTAAGAATCAAAGATATATACTAAGCCTTTGGATATGAGTTATAATCCAAATAGTTAGTAACATAAAATTGTAAGTTATGTATAACATGATAAAATGAACTGTAGTGTGACTAATAACCAATCAATCATCTAAGAAAACTAAAATCTTTCTAAGCAAATCATATCAGATACAGTATTTTTAGAAAGTCCTGATAGAAGCAAATAAAATATTAATATTATATAATAGCAACCATAATAAGATAACATTAACACAACAAACCGCATAAGACTTATATAAGGTTATTAAATCGATAAATTATAGCCATAAGATGATATACTTCCTGAAAAAATATCATAATCAAAGATACCAGACGTTTTTAATGAGCCTTTGAATTACTCTAGGGCTAGAAAAGCTAGAAAATTTTAAGACATATTTTGAATTAAATCTAAAATGATTAAATATAAAAAGATATTTGTAAATATTTTTTTTATTTCACTTTTGTAAACCTTTTTTATAAATAAAACTTTAAAAAGTTTTAATTCTTTTTTTTGTTAAATATTTTTTTTAATTTAAATTATTTTATCACTCTATAAAAAAAACTTATAATTTTATGATAATTTTAATTGTTACTAGCTAGAGAAATAAATATCACAAATTAATTTTAAAAATTGCTAATATTGATTTTTTAAAATTAATTTTTTTTTTAATCTTATTTTGTTCATTCTATTTTTTAAGTGTTTTTATTTATTTTAATAAATTTTTAATTTTAAATATTAAAAGAATTTGACAATATTTTAATATTTAATTAAATAAATTTTTATACCAAAAAATTTTTCTATTTATTTAAATATTTATTGTTTATAAATACTTCTTATCTTAAAATCACAAATATAACCTAGGTACCTTATTGTGTACAAAATTTATTTTATTTATTTATTTGTATTTATTCTTTATTTAAAAATAGTTTTTAATTTGAAAAGTGAAATAAATATTTTATTTAATACAAATAAAAGAAATTAACAAGCATTTAAAATAAATATATTAATTTAGAGATAAAAAAATATAATTAGTTAGCTTGTAAAAATGTATTCTATTATATATTTTTATTTTTTATGCTAACTTAATTTTTTATGTTTTTACTAAATCCATTAATTTTACAAAATAAATAGAAAACATACTTTTTTATCAAGAAGTGAATTTTATTTTACTTGTAATCATTTCAATAAAAAAAATAACAAATTTAATTACAAATTATTGTTTGATGAATAGTAGAAATGATTAAATTTATTAAAAATAAATTTCAAAAAGTTGAATTTAATATTTTCATAATATTAGGCTCATTATCTTTAGTTCTTTTAAGCATTTCTATTTTTCAGACCATATTCATCAAAAACTATTTAAATTATGCTATAACTGAAATTTATCTTGCTTAAGACACCAATGAAATTCAATTCTCTTTGTTAGAAAATGAATCTATCCTCTAAATTATTTAAAAGGATTTATAATTTGAAATATAAATTATCAAAATACTTTTAAATGTTAAAAATAAGTTGGACTTAGGTATTATTTTCAAAAATCCCAAATTTAAAAACCCTTTACTAAGCGTGTTAAACACATTTTATAACAGCGGAGAGCCTTATTTGCTTAATCTTTACAAATAAAATTCCTATTTCATATCGAGTTGGTAATATCTTTTATTCTACTTTTTTTTATTTACTTTTTTATATAAATAAGTTCAATTATAAATGTAAAATATTTTAAATTTTAAAATGAAATCTTATGTTTAAAATCATTAAATAAAACATATATTAATATAACTGAATTTTTTACTACATACAAAAAATTTAGACATCTCTTATATTTTATAAGTTGTTAATATAAATAACTTAAATATATAAAATTGAATAAATTAAAAGGCACCAAAAAAGTACTTATGATTTAAGCTAATTAGATAGATTATCAGCAGATTAAATAAGGAATTCAAGTTATATTGACTTTATATGGAAAGCTAATTTGTAATTGAATCAAAATAGAATTTAGGAATAGCAATAATAATAAAAGATAATTGCATAATCTTACTTTATGGCTTTCAATTATGATGGGATGTATTATGGAACAGGAGTTAATATGACTTTCTAAAATTATCTAGATCCACCTAAGTGCTAACCAAGCAGATACCAGCTAGATTCGAGATGCTAAGAATACTTTCAATTTATAATTAACTCAAACGAAACAATGATTTAGTATTTTCCTCCTACTCATTTTATGTATTCAGATAATAATAAACCTTATATTTCTTTTGGATTCTGTAAAAAAGCGCCTATGCCCTTAAATTTTAAAGCTATTTATTAATAATAATACAAAGAAAATCCATAAATTGATGCTTTTTCTTTTATATGCAATTCTTTTAATCTTGAGAAGTAGAATCAAATACTTTAGAGCACATTTCAAAATAATAGAATAAGAATAATTTTTGATCCTATTACTATGAGAGTTGTAATATAAAGCAATCTAGATATTTCAAATAACACACTCATAAATCTTTAATCGTCTTACTTAGATAAAATAGATGCAAAATAATAGATTTTTTTCTTATAATAAATTAAGTAATTTTAGTAATAATACATAAATAAATACTGTTTTCAAAGTAAGATTTAAGTTTTTCAGCAAATATAAATTAAGATAGTACAGTAGTTTAAATTTGAAGATAAAGGTAGAACATTTACAGTAATACTTTAACCAATATAAACAATTGATGATGATAAAAATAGTGATTCTTCTAATGTGTTATATTGCTTCAAAAATAACTTTATTTTATTAACAATAATTGAATCTACCTCATAATTGCAATAAGATCAGTTACTGTAACAATCTCTAAAAGATATTTCTTTAATATTTTAGATATTGTTATTTTTAATAATAATCATTTTTTGTATTTTGAGTTTTTACTATTCAAAATATATAACTGGATTGATATTTTAATCAGTTGAAAATCTCACTAATGCAATATAAAAACTAAAAATAAATGAAGATACAAACTATTCATTGTTATTTGAGGATAAGAACTTTTTATAAAATTTTTTGAATTAGAGTGCAGATCTTTAACTTTCTAAAGATATGAGTATTGTTTATGAAACATTTTAGAATTTATTCTTGACTCTTATTTTTATGACAGAAAGTATTATCGGTTAAAATGAAAGTTTAGCATTGATAGAAATAACAAAATAGATTGAGTATTTCTAAAAGCTAAATAATTAAAGAGCTTTAGGTATATGTTACAATAATATGGGTAATATTCACTTTAATAATGGTAGATATGAAGAAGCATATGACTACTATAATAGGTCAATAGTTTGCTGCCTATATGAATTGGAGTTTTACAAAGAGCAAGATTAATATATTTGTTAGAACCAAAAGAAAAAGTCTATTCAATCTAAACTTATGAGTTCAGTGTATTTAAAAGATGGATAAACTATAAAATAATAATCACCAAATATCAATAACTTAAAATAAGCTTTTTTAGGAGATAATTATAATGATATACAAGAAAAAAAAATGAAATAAATGGATGAATTTGAACTAATTTCCTAGCTATTTTCTAGAAAGTACAATAGCTTCAAAGCAGTATTCCAATATATGATGAATGATAATAATAGAGCAGGAAACTGGGATTTAGAAGTTATATTAATGCAATAGCTTAAAGAATTAAATTTTTTAAATGAAGATAGGCAATTTTTTAATATAAGAAACAAAATAATTGCTAATATTTACTTATTACTTATTTATACAAAAACAGAATAAATTTAAGAATGCCATAAGATAATAAGAGAAAATGAAATTATATATAATTAGTATGTTATCTAAAGGATGGAATCAGCTACATCGTAAAGTAATTCTGTTTAAAGTAAAAATGACTAACACATAAATAAAACTACTTTTAGCTCAATTTAAAATAGAAAAATTGAAAAGCACTAATCTTCAACAAATGATAACTAATAATAAAAAACTAAAAATCAACTTAGAAAAATGGACATTCATAAATTAAATATTTTAACTAATATTGATGATATAATTAGTATATTTCACTTTACTTAATTAGGAATATATCATATTAAAACAAAATAGTATTTTAAAGCAGCTGATTATTTTACTTAAATTTTTGAAAATTGCAAAACATTTTATTAAAATATAAGAAGTTAAAGCTTTTTGCAGCTTCATAAACTTGCTAAGTAAATTAATTTAAATCATCCTCTTATAGATAGGATATATGATTAATTAGTTAATGAAGTTTCTTACAAAATAAGCTTAGTTTATCTTGATATCAGCAAAAAAAAATAAAAATAAAATAAAAAAAATAAATTAAAAGCAAAGAGATTTTGTGAAGATATTATCTCTTAAGTATTTACTAAAGATGATGACTATTTTGGTTTAATTTATTCATCACTTTCAGATATGAGTATTTCAGAAAAAATTTCTTTAATAAATTATTAAATGATAACCAAAAATTAAAAAATAATATGGTAATTATTACACAATATTTTTTAAACAGAAAAATGTAAAAATAAAAACTAAAATAATTTTAAAAATGAGAATGCCACTTGGTAAGAAATAAAATAATTTATTACAATTAAAAAAATAAATATTTTTTAAAACGACTAAACAAATTATCCTAAAGAAAAAAAAGAAAATATTCTTAATTAAAATTATATATAACAATCTAACATTCTTAAAGACACACAGTATAAGATTTTAAATCAGTACGATGGCTTCTAGAGAAATTTTAAATTTAATTTTAGTTAATTTTAAAGAAATTCATATTAAAATGAGTATAATTGCTCACTAAAAGAATAATAAAGCTAATTAGCAAGCTTTAACTAAAACTCATTTAGCGGCATTAACTGCATATTTTCTTAAAATTCTTAAACAATTTGTGAAACTTCTTAAAATCAGTTGTTAAAAAATTTTAATTTTAGTGATTTAGATTAAACTATAAGCTAGGCTATTCCTTACTTAGAGGTTGTTGCTAAAAACAAACTTTAGAGTAATTTTAAACAATAAACTTAGCATGAAGATAAATCCAAATTATATTATTCTTAATAATAAAATAATTAATTTGATAAAAGCATATTTTAGTAATAAACTATTTCTGATAATAAAATAAATGTTATTTAAATTAATAAATAAAAAATTCTTGATAGCAAAAGAAATCTGTTATACTTCTCTATAAGAAAAGCTCTTTAATAACTAGTTCTATAATTTGATGAAAAATCTATTTTTTTGAAAATGGCTGAAATAAAATATTAGTAAAATAGTTCAAAAATACAAAAAATCGATCCATCTAATTAATTTTAAAATATTCATTAATATTTGACAACAAAAAATATTTTTAGACAAATTTATAAAAAATTTATTGTTCTAGTTATCAATGATTTTGAAATTATTTAGTAAAGTGATTCTAAATTTTAAGAAATAGTTAAAAGTCTAAGCAAATTTAGTATAGAATTATGTATTCTAATCTAAAATAAAAAGATTTCTATGAATGAATAAAATTTGTATTAAGATTTGATAATTGATAACAAAATAACAGTTAGTTTCTTTTTTAGTTAGCTTAGCTTACAATTATATCTTGAAAGTTCTCGATGCTCTAAATTTCATAACCATATTCCATAATTTTTAGAAAATTTTTGAAAATTATTGTTAGTAATTATTAATGATTATTTACCTTAAAGAATTAATTATTTTAAATTTTAATTTTTTATGAGAGAATTTACAATCGGGGCTTTTTTAGATCAGTAGGCAGAAAAAACCTCTCTGCCTACTATTTTTAAATTTTATATTTTTTTATTAAAAAATAAAAATCTTTATCTTCACTACCCTTCATTTCGAATTGATTAAATAAAAGAATATATAAAAAGAGTTAGGGCAAATCAAAGCATAGTTTAAAAAATAAAATATTTAATTTTTAATAATCTCTGAAATATATTGAGTAAATATTTTAAAAAGGAGTGTTTTTTCTTTTAATTTAGAAGTTTAAAATACCTATTTGTATTTATTCTATTATTTAAAAAATAAAAATTTTTAATTTAAAAAGGGAATAAATATTATATTTAATGCAAATAAAAGAAATAAGTAAGCATTTAAAATAATTATATTGCTTTAGAGATCAAATAATATCATTTGTTAGCTTGTAAAAATGTATTCTATTATATATTTTTATATTTAAATGCTAAATTAATTTTTTATATTTTTACTAAAATTCCTTTCATTTAACAAAATAAATAAACCAAACACACTTTTAAAAAGAAGGGAATTTCATTTAACTTCAAATAATTTTAATTAAAAAAATTAAAAATTTAATTACTAATTATTGTAAAAAGAATAGTAGAAATGATAAAATTCATTAAAGATAAATTTCAAAAAGTAGAATTTCAAATTTTCATAATATTAGGTTCGTTATCAATAATCCTTTTAAGCGTTTCTATTTTTCAGACCATATTCATCAAAAGCTATTTAAATTATGCAGTAAGTTAAATTTAACTTGCTTAAGACACAAATGAAATTCAATTCTCTTTGCTAGAAAATGAATATATCCTCTAAATTATTTAAAATGATTTATAATTTGAAATATAGATTATCAAAATACTTTTTAATGCTAAAAATAAGTTGGACTAAGGTGTTATTTTCAAAAATCCTAAATTTAAAAACACTTTACTAAGCGTATTAAACACATTTTATAATAGCGGAGATCCATATTTTCTTAATCTTTACAGATAAAATTCTTACTTCATATCTAGTTGGTAATATCATTTATTCTACTTTTTTTATTTACTTCTTTATTTTAAAAAGTACTTTAAAAATGTAAAATATTTTATATTTTAGAGTGAAATCTTTTGTTTAAAATTATTAAATAAAGTATATGGTAAACATTCATAATTTACTACTCAATTAATTCTACCTCTATTTTACTTAAACATCTATCATATTTGATAAGTTGCTAATATAATGTAAATAAATTAAATATATAAAATTTAAAAAATTAAAAGGCACCAAAAAAGTACTTATGATTTAAGCTAATTAGATAGATTATCAGCAGATTAAATAAGAAATTCAAGTTATATTGACTTTGTATGGAAAGCTAATTTATAATTGAATCAAAATAGAATTTAGAAATAGCAATAATAAAATATAATGTCATAATCTTATTTTATGGCTTTCAATTATGATGGGATGTATTATGGAACAGGAGTTAATATGACTTTCTAAAATTATCTAGATCCATTGCAATGCTAACCAAGCAGATACTAGTTAGATTCAAGATGCTAAGAATATTTTCAATTTATTATTAACTCAAACGAAACAATTATCTAGTATTTTCCTCCAACTCATTTTATGTATTCAGATAACAATAAACCTAATATCTCTTTTGGATTTTGTAAAAAAGCACCAATGCCCATAAATTTTAAAGCTATTTATTAATAATATTTCAGAGAAAATCCATAAATTGATGCATTTTCTTTAATATGCAATTCTTTTAATCTTGAGAAGTAGAATTTAATACTTTAGAGCACATTTCAAAATAATAGAATAAGAATAATTTTTGATCCTATTACTATGAGGGTTGTATTATAAAGCAATCTAGATATTTCAAATAACACACTCTTAAATCTTTAATCGTCTTACTTAGATAAATTAGATACAAAACAATAGAATATTTTCTTACAATAAATAAAATAATTTTAGTAATAATACATAAATAAATACTGTTATCAAAGTAAGATTTAAGTTTTTGAGCAAATATAAATTAAGATAGTACAGTAGTTTAAATTTTAAGATAAAGGTAGAGCATTTACAGCTATTCTTTAACCAATATAAACAATTGATGATGATGATAAAAATAGTGATTCTTCTAATGTATTTTATTGCTTCAAAAATAGCTTAATTTTATTAACAATAATTGAATCTACTTCATAGCTGTAATAAGAACAGTTATTGTAGCAATAATTAAAAGATATTTTTTTAACATTTTAGATATTATTATTTTTAATAGTAATCATTTTTTTTTTTTTGAGTTTTTACTATTCAAAATATATAACTGGATTAATATTTTAATCAGTTGAAAATCTCACTAATGCAATATAAAAACTAAAAATAAATGAAGATACAAACCATTTATTGCTGTTTGAAGATAAGACCTTTTTACAAAATTTTTTGAATTAGAGTGCAGATCTTTAACTTTCTAAAGATATGAGTCTTGTTTATGAAACATTTTAGAATTTATTCTTGACTCTTATTTTTATGACAGAAAGTATTATCGGTTAAAATGAAAGTTTAGCGTTGATAGAAATAACAAAGTAGATTGAGTATTTCTAAAAATTAAATAATTAAAGAGCTTTAGGTATATGTTACAACAATATGGGTAATATTCACTTTAATAATGGTAGATATGAAGAAGCATATGACTACTATAACAGGTCTATAGTGTGCTGCCTATATGAAATGGAGTTTTACAAAGAGTAAGATTAATATATTTGTTAGAAGCAAAAGAAAAATTCTATTCAAAATTAATTTATGAGTTTAGAGTATAAAAAAGACGAATAAGCTTAAAAATAATAATCATCAAATATAAATAATCTAAAATAAGCTATTTCCAAAGATAATTAAAATGATTTAGATGAAACATAAATTAAAAAAAATGATGAAATTGAACTAGTTTCCTTGCTCTTTACTAGAAAGTACAATAGCTTCAAAGCAGTATTTCAATATATGATGAGTGATAATAATAGAGCAGGAAACTGGGATTTAGAAGTATTACTCATGTAATAGCTAAAAGAATAAATTTGCTTAAATGAAGAGAGAAAATTCTTGAATATAAGAAACAAAATAATTAATAATATTTATTTAATGCTTATTTATACAAAAACTGAATAAGTTAAAGAATGCCATTAGATAATAAGAGAAAATGAAACTTTATATAATTAGTATGTTACCTAAAGGATGGAATCAGCTACATCTTATAATTTTTTCATTTAAAATAAAAATGACTAACACATAAATAAATCTATTTCTAGCCCAATTTAAAATAAAAAAATTTTAAAACATTCATTTTCACAAAATTATAAATAAAAATAAAAAAATAAAAATTAAATTAGTAAAATAGATATTGATAAGTTAAATTATTTAACTCATATTGATGATATCATTCGTATATTTCACTTGAGTTAATTAGGAATATATCACATTAAAATGAAATAGTATTTTAAAGCAGCTGATTATTTTACTTAAATTTTTGAAAATTGCAAAATATTTTATTAAAATATAAGAAGTTAAAGCTTTTTGCAACTTCATAAACTTGCTAAGTAAATTAATTTAAATCATCCTCTTATAGATAGGATATATGATTAATTATTTAATGATGTTTCATACAAAATAAGCTTAGTTTATCTTGATATAAGCAAAAAAAAGTAAAAATCAAATTTAAAGAATAAATTAAAAGCAAAGAGATTTTGTAAAGACATTATATCTAAAGTAATTACTAAAAATGATGACTAATTTGGTTTAATTTATTCATCACTTTCAGATATGAGTATTTCAGAAAAAATTTCTTTAATAAATTATTAAACGATAGCCAAAAGTTAAAATATAATATTGTAATAATTAGAAAATATTTTTCAAACAAATAAATGTTAAAATATAAACTAAAATAATTTTTAAAATGGGAACGTCTCTAAAAAATTTTAAAAAATAGAATAAATTATAGCAATTAATGAAATGAATTTCTTTTTAAACAACTAAACAAATTGTCCTTAAGAAAAAAAAGAAAATATTCTTAATTAAAATTAAATTTAACAATCTAGCATTCTTAAGGACACACTGTATAAGAGTTTGAATCAAGATGATGGTTTATAGAGTAATTTTAAATTTAATTTAAATAAATTTTAAAGAAAGCCCTATTAAAATGATTATAATTGTTCGCTTAATGAATATTAAAGTTAATAAATGAGCTTTAATTAAAACTCATTGAGCAGCATTAACAGCAAAATTTCTTAAAATTTATAAACTATTTGTGATAGTCCTTAAAGTCAGTTGGTTAAAAATTTTGATTTTATTGATTTAGATTAAAATATAAGCTAAACTATTCCTTAATTTAAAGCTTTTGATAAAAACAAATTTTAGAGTAATTTGAAACAATAAACTTAGCATGAAGATAAATCTAAATTATATTATTCTTAATAATAAAATAATTAATACAATAAAAGCATATTTTAGTAACAGACTATTTTTGATAATAATATAAATATAAAGAGTGGGTAAACTAATAAGTAAAAAATTCTTGATAGTAAAAGAAACCTGTTTTACTTCTCTATAAGAAAAGCTCTTTAGCAACTAGTTCTATAATTTGATGAAAAGTAAATTTTTTTGAAAATGGCTGAAATAAAATATTAGTAAAATAATTCAAAAATATAAAAAATCAATCCATCTGATTAATTTTAAAATATTCATTAATATCTAACAGTAAAAAATATTCTAAGTCGAATTTATAAAAAATTTATTATAATAGTTGTCAATGATTTTGAAATTATTTAGTAAAATGATTCTAAATTTTAAGAAATAGTTAAAAATCTAAATAAATTTGGTATAGAATTATGTATTCTAATGTAAAATAAAATGATTTCTATGAATGAATAATATTTGTATTAAGATTTGATAATTGATAACAAAATGACAGTTAGTTTCTTTTTTAGTTAGCTTAGCTTACAAGTATATCTTGAAAGCTCTAGATGCTCTAAATTTCATAACCATATTCCATAATTTTTAGAAAATTTTTGAAAATTTATGTTAGTAATTGTTTATGATTATTTACCTTAAAGAAATATTTTTATTTTTTAAATTTACCAAATATCTTCATTATATCTTAAGAGTTTTTTATTTTTTAATCTTAAATACCTCTTATGTTTAGCACTAAAAAGTAGGTTTACTTTTTAATGAAATTTTTTGATTTTATATTTTTATAAATTTATTTTAATAAGGAAAAATGGAAAATAATTTTTTCGTTAAAAATGATCCTCATTAAAAAACCCTCTTAGCATAAAACACTCTTATTAAACAAGTGTTTTGGAAAAAAATTATTATAAAAAACTTTGAGTTAAATTTGATTTGTTTAATAATAACTATTAATATTAATTTAAAATTGTAATCAATATGTTTTTAATATTTGTTACTATTTTATAATAATTAAATTTATTTTTATGACATAAATTCGTTTTTTTATAATATTTTTCTAACATAGATTGGTCTTTAAAATATTAAATATAAATAATCTTGAGTTTTATAATCAATTTTTTTAAATAGAATAATTTTTATCAAAGTGTTAATTTTAAAAATTAAGAGTTTTTGTTTAGAAAAAATTACAAACTATATCTTTATGCATTAAAAGGCATACAAATAAGAAGAAATTTAAATAAAAATTTTTATTTATTGAATAAAAATATAATTTTTAATTAGTTTTTAGCTAAAAGGAATATTAGATAATCAAATAAATAAAGAAAGTAAAATGGCTTTTGTAGCAGTAAGAAACGGTGATTTTATAGAAATAGCAGGAGTGGATGAGAAGTCTGATTCAATGTAAGAATCATCTGTAAGAAAGCCCGAAATAGATAGTTAAGATTAAAATAAACCTGTTGATTACTCATACGCAAATGCTAGCAAAGCTTATTAGCTTTTGAGTGAAAAAAATAATGTTCTTTCTGTATATTCTTCAAATCCTAATCCAAGAGGTAGCTCTGTTTAATACGAAACTCCTAAAGAAAGGTTAAATAGGTTGCAAGCTGAATTTATTGAATTTAAATAGGAGATGGAGTTTATTGTTGAAAAAGAGAAATCTATTTAAATTAATAAAGATGATACTAATAGCGTGATTTTAAGTTAAATTGAAAGAATTTAAAGCGAAATGCAAAGTCTTATCAGTAGTGATGAGGTTCGTCGTGTATTAGAAAATAATTTAGATATTTCTGAAAAGAGCGATTTTTCAATTGAAAATACTTTAGGTCTACTTAAAAAAGATTTGTAAAACGATCTTACCTAAAATATAATCAAAAGAGTAAAAGCTTTAAACTAAAAAGGCTTAGAAGAAGATATAACCAATGAAAAATCTTCTAAATAGCCTGCTAAAATCGAAATTTTTATTGATCCTTAATAAGAAAAAATTTATGCTGACTCTAAATTTATAGAAATTGAGAAGCGTGTCGCCAATATTGAAAAAGCTCTTGGAACTGACAAATTAAAGAGACAAGAATTTGATTTAGGTACTTCTTCTACAAACCAATCATCCACGTTTTCACTTCTTGGAAGAGTAGAATCCTTGAGTTAAAGTGTAAACATTTTAAGTTAGGAAAAATCTGATATTATATTGAAGAGAGTTATTGATCTTGAGTCCTAAATAGAAAAGATTAATTCAAAGAGACCTGCATTAGCTTAGTAAAACTAAATTTAAGCTTAAGATTTAAAAAGAATTGAGTATTTACATGACAGATTCTAAGCTATCTCAGGCGTAGCTGATGAATTACCTTATATAGTAGATAGAATGGAATCTCTCAAAGTTTTGCATGAAGAATCTGCAGGATTAATGAATCACATCCACACTCTTACTTCCCTCCATGAAAAAATAGTAAAAGGAATTACTAATAATGAATAGCTATTAAATACAGTAAACAGTAACTTTACTTCTAATCTTGAAAAAATATTAAACAATATTAAGCTTATTGAAGAACGTATTCAAGCACTTTAAAAGTGATTTTCAACATTTATAATTTTATAATATCAATATATGCAGCAACTATTTGTATTTTTAATTTCTTGAGAAAGTTATATAGTAAGTAAATAAATAAGTATACATCATCTATGTATTTTTATGAAGATAAATTAAAATAATTAATCATTTTCAAAAAAATAAAATATTAATTTATTTAATTTTATAATTTAGACAATTTAAGTATATACAGTAATTCTCTGATATTGATTTATTTTATTTTGATTATTTATTATTTTTATATATTTATAACTAAAAATTATAAAATTTAAAAAACTATTAAAATAAATCATAAATGTTTATTTAAAATATGAAAACATATATATAAAAAAATATTATTTGTGAGTATTTATTTTTAAATACATAAAACCATTATTTTAACTTGTAAACCAGAATATCAATAACGAATTTTTTAATTAAAAAAATTCATTTATTTTGATAAATGCTAGATTCTTATTTTTTTATTCATAATAATAGATTTTCCTCTATACCATTAAAAAAATCTTTTCTGTCTTGAGAGTTTCCAAAAATTTCTTTAAAATAGCTATCATCATATTTTGGATTAAAAATATTATAGTAATTATCATTATTGTTGGTATTAATAACATTATTCATTAAATTTAGTTCTTAAAGAGAGACATCAAAATTATCTGCTTAATTTCTTTAATGGTTTTCAGTATCATTTTTTTATTCTTCTTCATCATTTCTAACTATTGAATTTAAAATTTCTTAACTATAAATTTATGATGCAATCTAAATGGACATATTCTATTAAGAAACTTATTAAAGGCCATAGTAATCTGCGCCTCGGCAAAGTGATCTAAAATGTATAGAGCGGTCAAAACTATAATTTTAAGAGATATTTTAAATGTCTTCATTTAATTCTATTCTAGGAAAATAACATTTTCTATCACTTTTTTGATTTGTTTGCTAAAAAAAGAATGAATCTGTAACCTTTTTTATATTTTTAATCAGATATTTAATGCAACTTCAAATATAATTTTCTTAAAGTAAGAACCATTCAAAACTAAAAAAGGAAAATGAACAAATTAATAAAATAAATAGTAATAATTAATTATTTAAAAAGAATTAAATTTTCATGGAAAGTTTAAAATTTTTAATTATAAATTAAAACTATAATGCTAAATGAAATCATACACTCTTATTTCCATCTGCTATCATGTTCAGTGTCTTCTCGAAACTTTCAAAATCATCTGGATAAATTTCTGAAACCTGCTCTTCTTCATCATTTTATTCATCTTCTATATTTTTATTTTAGTAGAAATCCTCTATTTATTCTAATAGCTGCTTCTTATCTACCTCACTTTCTGCTTGTAATTAAGATTTGAGTTTCTAAATTAGAGACTCCATTTTCTCCATGGAATTATTTTTTCGTTCAATGATTCTATCTTTTTTCTTAAGGTCTCTTACAGAATTCTTAAATAGATTCTCATAACATTTAGCCTTAGTATGGTAGGAAAAAACTTTTCTGTAGAATTGGTTATTACAGATTTTGCATAATAGTTTTTTATAAGGGCAGACTTTTTCATGCTCTGTAATTCTCTATATTTGATATTCGGTTTTACAATCGGGACATTTTTATTTGTTTTCTGAGCAAAAATCTTCATGTAAAACCATATCCTTAAAACAAATTTATTTTGAGCAATATTTACAAGGCTCTTTTCTATATTCACAAATTTTGATGTGCTCGGTTTTTGTTAGTAAAGTAACTTTTTCTTCGCATTAATCATTTGGGCAGTTTCTAAGTTAATACATACAAACCTTTAGATGTCCAATTCTTTCATCATATTTAATGATTGTGTTACAGCCTTTATTGTGACAAGTTACTTAGATCGTGCTAAGCATTTTCTTAAAAATTTTAGGACATGTAACATATTTAGCTTAACTATGATTGTCTCCATGAAATCTTACAGAAAAGCGATTGTCTCTTTCTCTTGAATAAAGAAATCTCTCCTAGCCTTGATCTCTGCAGCATGGGCACTACTTTTCACCTTGATGACTTACCCATTATTATATGCATTAAGCACAAAAATTTGCTTCACAGTTGATGCATGTCTCTTTATTTATTATTAATATGAGTAATAAATTTTAATCGAATAATTACTTGGATCTTCAATAATGTTTATGCAAATAGGACACTTCAAATCATCCAAGAAATTTTTTAGTTCTTCCTGGTTTATGATGTCATCAATTTCAATAGAAGGTAGCTAATATTCTGGATTATTCTTCTGTTCTCTTCTATGAAGAGTTGTTCTCCTGCTATAATAATCCTAAAAATAAATTGATTCTTGTATAATATCAAGCATGTTTTTTATTAATTTCTTTAATTTAGTGATAGAATTGATTATATAAAGTATTTTTTGATGATCTCATTATCAGACAATAATCAAAAAATAATACATTTCATATAGTAGTAATTTAAATAACAAAGTTTAATATGCAGCTTTAAATAATGATAAGCTAATTTGCACAAAAAACTCTTGCTCATCAAAAAACTAATCTATTTATTGAATTTGTGTGCATCCATCCATAAAAAATCATCTTTTGAATTTATAACTTTGTTATAAAAAACTAAAACTTCACAAGAAAAAATTTAAAAAATAATATAGCTCCACTTTGTTTGAAAAATATAAAAATAATTTTATTATTTTAAATAAATTATTTTATTTATTAATATGAAAAGAAAAAATAATAAGCCATTTTAGATTATAATTTTTTACTAATATTTTAAATTATTTTTAGATATTTTATTTTTTTATTAAATAATTAAATAAGCATGTATAAAAAATAAAAAGATAAATTAAATAATATTTTAAAGAACAATAATTATGTTTTATTTATTTATTTATTAATTTTATCCATTTGTTTAATAATTAATTAAAGGAAATAAAATAATTTTTGTTAATTCTAAAATTTTTAAATAAAATATTTCTTTAATTAATTGATATTATTTTTTTGAATGCTATGAAAAAAAAATTAAATAATTTTATTAATTGGGTTTTTAGTAGAAGTTAAAATAAAATAATGAAACAAATATATCTAAATATTGCTATAATAATTATTTAATTGTTTTTTAGATGTTTTTATAGTGAGGGATTTGCTAGCTATCTATCTAATAATCTTTGATTGTAGTTAAATAAAGCAAATATTTAAAAGTAAATAATAAAAATAATCCATTTTCAATTATAACTTTTTATTAATATTTTTAAAAATTATTTTTAGACATTTTACTATTTGATTAAAGTATTTAAAAAATAATCTTTAACAAATATAAAAATAAATAAATAAAATAATATTTAAAAGATGAATAATTATGCTTTATTTATAAATATTATCTATTTTTTTGTTTAATAACTTTGAAAGTAAATGAAATAAAATAATTTTTGTAAATTCTAAAATTTTTAATTAAATATTTGTGAAATAGATTTTTTATTTTGGTTGTTTTGAAAAAAATTAAATAATTTTATTCATTGAATTTTTAGTAGAAGTTAATATAAAAAAATATAACAAATATAGTGAAATATAGCTATAATAATTAATTAATTACTAAATTGTATTTAGATATTTTTATAATGAGTAGCTAGCTAATAAATAATCTTTGATTGTAGTTAAAAAAAATCAAATATTTAAAAATAAATAAAAAATATATTAAATAATTTATGTTTTAAAGTCAAATTAAAAATAATATCTAATTTTTGTTTGAAGATATTTCAAAAAATATCAAAACAAACATCAAAATAAAAACAATCAAAAATTTTAATAATAAATAAATACAAACCAAAAATTCATATTTCTTTTAATACACTAAGAAATAATAAAGCAAAATTTGCAAAATAAAACAAGAAATAGTAAATAAGTAAGTAAGTAAATAAGTAAAATGTCAGGTGAAGTTCTTAAGCTCCAACAAGAATTAGAAAATGAAGTTAAGGATATGCAAAATCTCTAAAAAGAATTGTAAAAACTTAATGAAGGCAGATAAAAGCTCATTGAACAACAAAATGAATCTGAATTAGTTTAAAAGGAAATAGATTTATTAGAAGAAGAAGCTGTTATTTATAAGCTCTCAGGTCCTATTTTAATTAGATAAACTTTAACTGAAACTAAGAGTACCATCAAAACTCGTATTGAATATATTAGAAAGGAAGCTATTAAGGGAGAGCTCCTTTTAAAGGATAACGAAACCAAGTAGCTTGACAAGAAAAACAAAATAGTCAAATTACAAGAAAACTATTACAAAGCTGTTATGGGTCCTCAATATGCTCAAATGATGGCTGCTCAACAAGCCCAAGCTGCTCAACAACAACCCTAATGAGCAAGAAATACAATAAAGCTATTTGTTTTTTGAGATGAGTATAATTAAAAATATAATTTAAACCAACACAATCATAAAAGTTCATATTATAGCAATTTTAATAATTTTCACTAATTAATATGACATAAATCTAGATTTATTTATGAAAATTTAGCTAGTCTATTTATAAGTAGTATTGTTTTATCTTCGTCACCTATACATTATACTTGTTTCATTATTTTTGCTATAATTTTGAGCAGTTTATTATATTCTATAAAATATATATGTGATTGATTCTTCTTATTCAAACTTTGGTAGCTCTTATTTATTAAAATGATAAGTATAAAATAGTTATTTTAAATATTAATATTAATCCTAAAAAAGTAAAGATAAATACTATTTTAATTTCTAAAAGCAATTTAAAAAAATACATTTTTATTGAATAATAATTTTATAATAATCATTATTTTAATATTTAGTCATTTTAAAGTCTTCTTAATTTCTTCATTTTTATAAATAAATAAATAAATTAAAAAAGATTTTATTAATTATTTTTAGCAATACAAAAATAAATTATTTTTAAAAGAATTTTGTTTATTTTCAAAACAATTTTAAAGTGTTATTTTCAAAGAATTTGTCAATAAATAGAATATTGATATATCTTATTATATGAATTTAATAAAATTTCCTATTGTCTAATTCATAATATCATATTAAAGATTCTTCACTTATTTACTATCAAATGGTAATTTAAAATTGAAGTCAAACTTTGATTTTAAACAAATTAAATTAAATATAATACTTCAAAAAGTAATTAAACAAAATAAGTATGTGCTGCTTTGATTTGTGCATAAGAGGAGCTTGCTGCTGCTGTTAGGCATTTTGCAATGATATTTGCAGATCTTTAAAGAGAGTTTTCACTCTTTCTATTAGATAGTAGATGAGACTGGCTTACATTTCTCTCTTTTTTGTTTTCACTCTTTTAACATTATTTTCAATGTATTAAATTCCTGGATGGCTTGGTGTTTGGAGTAAATTTATTCATTGTCCTTCAGAATCATCTCATCCAAAAGACAACATGGCTTGCTTGGGTATTAGTGCTTTGTACAGAATGAGTTTTAGTTTAGTTATTTTATTTTCTATCTTAGTTCTATTTTGTTTGCTAAGGAATGAAGCTAGCAAATTTGTAAACGAAAATTTCTGGTTCTAAAAGATTATTGGATTGATTGCTCTTTTTATTTTGTAGATGTGGATTCCTAATGATACATACATCATTTATGGTAGTGTTTCAAAATTATTTGGAGTTATCTTTGCTCTGTTTCAGTCTATTATGTGTATTGATTTATTCTACTCTTGGAGCGAAGTTTGGGTAAAGCAATACGAATAAGGAGTTGGTATTTATGAGTATTTACTATATATTTTTTCCTTTGGATGCTATGCATCAACTTTTTATTTAATTTACAACAATTACCAGCTTTATCCTTGCTCAGGTACCTAAAATTTAATTAATATACTTATTGTTGTTGCTATTTCTATCTTAAATCTTAGTCCGATCAATGCAAAACCCAGCATACTCACCTGTGGAGCAGTTTGTCTTTTTATTACATATTTGAATTGGTCTGCTATGACTAACATCTAATAAACTGAATGCAACTATTATGCTAACAAACAAGAAGCTTTTATACAAATTGAAGGTTTTATAGGCGTATTTTTAATTATACTTTCTCTTGGATATATTACATTTGGCACAGCTGATGAAAGCAGTCGCTATAGTTAAATTCCATCAGGTGACAATTTGATGGCTTCCCTAAGGAAAAGTGAATTGGAAGAAAAAGATAGTGATGATGATGACTTTTTAATTGAAGCAGGATATTCCGATGTAGTTGATTTAGAGTAAGATGCAATAGATCTGACAAAAATAGAAAAGAGAAACTCTCAAAAGAAAGATGATAGTAATAAAAGTGCAGAATCTACAGCTTAAGCAGTAAGAAAAGAACTAAAAAGATTAAGAGAAATGCGCCAATTAAGAAGAATGAAAGACTATAAAACAAACACTTATATTTATTTCCATGCTATTATGATCTTGAGCTCATTCTATATTGTAATGCTGTTAACTAACTATGGTGCTATTCAAATTGATGAAAAAATAGACTGGACAACATATAAGACCAGCAATAGCTCTATGAATATAAAATTTGGAATTTCTTATTTCACAACTTTTATCTACATTTGGACCATAGTAGCACCTCTTATTTTCCCTGATAGATAATTTTGATCGATTTTAAATCAAATAAATATTATGAATTGTAAACAATTAAAATAATTTCAATTTTAACAATCTCATCAAGTAAAAATTAACAAATAAAATTTTTTTTTTTTTTGTTTTATGCAAAATTAATTTGTATGTTTTGTGATTTACAATAATAAAATATAGCCTTTATATAATTATATAAACAAAAAAACATCTCTCAATAAATCAAAATATAAATATTTTAAATATTTTTATTTAAAAAAGTTCTTAGTTAAATTAATATTTTTATGTAAATCAATCCTTATTAATTACCATCAACTCAAAAATAAAAATTTCCTATTATGTTAAATTTTTTAAAAACCAGTTTCAATTAAAAATAATGTTAATGATAGAAGATTTTTAAGTAAATAAAATGATTTAAACTTTTATTATTTATTTTATTTTTATTTAATTAAATTAATTTATAAAAATTTAAATGACTTTTAAATATTTCACACAAATACAAATGAATGAGTATTTAGTAAGAATTTAAACTCGTCATTGTAGAGAAATTCGCTATTAGAATTATCTTCAAGGACTACCTTTTAGATAGGTAAATAGAGATACATCTGACTAATTATCAAATGATGAATGATAATAGCAGTTCTGTCTCTTATTTGACATTTGTTGCCCTTAGAATCAATTAAGTAATATGAATCAGCATTTATGTCAAATTATTAGAAATTGAGGGTGTTTTTCGATATTGGGAAGAATAAAATTTCTTTTTTATTTCTCCAGCATTTAGGAACATGCTAACTCAAGTTATTTAGCATCTAAACGTTATTTTCAAAAACTTTCTGTAGAAGAGGAATATTCACTTCAATATGAACAACACTGCATAGATAATTTTAAATTCTGATAGAATGCTGGTTATTTAAGTGTATGTCACTCAGAATAAATGTATTTGATGTTTCTTCCTTTAATTCTCTTATTCCAGCTTCTTTGATATCTATTTCATGAGGAGATGAAGATCCACCCATATCACTGCATATATCTTTTGAGTCCTTCACCAATAATAAACCTTATTCTCCGTTTTCACTAGTTGCTAAAATGAGAACTCCTCCTCCTCTTCTGTTATTTTTTGGCTCTTAAATTTTTGAAATCAAAGTTTTGTTTGTGATGGTATAATTTTAGAGGATATCTTAAAATGGTTTTTAAATGTTACTTCTCTACAATAACTATATTTAATCGCTGTTTTATTAGACTTACTCATCACTTTGATTTTTAATTTAATTGTTAACTACTTAACTAAAATGAATTCTATCAGGATCTATAGCTAATTATATCTGTTTCTAATACTAAATTGAACTTGATATATCTAAAAAAGCCTAGTCTATCTAAAATGTTTTAGTTCCTTATAGAAACGTTAATCTGCTTCCATTAGGTAGATAGTAATTTTTTAAGGATATCTATAGAGAAGGAGCAGATATGGTTTATTCTTTTATATTAACAATGTTTTAATTTAATACTTATTTTATTACATTAACACATCTTAGCTATATATTCACCTATTCTCCTCTAGTAGTAATTCCGGTGAAATTGAAATCTTGGTTGTTTTAAATATTTAGCTTAACAAGGTCGTCAATAAAGAATCTTCTAATAGCTTTTGTTTCTCTCCAAGAATGTGGACTGTTAGCATCTTTTAGTAGACGTAAATTATCTTTGAAGATACTCTATCTAATATCCTTTTATAAGCTATTTAAAAATATGTTATAACAGATATATTATTTTGTTTGCACATAAGTAGTCAGATGCTTTTTTTCTAACTAAAATAAATTGCAAGATTCCTCTTAGAGCTCTCTCAATGCTCCTAACTCTACTGCCTCTGAACTATTTATTCCTCCACCGCAGTCACTATAAACAAAACCAGATTTTCTCATTGAACCAAACAAAATTACTGCTAATCCCATTCTCCCATCCTTTTTTGATTTATAAATTTCCCAAAGCAAAACGCCTGATCCATTAATTTCTTTCTTCCTTTGATCCATTTCTAATGAAAACTATTAAGTACGATCAAAAATTATATCTATATTTTAATTAACAAAATCTTCCAAATATTTCTGATATCTTTCGAAGAAATCGGATTTTTAATTGATAAGAACAGAGACTCAAAAACATTGAAGATAAAATAAATAATTCTGAAGAAAGTATTTTTTTATTATTTTAAGTTACCTCAAAGTAACCAAAAACAACCTTTTTATTATTTAATTAACAAAAAGTATTAAATTATTTTTAAATCAAAAAAAATATTTAAATGCTAATAGAATTTAATTTATTTTATCATAATATTAACATGAAATTTTAAAAATATTATAAAATATAAACTAAAACTTCTTGAGATGATTTCATTTAATGTTTATTAATAAATAGAAGATATTAACTACTTCTTTATTTTATAAAACAAAATAATTATATTAAAAAATGAGCAATTAATTTATTTCAGCATTAGATGACTCTAAATATTTTTAATTACTCAAATATGAAAATTATTAATTTATTTTTTTTAACTAAAAAAGTTAATGAATAAAATCTAAATAAAAAATATATTTTTGTGATTGTTAACAAATTTAAAAAAATGAAAAATAAAACTCACCAATATATTTAATAAAAATTATTCTAGTTGTATTAAAAAAAAAAATATTGATAAATTAAATGAATAAAAGATAACTAATTTACAATAATAAAAATACATAGAGTCAAAGTTTAATTTACATAACAATTTTTATTAAAAATATAAATGGTTATTAATATCTTTTCACCAAAAGTGACATAAAATTAGTATATCTTAAATACTAATTAAATGTATTACAACTTCTTAAAATTTATATGGAGAGATTTTGTATATATCAGATAATTTATAGTATGTCTCTTAATAGTTAATTTTTTAAATAAATTATTCTACTTCTTTATATTCATCTAATGAATGTAAGCACAAAACATAAAATAAAATGATTTCTTCCAAATAATCCATCAATATGTAATATTATTAATAGTCATCTATTTACTAGTATTCATAAATCAACTAAAGCTATATGTTTACTAATTATTATTTTATATTCCCCTAATCCCAAAGAATTCTTGATAAAAATTGATTAAATATTGTTTATTTTACATTTTTTTAATTGAAAATAATTTGCTCGTCCATAATCTTATTTATCTAATCTTGAATTAAACTTTTTGAAATAGCTTACTCTTTTATAAATTAATCAGATATCTCAAGACTTTAAAAACATTTTATAAACAACTCGCAAACTTTTTAAAATGTTTAACTCTTTTTTACAAAGTTTAATTTTTTTAACTCTTAAACTCTTTAAATACTTACCGGATTTTATTATTCCATTAATTACACTTCATTGCTAAATTCTAAAAACTATTCATACTGACAATATTTTAGTATAAAAAATAGCATCAGTGTAAAAGTATCTTCTTATAACAATTTTTTTTCATCGTTGATTCTTTTCGTATAAGAATCTATTAGTGTTTACAGGTTTAAGAATAATTCTGATGGATCTTCTTATTATTCTAAACTCATATCAGACATAAGCCAATTATAGTAAAGCTCTCTAAACATTTTTTATCTGCTGTAAGAATAATTAGCTAGGATATAATTTTCGAATTCCTATTTTTTGTATTAATCACATAACAATATACATGTATTGTTGTTATAAATATCATTTATTAATTTAGCGACTTGGTCTTTTTCTTTTATACTTTTGCCATTACTTTTCTTTTTATCTAATCTATTTGCTTTTATCTTTTTGGAGGGATTTAGATTATTAGGGCAATTTTATTGAATCATTTGTCTTTATTATTTATTTTTTAAATATTTATTAATTTTTTATTAATTATAAAAATATATCTTAATCTTTCGCATTAATTAAGCAGGAAAATATTATACTGTTTTCTCCAATTAGATGGAAAAAATTGTTATAGACTTACTTTTACTAGATTAAGCTCTATAAAAATTTCAGCAAATTAAAAATACTTTTTTATTTAATTAATTATCCTCGATTATAGTTTAATTAGCTCTACAATTTTCTGAAAAAAAGCTCATAAATTATTTCTTCTATAAAAATGAAAACAATTGTTTTGTTTATAACAAATTATAAAAGATTTTTTATCTGTTATTGTCAGTATTTTTTGAAAATTTTATAAACAACTTTCTAATTACTGAAAAAAAGCTCATAAATTATTTGTTCTATAAAAATGAAAACAATTATTTTGTTTATTACAATTTATAAAAGATTTTTTTTTTGTTATTGCCAGTATTTTTAGAAAATTTTATAAACAACTTTCTAAAATGTTAATTATTCTAATAAAAGTATAAAAGAAAAAAATTAAAAAAAAAAATAATTATAAATTCAATAATATTTTATTTTCAAAAATAAATTTTAATTTTAAGATTTAAATAAAAATATAGACAAAAATAAATAAATATTACCAAAAGAAAATATTCTTAAATTATAAATTTATTTTTAAATATATTTCTATTTTAAATAAATTTTCTTCCTAAAAGTTTATTTCATGTTTGAATAAAACATAGATCATAATTGAAAAAAGAAAAGTGTATAAAACTCCTATTATTTCAGCTAGAACAATAAATAATATATCACACCAGACATAAACTTTCTTTCTATTTTATTTTTTGTAATATAATATTTAATATATTTTTGAAAGATAATTTTTTAATCTCTTAATTTCAATGCATAATAAATAGTCAAGCTCGAAGAAAAATTTTATGATTTGCGGGGGTCTCAACCTCTTATTGTAGAAATCTAAAAAAAGCTTAATCAATTAAATCTCTCTGTTTTAATTTTTTGATCTCATATTTTTGAAAAAAACACCCTTCTTTTAATTAATTTCAACTAAAATTTTTTTATTTTATTATAATAAGCTGTATTTTTGTATACCTTAACTAAAAAATGTATAATTGTGACTTTTCTACTTAATTAAAATAAAAAATAGTTGTTTAAAGATTTAATGAATAATTTAATTCAAAATTCAAAATAAATAACTATATTTGTGAATAAAAATAAATTAACAATATTTTATTATTTTTAGTAAATAGGAAATATTTTTAGAAAAAATAAATTATTTTATAATTATATCTTTAGAAAATAAAAGTTATATTATTAGGATATTATTTAAATTAATAAAATATATATTGAGAAATTTATTGGATACTTTTAAAGAAAATATAATTTCAGTTAATTTGTTTTAAAGTTGTTTAACATGTTTTAAAAAATGTTAATAATAACAAATAATATTTAAAATTTTAGGTATTAACTTAATTAAAAAATATTACATCTTAAGTGTAATGATGAAAAATAATTTTAACTTTATTTAATTGATTAATGCTGTTGATTATAAAGAAATCTAAAGATTTAAAAATATAAACTTTCTTTTTAATATTGACTGAAAGTTTTAGGATTTATCAAAAATTTAAACAAAACTTTTATCTATTTATTGTTTATTTACTTAAATCAGCATTATAATAAAATATGATTACAATATTTTCTAATTTTTGTACGTTTTTTTATTTCTTATTCAGAACCAAAAAAAAAAGAAAATTTTTATAAATTATTTTTGATTCAATTTAAACATAATAATTTAGATTTTAGAAAAAGCCATTTCTTAGTTGATTTATATGGGTTGTAGCTCTTCTTAAGTTTAGGTAGTACCTGTTATATAAGAAAAAATACAAGAAGCATAAATATTTATTGAAGAAAACTAAAATTTTCATATTTGTTAGTTTTTCACTAGCTTTCTTTCACAGATAAGTTACTACATTGAAAGTGAAAAGCAGGCAATACTTATAGATCCTCTTCGAGACATATAGCAATATATTGAATACTCTTAAAAAAGGGAAGCAAAAATAACGCATGTATTTCTTACAGATTTTCACTCTGATTTTATAGGTGGCCATGTAGATATTTAAAAATAGGCTGATGCTTAAATAGTCCTTGGACCAACTTCAATTGCAGATTTTGAATTTCATCAAGCAAAAGACAATGAAATAATTAGCATAGGCAAAATAAAAATGTAGGTGCTTTATACACCAGGCCATACAAATGAAAGCACCTGTTTTTTACTTTTGGATGATGAGAGATAGCATGCTATTTTTACAGGAGATACATTATATTTAGAAGAAGCTAGCTTTCCTAATTTAGCTGCAACAAGCGAATAAATTGATAGAAGTGAGCTTGCAGGACATCTATTTGACTCGTTAAGAAATAAAATTATAGTTTTAGACCCTACTTTGATAATTTATCCTGGCCATGTTACTGGAAATAGTAGAATTAATACAATTCAAAAGAATAAAAACTTCTAAGGAGTATTTGACACTTTATTAAATTAAATATAAACTAACGCTTCTTTAACAAAGACAGATCGCGAGTTATTTAAAGAATCAATATCAGGTCTTACTTATGTTCCTGAATACTATTTTAACAATATTTATTAGAATTAATTATCTATATAACCCATCAAAGAAATAGTAGATAAAAGCTTAGTTTTCATTCCACCAAACTAATTCTTGTAAGAGATTTCAAAGTATCAAGATTGCTTTCTAATAGACACAAGATCTCCAGAAGCATTCTAAGAGCTAAGAATTCCCTATTCTATTAATTTATTTGAATGGTTGAGTTTAGATGTTAAAATGAGAGCAAAATTGTAACCTTCATCCAAGCTCTTTATAATTTCTGAATGTGGTAAAGAAAGATATTCTATAACATTATTAGCTCTCATAGGATATGAACATATTTTGGGATGCTTAGAAGGCGGTTTTGAAGCTTTTTAGAAAAGTCATAAAATATATGGCTAAATTGCTTCTATCAAATCTCAGCACTTAAGTAAAGACATGCATTTCTTAGATTTAAGAGAAGAAGAAGATTTTCAAAAACACCACATTAAAGGTGCTTATAACATACCAATCAATACTATAACTATAGCTACTTAACATGATTCGTAGCCTTTAGCTCTGCCAAGAAATAAAATTATATACGTTTACAGCAATGCTAGCAATAGGTCTCTGGCTGGATGCTGCCTGTTAAACGAATCAAGCTATTATAACATCGTTCACGTAGACGATAGCTATAGTGCCATTAAAAAAAACAAAAAACTAGAATTCAAATCTGGCTCATGAAATAAAAAAACTATTCTTAAATATATAAAAAACTCAAATTTATATTATGATTTTCAATTTTTTAAGAAAACTTTTGGCATTTAGAAATTCAAACTAATTATGGGATGTATGGATAAAAATAAAAAAATTTGATAAGAAATGTAAATTAGATATGGCTGAAGATATTTGATTATTTGAATAATTATAAGAAGGTAATTTGAATTATTTATAACTAATAATAATTTATAGCAAATTTTAATATTTATTAATTAAAACAAATAAATTTAATAACAAAAATATAAAAAAATGGTATTATTTTGTATTAATAATTGTTAAAATTTTTAAATTTAATATTATTTAATTATTTATTAAGTGGAATAATTACTTTTAAAGATTATATTTTTTATTAAGTAGTTTTAACATTTATGAGAAATGTAATTTCATTTTTAATTAATTTTGAAAAAATTAGATTCTATTTGAAAATAATTAAAATTGATTGATGTGATGATTGAAATGCAAAATTATAATTTTTTACAATAAAAATATTTAAAATTAAAATAGATTGGTTTTGGCTTACATGCAAATATTTAAATCAATCAAGCTGATTTTACAAATTGTTAAATTAAATTTATTTTTTTATTTGAATTAATTATTAAAAATAATTTTACTAGTTAATATAATTATGAATGTATTGTATTTATATTGAAAAAAATTATTAAGAGTAATATATAAATTAGTTTGCAATTTTTGGATATCATCAAGCTGATGGTAGATAAACAACACAAAAAACATGCAATTATTTATTTATTTGATAATAAAAAATTTATAAAAATTATGAATTTGTGGAACTAGATAAGAAGATGAAGAATATATGGAATAAAAATAAAAATTTTGGCAACCAATGAAGTATTTGCAATAAAGCATAATAAAATAAACACCATTAATTAATTAATTAATTAAGGATGGAAGGAAGCATTAATAATAAACTAAAATTGTTGCTTTGATATATTATAAATATTAATTAAAGCAAATAATTAATTAAGTTGATATTAGTTTGTCAAAAATAAGATTTATAAATGTGGAAGAGCTCGCTAAGAAAGTAATCAGTAGATATAAACAAGAAGCTGACTAAAGATTAAGCACATCAGTAATCTTATAATGTTGATTTTGAAAGAACAAATACTCCTGAGAAGCGCAGCATGAGCGCTTAGAGGCAAAAACGATATTCAACACCTAATAATTAAATAGATTTTTTAAGGGTTGAAGAAATACTGAAAAGTAGAGATCCTGAAGCATAATTCAGTCAATCTTTTAGAATGAAAACTGAGGATAAGGAGAAAGTATTTATTAACCACTTTAAAAATGTTTAAGTGCCCAACTAAAAATATTTCAATCACCTTGTAGGGTAATGTAAATGTGGTAAATGTAGCTGCAATCGCTGTAAATGTACAGTAAGAGAATTATAACCAGATTATAAAAGGCTAAACAGATCTCTTTACTAAGCAGATTTTTAGCCTAAGTTAACTGAAGTTCCTTAGCCCTTTCCGTAAGACAAAGACCCATATAGGATGCAGTGCAAAATAGAGTTGAACACTACATAGAAAACAGATTTTATACCAAAAAAGGGTGTTGATCCTAAATTAGAGTGTGGATATATAGATAGAAACACTCTAAATTGCGGTAACTAAGCAATAGATCACAATACTATGTATAAAAATAATTTCAATATTAAAAAAATTACTCCAAACGTTTTGTTTACTCATGAGCCAATTGAGTACCTTAGAGTGCCTCATGATAAAATTAAACAAAAGCTTACTTCGGAAGTTAAAAGCAATTTTCGTGAGCCTAAAGAATCCCTATTACCAAGCTAATTAACAGATTAAGGCAAAAACTTCACTTATATTAATTTCGCCTATGATAGACATAAAAACTTGAAGCCTCCTATTGGCATGGATGACAAAATGAGTCTTAACACAACAGCAAGAGACTCCTTCAAGCCATTTTAACCTGAAAAAACCTAATAAAATGTATAATAAAATTAAGCTCTTAAATTAAGCTAAACAGGCGCTAAGTTTAGAAGCACTAGCAGTGACCCATACAACTAGGAGTTTATCAAAACAAAAAATGAATGGGTTCATGTATTTAACAATTAGTAAATTCCAAACCATTAAGGACAGTTCCTGAGTTCAAAAACTCAAAACTTCTACCCTAAAAATCTAAATTAGTCTTGTGAAGGATGGAGAGTTCCTGATGACATTGAGAGATTACCTAAAACTGCCTACATGCATGCTTATGCTTGATATTTCTTTTGTTATAATTTAAATAATGAAAAAAAGAGAAACAAAATTTTTTTTATTAAACCAAAAATTTTTAACAGTAAAAATATCAAAAATAAATAGTTATCATACAGATTAAATATCTGTATTATTTATAAGAATATAAATTTGATTTCAATTACATTCAATATTTTATTTATATAGTATTTTTATATTATTTACTCATTTAATTCAAATAAGAAAATTCAATAAAAATTAAAGTATGTATTTACCAAAAACAAAATTCAAAGTATTATCTAAAAATTAAAAGATTATTTATTTATTTCCTTTTTTAAAATTAAATCAAATAAATATAATGTTATTTTTTATTCTAAAAATATACATTAAAAAGTACCATATATTAGAACTATTTATTATTCAGCTTTTTTATAACAAAATGAAGAATTAAATTAATTTTTAAGTACTTTTAAAACTTTTATAATGTGGATTATGAGCAAAATCAATCAATTTTTTAAATAATATAGTAATTTTGAATGAGCAATAATTAACTTTTATTTATTTATTTTTACTATTTGGAAAAATCAATAAATTGTTGAAAATTTTAGTTTTAAAACTATCAAACTAATATTTAACAGTATATTAATTATTTCATATTTTGAATGAAAATAAATTAAAAGTAAAATTTAAGAAAAATACATTAGAAATAAATACTTTTAATAAAATATTGTTTTTGAGCAGCATTTGAAATAGATATTTTCTAAATCTAAACAAAATAAATATATATTTATAGGGATAGAAATTATATTTTTTAATTTTAGAAAAAATACAAAAAACAGAGTGGAAAATTAATTAGGATTTTTATTGTTAGGATGCTTATCAAGCAATTAAGAAATAAATAGTTATAAGAGGTAAATAGATAGATAAGTAGCAAATTATACATAAAAATAAATTGGTATTAACTTGTTTTTAATTTAAAATTTTACATGTTATTAATTATAGATTAATTATTTTATACTGGTTATATTAATTATTTGGCAGGCTGCTACTATTTTTGTGGTCTTTTAGTTGATTATAGCAAGTTTATATTTATAGATGAAATCATTAATTATTTTGTAAATATATATATTTTTTAATCTTCTTTACTAAGTTAATTGTTGATAATTTATTTATTTGTTCTATTAAACATTAAAATAATATTTTTTTTGATATAAATACTTCCATTATTTAATGGCAATTAATTCTTCACTTTTATAGCTTTTTATTAAACTAAATAATGCTTGTATAATTTTATTAATGATGTTGATGACTATTGTTATTTTATTATTATTTCTATTAAATTTTAATTTATTGATTATTTTTTCTTATTTTCTTCAAAAGAAGGTTGCTATTGAGCTTAAGAAATCTTTATTTGGTTCTACTCTAATTTATTTATTTGGAGATGAGGAAGAAGACGAAACAGATTTAGTTGAAGAGCTTTAAGCTGATATAAGATATTGCCTTTTTTTAATATTTAGATTATTTATTTATTTAGTGTGTTTATTAATATAATTTACTTAAGTGCTTTACAGACTGCAGCCATTTCTTATCTACTATTTGCCTCAAATGTTGCTACATGCTTTTTATTTGAATGTCCCTAAAATATATATATAATATTTTACTTAGAATTATTCTTTTTTTCTATTAAGTTACTCTAAATCCGATTTAGAATGAAGGGTTCTCGTTTTTAGAAGGGATCAAATCTGTTACATCAGTGGCCATAAGAATTGTGATCTCAGAAACAGATTCAATATGAATCATGTATCTGTCAAAAGCATTTTTTCTTAAAATAAGTTGGCAATTCATTTTCAAAATGCTATCTTCATCACTTGACTTAAGTAAATTAAAAATCTTCATTCTGTCGTCATATTAAGTAATCTTTTGTTTAAAATTGACTTAATTTAACTCAAATTTTAGTAAATAATGAGATTTAAATTTTAAAAAAAACATAAAATAAAATATTAATTTAAAATACTTTATTTTTTAACTTCTATTGTTCGTCTCTTAATATTTCAAGCTCTTTCCAATTGGCCTCGTACTAAGTTTTCATGTTAGCTAACTTCTCGCTCCTTTAAATAATATTTAAAATCAACTTCAACAAAACAGAATATATTTTGCATTTTTATCTTACTTTTCATCCAGATAAGAAATAGTTTCTTTGAGTCTCTTTTCGAGATCTTTATTTTCTTAACTTACTTAAAGAATTTCCTTTTGCATACTCTCTATTTAATCAATAAGAGCTAGCTTTTCACCCTGCAAATCTCTGATTTGATTGGTCAATTCATTAATTCTATGGTTTAGTTATTTAGTAGATTCACTCAGAGAGTTGTTTTCTTTCTCTTCTTGTGCAATTTTAATATCCTTTTTTCTATTAATTTATTATTTTTTTACTGCCATTTTAAATGAAATATGTCATACAAGTTTTCAATTTCCACATCTTTCTATGAAACAAGATGCTTATAATGATCGATCTCCTTTGAGGCTTCATTAGCTATGTTTTTCATTTGCATAAATTCATCATGGTCATGTGTAGATACTCTCAAACTCTTGAACGATTCTTATTACTTATCATATTAGTCATATAATTGGTCATAGTCTGCTCTTATTTACTACAGTTAACCTTATAAATCCATGAGTTATTCTTGCAAGCTTTAATTTTCTGATGATAATATTTCTCTTGTTTTAACTAAATCTTTATTTATCTATTATAGAACGTGAGCTTGAGTTGCTTATATTTTATATTATCTTAATTCCTATACATCTTTTTTTAATTATTTATTTTGATGCAGTATTTCCTCTATATCTAATCCCTTTCCATTATCATCTGCTAAGTTTGTTATGCTACTTGCCTTACTTTTACCATTAACAGAAGAATCTTCTAATTTATTTTAAGAGTTTTCTTCACCAAACTTTAACTTTTAAGCTATTTCCCTAATAAAAAAATTAGATTTTAATTTATATTTTCATTGAATTTAATCAATATTCATTACTTTGAAGCACCTCTAATAGGTTCATTTCTTAATTTTTTAATTTCAGAATCAAGCCTTATAATAGTTTGAAAAAGTCTTGCAGATTAATTTGAGCTTTCAATCAATTTTTATCTTGCGTGTTCTTCTCTTGAAGTAGTCATTTTTGTGAAACTTGACTTCACATCAGAAATTTCATCTCTTGTTCTACATTTTAATATTAAACATATTCAAATAAATGAATGATAAACTAATTATTTACGTTAAAGGATAATTTATTTAAGAAGTAATGAGAGTTTTTTGTGTTTCAGATTGATGCTCATCTGGCTGAGCATAACTAAAATTTGTAGAATAATTTTGCTTACTATTTTGTAATACCTAATCGCTTGTTGGGTTATGACGAGGACTTCTTCTAGGTGATTAAAATTTTGAAAAGCCAGAAGCTAACATGTGGGAGACTCCAATGTAACTCTGACCAGTTCTAAATACGAAAGGACTGGAAGATGCTAAAGCACTTTCATTCTTGGCATGAGTAACAGGAATAGGTATTCTCTTAACAGCTAAAATTATTTTTTAGTAAAATAAAATAATAAAAATGATAAAATAAAATAATAAAATTTATTAAAAATTGAAACTATTTTTTCAAATCACTTTTAGATAGATTTAAAATTAAAAAAGTTAACGTTTTTTTCTTGATTTATTTTTTTCATTTTTAATTTTTTGCTGATTTGAATGAAAAATAATTTGCTTTTAATTTTTATCCTGTTCATAAGCTAGATAATTTAAAGAGTGTTAGCTTTTATATGTGTTTGTGTTTGTTTTTTTATGATTTTACTTCGAAAGTTTGCTTTTTTTATTTTTGTTATTATCATCAAAAATACTTATTTTAATTTGTTTTGTATGCATTTTACAGCTTAACTTAGTTGATGCCAATTTAAATTTTATTAGATTTATAAAAGGTAATTTATTTAATATAGCCAGCTATCTTTTTTGATAAATTTAATTTGTTAAATATTCTTAGATTCATTCAATATAAATAAATGCGAAATTAATTTGCAAGATCTTAATTAAAATCTTGAAATTATTTTTTTTACGGTTATATGAGACAGATTGTGATTGCTTGCCTGCAGATGACTTGAAATTTGATCCGTTTAAATTATTGTAAGGGGTTTGGGGCTATCCATTTGACAATTCTGATGACTTTAATAAATTTTAATTTGTGAAGTCTGTTTCTTCAAAATGCAGCGAGCGTTCAGTATCAAATTGAGATGCTTATATTTAAATCTGTTAAGCTTTCTAAATCTAATCAAGAGGAAGTTTAAACCCATAGTTTTTAGCAGCTCCTAGCTAATTTTTTCCATTTAGAGATTGAATCTAACCAGGTAGCTGATAATTTGCCTATGCATTATTAAGATGCTCAGTAATCAAATTTTCGCCATTATCTATGTGTTCATCTTCTAATACCTTTTTAAATCATTAAAATATGATATCTTAACTTTCTACTTTATACCCTAATTATGGATTATTTAATTTGTAATTAAGTTTGCTACATTAGAAGTTTGAACTTTGCTTGGAGTTTCGTCATCTTGGTTTGTCTAAAGCTGTTTCACTATATCTGATTGATTTATACCACTAATGCTTCCATCCATCATCCTCTTTATATAAAAAATATTCAAAAATAAATTAGACTATTTACTATTCATCTATAATATTGAAAATTTTACAGATCTAGATTACTATTTAGGCTAAGGAGTCTCGAGATTTGGATCTAATTATAATATAATTTACACTTAGTTGAAAATTTTAAAACAACATATTTTAAATGATAATTTGATTTGAAAACAGTAATGTTTCTGTTGACTTTCTCCTTTAGAATTAAAATTTATAACACACACAAAAAGGGGAAACATATTTATGAAAGAAAGTATCCATACCTTAATGAGGATACAATTAGTATGGGTTATCGCTCATGTAGTCAATAAGCTTCTATGATATAAATAAGTTTGATAATAAGACTTATGCTTGCTTGCTAGATCTTTTTTATGCTTTTTTAATTAATCACTAATTAATAATTATAGTCTAAATTGATTGATTCTATCAGCTTATGTATTTAAAAGAATTATTTTGAATAATATGGTATAGTAATCACTGATTGAATTACATTTTACATATTTATTTATTTATTAATTTAATTATTTATTTATTGATCCTTACTAGTAAATTTGTTAGGACAATGCTTTTGTTAAATTAATTGATAAGCAAATATAAGCTAATAAGCTATTCACGAAAAATGAATGGCCTTATTACTAATAGTTGTTTATTAACAAAGATTTATTTATTTTTGTCTGAAAAAAAATTTTACATCAAAAAATTAAATGATAAGATAAATAAATACATAGTTTGTTTAGTGTGACTTGACTTATAAATTTAATTTATCGATGAATTAATTAATAATATAAAAATTCGAAAGAATTTCAACACTTTAAATAAAATTATACTATCTTATTTATTTTTATTTTTGTATTTAATAAGCAACAAAATAAGTAAACAAATTTATATTTAATTTAAATACAAAAGTTAGCTTATTGGCATACTTGATAACTCATTTGATTGTTTATTTTCTACAATAAAAAATAAAATTTAGACCATTTAAAATAATTCTAAGTTAACAAATTCTAATGACATTAAATTTCTTGATTGATCTCTAATAATTACAAAATTAATTAATTTAATTTAAAAATTCTTACTTTATTATTTTCATTTTGATTCGTGACAACCATTATTTTTCTATTCTTTACAGATGAAATTAAATTAGACAGAGTAACTAAAAAGAAATAAGCAAATAAAAAGCGCAATAAAAACATGCGTTGCTTATAAAGAGCTTCAATCATTTTTAATTTCGTGATATAAAATATATTTTCTATAAAAAGCTTAATTAGAAATAATAAATATAAAATTAATTAAAATACTTCTATTTTATTTATTTTTGAATTAAATTAAAGTATAAAGTATATATTATTTTTCTATTATTTTATTTACTTAATTCACTTTCTAGCCAACTAATAGGAGTTGTTTGTAAGACTGCTGGATGATATTGATTGAAAGTTGAGATTTTTATTTTTTGATTAAGCTTTAAAAACTTGATAATAAAAAATATTTTATGCTATTTCAGAAATATTAGTAAAAAATAAATAGTCGGGTTTATAATTTTAATTTAATAATTTTGATAAGTAAGTAAAAAATTAATTAAAAAATATTATTTTACAATCAAGGGTTTTTTTTGAAATATTTAAGATTTTTCTTTTAATTTTATAAATTGCTAACAGTTTGAATGAAAGTTAATTTAGTTAAAAATTCTAAAAATAGTTTTATTTAGAGTTTGCTTCTCCTTAATTAAAACACCAACCAAACCTCTCTTATCAATTTTAATCTCCAAATGGTATTTAAGATTGTGGGTTTGGGTGTGAATGCATATGAGGATTTAAAGTATTTCTATATTTAATTATTTGATAAAATTCATCATTTCAGATTCTAAATCTCTCCCCTCACATAAGTAGATAGATAGATAGATTAATAAAGTAATTGGTTTTTGGAAACATTGTATTTCTAAAAAAAAAATAATGAAATATTTAATATAAATTTAATTCACTAATTAAAATTAATCTATATTTTTAATTTTAGAATAAACATTAATGATAAAAGTAAGATTAACAATTGTTTTGAACATTTTGAATTAAGATTTTGATTAATTTAAAATGATTTTTTCTTTTGAAAATTGCTTTTTTATTAAAATTTATAAAAATTATTTCTGCTTGTTTTAATAAATTTTGATAAAAATAATTCATACATAAACAACTTCAATTGATTAATTTTATTTTTTTCAACTCTTTACAAAATTCGCATTAAAACACTATTTTTGTTCCTATCTTTTTGCAAAAGCACTTTAATTCTAGTTACTTATCTTTGAACTCTTTTTTCAACTTTTCGAATCTTTCTTACTCCAATTTTTTTTGTTGAATTTCTTGTTCAGCCTTTTGAGATAAAATTGGTAATAAATTAGAGAGAAAGATTCATCCTAAAATTTGATATTACCAAATATAGTTTCTTTTTCATTTATATTCTCTCTTCTTCAATATACTTTTCTTCATCTAAAGATTAATTTAGATTATCTAATATATCTATTTACTCTTCATCATCTGAAATGGCTCTATCTATAATATCTTCTATATCCTCATAAATGTTACCAACTTTTTTACGATTGGTTAAGGCTTATATTTTATCTAAATTTTCCTTTTAAACAAAACTAAAATTAATTCTCAATATTAAAAATTTTTTTTTCCATAAATAATTCAATAATTCTACTTTCGATTAGCTCTTTTTTAAGAATGTATGTCCTTCAACTTAGATTATCTTTTTTTCTTTTGCTTATGATTAGTTAAGTAAAAAGGATTGAAATTTATTTTAAATGTTCTATTATATTTTATTATGAGTAGGCCTCCTATTTAATTCAGCTATATCATTAAAGTCCATTAATAGCTTATATAAAAAACAATATCTCAATTTTTTAATGTTTATCGCTTAATTGATAAATATTCGTTATTATAATTTATAAAATTAAAACAAATAGAAAAAAATATCAACTTTTTATATAATAAGTGAAATGTTAACAAAGTAGAAACATTAATAAAAGGTTAACAAATAAAATATTTGAATCTTAAAAATTAATTTAAAAATAGAATTTTATTTTTTAGTTCTCAATTTGTAAATTGTTTTTCAAAAAGAACTAATTTTTTTTCTAAAAAGTAAATAAAATAAGAATTTTCAAAGTAATTTATAATTTTTCATAGTAGAAATATTCAAACCAATTTTATTTTTTTAGTCTGATTATTTAATTTATTCATAAAATAATGAAAAAATATTTCCTTTAAAATGCTTAAAAAACAAATTTATTTTTATTGAAACTTAAAAAAAACAATTCTAAAAAATTAAAATTTAATGATTTTATTTTATTTTTAATTGAAATAAATTAAATTAAAATGATTTGAATATATAAAAATAATTTATAATCAATAAAGAATTAATTAATTCAATCTGAATTAGTGAAATCATTTTTAGAAATTTCAACTTTTAAATAAATAAATAAATTATTTTTATATTAATAAGAAATTATTTAAGAAAAATAAAAATATGAGATTCAGCAATTTTGCAATCAGATTTCAAATAGTAAAATAAATTTTAGCTATTAAACAAAAATATTCATATAAATGCAAGTTATATGAAGCTATTTTTTTGGAAGTTAAAATCAATAGTCTTATTTTATTTTGAATGCTTAAATCTCAAAAATTAAAATATTTTATAAATAATTGAAAAAACAAAAATATTTAAAATAAATAAAATATTACTTTTTTTAAAATCGTAATATTTGAAATTAGGATGGATCATTAATTATTATTGTAATAATTTTTTTTAATTAGCTTATTCAATCATATTTTTAACTTTCATCTTTTAAATATATTGATTGATACAAAATTATATAGGAATATTAAAAATAAAATTCAAAAAGATTTCACTAATTAGAAAAATATTATGTAAAAGAAAATATATTTGATTATTATGATATTTAAAGAGTAAATAAGTTTTAAGTTGGAATGTGTTATTAAATTAGATGATCAGTATTCTTTGATTAGCCATCAGCTCAGTTAAATGACACAAATAACTTAATAAATAGTGAGATAAAAATGATATGAAATAATTAATTTCTAAATTCAGAACCTAAACTTCTAAATTTTACCACGAAATAAATTAATATAATTGCATATTTAATTTTCGCAGCTGTAAAAATAAAATAAGCGTAAATTATAAATAAATTAATTAATTTACCATACAAAAATAATTAAAAAGTGCTAAGCTTGTTACATTCAAAATAATTTGTTTTTGGAATTACTAATTTTTATTTTTATTAATTAAATATGTCATATTTATTTACTGAATAAAATATCATTATTATTATGAAGCAATTTAATAATACTTCAACATCAAATAAGCGTTTAAAATAATTCTTTTATAAAATTATATAATTTTTTGTTATAGAATAAATTTTAAATGACTAACCAATAAATCAATGGTCGAATCTGTAATATTCATACGAATTAAATGAGAGTAATTAGGTCGTAATAAATAAATAAAATTGTGGTTGAACATATGTCTAGACATAATACGTAGGAAAAGGTATTCATTTGAATTTGTAAGTCAATTGCAATCTGATTATTTAGATATGCAATTATAAAGTGACAAATGAAGTCAAATAAACAATTTTTGCCACAAAATTAATTTATCAAATCAAGTAATTGAATAAATATATAAGCTAATAAGTAGAAGAGGAGAATAAAAAGTTGACAGAAATCAGATATATTTTGAAGAGAAATAATTTATAACTATTTTAGCTTTTATTTCAATTACCTAAATTAAAATACAAACAAAGTAAGTAAATACATTCTTTTTAAACAAAAAAATAGCCATTAATAAATACCATTTTATAGAATATCCAATACAAACAATATTCTTTCAATTTTCTAGTTCACATGATAGATGATTATTCTCATCAACATTATTCAAATTTTAATTCTAGAAATCAGTACGTATAAAGTCCTAGCTTGAGACATTTAGTAAGCAGAGGAAATAAATAAAATTAAATTAACTTGTAACAAAGCCAAGAACAAGACCAGAAACACAACCACTGGACAGATCTCTTCAGAAAATAAAGAAATAGCATTGAAAACGAGGGGCGAAATATAAATAAGCAGTTTTTATTGAAAGAGTAATTAATGCAATAAAATAACCAGTATTAAGCATAGAATAATTCAATTACTAGTCTCTCAGAATTAGGAAATCCTAGGCATTAGTAGTCGTCTTAATAGTCTTTGCTAAACAATTAAAATGTTAATAGGAACAAAATTTACAGGTCTATTAGCTCTATAAACGTTGACAATATAAGGAGGAATGTTATTTAAGTAAAGTACAACCAAAATATTAAATTTGTTGTTTAACCCTAAAGACAAAGGGAAAGATCCTATACGGAAATGCACTCCTACGTCAAGATACCTCAGCTGCGATAAAAAGTTTATCTTCCTGAATCTGGCTGTAAGTCTTTGACGTTTATAAGAGGAGATTCTGCTCAAAATTGTAGAGATTCCTCTCAAAATTGTAGATATTCCGCTCAAAATTGTAGAGATTCTACTCAAAATTGTAGAGATTGCTAGTCTTAAAAAGATATCAATTTTAATCAAAGATAGTAATTCGCAGCTAAATTCTAAGAGAAGCAAATTGACTTAGTAAATATTTATGGTTAAAACAATAATGGTTTACCTTAAAATAGCTAATATGTTAGTAAACAAAATTTTTTGTATCAGAAACCAATCAATTAACCTTATATTAAACCTGAACACTAACTGCAATAGAACGCGTATAAAGATTTGAGAGCTAATCTCTCTTCTTAAAGAAGCTAAAAGTATGAACAGCTGAGCTCTGCTTCTAACCAAAATTTATACTCAGCTAGGACACAGCCTAGTAACAATATTGAATTTATGAGTAATTATAATAATAATTTAAATCAAAGTACTCATTATAATATATAAAAACGTACTTCTTCAGTAGAAAAACTGCCTTCGATTCACTAGACTTAATCATCATCTCCTAAAAAAACAAAAGCAACTTTCTATGATGAATACGATGACTTTAATAACCATGCAAAATCTTCAAGCAGTTAAGGATCCAGATAAGTTTTGAAAGATTTGAAAGAACAAAAATAATTGACTGATGCTGAAAAAGTTGTAGAAAAATAAAAAAGAAGAATAAAAATGTTCAAAACTGCAAGTTTGGTAGTAACAAAGCCAGCTTATGTAGTTGACTAATACACCACAGTAACTGGTGGTTAAGATGATGCTAAAATTGATTAAGGTTCTCCCCAGTTCTCTAAATTCGACTATGATAGTGTATAGAGCTAAAATATTCCTGCCTCTCCTGATTTATAAACTCGTCTTCCTATGATAAATGATAACTAATTTTCTTTGAGCCCAATTCAACCTATAAATAATGCAAAGATTGTTCAAAACACTGCAGTTTAAGCTGATTTTTAAACTTATGCAAAAATAGATGATCAAAAGCAAAATGTGAAAAATTTTTTATTATTTATTATAAATTATCTAATTAGAATTCTTATTTATATAATAAAAAGGGTGAAGACGGAAAAAATGATCAAAGTAATTTAGAAAATGCCAAATAACAAAATTAATTTGATAAAAAAGGATAAAAAAAAGATTAACAACATTACATTTCACCTGAGTACTAGATACTTGAGAAAGAAGAGTATGAGCATTTAAACGATGATAAGAGCAAAGAAAACTTAGACATAAACAGTTAAGGATCACCTTCTAAAAAAAAAATATAACTTAATTCTAAAATCAGTAATTTATAAGGCGTATCTGCTCTTTCTAAGATTGTCTAAGACAGAGACAGCTTTATTTCAAAAGCTTAAAAGCATAAATATATAGATCCATTAGAGGATGTTAATTTGGAATTGTCTCCTGATGGAGTATTTTCAAATCTTACTTTGACTCAAGACAAGGAGATAATTAACGCTAGAGCTTACTATAAAAAAACAGGAAAAGGATATGATTTATAATTAAAGAGAATTTCTAGTTTAGACAATGTTTTTCCTGAAAAAGATGTAAAAAGAATTATAGATATTAAAATAAATCATGACATAAATGAGCAATACTTGGATTTTAGAGGTGAATCTATTATTCGTGTAGCTAGATTGGATGAATATGAAATGGAAAAGTAATTCAATTCTATTGTTTTAGAAAGAGAAACAAAAGGAAAAGGGTAGTTTTTACCAAGAAATGCTTATATTTATAGACACTTTATTATTGAGTAATTTGACAGATTCTACTTTTTGTAAGATTAAATTGGTTCTTATGTTGTCTAAAAGGAAGCTCTTTCTGAACACTAGTTCAAAAGTATGATGCTCAATTTATTGGACATCATACTTTCTAAAAAAATTACTAAAATCTCTCATGATAATGTAGTTTTTTGTGTTGCTGATTAAAAGTTTTATTGCATGGATCGACTCTATAATTAAGTTCCAATGGATGAAACCACAGAATAAAATGATCCATATTAGAGATATTAAAATCAACAAAGTGAAATTTAAGATGGAGCTACCGAACAAAAAAATTATTAAATTCTTCAAGATCTTATTGACTTGATTATTTAAATCAAGTTTTAAACATTTTCAAGAAATCAAATAAGATAATAACAATAAATCTAAAGCATAAAATCTCCATTTGTAACTTACCTAATTAAAGAATTTCAAACAGCTAAGTCTTAACAAGAATACATTTTACAACAATAAAGAATGGGAAATAGTTAAGCAAAAGAAATAAATGTATTTACTTAGCTTGAGAATATACGTAAAAATATATTTAAGCACCATCTTGAAGCTCATGATGTTATAAAGAGAGATGGAGATATATTTTCATACCATATTCTTATGAAACCACGTCGCTTTAGAGAATTTATAGATATGCTTTACTATGGCTCTGACATTTATGTAGACTAAAATATCTTAGCTAACGATTCAGAAGTAGATGACATTTACTAAAGAGATTCCCTAGGAGTAGAAGAAAAATCAAAAGGATCTGATTCTCCAAACCATTCTCAAAGCTCTTTTTCTTAATATGATTCTTCAATCAAATCAGCAAGCAACTTAAAAGATGCTATAAAGAAAACCCAAAAGAAAAGTCTATAAGAAATATTGTTTGATCAAGCTAGATCTAAAAGAGATAACATAAAAATAATAGAATACGGAAACAACATTTTCCCTAAAAGATAAATAACAAAATCAAATTTAGATCGTTTGTATGCCTACATAGAAGCGAAATTAGAATAAAAAGATTACAATGATATTAATTTTTATATGAGTAAATTTGTATAAATTTGTAGTGAAGAAAATCCTTCAAGTTAAAAATATGCAAGAATCTAACTTTAATTAGCTCAGTTTAACTTTGTAACAGATACAAGTCTCTCTGCAACTATTTTAATTTGCATCTATGTTGAGAAAAAATTCTAAAATCTTGAAAAATTTGATCTTGAAAAATCTTTTGAATACAATAAACTAATGAGTGAATTGTCTGAAAAAACTAAAATTGAAGATTTCGAAATAACATTTTTAAAGGATAATTGCAATTTACTTCAAAATTCAGAAAATATAGAACTCTATTCTCAATCCCTTCATAAAGTAGGTAAATGGTACCTCCATTAAGATAAGCTTGAAGCAAGTCTAATATATTTGTACGAAAGTATAAAAGTCAGTTAAGATGATAAATTTAAATAATACTGCACCAAAATCATTTAAAACGTTGAAACAAGTCTAAAAAAATTCAAAGTAATAATTATTTTTTTAATTTTACCATAAAGATATCAATAATCATTTATAAAAATGATTGAACTAACCACCCTTTTTATAAAAAAAAAAATTGATTATTGTATTTTAAAAAAATTTGGTAATAGTTATTATGGGATTGAAGGGTCTAATAAATTTTTATTCAAAAATTATTAAAAATAAATATTTTATATTAATTTTTATTTAATATTCAAAAAGCTTCTCAGCTCCAGTCAAAACTTATAAAAGAATACTAAAGAAGCATATGACTTTTACAGTAAAAAAAACATAGGAGAAGTATAAACTAGATTAGAAAATATTAGTAAAGAACTAGGAGATGTCTATCATTTAAAAGAGAGAAAAGTAATTGATATATTTTATTTAACTGCCAAAGAATAAATAAAATATGATGAGACTGCAAGTAAAGGAGGTAATAATTTTGATCTTTTTCAAGGTTATGCAAACTCAAGTGGTATTTACAGTTAAGAGGAGTTAAATAATTGCTCTATCGAAATATAAGGAATCTATGGTGATTTATATGTTAAAGAAAAAAGATATTTAGAGGCTCTTCTTGAATACTTTTCTAAATTAACTCATATCAATAATAATACTCATGATGAATATGAATCTACACTATGGAAAATAGCTTAAATTATTTTTGAGCTAAATTATGGAGAATATCTTTATTCAATTTTAAATTGCATGAATTCAAATACAAAAATATACAAAGCAATTGAAGTATTGCACTTGCTTTCTAAATCAATTGTAATATTTAATGAAGTAGAGTCTAATCAATATTCTTCAGCATCAACTCATTATAATTCAACTTATCTTCTAAACAAAGCTCTAGTTTAAATAGAGCAAGCAAAGCAGATTGGATAGAATAACTCTTTAGTTAAATTAAAGGTTCAACTTAAAATTCTTGATGTTGAGTATTAAATCATACAAAAGCTAGGAGATCCCCAAGTAATTTAACAACGAATTGAAAATGTTAAATAGAGATTCGAACAAAAAATGACAAATGAAGAGTAATTTTTACTCTTTTAAGAATACATCAATATCTATTTGATAGACTCTTCCCCTGTATTTGATGTCAACTTTTTCAGCAAGTGTGAAAAAGCTGCTGAAATGGCTATCAAATATTAATTTTACTCACATGGAATTAAAGGTAATTATTTCATTTAAATCCTAATTTACCCAACTAATTAATTTTCTATTTAAAAAAAAGATATTGAAATTTGCTTAAATTTGAAAGTGGAGCTTTCAGTAAATGACATTTCAAATGAGGTTAAAAGTGTGCTTTAAATCTTAGAAAAGATAACCGATGAAGATCAAATAAACAAATGTTTAGACATAATTTCAAATAAACTTGACAATATTGAAGATGACAATTAGCTATTACAATTTATATTAAAATTCATAGAATTGAGCAATCAAAAGGAAAAGGTTGTTAACTTAGTTGCTTAGAACTTTAACTTTATCTATAAAATGTATAAAGAAAGTTTTGATCAATAAATTATAGACATATTATGTAAAAAAACTCATCTATATGGCTAACAGCAAGCAAATTCCGAGTGTCTGGCACTTAACGCCCAAATATTAGAATTATTATAACTAAATGAATTGCAGAATTCAAATTTAATCTGTAAAATTAATCTTTTTTCAATTAAATTAAGTTATTTAGAAAATAAATCTGAGTAAGAAATATTAAACTTATGTGAATCGTTTTTTGGGCATCTTGTTAACTTATCCAAATAACCAAAATTAAAGCAAAATGCTTTCGCTCAAATAAAATAGCTAATAAATTAAATTATATCTGAAAAAGTAAATATTTTCAAAAGCTACTTCAAAAATTATCTATAGCAAAATAAAATTACTAATACCTACCTTCTTGAACTTACTAAATGAATCAAATTATTTTGAAAATAAAAAGTCCATACATAAATATATATATATATATATATATATATATTTGTTTTGTTACATTATTACTAAAATTTACTATAAAAATCATAATTATAATTATTAAATTTGTTTTAGACTATTTATATTTATTTTCGTAATCTAGTTAGTATCTTTTTCAAAACCTTCTTTTTAATAAACAAAAAAAATTATAAGCCATTATTAAACATTTTTTTTGCAATATGATCAAAATTTGGGTTTTAACATAAGAAAATAATTGAAAAGTGTTATTTAATAATAATAATTCATTCAAAGATGATGTAGTAATGTAGAGTAAGTAGTCCATATAAATTATTAAAATAATTAACACAAAAATAATTTATTTGAAAAATGATAATTGTTTTTTTACCTATTTAAAAGATTAGTTTTAGTTAAGATTGAGTTCTTAATACTAATTTGACAGTAAATATAAATTTAAAAGTAATTTTCTGTTATTTTAAATGAAAAATAATTTATTAAAAAAATGATAATTATTTTTTTTAAATATTAACATATTAATTTTGGTTATGATTGAGTTCTTAATACTAATTTGACAGTAAATATCTATTTAAAATTCATTTTTGTGATATATATTTTAAATATTTAACTTATATAAGATAATTAATTTATTTATTAAAAAATCGGGCAAGTGTTTAAACCATTCCATAATAAAATTATTTATTTATGCATTAGATTTTTAAAAATTGTTTGAATTTTTTATGAAAAAAAATAGAATATTGTGTTTATATAAAAAAAATTTTGAATTTAATTTGTTAATTATTTAATTCAAATGTTAATGAATTTAATTATTTTTATTTTCCAAAATAAATTTATTATTTTTTAAGAAGACTATATTTTTATGGATTTTAATTGAAATATTTTATTAAATATCTAATTAACTTACATCTTAAATTAATTTAAATGTTTTTAAATCTATAAATAATTACTCAATGCTGACTACAAAAAATATATAAATTATATTAATTAATATAAAATAAGCATTGTTTTGATATGATCTTTAGTAAATTAGCTAAAAATACAATTAGAAGCCTTAATAATAAGTAGAAGGCAGGTATATTCTTCAATAAAAAAGATATTTTTATTGATCCTGAAAGCAAGAAAATTAGGATTAGTGAATTATCTCCTTATTTACTTGGTGGATTAGTAGGAGTTAGCTGGATATTTATACTTTACTTTTGGTATACATCTGAAGATAGAATGAGGATTAGAGCACAAAAATATTTAGATTAAAATTCTGCAATGTCACAATTTAAAAGCGCAGACGCTGAAAAACCTGAAGAATACAGATAAGAATATGTAAATAAAAATATTAGATGAGGTAATCGATTTAATATATTATTATTTAACAAATAAGATTGATAAATAAAAGAGAAAATACAAGTAGCTAGTAGATTCTAGAAAAAAAGACGAATTTTAATAGAAATAGCTTTATGAAGATTATTAAAAATTTGTTGCTAATGATCAGAAAGAAGATGATTGAATACTAATTACTTAATTGCTTTATTAAATTTAGTTAAAAATGTCAGTTTTATGAAATATTTTACAAATCTGTTTTTTATTATTTTAATCATGACAAAATTAATTTTTTTCAATAAAAAATATTTTATTTTTTATAAATTTTATTTCTTAAATTTAACAAATAAAATTAGCCTAAAGATTTAGTTGTGTTTTATTTTTTTGAATAAATTTATTTTTTAGCAACAAATAAAAATTTTTTTGTAATTTTTGAAAAGATAAAAAATAATATCAATGCAAAATGAATTAGAATTTTGGTTTAAATTTTAAAAATTTTATGTAAATGTGACATCTTTTTAATTAGTTGTTGCTTCTTTATTTAAATTGCAGAATAAATAAAGATTTAGATTTAAGTAAAGTTATGTGAATGTATTAAAATAAATAAATAGATAGATATGAAGCCATTTAAAAGAAAAATATAACTGGAAAAAACCTTAGCAAGTCCTATTTAATTTGTTTGGATAAAAAAATAAAAGCGATATGTTGTGAAAGAAAGACTTTTAAGTGTGTGAGATATTAGAGATGCAGACTAATAAATTGAATAGCTTATATTGATTTAATTTCAATAAGAAGAACTTAATAGATTGGATTGCACACATAAAATTCATTATTATTGTTAGCTTGCTTGCTTATTTCTAATGGAATTTATTTATCTGGTTTTATTGATTGATGAATAAAGAAATAATATGTAGGTAGGTAGGTTGGTAGATGAATAAAATCTAAGTAAAAACATACATACATAAATAAATAATAAATTAATTGAATATATAATTTATATATTTTAAACAGTTTTAATAAGGTCACTAAGTACATCAATAAATAAATACAAGTAAGAAAATAAAGCCAAAAATCTGGTTGCAAATATTAAGTAAACATTTATTTTACTTTCCATCCATTGTAGCATTTTGATCAATGGCACTCGCAACATAATTTGTTAAAGAATAAATTAATATTAGATAGAAAATACAATCGAAAAGGAATTACATCACTCATTAATTAAGCCCAACATCATAAAAACGAATAAGAATCAATCAATGAGCCATTTAAAATACTCTCAATCAAGCTAAAACTTTAATAGCATGCCTCCAATCGATACTAAAAAATCATAAATTACTGACTTTTCTTAAAGCACTCGTTTATAATACTTGGGAGACAAAAAATCATAAAAATCTGCTGCCTTTTTCAGAGATACTAGAGTTTCTTCATGCTCATATATTTCTTTGAAAGGCGGAGTTCCTAGAGCTATTCCTTACTATGGTTCTCCCACTAAGACTTACGCTGATACAATGTCCAAGAGCTCATATATTAGCTCTCTTAACCAGTAAAATTTAAACTATAAAAATACCATTAAAACACTTTTCTATTAACCTATCAACATACAAACATATATATTTATTTGATTTAGTTGAATTAGCTTGGTTCAAGCTAAAATTGATATATTATTAACAAAAGAGCTTTTCTTTAAGAGAAGTTACTTTCTATTAACAAAAATACATAAAAGTTTTATAAAAGCGATTGCAAATAGAAAATCTAAATAAATTTTATATCTAAAAACATATATTTTAATGGATTTAAATCGATATCGAAGAAATCAATTTATTTTAATTTTTCATTTGAAGAATAATTAAAATTTATTCAATATTTGTAATTAATTAATAAATTAGTGACACTTATAGAGTAAGACCCTACTAGCATGTTGGAATGAGCTAAAAGTTGCTTGAACCCTATCACCCTCACTCTTATAGAAATCGTTTACCAGTTCCCGATGCTCCTCCACAATTTAGCAATGCTTCTCAAATAGAAGTCGGAGATAGATCGTAATATTTTAAATTAATTATAGCGATTAAATGAAAATAAAAGCTTGAATATTAACAAATAAATATTTATTTGGTTAAATATAGATTTATTTATCTATCTATCTATCAAGTTATTTATGCAAATCATATTAAATAAAATAAATAAATATTTTTTACTGGAAGAATATTTATTTATTTGTTTGTTCTACTTTTTGCAATCTAAGAACAAATTTTATCAACTTTTTTAAAAAAAATCAATTTAGTGAGGTTAACCATAGAAGATTTGTTAGTCAATCTAAAAACGTATATGGAAATTTTGGTAAATTCGATCCCGTTAGCAATCCAGGTATTTTGGCTTCTAAGACCAAATGGCACCATCACCTCCAAAGTAAATGAAGAAAAAAGCAGATAAAATTTAAGTTTTGATTAGCCAATTATCATCAAAGTTTGAAATAAAATCAGCTGGCTTCTCATATTATATTTTAGCATTATTAATTTAGTAAATAAATAAGCAAAGTAAATTCATAGTAAATATATATAAATACTTACAATTGTATAGCCTTTTTTTAAGTGTTTTGTCAAATCACATTCCCTTTATTAAATATGCCATCTTTAATTAAAATATTTCAATATTTTATAAATAAAATATATTTTTAGAATTTTTAATTTAAATGTTTTTTATAAAAAAGTAAATTCAAAAAAAATTTATTTTTTGAGTTTAATTTTAAAATTATATTTTTTAATTTTTAAAAGAAAAACAAAATAATAATTTAAAAAAATATAAATTATAATTTTTAAGAAAAATGAAACCAATAAAAAGTAAAAATAAATATAGCTAGTTAGCTTGTTATAAAGTGAATCAATATAATATAATGAATGCACTATTCAAAATGTTAGCTATTTTAACATAGTTTTTAAAATACATATCCATTCAATGGCTTGTTAATCAATTGACTTCACTTTACAAGCAAAGGAATCATTTAATGTTTGTTTATTAATCATAGATAGAATCAATACAAAATCTTTATAATTAATAATAATAACAAGTTTTTTTAATTATATACAAAAAAACAAACTAATAACAATTCATAGCTTATTTTTAAATAGAATCATATCACAAATAATTAATTATAATTTATAACAGCAATGAGATTAAGAAAGGTCAGAGCTCATGAAACGGGTTCATCAAATTTAGATTTTAAGTATTTGATAAAATAAATTATTTTATTGCTATTCTGAAAAACATCTTTATGAACATTCATTTGTGATTGTTAGTTATATTATTAATACTACAAATCATAATTTTAAAGATGCATTTCAATAATTAAATAAATTCATATATATAGAGCAGAGAAAATAGAGCGCCCTGATGTTCCAAGAATTGAATTTTTATCAACTGCAAAAAGCAAAAGTTTTTCTGATTTGATTAAAATGAAAATCAATAAAGTAGCTCCTTAACCAGTAAAAGAAACTGAAACATTTTATGTTGAAAATCAAATTCCTGAAAAGCCTAAATTTCCTGTAGGATATCCTCGCTTTGGTCAATTAGAAGAACCAGAGTTGAGAAAAAGAGTTTTTACAGGTGATTCAAACACTTAATATGATATAAAATTGCTGCCAAGAGTTAAAAAACAGTTTACTAAAATAGATAAAAAAGGTATAAATAAATCAACACTTATTAAACCTCACTTAAAATTAAGAGTATGAATGATTGAATGAACTTCAAATTTGACTGAGAAAACAAGTCATCAAACAAAATCTTAATTTTAATATTTATCAATAAAACTATTATTTTTTTAATTATTTGTATATTTATAATAGAATAAAGAGATAAGTTGATTGCAACTAAACACGACTAGCATGCAACAGCTATAGCTGAAACTCAATTAGTAGGTTTAGAATAGTACAACAAATTAACTCTTGAAGGCAAGGTTGATCTTGATAAAGTCAAAGAAATTCGCCGTGCAATAAGAAGAAGATATGCCAATAGAAAAAACTTCCAAAAAATTTTTAATGCTTGGGATGATAACTGCACAGGTAAAACAAACTCAATTAATTGATATTTTAAATTTTACTTTAAAGTTATTTAATTTAATAATATATTTATATTCATTTAAGGTGCAATTGATCCCAAAAATGCTTTTGATATGATTAAAAGCATGGGAATAAATATAAATTTTGATGAAGCAAGAGTTTTAATTGCTAGTGCTGATATTGATAAGAGTGGAGATCTTTCACTTAATGAATTTATGGATTTAATTTTTAATAACAATGACATTCTCAATGTCAATCTCAAGGAATTGCCTGGTAAATCTCTATATTAATTGTCTAAAATATAGATTAATGGATTTAATTATATTAGTAATGAGTGAAGAAGAATATAGTAGTTTGCATACAGCTAATAAGGTGATGAATAAATTGAGAGATGATGCTAAGCTTTCAAAATAGAATAGACATCACAATTAATTAAACGTTATTTTAAAAAATAAACTGTCGTCACTTAAAACTTACATATTTGCTGCAGACAGTTTGCAATAAGGATTTGTCAGTCATGAAAAATTCTTCGAAATAGTTAAAAAATTAGCAATTCCTGAAACAATTATGTCACAGGAAGATATTCAATTCGTATTTAACAGACATAAAATTGATGAACATAAATTCAATTACAGGGAATTTGTAGATTTTCTAAGAGATTTCACTTTTGTGCCTGAAGATATCTATGTATAATAAATGAATAGCATAAATAAATAATTTATTTAACTAATAAAAATGAAAAGGTTGATCCTGCAGAAACTGAAAAGAAAAAAAGCGAGAAGTAGAAATTTTTAACAGCTTATAATTATGAAGAAGATAATAAAATAAATATTTTTGATTCTAATTCTGTAAATTCTTGGCACTTAGAATGTATCAGAGAGAAAGCAAGGAGAGTATTTAGAATTATTGAAAGGTATCTCGATTCCAAAGAAAGTTTTGATTAATTTTTGATGCAATAAATGAAAATCAATAACGTCGATGAATTCAAAACAAAATAAATCTCAAAACAAAGCTTGACAAAAGCAATCGAAAACTTGTTCTTAAATGTTGGAGATAAAGAAGTTAAAAAAGATGAAGTTGAATCTTTTCTATCAATTTTTTCATACAATAATCATGACCACACAGAAGCTGCTAAAATATCAAGAGCAATTTATGAGTAATTGATTTGATTTTTTATTTATTTATTTAATTATTAAATATAAAATATTTAAATAAAAAGAGAAGAAGATGGCGAGTGGTTCAAAAGAATGCAGTGGAAACTTAAAAGACCACCTCCTCCTCCTTAAAAATTATACCCTGAAGATAGTAAAAATGAATAATAAGAAGGTCTTGGCTGGAATGATGAAAATGCAGAGGTGCAATAAATACAACCTAATCAAGAGAATTATGAAAAGTTTTTTGATACTAAATATAAACCTTAGGATATGGATATGAATTAATACAAGGGTTTGACTAGGACAAGCTCTGCACCTCACTATCCTTCATCTTTGAATAAAATTTTAAGTAAGTTTGAAAATAGAATCTTTTGTGGCTCCTAGAAAGCCTATGACATCTTTAAGAAGTTTGATGCCGATTAAGATGGTAATTCAATTTATTAATAATTATTATATAAATTTATTAATGAACAAAAATAAAGGTTACATATCTTAGAAAGATATGGCTCATAAGTTAAAAGAAATGAATATTTTAGATGAACATGAAATTAAACCATTCCTTATTTATCTTGACCCAACAAACAAAGGTTTTGTCGATTTTTCAGAATTTAGTTCAAGAGTAAGAAATGGTATGACTAATAATGATAGTATGGGATAATAAATAGTTGTTCCTTTTACGGTTCCATGCTCTGACCATTTAAAAGATACATAAAAAATGCTACCTTTTATCTAAAAAAGAGTAAGTGATCTTAGAAAACCTTACTATCCTCCTGAACGTATATATATTAACTTTGAGTAAAAATGGCAATTAAATTATAATTTAATCAAATAGAAACATAGAAAATTACAAGATATGGTGCCACACCCAATTTTTAAAATACTTTCAGTAACTTTAAAGTCATAAATACTAGTCCAATGTTTGCTACAGCTTCAGTAAATTTTATTTATTAAATAAATAATTAAAATTAATTATTACCATCATTTTAGGAACGTTTTATGCAAAATCACAATCACAGAACCTAATTCTAAAAAGAAGAGTTTCAAAAGAAAAAGTAATACGAAGAAGGTAGAATTTAAAGAAAGAGAGAAAACATGATGGCAATCCAATAAAAAATAGAGAGTGAAGTCATAGCAAGTGATATAAAAGATGATAATAAAAGGAAAACCAAGGGTTTAGCCCAGTGGACTTATGAACATGTAATTGATTAACTATTTAAATAAATAAAAAAATGTTTCTTTTTTTTAAAAAAAATAGAGAGCACATTTACAAAACAACTACAAATGAATGGGCAAGTTATAAAAAAGTATTAAATTAATACTTAAAAATATTTCAATAACATATTTTGGATCATAGTTTTATTAATCTATCTATATAAACACTAATTTAATATATTTTTATATCATATTTTATACAAAGTTAATTATACCAAATTAAAATAAATAAATAAATCAATAAATTATTAATTTATTCTCAAAATTTTATAATATTTTAGAACTGCTTAATAAATATTTGTTTTATTCTTATTTATATTTATCTAAAATAAATATATTTTTTTTTAATATTTATTCTCTAGCTATTTAAAATAAATATCAATTTTGTCTTTCAATTTTACAATTCTAATAGCTAGCTAGGTTGTTCTTTCTTATTTTGTCCTTAATAATTCTGCTTTTTACTGTTATTTAATAACCCTTAAAATTATTTTTAAATTTAAATTTTATTAAACCCCTTCTTGTTTAAAATAAATAGTTGAATTACAATTTTTATTTTTATAATCCTATTTTTATCCAAAAATGAAGTATTAAATAAATAAAGATACAGTTCGAATTTTAGAATCTTCTTTTAATTATTTAAGTTAATACAAATAAATCTTTTTAATTATTGAAAAAATAAAATAAAAACAATCAACAAAATAGGTTTATAAATTGAAATATGAGTTTTATTAGTAGAGCTTTCAACAAGGGATCAAAGCTAGCTTTAGCACATTTGATGAAATAAAGAAATATTGTTTTTCCAGTATGTTTTAATTTCAGTCAACTATAGAGCAAAAATTTTGTTATGAAAAAAACAGAATTAAGCAATGATTTACTGATTTCTTTATCAATGGGATTTGAACACAAAGAAGCTACTAACCAAAAAGAGTTAACATAGAATTTGATTATTAATAATGTCTTAAAGGATAAAGTTGTATAAGATGTATTTAATGAGCTAGATAGAGATTTATTTGCTATCAACAAGAGCTAAAAGATTTATGCTAACAATCCATTATCGATAGGAAAAGGTCAAAACATGACTTCGCCTTTAATGCACGCTATTGCTTTGTAAGAGATATATGAGAGATTAATGATCTTATTAAAGTAAAAAAAAGGTTCTGAAATAAAAATTTTAGATATTGGTTGCGGAAGAGGATACATTGCATTTGCCATTTCAAAGATTATTGAAAAATGTGATGATTTAAAAGATATTAAAGTATTTGTAAAAGGTATTGATATTTACGAAGATTTAACATATGGTGCAAATGAGATTCTTCATAAATTAAATATCAACAAAAATATTACCTTCCAATTTGATACTTTAAATATCGAATAGGAAATACAAAACAAATAGTAAGTTTATGATATTATACATTCAGGAGTTGCTCTAGAATTAAGCGTTTACAATAATATGATAGGCTAAATTTATGCTTAAAATCAAGAAGGTTCTTGTATTATTTGTCCTGTCATTTAAGAAGATTTAGAGTAGAATTTATATTTGAGATGCAATAACTAGGAACATGTTGTTATGAAATGTGTTTATTCTTAAATGATTACACTTAAATAGTAGGAAATAAGCAAATATTTTTTGGAAGATGGAGAAATTGCTGAAGAAGATTCAACTTCTACTTTATAAGCTTAATCTCAGTAAAGCTAAGAAGAAATGAATCTAGAGTTATTAGAAAATACTAAATTAAAAAGAGAATAGCATAAAGTTGAGCAACAATTATCATAAAAAGAGGCACAGTTGAAGCAATATTTCGAAAATTTCAAAAAAAATAATAATGGCATTGCTCCTAATTTAAAAGAAATGAATAGTAACGAAGAAACAAAGTAATTACTCAATGAAATATCACATCTTAAAAAACAATTAAAAATAGTAAAAGCTAAGTAATAGATAAAATGATCAAAAACTTGAATTAGCTATCTACTTCTAAAAAACTAATTAAATAATATAATTAATATCATTTTTATTTTTTGTAATCTTTATCTCTGTATATTTAAGACACGTTGTCTGTCTTTTTGATAAAAAGAAATAAACAATTTAATCTAAAAAATATTTACTTAAGTTAATAAAAAATTATTCAAAAAGTGTAAATGGAAAATTTATTCCAAGAAATATGGTATCATTCATGTTTGTTCATAGTGCACATAAAAATTATGAGAGAATTATAAATTTTGTTTACACACACACATATTTTTTATTATTATATAAAACAAAATAACTAACTTAAACATATTATTCAAATTAAGGAGGGAAGCAAAAAAAACCTTTTTAATTTTAAATGAGTTATTCTAGTAAATTATATATTTTTACTCTTTTTTCATTAGAAATTAGAAATAAAATCCATTTATTTTTGAAAATTAAGACTCTAAAATTTCAAAATAATATTAAAAATTTTCTATTCAATTTAGAAAAAATAATAAAAAATCAGAATTTGTCTATGATTTTTTGTAAATGTAGCAAAGATATAAAAAATCGCATTATTACCTTGATCACCAGCAGTGAATTAATAAAATTATGATTCAGTATTTAAAATTTATTCATAGATATCGGTATTAACCCGTAAAACAAACATTTAATTGTACTAATCTTTTATTTTTTCTAATATAATCTTTTTTAGAAGGTACTTTTGAGTTGGCTTCATACTCTCTATTATTAATTAATTTTCAACAAAAATTAAATTCAATAAAATTTCCTAATTTTCAAATCTAATAAAAATGTATTCTGTAATGTATTAATTGTTCAAAAACTTATCTCATTCCACTCAAGTTAAACTAAGAAAGTTCAAAAATATATTTATTTATTTATTTTAAAGAATTAAAATTATTCTTGTTAACAATTTTGATTTTTAAAAAATTCTTTTTTATTTATAAATTATTTACATTTCGATCCTTAAAAATAATAAATGCTAAATTTAAGCTAATTCACATGCAAATGCCTTATGACTTTAATCATCTACCTTATGTTCACTGATATTTAAAAATTAAAATTAGAAAGATAAGAAAATGATAGTGAAGGATTAAATTAATTACCATAAGGTTAATCTTATATATTTTGGATTTGAGTATTTTACTAATTAGGTTCCCAAATATATAAAATCTTCATTATCAATAGGTCTTTATTTTTAAAAGTAATATTATATTTAAATGAAACTAGATTAAATAAAGCTATTATTAAAATATAATTTATTTTTTTTGTTCTAAGTTTAATTCAAAATAGTAATCATTAAGCTTGATATCATGTAGTTAAAAAAGCTTGCTTAATCTCTGTTTAATTAAATGAATAATAAACTTTTAATTTAATTAATCTAAATTAAATTATAAAATCAGTTAAATTTGTATTTAAAATAAATTGTATGAAGAATCATTTTAAACTGTTGTTTTGTTTGTTAACACTACCTACCTTACTGCCATAAACAATTTTAAAATATTTGTGCTCTCAGTCATCCGATTTCCCAAAGATTTTGTTGCTTCTGTTTTAAATTGAACACATCTAAAACATATTATTAAAAAATAATTTGAGTCTCTAAGAATACTTATTAGCTTATTACGTATAGTAAATAAGCAATATTTAAACTTTTAAAAAATTTTTTCTTATTTCTTCTTCGCTAATGACATCGGAATTAAATTTTGCTCCTGTTTAACTTAATTATAAATCAGTTAAATTATAATTTTTAAATAATTTTATTACTCAAGTTTTATTCTTAATGACTCAATTTTTTTACAATTTTTTAAGGCTTGAAGTATTTCATTTTAACTTTTTTTGTTTATTTTAGCACAACTAAAATATTTTAAATTAAATTATTAAATAATAAAAATTATATGATTTATTAACTAAAATATTTGTTATTTGTTTGTTTTTAACTCAATTAACAGTTTTTAATGTTTTCTTTGGTAATTAAAAAGTATTAAACAAGGAAATAAATAAATTTTTTATTTAATTTTTTGCCAAAATATTTTTAATTATAATAATTTTAATGCAGTATTTTTGTACTGGTTTTTCATAATTTTTATATTATTTTTGAAAATTATTAAATAATTCAAAAAAAAAAAAAAAACTTTAAATCAGGTTAACTGACAGCAAATAATTAGTTTGTGATATTAAGAAATAAGGCTTTTAAGAATGAATAATAGAACTTAATAAATAATAATAATAAAAACAAAGAGTTAGCTAATAGTTACGTTATAGAAAGGTTTAAATCATTAAGGTTGATACAATGGCTTAATGCTAATGCTAAATTAGATACATCTTAGTCAGATAAACGCCTAAAATAATTTGAAATTAAAATATTGACTTAAAAATTTTATTTACTTAAATTCTAGCCTCAATGTTGTGTGAACTGAATAGTTTGTATTTTTAAACTATTTAAAAATAAAAAATAAATTATGGCCATGTTTAACATTTTTTCAAATTATTACTTATTTCAAACGATCATAATATGTTTTTTAATAAACTTAGTTTTTTGCAAAGATTTATCCCATTTTTTTCTATAAACTTGATTATTTTGTCAATTTATCTTTATTAATTAAATTAATTGAAATTTCTTTTATTAAAAAATTTCATTAAAAAGAAAAATGCTAAATAAATATTTAATAATACAAAAAATCAAAGCAATAAATAATTTTAAAAACTTTTTAATCTATCCGTTGTTTTTGCAATTTAAGGAAGGACCAACTCAATTCAAATTAAAAAAAAATTACATACATTTTGAATCAATTAATGAATAAGCCATTAATATAACTAATCGATTACTAATTATAAACTATCACAACTAAATATTTAAATTAATATAAAAATTCTATTATTTTTAACGTTGATAGATTATCAAAAATAATATTTTTTAAATATAATAAATTGATAAAAATAAAAACAGCTTGATAACAATTAGTCATAAAATATAAAGATAATAAATTAAGGTATACATAAAAATTATGGTGAATTTAAAAATCTGTTTACTGATATACATTAATTATTATATATAACAAAATAATTAATTTAAACATTACAATCAAACTAACTTAATATTTAATTTAATTAATCTTTTATTTTTCCTAATAAAGTCTTTTTTTAAAGGTAGTTATGGTCCAATTTTTTATCCCCTATTTATTTGTTAATATAAAAAACAACTAAAGAAAGTATAAAGAGAATATTATGAAACTAAATTTATAATTTGCTAACAAAAATATATTCTATAATGTAATAATGGTTTAAATGCTTAGCTCATTCTAAGCAGACTAAGCTGAAAAAATTTAACAATAAATTTATTTATTTAAAAGAGTTAAATAACTCTTGTTATAATGATTTTGGTTTGCAAGTTTTTTGATTTTTGTTTAGAAGATAATAATGCAATAATTTTGAAAAACTATTTACACTGAGATATTTAAAACAAATAAATGTTAAATTTAAGCTAATTCATATGCAAAATCGCTAAGACCTTAGTAATTAATATTATCATATCTATTATTTTTAAATTAAAATCATTAAGTTAAGAAAAAGAAAGTGAATAAATGAATTTAATTACAATAAAATTAATGTTATATATTTTAAGTTTGAGCATTTTCCAAGTGAGACTCCAAAATTTAGCAAATCTATACTCTAATAACTGAAAATATTATTTTTAAATGAAATTAAATTAAAATATTTTTTGTTTTCTTGGTTCTAAGTTTATTAACAAATAAAATAATTAAGTCTTAATTTCATGTAGTTATAAAGGCTTAGTCAAATTTAAATTCCTGACAAATTTTGATTAAACTCAATCTATAATGAACTTTTAATTTAATTAATCTCAATTAAGTGGCAGTTGATTTCTGGAGAAGTTAAAATGACAAAATTTTAAAAAATCAATTGCATAATTTATCTTTAAAATAAAAATATTTTAATAATTTACAATTAAACTTAGAGCTTAATTTGTTTATTTATTTATTCTTTCAGATAAAAATATAAAATTGTTACCGTCTTTAGGATTTTAAGCAAAAATCTATTTATTCAAGATGTTTGATTTGCTCTAAATACTTATGTATTAAAGGAAAACCTTCTATTAGATTATCTTAATTACTTCTGTATTAAGTTAAAATATAAATATGATTTCAGGTAAAGTTTTTTTGTGATTAAATGCTATTTTAAAGGAAACATACTAAATGAAAAGCTTTAAAATTTTCAGATTCTCTAGCTTTCCAAGTTAAGAAAATATTGCATCATTTTCATTAAATAGACTATCAAAGCTTTTTATATAAATTATATATTAAAAATATTTTGATTTGACATAATTTAAAATATAAAATGAACAAAAATTGTTTATTTAAATTAATTATTTTTTTATTGACATTACATTAACTTCATATTTAAACTTGAAAGATTAGTGCATTCACTTATCCCATTTATCAGAGAAATAGCTGTTTCAGTTCCAAATATGATACTAAAGCATATTATAAAAAAAGTAATTAATAAATAATTTGTTGAATATCTAAGCATATTTAATAGCTGAATACTCATTCCAAATTAACAAATTTTAAAGATCTTTAAATTCTCTGATATTGTTGCCTAAAACAATCATTTGTTCAAGTTCACGTTCACGTTCACGTTCACCATAATTATTAGAATGATTTCTTCTTCTATTTTTGATTGGAGGTCCTAATAATCTTAAATTTTAAAACCAATTTAATAGTAACTTTTAAATAACTTTATTACTCAAATTTTATTCTTAATGTCTACATTTTTTTACAATTTTATATGGCTTCGACTATTTCATTTTAAATGTTTTTGTTTATTCTAGTATGACTAAAATATTTTAAATTAAATTATTAAATGTTTAAAATTATATGGTTTAATAAATATCAAATGATTGTCTGTTTATAACTCAGTCAGTCAGTCAATAGTTTTTAATATTTTTTTATGCAAAAGAAAAGTTTTTTTAGATAGGAAAATCAATTGTAAAGCTATAAATCAATTTATCTTAAAATATTTTGTTAAATCTCTTATGAAATAGTAATTTTATCAAAGAAACAATAAATAGAACATAATAAATAATTATAATAAAAACTAATAGTTTTCTAATTCTTACTAAACCAAGAGGTCTAACTCTACAATGCTAATACACTATCTCAATGCTTATGCTAAATTGGATGCATCTTTATCAGATAAATCCCTAAAATAGTTTTTAAGTTCAGATCCTAATTTAAAAAATTTTATTTACATAAATTCTAGCTTCAGCTTTTAGTTACCTGAATAGTTTGAATTTGTAAACTATTTAAAAAAGAAAAGTAAATTTTTATCATTTTTAAAATTCTTTGAAACTTTTACTTTTTTCAAATCATTATAATATTCATTTTAAGTGTCTTATTATTTTGGTAAGTATTATCCCATTTCTTTAAATAAATTCGGATTATTTAACTTCTCAAACAAATATTATTATCGCTACCAAATACAAATGTATGCTTAAATTAAATTAATTCAAAATTCTTGCATAAAAAAGAAAATACAAATTGTATACTAATTAAATTAAATTAATTCTATATTCTTTTATAAAACAAAATACAAATTGCATGCTTATTAAATTAATTATTTTTTTTTTTATAAAAATATTAGTAAAATGAAAAATATTAAATGTTTAATAAAAAAATAAAAACAATAAATAATTTAAAAAATAGGTGTTATCCATCTCATTTACTTACTCCTTTACTCAAAATATCCATATATTGATAATATATTCTAATATTTGGCTAATCCTGTAATTAAAATATGACGAACTGTGTAGGTAAGTACAGATGGTGATATTTCATTTAATTTTTATGATTTTAAGTTTTGCATTTCTGTTTTCGAAAAAAAGTCTTATTTCTTGCAAGAAATATGATATTATGCTCATAGTATATATAAATATTAAGAGTGAAATCAATAAAAAATTTGTTTACTGATGTATATTTATTATTATTTACAACAAAAGAATTAATTTAAACAGAATAATCAATATGAGAAAATACTTCCAATATATAATTTAATTAATCTTTTATTTTTCCTAATAAAGTATTTTTTTAAAGATACTTTTCGCTTTTTTGTATTTTCCCTATTTATTTATTAAAATTAAAAAAAAACAACTAAAGAAAGTAAAAAGATAATATTATTGAACTCAAAAAAATGATATTCATAATTTCCTAACAAACGAACATAATAAAAATATATTCTTTAATGTAATAATAGCTAAATACTTAGCTCATTCCGCGCAGACTAAGCTGAAAAAATTTAATAATAAATTAATTCATTTATTCTAAAGAATTAAATAACACTTGTTAGAATTATTTTAATTTTCAAGAAATGGTTTTTGTCTAGAAAAAAATAGTGAAATAATTTTGAAAAACTATTTACATTGTGATATTTAAAACAATTAAATGTTAAATTTAAGCTAGTTCCTATGCAAGCACCTTAAAGGATTAGTAATCAATGTTATAATTAAAATTTCTTTTAAATTAAAATCATTAAGTTAAGAAAAATAAAGTGAATGAATGGGTTTAATTACTGAAAAAATAATGTTAAATATTTTAGGTTTGAGCATTTTTCAAGTGAGTCTCCAAAATTTAACAAAGATTCATTCTCTAAATCTAATTAATTTCTATTAAAAATATTATGTTTAAATGAAATTAAATTAAAATATTTTTATTTTCTAGGTTCTAAGTTTAATAAGAAATAAAATTTTATTAGCTTTCAAATCAGGAAGTTATAAAAATTTAGTCAAATTTAAATTCCTTATAAATTTTGATTAATTTTCTAATTAAATAATGAATGAACTTTTAATTTAGTTAAATTAGATTGAGTAGACACACAGTTGATTTTTGGAGAAATTTAAGATACATAATTCTTTAAAATTAATTGCAAAATTTATCTTTAAAATAAAAATATTTTTAAAATTTACAATTAAACTTAGAACTTAATTAATTTATTTATTTTTTCAGATAAAAATATAAAACTAAAATTACTACTGGCTAAAGATTAAATCTAACTTTTCAAGAAGATTGATTTGTTCTAAATACTTATGTATTAAAGGAAAACCTTTTCTTATTTTATTTTTGTATAAATTTAAATATAAATATGAAATTTGGTAAAATTTTTTTATGATTAAATGTTATTTTAAATTATAAAAATACACTAAGAAAAGCTTTAAATTTTTCAGATTCTTTAGCTTTCCAAGTTAAGAAAATACTGCATCATTTTCATTTAATTGATTTTTAAAACTTTTTATTTTAATATATAAATTAAATATTTAAAGTATTTTGATTTGACATAATTTAAAATCTAAAATGAACAATATTGTTTGTATAAAAAATTTCATATATTTTTTTATTATACTACTTTAAAACCATAGTTAAGCTTGAAAGGTTTGTGCATTCGCTTATCGCATATATAAGAGAAATAGCTCCTTAATTTCCAATTATAATACTAAAGCATATTATAAAAAAATAATAAATAATTTGTTGAATTTCTAATCATATTTAATAGCTGAATACTCATCCCAAATTGACAAATTTTAAAGATTTTTAAATTCTCTTAAAGTATTGCCTAAAGCAGTCATTTATTCATCAGATTTATTGCTTTTGAATTTTGATCTTTATAATATTAAATTTTAAATTCAATTAATAAGTCATATTTAAATAATTTTATTACTTAATTTATATTGTTAATGTCTAAATTTTTTTACAATTTTGTAAGGCTTGAACTATTTCATTTTAACTGTTTTTGTTTATTTAATGTTTAAAATTATATGTTTTAATAAATCTAAAACGCTTGTCTGTTTTAAATCAGTCAATAGTTTTAATATTTTTTATTCAATTTGTTTGTTAATAAAATTATTATCTAAATATATTTTATTGTAATAGTTTTTTATTTTTAGATACTGTATTTATTGAAGATCTTCTTCATCTGTCTCTCTTAAGCTGTTTAAATTATTTTTGAAAATTATTAAAAGATACAAAGCTACTAACTTTAAATAAAGTTAACTCAAAATATTTAATTAAGTCTAAAAGGAAATAGTAATTATACCAGAGAATAATAAATAGAACTTAATAAATTATTATAATAAAAACAATAGTTTTCTAATTCTTACTTAATCAAGAGGTCTAACTATACAATGCTAACACATTACCTTAAAGCTTATGCTAATTTGGATGCATCTTTATCAGATAAATCCCTAAAATAGTTTTTAAGTTCAGATCCTAATTTGAAAAATTTTATTTACTTAAATTATAGTTTCAGCTATTAGTGACCTGAATAGTTTGATTTAAGAAACTATTTAAAAAAGAAAAATTAATTTTTTTCATTTATAAAATTCTTTGAAACTTTTACTTTTTTCAAATCATTATAATATTCATTTTAAGTGTCTAAATATTTTGTTAAGTATTATCCCATTTTTTTAAATAAATCTAGATTAATTAACTTCTCAAACAAATATAATCAATACAAAATACAAAATACAAATTGAATGCTAATTAAATTAATTCAAAATTCTTTTATAAAAAACAAAATACTTATTGCAAGCTAATTAAATTAAAACTCTTTTTTTAAAAATTTAAAGAAAAGAAAAAATATCAAATGTTTAATACAATAAATTAGAACAGTAAATAATTTAAAAAATAAGTGTTATCCATCCATTCCATAGCTCAAATATCCATATATTGATAACAAATTCTAATATTTTAAAATATTGAACTTTTATTTAATTTTATTCAAAAGTTAATCTAAAATGCTCTTTTCATATAGTATTTAATCATTTTATAAATTGATTTTTTTTACATATGAAATGAATTAAAAATAATAAAATTAAACTAACTCCAAAATCTATTTAATATCTAAAATTAATAACTTTAAATGAAATTTTTTTTATTTATTTAATAGTTTATCTATTGTCAAATTTATGTATGATTAATTATATAAAAATAAACAGTTATTGATTTTTTTTTAAATTGTAAAGTATCCCTCAAAATTAGGGAATGGGGAATTATCTTAATAAACTAAGAGTTAGAGTTAATAGATTAAAAATTGATAACTTAATATTATTTTATTTTTCTTTTAATAATTACTTATTTTTTGGTTTTTTAAAAAACAATCAATCAATTTTATGCTTTAATTTTTACATTTCTTTTTTAAAAAAATCAACAATAATTTTTTACAAAACTGATTTATTTTTTTTATTTATTATTTAAAAATAAATTGTAAAAAGCTATTTAAATTAATTAATTAATTTATTAATCATCTGAACTCAAAATTCAATTGCAAAATTTTTTGACTTTTGCCTATCTTTTTTCCAAAAAAAGGCTTATTTCCTGCAAAAAATATGATATCATGCTTGTATTTTACATAAAAATGAAGAGTGAAATCAATAAAAATATATTTATTATTTACAACAAAATAATTAATTTAGAAAGAATAATCAAAATTCTTAATTTCAAATATTTAATTGAATTAATCTTTTATTTTTCCTAATAAAGTCTTTTTTTACATGTACTTTTCCCTCAATTATATGATCCCTATTTATTTATAAAAATTAATATAAAAAACAACTAAAGAAAGTATAAAAATAATATTATTAAACTCAAAAAAATTATATTAATTATTTCCTAACAAAGGAGCATAATAAAAATATATTCTTTAATGCAATAATGGTGTAAATACTTAGCTAGCTCACTCCATGCAGACTAGCAATAAATTAATTGATTTATTTTAAAGAATTAAATAACTTTTGGTAAAGTAATTTTAATTTTCAAGAAATGGTTTTTGTTTAGATGAAATCATTTTAAAAAAATATTTACACTTTGATATTTAAAACAAACAAATGTTAAATTTAAGCTAATTCTTATGCAAACACCTTAAAGAGTTAGTAATCTAATATATCTGGAAAAGTACTTTTAAATTAAAATGATTAAGTTAATAAGAAAAATAAAGTGAATGAAAGGGTTTAATTACTAAAAAGCTAATCTTATATATTTTAAGTTTTAACATTTTCCAAGTGAGACTCCAAATTTTAGCAAAAATTCATTTTCTTTCTTTCTTTAATTTCTATTGAAATTATTGAAATTGAATCTATTATGTATGTTAAAATATAAATTAAATTATTTTTTATTTTCTTGGTTCTAAGTTTAATAAGAAATAATATAATTAGTCTTCATATCATTTAGTTTTAAAAGTTTAGTCAAATTTAAATTTTGATAAATTTTGACTAATTTATTCAATCAATAATGAATTTTTAATGTTAATTTAGATTAAGTGGAGACAGTTGATTTTTGGAGAAGTTTAAGATACATACATAAATCTTATAAATTAATTGCAATACTTATCTTTAAAATAAAAATACTTTTAAAATTTACATTGAATTTTAGAAATTAATTTCAAACTCTATTTATTCAAGAAGATTTTAGTCAAAATACTTAAGTATTTAAGGACAACTTTCTATTATATTCTCTTAATACTTACTACTGTATTAAGTTAAAATATAAATAAGAAATATGGTAAAGTTTTTTTATTATTTTAAATGAAAAATACTCAATTAAAAGCTTTAAAATTTTCAGATTCTTTAGCTTTCCAAGTTAAGAAAATACTTCATTATTTTCATCTAATTGATTTTACAAGCTTTTTATTTTAATAAAAAAATTAAATATTAAAAATATTTTGATTTGACATAAATTGAACAAAAATTGTTTGTTTAAATTAATAATTTTTTTATTGACAATACATTAACCTCATATCTAAACTTGAAAGATTAGTGCATTCACTTATCGCATTTATCAGAGAAATTGCTCCTTAATTTCTAATCATAATACTAAAGCATATTTAAAAAAAATAATTAATAATTTATTGAATATCTAAGCATATTTAATAGCTGAATACTCATCCTAAATTGACAAATTTTAAAGATTTTTAAATACTCTTATACTTTTGCCTAAAGCAATCATGTATTCTTCAAAATCATCTCTTGTATATAACTCAATCTATCTAATAAAAATAATTCTAATATAAGGTGAAATTAAAATAAGGCAAAAAAAATAGATTCTTAGAAAATATTTTAAATTTAAAGTTCTTTTTTAAGAAAATTTTTCTAAACAAACGATAGATAGATATCTTTATAATATTAAATTTTAAAATCAATTAAATAGTCATTTTTAAATAATTTTATTACTCCGTTTTTATTCTTAATGTCTACATTTTTTTACAATTTTGTAAGGCTTGGACTAATTTTTTGAAACAGCCACTGTTTATTCTATAAACACTAAAATATTTTAAATTAAATTATTAAATGTTTAAAATTATTAGGTTTAATTAATCTCAAACACTTGCTTGTCTTTCTCTCTGTTTATAACTCAGTTAATAGTTTTTAGTATTTTTTATTCAAATGAAAATTTTAGATAGAAAAATCAATTGTTTGTTAATGAGATTATCTAAAATAAATTTTATTTTAATAATTTTTTGTTGTTAGATACGGTTTTTAAGAAAAGCTTAAAAATCTTAAAACACTTGTCTCTTCTATTATATGTCTAAATCTGTTTAAATTATTTTTTAAAATTATTAAAAGATTCAAAGCTATTAACTTTAAATAAATTTAACTCTAAATATTTAGTTAACTCTCTTATGAAATAGTAATTTATTTTATCAGAGAATAATAAATAGAACTAATAAATAATTATAATAAAAACTAATAGTTTTCTAATTCTTACTCAACCAAGATGTTTAATTCTACAATGTTAATACATTAATCTAATGCTTTTGATAAATTAGATGCATCTTTATCAGATAAGTCCCTAAAATAGTTTTTAAGTTTAGATCCTAATTTAAAAAATTTTATTTACTTAAATTCTAGTTTCAGCTATTAGTGACCTGAATAGTTTGATTTAAGAAACTATTTAAAAAAGAAAAATTAATTTATTTCATTTTTTAAATTCTTTGAAACATTTACTTCTTTCAAATCATTATAATATTCATTTTAAGTGACTTATTATTTTGTTTAGTATTATCCCATTTTTTAAATAAATCTTGATTAATAAATTTCTCAAACAAATATTATTATCGCTACCAAATAAAAATTGCATGATTATTAAATTAATTCAAAATTCTTTATAAAAAACAAAATACAAATTGCATATTAATTAAATTTTCTCTTTTTTTAAATTTTAGGATAAAGAAAATATCAAATGTTTAATACAAAAAAATAGAACAGTAAATAATTTAAAAAATAGGTGTTAACCATCCACTCCATATCTCAAAATATCCATATATTGATAATATATTCTAATATTTTAAAATATTGAACTTTTAAATAATAAGTATCCCTCAAAATTAGGGAATGGGGAATTATCTTAATAAATGAAGAGTTAGAGTTAATAGATTAAAAATTGATAGCTTAATATTATTTTATTTTTCTTTTAATAATTATTTATTTTTTGGTTTTTTAAAAAACAATCGATCAATATTATGGATTGTTTTTTACATTGCTTTTTTAAATAATCAACTATAAATTTTTACAAAACTGATTTATTTTTTTATATTTATTATTTCAAAATAAAATAAATTGTAAAAATCTATTTAAATTAATTAATTAATTCATTCATTAATCATCTGAACTCAAAATTCAATTGCAAAATTTTTTGACTTTTGCATACCTTTTTCCAAAGAAAGACTTATTTCTTGCAAAAAATAAGATATCATATTATGCTAATAGTTTACACAAATACGAAGAGTGAAATCAATAAAAAATCTGTTTACTGATGTATTATTTACAACAAAATAATTAATTTAAATAGAATAATAAAAATTCTTAATTTCAAATATTTAATTGAATTAATCTTTTATTTTTCCGAATAAAATCTTTTTTTATAGGTACTTTTCGCTCAATTTTATAATCCCTATTTATTTATAAAAATTAATATAAAAAACAACTAAAGAAAGTATAAAAATAATATTATTAAACTAAAAAAAATTATATTAATTATTTCCTAATAAACGAGCATAATAAAAATATATTCTTTAATGTAATAATGGCTTAAATATTTAACTAGCTCAATACATGTAGACTAGCAATAAATTAGTTGATTTATTTTAAAGAATTAAATGACTTTTGGTAAAGTAATTTTAATTTTCAAGAAATGGTTTTTATTTAGATGAAATAATTTTGAAAAAAATTACATTGTGATATTTAAAACAAACAAATGTTAAATTTAAGCTAATTCATATGCAAACACCTTAAAGCATTAGTAATCAACTTTATCTAGAAAATTACTTTTAAATTAAAATGATTAAGTTAATAAGAAAAATAAAGTAAATGAAAGGGTTTAATTACTAAAAAGCTAATCTTATATATTTTAAGTTTAAGCATTTTCCAAGTGAGACTCCAAATTTTAGCAAAAATTCTTTATCTTTATTTCTTTAATTTCTATAGAGCCTATTATGTATGTTAAAATATAAATTAAATTAAAATATTTTTATTTTCTTGGTTCTAAGTTTAATAAAAATAATATAATTAGCCTTCATATCATTTAGTTTTAAAAGTTTAGTCAAATTTTAATTTTGATAAATTTTGACTAATTTACTTAATCAATAATGAATTTTTAATGTTAATTTCGATTAAGTGGACACAGTTGATTTTTGGAGAAGTTTAAGATACATACATAATTCTAATAAATTAATCGCAAAACTTATCTTTAAAATAAAAATACTTTTAAAATTTACATTTAAACTTAGAACTTAATTTATTTTTTCAAATAAAAATATAAAATTAAAATTGTTACACCATAAATTAAAACTCTATTTATTCAAGAAGATTGATTTAGTCTAAATACTTATGTATTAAAGGAAAACTTTCTATTAGATTCTCTTAATTGCTACTTCTGTATTAAGATAAAATATAATTATGAAATCTGGTAAAGTTTTTTTATTATTTTAAGTAAAAAATACTCAATAAAAAGCTTTAAATTTTTCAGATTCTTTAGCTTTCCAAGTTAAGAAAATACTGTATAATTTTTATTTAATTGATTTTTCAAGCTTTTAATTTTAATAAAAAAATTAAATATTAAAAATATTTTGATTTGACATAAATTAAAATTTAAAAATGAACATTTATTTAAATGAATTATTTTTTTATTGACAATACATTAACCTCATATCTAAATTTGAAAGATTAGTGCATTCACTTATCGTATTTATCAGAGAAATAGCTGCTTAATTTCCAATCATAATACTAAAGTATATTATAAAAAAATAATTAATAATTTATTGATTTCTAAGCATATTTAACAGCTTAATACTCATGCAAAATTGACAAATTTTAAAGATTTTTAAAAACTCTTATACTATTGCCTAAAACAGTCATTTTTTCTTCAGGATTATCTAATTCAAATATTGATCTTTATAATATTAAATTTTAAAATGAATTAATAAGTCATTTTTAAATAATTTTATTACTCAATTTTTATTCTTAATGTCTACATTTTTTTACAATTTTGTAAGGCTTGGACTATTTTATTGAAACTGCCTTTGTTTATTTTATAAACACTAAAATATTTTAAATTAAATTATTAAATGTTTAAAATTATTAGATTTAATAAATCTCAACAATGCTTGCTTGCTTGTCTGTTTATAACTCTGTTATTAGTTTTTAATATTTTTTTGTTCAAAAGAAAATTTTAGATAGAAAAATCAATTGTTTGTTAATGAGATTATCTAAAATAAATTTTATTTTAATAATTTTTTGATGTTAGATACGGTAATGATGAAAAGTTTAATACACCTGTCTCTTCTATTAATTCTCTTAATCTGTTTAAATTATTTTTGAAAATTGTTAAAAAATTCAAAGCTATAAACTTTAAATAAAGTTAACTCAAAATATTTAGTTAAGTCTAAAAGGAAATAGTAATTATACCAGAGAATAATAAATAGAACTTAATAAATTATTATAATAAATAGTTTTCTAATTCTTACCCAATCAAGAGGTCTAACTCTACAATGTTAATACATTAACTTAAAGCTTTTGATAAATTGGATGCATCCTTATCAGATTAATCCCTAAAATAGTTTATAAGTTCAGATCCTAATTTTAAAAATTTTATTTACTCAAATTCTAGTTTCAGCTTTTAGTGACCTGAGTAGTTTGATTTAAGAAACTATTTAAAAAAGAAAAATGAATTTATTTCATTTTTTAAATTCTTTGAAACTTTTACTTTTTCCAAACTATTATATTATTCGTTTTAAGTGTCTAAATATTTTGTTAAGTATAATCCCATTTTTTAAATAAATCTTGATTAATTAACTTCTCAAACAAATATAATCACTACAATTTCAAAATTTTTTGACTTTTTCATATCTGCTTTCTAAAAAGATTCTTATTTACTCTAAGAAACTATGGTTGTATGCTTATGGTATACATAAAAATGAAGAGTGAAATCAAAAATATGTTTACTGATATATATTTATTATTTTTTACAACAAAATAATTAATTTAAACAGAATAATCAAATTAAGCTAATATTTAATTTAATTAATCTTTTATTTTTCCTAATAAAGTCTTTTTTTAAAGGTATTTATAGCTCAATTCTTCCCCTATTTATTTATTAAAACCAATCTAAATAACAACTAAAGAAAGAAAAAAGATAATAATACTATTAAATTCAAAAAAATTATATTTTTAATTTCCTAACAAACATGTATGATAAAAATATATCCTTTAATGTAATAATGGCTTAAATATTTAGCTCATTCCACAAACTCAGACTAAACTGAGAAAATTTAACAATAAATAAATTAATAAATTTATTTTAAAGAATTAAGTAACTCTTGTTATAATAATAATTTTGATTTCAAATAAATATTTTTATATAGAAAATAATAATAAAATCATTTTGAAAAACTATTTACATCGAGATATTTAAAACAAATAAATGCTAAATCTAAGCTAATTCATATGCAAAAGCCTTAAGGCCTTAGTAACCAACATTATTTACAGAACTATTTTTAAATTAAAATCATTAAATTAATAAACAGAAAATGAATGAATGAATTTAATTACAATAAAATTAATGTGATATATTTTAGGTTTGAGCATTTTCCAAGTGAGGTTCCAAAATTTAACAAATATTCATATCCTATAGTTCTTTATTTTCAATTAATAGAAAACATTATGTTTAAATGAAACTAAATTAAAATATTTTTTATTTTCTTGGTTCCAAGTTTATTAAGAAATAATATAATTAGCCTTAATACTATATAGTTATAAAAGTTTAGTTAAATTTAAACCTGATAAATTTTGACTAATTTACTCAATCTATAATGAACTTTTAATTTAATTAATTTCGATTAAGTGGACACATTTGATTTTTGGAGAAGTTTAAGATACATACAAAATTCATAAAAATTAGATGCAAAATTAGTTTTTAAAATAAAAATACTTTTAAAATTTACAATTAAACTTAGAAGAACTTAATTTGTTTATTTATTTTTTTTTCAGATAAAATATAAAATTAAAATTATTACGCTCTAAAGCAAAAATCTATTTATTCAAGAAGATTGATTTGATCTAAATACTGATGTATTAAAGGAAAACCTTTTCTTCCATTCTCATGATTCAAACTTTTTTTGTATTAAGTTAAATATAAATACGAAATCTTGTAAAATTTTTATATGATTGAATGTTATTTTAAATTATATAAAATACACTATGAGAAGCTTTAAAATTTTCAGATTCTTTAGCTTTCCAAATTGAGAAAATGTTGCATCATTCTCATTTAATTGATTTTCAAAGCTTTTTATTTTAATAATTAAATTAAATATTAAAAATATTTAGATTTGACATAATTTAAAATCTAAAATGAACAAAAATTGTTTGTTTAAAAAAATATTTATTTATTTTATTGACACTACATTAAACTCAAATTTAAACTTGAAAGGTTTGTGCATTCACTTATTCCATTTATCAGAGAAATAGATACTTCAGTTCCAATTATAATACTAAAGTAAATTATCAAAAAAAAATAATTAATAATTTATTGAATATCTAAGAATATTTAAAAGCTGGATACTCATGCCAAATTAACAAATTTTAAAGATTTTTAAATTTTCTTATATTTTTGCCTAAAGCAATCATTTATTCATCAGAATTATCGCTTTTGAATTTAGATCCTTGTAATCTTAAATTTTAAAATCAATAAAATTAGTAATTTTTAAATAATTTTATTACTCAAATTTTATTCTTAATGTCTACATTTTTTTACAATTTTATAAGGCTTGGACTATTTCATTTTAACTTTTTTTGTTTATTTTAGCATACCTAAAATATTTTAAATTAAATTATTAAATTTTTTAAATTTTATAATTGAATAAATCTCAAACTATTGCTTGTTTGTTTCTAATTCAGTCAAAAGTTTTTAATATTTTTTTAATCAAAAGAAAAGTTTAGATATGAAAATCAATTGTTAAAATTATCTAAAGAAAATTTTATTTTAATATATTTTTTGTTTTTGAATATAGTATTTATATAATCTCTTTTTCATTTCTCTCTCTTAAGTTGTTTAAATTATTTTTGCAAATTGTGAAAAAATTCAAATTTTTTAAATTTTAATCAAGTTAACTCAAAATATTTAGTTAAGTCTATAAGGAAATAGTAATTTAATCAGAAGAGAATAAATAGAACTTAATAAATAAAAACTTATAGTATTCTAATTCTTACATAATCAAGAGGTCTAACTCTACAAGGCTGATACATTATCTTAAGGCTAATGCTAAATTGGATGCTTCTTTATCTGATAAATGCCTAAAATAGTTTGAAATTAAAATCCTTATTTAAAAAATTTTATTTACATAAATTATAGTTTCAGTTTTTAGTGACCTGAATAGTTTGAATTTGTAAACTATTTAAAAAATAAAAATTAATTTTTATCATTTTTAAAATTCTTTTAAACTTTTACTTTTTTCAAATTATTATAATATTCATTTTAAGTGTCTTAATATTTTTTTGTTAAGTATTATCCCATTTCTTTAAATAAATCTTGATTAATTAACTTCTAAAACAAATATAATCACTTCAGAATACAAATTAATACTTAAATTAAATTCATTTAAAATTCTTGTATAAAAAGTTTTATGCTAATTAAATTAATTCACAATTCTTTTTTTTAAATTTTAGTAAAAGGAAAAACATAAAATGTTTAATACAAGAAATTAGAATAGTTAATAAATAATTTAAAAAATCACTCCATAGCTAAAATATTGATAATATATTCCAATTTATTAAATTAGCTTAAAATCATAAAAAATAAATTAAATATTTTAATTACAGGTTTAACAATATATATAATTTTATTATTAATTAATAATAATAATAATAATAACATATATTGATCTAACAGAAATCAAACATTTTTAAATAACAAAATTCTATAAAGATTTAATAGAGACAGACAATTTATGAAATATTATCATTATAAATAAAATTAAGAAAGATTAAATTATGATTAAATTAATTTATCAATTAAATTTTAAGCATACAAGTCTTTTAAATTTTTATGCTTTTATCTTTTCTACTTTTAATTCATTTTTATATTATTGTCCAATTGACATACTTTTTTTAGATAAAAAAAATAAACTAGAAATTGAATTTAATGTAAATTTAATATTAAAGTGAAAATTAGTTATAAATAAAATTTACCTATCTAATTTTATCTTTAAGAAATTAAGATAAGTGCAATTTCTTAAAACTCCTATTTTTGGACACAAAATATTGGCACTTTAACTTTTTATTAATTTAAAATTGATAAAATTAATAAATAAATATTGCAATATTTTAAATATTAGAAATTTACTAAAATTAAGATGATATCTCCATGATTATCTATTTAATTTTTTAGCAATATGAAAGGCTTTCAAATAAAGATGATATACTCTATTAAGTACTTTTATTTTGTCTTTTTAAATAAAATATATAAATGTAATATATATTAAGCAATATTAGTTAGATTACGTAATATCTAAAACAAGTTTTTCTAATTATGTACACTAACGCAAACCTCTTCCTAATCCTTCTACACCCTCACACGCTAATTCATTAGATCTACATTATTAAAAAGAAAAAAAGTTAATTTTTAATTAAAATCAAAAGCTAATTTTACTGAAAGTTCATTTCTAATCTTTTAAGTTAGGTGCATTTCATTAAGCTTTCTCCAAACTTGATTCCTCCAATTTTATCAATTTTGCAAGTGCTTTTATTTAAATATTTATTAATTTTTTTTATAAATATTTAAAAATATTATTAATTAATTGAAAAAGAACCTCAATTAAATATTTTTAAAAATCATCAATTAATTAATGATTGTGGATGGATCTAGTTTTTATATGATAAATTACTAAAATTAATGAAGGTGAATTCAAAATAATTTTTTTCTAAAATAATCCTCCTTAATTAGAGAGTCTATGGTCAATAAATTCTAGTTAAATGAATTCTAAAATTAAATAATCTAATTTTAAATTCTATTTCTTTCAGCTTTAAAATTTTTTTTTGACAAGTGAATAAGTAAAAACTAAAATTTAATCTTAAATGAAATTAATTATTGAAATAATTAATGAATCGAATAAAAATACTAGCAATTTAGCAGCAGTATTTCTAGAAATTATAATTATGAAATAGCAACTCCAAGACTAGCTAATCCTTCTGACGCAATAGAGTTTGAGCTTATATTTAAATTTAAAATTAAATCAAAATAAATAAATTTATTTATTTAAATTATACTCTAATTAGAGATTTAGCTTTTTTAATTAACTGCATGAAGATAGACCTTAACTAATTGCTGTAATTCCTTACGGACCTATAGAATTAGCACTATTTATAAGTAAATATTATTTATTTATTTATGATAATATGTTGAATTAAATACACTAAATTTAAACTCAAACTTGTTGAATTAGTGCAATTTGCTAATTCTTATCCAATGAAAACACCTCCTTTAGTTTGTATCAAATTAGTCCTATTTTAATTAAAATTAAATCTAAATATAGCCACAAATCTTATTTTTTAACTACATTAGCTCCACAGTTATTTCTTTTAGGTTTTTATTATTGCCTATACCTCTGGCTACTTATTCAGCTCCTACTTGCTTTATTCTATTTCCACTATTGAACAGATTAAGAAATTTTTTACATTTAATTAAATGAATAATTAACTTTAATTATAAAATGATGTTTTCTAATTTAGAGCAGTTTTAAATTGCCTTGCCAATTTCGTTAGCTCCTTCTTCGTAGATATCGCAGTACCTAAATTTAATTATTAATTATCTAATTATAAAAAATAAATCAATTATATTTATGTTCTTACTAAAGATTTAATTTAAGTTTTTTTAAACCCTAAAGTTAGCTAATACCTATTCCTAGTCCCTAACATGATGTATCGATTAATTTTTAATGGCTATATTAAAGTGGTTCGTTATTTATCTTAAATTTAATTATTAATTAATTTCTATTAAAATTACTTCATCTCTAAATACAATTCATTTAGTTTCAAACATTTTCCTAACTAAACTCCAAACTAATGAATGCTATTTTAAGCTAAATTATTTTGACTGTTTTATATTTTTATTATTAAAGCTATTATTTTATAATTAAATTATTTACTTTAAAATTAAAGATAAATTTTAGAGATTTTCACATTTATTTATTCCTTCTATTAATCCACTAAATTCCCCTTAAGCCAAACTATTTTCGCTTTTAAATACTAAAAATGAGCTAAATATAATTTTTTTTTATCATACCTTAAATTTATGTAAAGACTTTTCATGTTTAAGCATGTGCCTATTCCTTATCCTAATCCCACAGCTCCAATTCCTTTGATCATATTTTATCTAAAAAATAAAGCTTAGATTAAATTTAAAATAATCACTTTTATTACTATAATTCTAATTTTAGATCAGATAAATGAGGAATTTAGCTGATTCTTTCCCCTATTTCTTTTGCATCCTTAGATATTAAAAAACTTGACCTGAAAATTTAAAATTTAAATTATTTTTATTAAATAATTTAACAATAAATAATAAATAAAAAAATAAATATTGGAAAAACTTCTCGATACTTCTCAAATTGTAAAGTATTTATTTAAATTTGAAGCAATAATTACATTAAAATAATTTTTAGATAAATCAATTAAATTTTGGTAAACTTTGAATAAAAAAATCAAATTACTTTTTTGAAACCTTCAGCTTATGAATTCTATTTATTAAATCTTTATTGAGCTTTTTATAGATTAAGCTTGAACAAAATTTTAAAGTTAAGCTAAATTACTTCTTCATATGAAAAAATCTTTGATTCAAAGAAATCTAATTTTTAATTAATTTTATTTATTCAAAACTTTATTATTATAAAATTACATTGACTAAATTCGTACTCTTCGACTAAGTACTAAGCTACATTAAAACTTTTTAAGGGCTTAGCTTATTATTAGTTAGATTATTTACTCTTTTCAGTTTCTTGATCTTGATTAAATAATTAATTTATATTTTTACAAAAAATATTTTACATTGGTCTTATATTTTTAAAGCAGTTTCTATTAATGAATTTTTATCTAAGGCTTTTAGAGATAAGTAAAATTGATTGCTTTCCAAATATTAAAATTATTCGTAATTAATTTTTGACAACAATTCAAGTAAATCTCTTATATATTCTTTTGAAATAAAGCATTCATTAGAAATTTATTACTTAATATTGTTTATTTATTCTATCATTTTTTTAATATAGAATCTATAATTTCAAAACAAAATTTTTCTAATTAAATTTTTTATTATTAATTAATCACTTGAGTAATTATAAAAGGTAAATATTATACTTATCTTTCAATAAATAAATAAACTCCATCTTAATTTTATTTTAATTTTCTAAAATAAATTTAACTCTTTTTTGCCATATTTCGCATGAAATTTTTGTTCAAAAACTAAAAAATTTAGCTTATTTCAATTTAATAAAAAACATACTGTACTTTTTTATGGTTCGAAACCAAATATTGTCAATTTAATTTAATACGATATTTATTAAATGATCTGAAAAATTTTTTAATACCTTGACTGTTATCAGTTAGTTTCTTCTGAACTATGGTATCACATTTTATTAATTTCTTTGAAGAGAGATTCCATAAATGAGTAAAATAAATTTTAATTAATTTTATCAATCTTAGATTGTTATTATTGCTAAAATATTTTTTTTAATTTTTAATTAAGGTTTATGAATTTAGAAATATCAATATTTAAAAATATTTTTTGTTTAGAGTTCAAAACATTCTTTTTATTAATTAAATAGATTATTAAAATTTAATAACAAAAAATAAAAGACTGACAATTAAGTTACAAATAATGAATAATTAAATTTATCAATCATACATAAATATCGTAGAATATGATTTAAGGGTTAAATGTTTATTCGATAGAAATATTTTGATTATAAGCTATAATTTGCATTTGTGTAGTTAAAATTTATAGTATATATTAGTTCTGTCTCCATAATACAGACATATTTTGGTTTAAATCAATATCTAAATTTGTTAGCCATAAGATACAATTGTTTTATAAAAGACATTTAGCGAATTAATATTACTTAATATGTGTTAAATAAGCTTCTAGCTATACTATTTATGGTAGAATTTTACAGTTTTAGAGACCTATTTCAAAGCTGTCTGCATGGATGTAATTTAAAATTCTTATTTTTTAATAGCTGTTTGATTAAGCTAAATTCTTTCTTTGATAGGCTGACGAGTTAATTTCTGATTTTCCAAAAGCACATAATAAGCAATTTATTAAATCAGATTCATTTACAAAATCTTCATAAGCGATATAAATTTCCACAGTTTGTAGATTCTTATAGAAACCATTTTAATTACTTTGATTTTCATACTCAACCATGCATCTCTTCAGGTCGTAAAAGTTGTCTATTTCAATTTTGTAAGGATTTCTGAAATTAAGAATATCAATGTTACAGCAAAATCTAATAACTTATACTGCTATAGTTGTAATGGCTAAAATTATAAGACCTTATTGGTAATAATTGATCTTATTTGATTAGTAAAGGTTGAGTGAAAAAAATAAATAAAGAACTAATTTCTAAATAATAGAGAATTTTATAGTTTTATTCAAAGTTAAGGAACCTATTGACTCATAATTCGCTATAACGATTTTACACTCAACATCAACATGACATAACATTTTTATAATCAATGCATAAATTAAAAAATACATTTAGCTGTAAATTGCTCTACTTCTTATTGATTTATAATAATTATAAATTAATAGCATATTAAATATCAAGTAAAGCCAAAAGAAGTATTCTAATCTCATATTTTAAATAAATATTGCAACACAAGCAAGAAAATTAATTGAAGTAATAAGAGTTTCTTGAATAAGTACTTGTGGGAGACCTGCTGCATCTAAGTGAATAAGATAATTCAAGTAGAATAACCCATCCATCCAAAAAATGTACTAGTCTATCGCAAATGAAATGATAACATACAAGCCTATAAAATTTGTTTCAAGTGTTTCGTTGTCAATAGACCAAATGAAACTGATAATTTTAGCAGGAATCAAAATATTATTGCTTAATAGCAACAATTTAAATAACTTAGCATATTTTGTTTAGAAGTCTTCTTCATTAATACCATTCAATAAATTTTAATAGATAATTATTTCTTCATTTTGTTGCTCTTCCAATTCATATTTTAAACCTCTAAAGTAGTAAATATCTTCTAAGAAAAACGAAACCAGGCAAAGTGCTTTGATCCATTTAATTTGAAAAATCCTCACTAGAAAAATGGCACTCGCATATCGATTTAAAAAAAATATTACAACAAATGCTTTATCGCTCAAATATACAAATTTATCTAATTACTGTTTATTAAATTTTTATTATAGAATTAAATTATATTTATCATAGTAAAAATTGTTACGTTATAAAGCTAGAGGTACTAAAAAATTTACAAAATAATTGATATTTTAGAGATTATTATGTAAACCAATAGCAGATATTTAAACTCTTTTTTTTACAGCTCTATCATTTATCAAATTTAATTATTTATATTTCTTTCTTTCTTTCTTTCAGGTTTTAAATTATTATATTTGATTTCCTAACTAATAAATTACAATGCTAATTTAAAATTAAAAAGTTAAAATATTCATAGCATCTTTTAACTCATTGAGAATTGGTTAAATTTTTATAAACCATTAATATTTTTATTATTTATATTTATATAACCTGATTCAGATATTAAAAAAATTATTTTTTAAAATTTAAAGCTATTCTGTTTTTATCAAAATAGAAATATCAAAATTTAAAAATATTTTTTGTTTAGAGTTTAAATAAATATGAAAATATAAAAAAATTTAAATAAAATATTCATATTATTAATTAAATAGATTATTAAAATTTATTAACAAAAATTATTTTAATAAAAGACTGAAAATTAAGTTAGTTACAAATGAATAATTAAATTTATCAATCATACAAAAATATCGTAGAATATTATTTAAGGGTTAAATGTTTATTCGATTGAAACATTTTGATTATAAGCTATAATCTGCATTTGTGTAGTTAAAATTTATTGTACATATTAGTTATGTCTCCATATTACTGACATATTTTGACCTAAATCAATATCTAAATTTGTTAGCCATAAAATGCAATTTTTTTATAAAAGACATTTAGCTAATTACTATTACTTAATATTTGTTAAATAAGCTTCTAGCTATACTATTTATGGTAGAATTTTACAATTTTAGAGACCTATTTCAAAGCTGTCTGAACGGATTTAATTTAAAATTCTTATTTTTTAATAGCTGTTTTATTAACCTAAATTCTTTCTTTTATAGGCTGATGAATTAATTTCTGATCTTCCAAAAGCACATAGTAAACAATTTATTAAATCAGATTTATTTACAAAATCTTCATAAGCGATATAAATTTCCACAGTTTGTAGATTCTTATAGAAACTATTTTAATTATTTTGATTTTCATACTCTAAAATACATCTCTTCAGGTCGTAAAAGTTATCTATTTCGATTTTGTAAGGATTTCTGAAATTAAGAATATCAATATAACGGCAATATCTAATAACTTATACTGTTATAGATGTAATAGCTAAAATTATAAGACTTTATTGGTAATAATTTATCTCAGTTGATTAGTAATGGTTGAGTAAAAAAAACAAATATAGAACTAATTTCTAAATAATAGAGAATTTCATAGTTTTATTCAAAGTTAAGGAACCTATTGATTAATAATTTGATAAAACTAGTTTACATTCAACATCTACATGACATAACATTTTTACAATCAATGCATAAATTAAAAAATACATTTAGCTGTAAATCGCTCTATTTCTTATTGATTTATAATAATTATAAATTAAAAGCATATTAAATATCAAATAAAGCCAAATGAAATATTCTAATCTCATATTTTAAATAAATGTTGTTGCGCAGGCAAGGAAATTAAGTGAAGTTATAAGAGTTTCTTGAATAAGTACTTGTGGAAGACCTGCTGAATCTAAATGAGAAAGTAAATTGAAGTAGAATAGCACATACATCCAAATAATCTAATGGTCTATAGAAAGTGAAATGATAACACATAGGCCTATAAAATTTGTTTCAAGTGTTTCGCTGTCAATAGACCAAATGAAACTGATAATTTTAGCAGGAATTAAAATATTATTATTTAATAACAGCAATTTAAATAATTTGGTATATTTTTTTTGAAGTCTTCTTCATTAATATCATTCAATAAATTTTATTAGGTCATTATTTCTTCATTTTTTTGCTCCTCTAATTCATATTTTAAACTACTAAAGAAGTAAATATCTTCTAAGAAAAACGTAATCAGACAAATTACTTTGATTTTTTTCATTTTAAAAAAAATCTACATATACAAGGCACACGCATATCGATTACTACAAAATATAAAAGCAAATGCTTTATCACTCAAATACACAAATCCATCTTATTACTGTTTATTAAATTTTTATAATAGAATTAAATTAAATTTATGATAGTAAAAATTGTTACGTTATAAAGCTAGATGTACTAAAAAATTTACAAAATAATTGATATTTTAGAGATTATCATGTAAACCAATATCAGATATTTAAACTCTTTTTTTTACAGCTTTTTCATTAATCAAAAGTTTATTTTTTTATATTTCTTACAGAAGTAAGTATTATATTTTATTAGATAGGAAATCAAATATAATAATTTAAAATCTACTTACTTAAATTTAATTTGGTAAAATATTCATAGAGTCTTTCAACTTATAGATAATAGGTTCAATTTTTATTTGTAATTAATACTTTATTTTTATTAATGAGACTTTATGTAAAGATAAAAAAAATTATTTTTAAAAATTTAGATTTAAAATACTTTTTTTTACATTTTTAGATTTTTTTATTATTATGTAAGCTTTCTAAAACTTAAATAGAATTTAACTAAAAAATAATATTGAGAAAGAAAAGCTCTACTCCATAAGTGAATATAACCAGGGAATTAAATTTAAGAGGATTTTTGAATTAAATTGTTTATTTTAAGATAATTATAATAATATATATATAAATAAATTATTTTTATTCTTTCGTTTTCCCCCTTAAAATGTAAATATAATTAGAACTACTTTGATAAATAAACAATACAAATAAAAAAATAGTTTGATATTAAATTGAGCTAGCCTCTATTTATTATTAATTCATATTTGCTTTATTTTAGTTTTAAAATTAAATACTTAAATTTATTTAATATATATTAAATTATCTAGTTTAAAGTCAGTAGCACTCAAATAGGTCATAAAATATAATGAGAGGATTGTATATTTGTTACTGAGATATAAAAGCCATAAATACTACAGCTTAAAGTTGGGTAACATTTGTTTAATCAAAGAACCTGTTATTTATTTAAATTAATTTTGTATTTAAGTCTTCTTAAATCCCAAACTCAATATTTTCTATCTTCAATAATATGCTATTCGTAAAAAGTAAACTTATTATTTTATAAAAATCCACATTTCTTTCCACTTTAGTCTCAAGTAATTTTATTTAAGGCAATACTTAAGAAATTTTGATTGTAATATCGAAGTCGTTTGCTTAAATTTATGTATTTAATTTAATCTTTTAATACTTTTAAGATTACTCGAAGTACTACCTGCTGTAAAATCTTGAACATATTTCTGAGGCACCAAATGAGGAAAATAATGATACTAAAAGATCAGAGTGATTCACAAATTAATTTGGATTTATATAAATGTTTACTAACTTAAGATTTTAAAAGTATTAAAATTTCTTACTTTTATTTTCTTATTCGTACAATTAAATGTATTTTTTCAGATCGTAAAAATTATCAATTTCTATTACATAAGGATTTTTTGCATTTCTTAAATCCATATTTTAGACAAGTTTGAAAAATTAGAAAATAGGAGACAAAACTATTAAGCATAGACAAAAATATTAATAATTTGTAATTTCGTCTTGGTTCATCAGACAGTATAAATAAGAAATCAATAGAAAGCATTTCTACATCAGAGAGAATTTTATAGATTAATTTAATGTTATGCATCCTAGAAACTATACGCCTTCTGTAACAATTTTAGCCTCAACATCAATATGAAAAAAAAATTTGATTACCAAATTTCTTTCTAAAGAGTTTTATATTTGCATGTATTCAATTCTATTTTTAATACTCTAGTGATAATAAATAGCAAGAATAATATTATAAATTGCATAAAAAAGTAAAAATCTTTATATTTTTGAGCACTCTGATAAGATCGTTACACTTGCCATGAAATTAAATGATGCCAATAGTGATTCCTTGATTAATATATTGGGTAAGTTTGGATAATTAGTAACAAACAAATAGCTTAAACTAAATAAGCCATCCATCCAGCAAAAGAACAAATCAACTCCTACTGAAAAAATCAGCCATAAGCAAAATAATTTTTATTCAATAATTTAACTATCATAAAGAGTTAGATAAATAAGTACTTTAGTTGGAGCAAATATGATACTATTAAAATGAACAAGAAAGAATAGATAATTATAATTTTATTAAAAGTTTTAAATTAACCCTTAGTTCAAATTATTTTATTGATTTTAATTGATTAAGAGCCTGTAAAACAAGTAAATGTCTTCAGAATATGTTAATATAATTAAAATATAACCTTAAATGCTCATCTAATATAATCTTTTTAAGAATATGTAACTCACATATCTGCTGCATATTAAAGAAAGTAAAAAGCTTCTAATGTAAGAATTAATATTTATATCTTCCTTTAATAAATCAGAAAATTAATTAATAAAATATTTTATCAAATTTAAATACATGATAAAGTTAAATGAGTTGGTAAATCTACAAGATCAATGATACTTTAGAAATAAATGTGTAAGCTATAATCAGTTAAACGTAGTTTTTTTTATAATCCATGCTTTCCAAAATTACAAAATTATCAATTAAATTTATGAATAAATTTATTATATTTATTTTATTAATCTATTTCCTTTCATAAAAATAAATAAGTGGTTCAAAATATTTTAATATTGTGATGAAAATTACTTAATATTAATTGCTAATTTTTAAAATATCACTAAAAAAAAAGCATTAATTAATAATCTACTTATATTTTTTATTTTGTTTCTTTAAAATAAAAATAAATAAATAAATAAATAAATAAATAAATAGGTAATTTTAATTTGATTTCATTTATTAAAGTGATGGAAAATTTAATTAACTTAAATCAAAATTTCGGTAAAAATGGTGAAAATAAATTTAAAGGGGTGATAATTAATGAGGATTTACAGTATTTTATTTAAATTAAGGATTAATTATATATTTTATATAATTAAAAAACAACACAAATAAAAAAAAATAGTTTGATATTAAATTGAGCTAGCCTATACTTATTATTAACTCATACTTGTTTTATTTTTGTTTTAATATTAAAGACTTAAATTTATTTAATATATATTAATTTAAGGAGTTTAAAGTCAGTATTTTTCAAAGAGGTCATAAAATATAATGAGAGGATTGTGAATTTATTATCTAGATATAAAAGTCTTAAATACCAAAGCTTACAGTTAGGTTACATTTGTTTAATCAAAGAACCTGTTATTTATTTAAATTAATTTTGTATTTAAGTCTTCTAAATCCCAAACTTAATATTTTCTATCTTCAATAATATACTATTCGTAAATAATAAACTTATGATTTTATAAAAATCCACATTTCTTTCCACTTTAGTCTTAAGTAATTTTATTTAAGGTAATACTTAAGAAATTTTGATTGTAAAATCAAAGTCATTTGCTTATATTTCTGAATTTAATATAATCTTTTAATACTTTTAAGATTACTCTAAGTACTATCTGCTGTAAAATCTCGAAGATATTTCAGAGGTGCCAAAAGAGGAAAATAATGATACTAAAAGATCAGAGTGATTCACAAATTAATTTGGATTTATATAAATGTTTACTAACTTAAGATTTTAAAAGTATTAAAATTTCTTACTTTTATTTTCTTATTCGTACAATTAAATGTATTTTTTCAGATCGTAAAAATTGTCAATTTCTATTACATAAGGATTTTTTGCATTTCTTAAATCTAGAGTTTAGATAAGTTTGTAAAATTAGAAAATAGGAGACATAACTATTAAGCATAGACAAAATTATTAATAATTTGTAATTTCATCTTAATTGATCAGATAGTATAAATATAAAATCAATAGAAAGCATTTTTGCATCAGAGAGAATTTTATAAATAAATTCAAAAATAGGCATCCTTCAAAATGTACATTTTTAATATGAATTTTAGCCTCAACATCAATATGAAAAATGAATTTGATTATTAAAGAAATTCTACTTTAAAAGAAAGGGTTATAAAATCTCACTCTATTTTTAATACTCTAGTCATAATAAATAGCAAGAATAATATTATAAATTGCATAAAAAAGTAAAAGTTTTGATATTTTTGAGCACTCTGCTAAGACCATTACACTTGAAATTAAATTAAATTATGCCGATAATGATTGCTTGATTAATATATTTGGTAAGTCAGGATAATTAACTTAAAACAAATATTTTAATTCAAATAAATTATCCATCCAGAAAAAGAACAAATCAAGTCCTACTGAAAAAATCAGCCATAAGCAGATTAATTTATATTCAGTTATTTAACTATCATAAAGAGTTAGATAAATAAGTACTTTAGTTAGAACAAATACGATACTATTTTAAAAAGCAAGCTCGAACACATTAAAGTAGCCTTATTAAAAATTTTAAATTAACCCTTAGTTCAAATTATTTTACTGATATTAATTGATAAAGTAAATCAAATAAATGTCTTCAGAATTTGTTAATATAATTAAAATATAACCTTAGGTGCTCATCTATAATAATCTATTTAATTATATGTAACTGCAGACTCTGTTGAATATTAAAGAAATTAAAAAGTATTTAATAGCATACCTAATAAATGCATATTCCTTTGATAAATGAGAAAATTAATTAATAAAATATTTTATTAAATTTAAATACATTAGGATTAGTAACAAAGATAGCAATTAATTTAAATATTTTCTAATTAGAAATTATTGTCTTAATAAAATCAATTTTTCAAAATTTCAAAACTCAGTCTTAAAATATGAGAAATCGCAATATCTAAAGTTTATTTTTGAATGAAATTTTTAAAAGTAATAAAAACCTTAAAAATTCACTTCTTTAATTTCAAATCTAAAAATAAAGGAAAATAAATTAATAAGTCAAATAAATTTTTTATAAATTCAATTTAGCAATTTAATTGCTTAAACAATAATTAAATTTATTTTCTGATAAGATTTAAAAAAAAAAAATTGATAAAATAGTTATTGAATTGTAAATTAGTAATACAATTTTATAAAAGCGATAAAATACATTTATGATATTTCATAGAAATTAAAAATTATGATAATTTTTTTCTTATTTAAATCATTGTCTATTTTTCTTAAGCTTATTCTCTACAGATTTATGGGTAGAGATAGAGTGAGGTTGTTGAATCATCAACATGAATCCTTGGGGTAAACAAGATACAGAGCTTGAATAATTAGTAGCTTAACCCTTCTAATTGGATTAGTTATACAAGTTAAGATATTAGCCAGAAGGAACATATAAACTGTGGTATTATGATAAGTTAAGAGAAGGAACTTATACACCAGGAGGGAATGCGACCATTTGTCCTGTGAAATTACATCCTGTAAAGAGGGCAGGATAATTTAAGCAAACTTAGACCCAGGAATCTTCACCGTTAGGAGAAAGTGAAGGAGTAGTGCTTTGTCTTAATTAATAACCCCAAAATCCATCAAAAGCATTAGAGGCATTAGATCCACCAATATTTTTCTTGGAGAAAGTAACACCACCACAACCTGATTTGTTTAAGCAAGCATTTTAGGCGTCTTTTAAATTGGAATAGTCTCTGCAACTATCATAGCAACCTCCCAAATAATAACCTTAAGAAGCTTATTGGAAGAAACAAGGGAAAGTAGTAGCAGGTTAACAGCTTTACTTGACCCAAGTAGTTTCTCCAGATGGTGAATGAGTACTTCCCTTTGTAGCTCTCAATTAGTATCCCCATCCATTGCCGCTAGCACCGGTTGAAGCACCACCTCCGCTATTTCTTTGACTAAAAGTAACTGCATTACAGTTGGGATCAGCGTTACAAGCGTTTTTAGCATCTTCAATATTAGCGAAATCTTTGCAATTTTAAGCGCAACCACCACTATAATCACCAGGATTATAAGAATAAATGCATTGAGATGAAATTTAAGTATATTAACCACAGCTTTACTTTAACCATGAATCTTCACCGTTGGGAGAGAGAACTAAGTTTTTACCTGATCTCAATTAATAACCCCAAGCACCGTCAAATGCATTGGTAGCACTGGAACCACCTATTGATTTCTTAGAGAAACTTACACCTCCACATCCAGCTTATTATCTACAAGCAGCTTAAGCTTCAGCTAAGGTTTTAAAATCTTAGCAATTGTTGAAACATCCACCAATGTAATAACCTTAAGAAGGTAAGAAATCACAAGGGAATAAATTTGAACAATCAGTTTTAACCCAAGAATTTTCACCTGAAGGAGAGTGATTTGTGGTAGAAGAAGCTCTTAATTGATAACCCCAGCCGTTACCAACAGCGCCTGAAGATTAACTACCACCACCGCTTGGAGAACTAAATGTAATGCCTTTACAAGAAGAATCGCTGTTGCATGCAGCCTTAGCTTAGCTTAGAGAAGAGAAATCCTTACAATTTTAAGCACAACCACCACTATAATCACCGGGATGAAGAACGTAGCAATCACCTTATTAATAATTGCTGCAATTTATCTTTCCCCAGGAATCTTCACCATTAGGAGAACCGCTAGCAGTAGTACTAGATCTCAATTGATAACCCCAACTTCCATCGAATGCATTGGTTGCATTGGGTCCACCAATAGATTTTTTAGAGAAGGTTACACCACCACATCCACTTTATTATCTACAAGCTTATAAAGCATCTTCTAAATTTTTAAAATCTTGACATCCATTAAAGCATCCTCCTAAGTATTAACCTGGATAAGGTTAGAAATCACACTCAAATGTAGGTTGACATTAACCCTTAATCCAGGAGGTTTCACCAGAAGGTGAGTGACTAGTGCTCTAAGAAGCTCTTAATTAATAGCCCCAGCCGTTTCCGCTGGCTCCAGTAGAAGCGCTACCACCACTTCCTTTTTAACTAAAAGTAACACCTTAACAAGAGGTATCAGCATCACAAGCAGCCTTAGCTTTTTCAATAGTATCGAAATCTTTACAGTTTTAAGCACAGCCACCACTATAGTTACCTTGACTTATAGTATAGTCGCAGGCACAATATACGGAAGTAAAAAGCAAAGCGATTAAGATCAAACTTCTTAATTTACCCATTCTAAAATTTAATTTTTGCTTATTTGTTAATTAATTAAAAATTATTAATTATTGATAATACATAAAAGTCTGACATATAAACACAAAAAAAAAATAAAAAAAACTAATACGAAAAAGACTAATTCTATTTGAATTAGTTTACGTTTTTGACATTTTGTCTAGCAACGATCAAATTATTGTTTTTGATTTAAAAAAAAAAGTTTTTTCATGCGTTGAAAGTATTAATTTGTTAACAAAAGTAATGTAAACAGGAAATTAGGTAAATTTTAAGTGTAAAATGATTATATTTTAATATATTGAGGACTTAAAAAGCCATAAAACAATTTAAGAAGCAAATTATTTATATTTATATTAATGATCAAATTTAATAAAAACGGGATGTTGTTTTTTCTATCTTTCTCTTTTGCTTTCTAATTCCAAAAATAAACAAATTATTATTATTATTGATAATAGTTGTTAAGCAAATCTGATCTGATTAAAATTTAAATAATATCTGCATGGTAATGTCTAATCAAAAATAAACTTGAAAGAATACAAAAAAGTTAATATTTATTATGAATAGAATTCTAAAGATTTCTTTATAGAAACGTAATCTAAAAAAGAAAATAAAATTCTTTATTCTAATTTTAAACATACTAAGGTATCTTTAGAAGCTATTCAAAAAAACAAACAATAAATTTGGATATTTTTAATTTCTATTTCGATTATGTAAAATATTATGTCGAAATATTTAGAAATAAATAATGTTTTCTACTTTAAAAATGGATATCGTTTAAATGAAATATAATTTTAAGAAGTAAATTAAACTAAAAAAGATATTAACAAAATATTTAAATAAAATTATTTACAAAATATAATAATCTACTAATTATTTCTTATTGATAAATGTGGTAAAAATAAATAACAATTTACATAATATTTCATTATCTCAAAGAAAATTCAAGGAAACAAAGTATGTAAGAATAAAATAATTAGTTTTTTTATAAATGATCACAGCTAAAAATCAAAAAGACTAAAGTTATTTAGATTGGCTGTATTTCAAATTCAATTAAAACCCAAGTTTTTACTCTGAATATATAAAAAAAAGTAAAATTTTCTAAAATAATTTACTTTTTTGAAACTATTTGATTATATTTATATTATTAATTGTAAAGAAGTATATTATCTTGACTTCTTATGTTTATATAATTAGCAAGAGCTACTCTAAATTAATGTAAATTCTTGTAAGCACTTTTACAAGTAATTATATAAATAAACGTATTAGAGTCTATTTCAAAAAACAAGAAAAATTGAATTAAATATACAAAGACATTAAAAAAGCTTTTTGATAATCAAACTGAGTAAAACAAAGTATAAGAATTTATTCACATCCAACAAATGGGCGATATCTAATTCTTTTAATTTATTTATGAATTTCTTTTATCTTAAAACTAAAATTTGTCTTTATTTTTAAAATTTTTTGATTGTATTTGAAATAAGTCTTCATTAATATTTTAAATTTAATCGTTACAAAGAATAAAAATAATATTTTACTTTTTTAAAATATGAAAATTAAATTTGCAAATTTTTAGAATTGAAAGTTCAATATGCTATATCTAGCAAGATGATTAGCTTGCTAAATGTAGATTAAAGAATTTCAAAATATGTTTTATTGCTCATAAAAAATATGAAAAATGAGTATGAGATGAATTTTCACTGATTAATTTTGAGTTGAAATGTTTGAGTGGAATTATCAATTGAGATAAATTATGTGATAAAAAATTGTATGTCAATAGTTTACAATTATTTACTTAATAAGAAAAATGATGAAATAATAATATCAGAAAATACAAAATATGAATAAATAGTTTGATAGGATTAATTTTTCAAAAGCAAATTAATATTTGAAAAAACATTAACATAGAAAATATAAAAAATCACAAATTTTTTATCTATGATTTGAACAGATTGATTAATAATTTAATAAAAATATCAATTTTTTTTAAGTAAGTTAAGTAAAGATTAATATTTTTCTTCTATATCCTTGTTCTTCTAACCAGTTTTTATTTCCTAAAAATTTTGATTATTTACAATTAATATTCAAACATTATTTTAATAATTTACTTTTTCTTCTAAATCTATTGTGCCAATTTATACATTATCTTTATTTATAATTATCAACCCTTCTTCTAGTCGAACCTATTATTAATTTTGCATTATTTTAATTACAACTTTATTCACAATATTTAAATTAATTTTTTACTAAGGAATCAGGGTACTCTCTTAAAACTTCCTTCAAAATATTGTTTCCATCAGTAAATTGTTCTAATATTATAAAAAATTTATTTGTGCTTTCTAAATTAATTTATTTTTTCATAATCTTACCACTGAAAATATCTTCTCTTGAATCTTTGATTTATGATAAATAATCCCCAAATATATCAGCTATTATATCGTTTCTTTCTGTTGAAATCCATTTAATCATGGCTTGTTAATTTGCTTAGTCAACATAAATTAAAATGTCATCAAATATTTTTAAATACTCAACACCATTTTGATCTTAAAGAATTTCACCCTTATAGAAAATTTAATTACTAAATAACTATACCAACTTTAATGAGCCAGCATAGTGAAATTTCATGCTAGTAAACACCTTACTATTTATTTTTATTACAATTAAATAAAATTTTATAGAAAGATTACAATTTACACTTATTTTATGGCTTTGTATTTAGCTACGTCTTAAGAATTCATCATCAACACATCATTCTCATCAGCAATCATGACACCCTCAATTTAAAATGATTTTGAAGGGTAATTCTTAAAAGACTACTGCTTCTTGATCAGTAAATTCTCTTCTGTTGTACTTTCGATATTTTTTGCATTTTATTCTTCTCCATTATCTATTTCTTCATCTATTTTGGAGCTATGCTGATGGACTTCATCTTTTTCTTCAATTTCCATTTCATGGTCATGTGCATTCTCTTCTTTTGGTGACCCTTCTTCCATTATTTCTTTATCTTCGTTAGCTATTGCTTACTACTGTTTAAGACTCTCTATTTCTTAAACATATTGCAAAATGTATTAGCTAATTTATTTTTCAAGCTCTCCAACGATCTTGCAAGATTCAGTAGCATTCAAATTAAAGCAAATCTTTTGTTAATTATTAGGAGCATGAACCTACAATCCTACGAATGTCTTCATGAGTTCTTTTTATAATTCCTTAATTTTAATGGAACTGCCATGAACTAAAATAACGTGCTATGGTTCAATAGCTCTAATAAAATTAGTTGTTTAATTAAGATCAGCATGTGCAGAAAAACTGATATTCTTAACTGACATATTAAATGGTATTTTTCTACCATCAATAATAGAGTTAATAGTCTTGTCTTGTTTTTCATTTTGTATTTCTTTTGATAGAGTATCTTTATTTATTTATTAATTAATTAATAAAACGGTTAATTTCAAATGCATTCATTTATTATATGTAAAAATAAAATATTTTGAGGACTACTAAATAAATAAAAAGACCAAAATCACTATTGTGGAAACAAATCAAACAAAAATAATTTTTTTGGGATTTTAAATTTTCAAAATCGAAAAAAAGATATTTATTTATTGTCCACAACATAATAGAAAATAATCAAAAAGCATAATATAATTAATGTTATAATTTTACTTTCTGGACAAAAGCCTGTCAAAATTACACCGTTTTAGGGTTTGCTGCATATTCTTTCTATGATTGTTCTGGAAATACCACTTTAGAGATTAAAAGGAGAAGAAAGTATAACACAAGGTTTATTTTCATCAATTTCATCATGCTTTGTAATATTGTTAGGAGCATAATGCAGATTAAAAGGATTTAGCTAATTCTTTCTGATAGGATCAGCCATCATAGATTTGTAATATTAGAAGATTTGATTGGCCTTCTTTGACAAGTTTTGAGTGAAATGAATTTTTATATCAGCCAATTCACTTGAGTTTTATTTCCAAAACTCTTCAAGTATCAAAACTATTTCTTGAGCTCTTCCTAAAGCAAACACAGGCAACAAGCATTACCCCTTATTTTTTACTATTCTCATTACTTCTTAAGTCAGTTATTGCTTTAAAAATTAAGAAAGTAATTAAGATAATTAAAATTTTTTCAAATAAAATCATTTAATTTTTTTAAAAAAAACCAATTTAGGTTCTTAAAAAAAGACAAAAAGTATTTCGATAAATTAAAAAAATAATAAAGGTAAACTCAAAAAAAAATTCCTGTTTTAAATTAATAATTATTATTTGTTTTTCAATTTTTAAAAAAAACTAAAAATTATTTTCAAGCTTTTTTAAAAATTTTTCATTAAATCAATTTTATTTAAAATACTTAGTCAAAAATTGTTTCTTAAATTATAAAATTTAAAATTAAAAATCTCTTTTGAGTTATTTTTAAATCAATTTTTAGAGCTTTAAAAGCAATTTTAAAATTTATTCCATAAAATAATTTAGAAATATGAATTTATTTATGAGTTTATCTACTATTTTTAGATATATCATTTTATAAAGTTTTTAAAATTTTAATAAAATTAATTTTCTTTGTTGATTTTTATTTAAAATTTTCAAATTAACTTATAAAAAAATAAATACCTCTCTTTCACTTCTAGATTCATGGTTGCATTTACCATAAGTACCTTCGACAATGAGGACATCTACTTTTTCATTAGGAATCTAAGCAGGAGGAATGAGTATATCTTTTTCAGTGCTATAATCACCTGTGTAAAGAACTCTTACACCATCAATTTCAACTAAGAACATAGCTGCACCTAGAACATGACCAGCAGGATAGCACTTGAATTTGATATTTTCGTGCTCCATTTCTTCATAAAAATCAATAACGTTAATCACCTCCATAGATTTTTCTATATCATCTGCTGTATACAATTTAATGTTTTCACTTTTATCCTGATTTTGATTTTAAAAATTAAATTAAATAAATTAAAAAATATTTACAGTAAGTGAATCTCTTAAGACGTGACGATAGATTGCACGAGTTGGTGAAGTAGCATAAACTTTTTGTTTCTTTCCGTCAAAATCTGTCTTAGCTATGAAGTAAGGAAGAGCTGCACAGTGGTCAAGATGGAAACTATGAAAATATAAATGTAAGATAAAAAAAACACCCAATTAATAAAGATTTATATATAATAATTAAATAAACATCAGATTCTTGATACAGCTTGTATCAGAATTAAATATTTAGAGCATAGCTCTCTTGAATATCAAAAAATTAAATTAATACTGTGTAATGAAAATAATATCAATCTAATCAGGTTTAATATTATCGAAGTAAGGAAGAGACGCGTGACCATTTTTACCCATGTGCAAACCACAATCAAACTATGAATTAATTTATTTATATAAGTATGAAGAAATAAATGGATGAATTGAAAGAATGAATCGATAGATGAAAATAGATTGATTATACAACATATTAATAAAAAGAAATAATAAATGTATGTATGTATGAATTAATTTGTTCTTAAGTTTTTAAATGAAGGGATGAAGAGGGGGATAAATGTTATAAATAAGTATGAACATATAAACAGCTAATTATTAAGATATAAATCGCCATTGATTTCAACGTATTTTAAATTAACAAGTTGTGTTTTATTATTTTTTCCAAATTTAATACCATTATAGTTTTGCCTTTATATTCTAATATTATGCATGATCTTCCGACCTCCTAGCCTGCTCCTATTTGTTTTTAATTATAAAATTGTTTTAATTTCGTTTATAAAAAGGCTAAGCTTTGTTGATTTTGACTTTTTAAATTTATTACCTAAAGGATAAATGACCATCTGGTCATTTTTTATATTTTTAATGTTTAGTGAAGTCATTGCTATGAAACAATCAATCAATCAATCTCTTTAATTTATATTTTTTGATAAGTCTTTGATTTTATATTTAATTTTATATATGAAATTTTTAATAGTTATTTCTTTATCTAGTATCAATCAAATACACTCAAGCAAGCAGTATTTCCCTCATTGATTAATTTAGTTATTACTAGACATAAATCTATTTTATTACAAAAATCTTTATTTATTTATTAAGCTGTAAAGCATTGATTAAATTTAACATATTTATTAGTTGTTTTTGAAGGGAAAAAACAATTTATTTTTAAACCAAATCATCAAATATTATTAAAAATTTAATAAAAATATCTTATTTATATATTAAAATTTAATTTTCAATATCTTCTTAGCAAATTTTAAGCATTTTAATAAGGAATTTCATATTATTTCCATAAAAATTAAATATTTATTTATTAGTTTATTTTATATATTTTTTTTAAAGCATCAAGCAAGCAAGCTATTTATTTTATTTGATTAAAACTATTAAAACTTTGTTATTTATTTCAAAGCAAATAAAAACAATTTTTGTTAACCAATAAATGTTTAATGTAAATAAAAAATAAATCTCACATTTCCTCTTTTTCATAAATCTCATAAAAAAATTTATTTCCTTTAGTAAGAAGATAATAAAAAGATTTTTTACTAAATAAATTTAATATTTTTAATATAAGTTGAAATAATTTATTGTCAATTTATGCTAATTGCAATGATTTTTTAGAATATACTGAAAAATATTCTATTCAAAAAATAAATATAAAATTTAGAATTTTCGAAAATATTCTAATAGTTCAAATTAGAAATATTCTGTGATTAAATTAAATGTATTTATTGATAAATAAATTTATTTAATTTATAATTTTAAAAATATTTCTATTAAAAAAAAAGCAAGTACTTCCTTCATGTTTTATATTTTTAGATTCATATTCTCATAATTCAATAAATCTTTGTTTATTTCTAAATGATTTAAAATAAATTATGCAATTTAGCATTTTATTTTTGTCAAATAAAACTTAAATATTTATTTATGTATGTTGCTTTTATTCTTTTATTAAAATAACGAGTAAGCAAAAAATTGTTAACATTTATTAACTATTTTTATTTACTTTTGTTAATTATGGCTTACTTTTCATATTAAAATATTCCTATTTAAACTGTAGCTTTTTCGTAACAATGAATAATATCGCTGAATAGATAAAGATAATTCTAATTAATATTTATAAATGATCAAATGTATTTTATTCTTACACTACTTTTTTAAAAGCTATTTTGCAATTTTAGTAAATAAAGTAATTATACACCAATAAAATTACTTAAAATATGGTTTGCAATGGTTTGGGCATCTAGACAATATAATTGTGAGACAGTAAAATAAAAAATGAATTTTTATTGAAAGAAGCAACAAAATAGTAATTTTAAATATGAAAGGAAATACTGTTTGTAGAATTAGCTATAAAAATAAGAAAATAGTTTAGAAAGAATTTCTAGAATTTTTGAGAAAAAGTAGAAGATAAAAAGTATAAATATATTTATTAAGATACTTAATTTTTTAAAGATATTTAATTCGTAAGTAATAATTTGAAATAGATACTAAATTAGTTCTATCAGATATGATTAATATCCAAACATACAATAAGTGCTTTTATCTATACTAAATGCATCAAATTATAAATAGAAAAGGCTAAATTGTATGATTCTAAAACAAACCTGTAATTTTTTAAACAAAAATTTGTTTAATATACCAATAAAAAAATTTAATCATTCTTACCAACTTTCAGACAAATATGCAAAACGAAAAAGCAAAAAATCATGGAAGATTTCAAAAGACTAAAGTCACATTAATGAAATTAAGGAAAAAAGTAGCATGAGATATGGATCTAATTTTAGTCTCAGGCAAAGAAATAAAGAAAATTTGCATTTAAAAGGTGGAAAGAAGAATGAATATTCGTTTCGATTCTTCTAGAAGAATTGCTTAATTAAACTAGTTAAATACAGGTCCCTAGCCTACCTCAAATTAATTTTAATTAAAAAAACATTTAAAAAAATAAAAAAGAAAATTTTATTAATTTTACAGCAAGAATTTTATCGAATATTCTTAATTATAAATCTAAAATAAATGAAATCATTCGCTACTTTAGTCATTAGAGCTGCCAAAACCCAAAACATTGTCAGTACCGCCTTGCCCAAGAACCTCTTGTAATCAAGAGTCTGTGCCTTCACTTAGATTCCCAAAAATAAGTAATTTTTCTCTTCTTTTATTCCATACCATTTAAAAAACTGAAGAAATCTCCCTTCTAATCAAACTTAGGGTTCATACATTTATTCATTTAAGACTCTTTTTTTAACAGATATATTTTTAAATAATATTTTACAATAATTATTTTATAATAATAAAGCTTCTGGAAGAATAACGGTTAAGATAATGAAGTTAAAGACGAAGAAGTTGAAGAATTAGAAAAGTTAACCAAGCAAAGAATGGAAAGTGAAACAGCAAAGAATTAACAATAACAAGAATAAGCCGAATTGAAGAAGCAAAAGGAAGCTGAAGAAAAGGCTAAGAAGTAAAAGGAAGATGAAGAATGGCTCAAGCAATAAGAACTTAAGGATAAGAAGAGAGAAGAAGAAGTCAGAAAGATTCGTGAAAAGGATGCTGAAAAGAAACTCCCCGAAAGTGTTGAATTATTGTTAAGTAATCCTTAAATTTTTTACTTTACAACTTAGATTCATGATATACAAACAATATGATACATTTATTAGCTCATAATTTTGTTATATTCAATCAAATTTTAGCGTTTTTATTAATAATTTGTTTTAACTAAAAGAAATGGAAGGTGAACCTGCTAAGAAGAAAATCTTACACTTATTTGAACAACTCAAAGAAAAGGCTTAAACTTTAGAATAAGAAAATAAGCTCCTAGCTGAATAGGTAAAATCCTCAACAATAATTAACTTATGTTTATTTATAATGCTTTAAAAATATAAATAGAAAACTGCTTATCAAACATAAACTACCACCTGGTAAGAAAAAGCTAAGGAATTACACAATATCACAGAAAATACTTTGAAAGATATGGAATTGATGAGAATAAGATTAGAAAAGGAAAAAGAATAAACTAAAATCTTTGCTATCAGTAAGTTTGCTGGTGAAGTACTTGAAGTCAATGATAACATTGAAAGAGCCCTCAATGCTAATAAAGAATTAGCTGGAAAAGAAAATGGTTTGTTTGAAGGTAATTTATTTATTTATTTCTAAATTATTACAAAAATAATCCTGCAATTAATCAATCAATTAGACTTTTATTTGTATCTTGCCTAATAAATCAAGCTAAATTATCTCCCAAAAGATAATTAAAGGAATATATAAATAAATAAACAAAAAATTAATTGTCAAAAAATTGATTAATTTCTGTTTTTATTTTTTAATCTTTTTTTTAGCTTTCTAACTGGATGAAATAATTAATTAATAAATCTTTCTAAAATAATCTTAGGTACAATCATGACCCAAAAAATCTTAGAACAAATCTTATAAAGAAATGGTATTGTTAAACTTAATCCTGAAGGTGAAAAGTTTGATCCTAACTTCCATGATGCTCTCTGCCAAGTTCCTGATCCCACCAAAGAATCTGGTAGCGTTGCCTTCGTTGCCCAAACTGGTTACAAAATTTACGATAGAGTCTTACGTCCTGCTAAAGTTGGTGTTACTTACAAGAACTGAAAACACCATAATAATTACTAGAATATTAGTATTAATTGAAGCTTTCTAAAATAAATTATTTTCAAAAATAAATTATATTTATACATAAACCATTAATAATTCAATGTAATTTAAATGATCATAAATTTTAAACACCAACCAATCAACCAAAATAATAATGATATTAACTAAAACTAATAAAATTATAATATAAATAAATAAGTAAGTAAGTAAATTATCAGTTTTATTTAATGTTAATATTTGCATATTCTCATTTTTGTATTAAGACATGAAGCTATAGGCTTAATCTAATCTTAAACATCTTAAATTATATTTCTTTTTATATAAAACTAAATATTATTCTTTAATCAATACTATAATCATTCATATAACAACTCTTATATTAACAAATTTCTTAATTTTAATTGATATGATTATCCAAAAAAGAAATATTATTTGTACTTTTTGGAAATTAATTTAATTGAGTTAAATTACATCTTATTTATTTAATATCAACATTATTAATATTTTATATAAAAAATTATATAAATTAATTAAATTTTAAAACTAATAAAAAGTATTAAAAAAAAGTATTTTGTTTTACTTGAAAGTATAAATTTTTATTGATTTATTTATAAATCTAGAGTTATTTTTCAACTCATTTTTTTGTATTTTTTTAAAGCTTTTCTTGTTTCTTTTCATAAATGAGAGAAATTCATTTATTTTTGTAAGATTAAAAAACAAAGTATTTTATTATCACAACTATTATATTATAATTAGATTTTACGATATTTAGTAATTGATCAAAAGCAAAATTTCAAGCAAAATCTTATGTTTTTATGGAATTGGTATGATGTTGATGATGATAATGCAGGCAATCATGAATTTCTTTAAACTGGTCAATATTAAAATTAAAGATGAAAAAATAAATGAAGAATTTATTTATTTATTGCATTTAAAATACACACAATTTGATAAAGTGAATGAATGAAAGAATAAAGAAATGTCAATTATTTATTGGCTAGCAGGCAATTAAAGAAAAAGAAAAAAATAAGCAAAAGGAATAAATAAATAGAGTAGAAGCAAACAAAAAATAATCTTAAATTATAGGTGTATTTTAGTGTTTAATCGAAATTAATTAAAATTAAGATTATTTGTGATAATATCATAGGAATAATAGGAATAAAAAGCTTTTAAAACAATTAGTTAATTCTACTAAATAAATACCAGGAAAAGAGAGTATTGATTGATTGAGATAGATTGTTAGTTAACTGTAGGTTATAAAAAAGTAGCATATTAAAGAAACTAAATACATTTTAGCAACATCTTCATAAAACTGAGTTAATTTTCTGGGATAGACCGCAGAGAGAGTGTGGGGAATAATCTTTTATTGTCCAGAAACATCACTGGCGGTAGCAATAATTCTCCTCGCAATTCTCCATTACTTAACCCTAATCAATCAGACAAACTACTTGTTCCATAAAAGTTAAAGCTAACAAATTAGCATTCATAAAATAACAGTCCAAATCACTAAAGGATTGCTTCAAACAACTTATAGTTAGGATAAAGCATATATTCGAATGATGAAGCTATGAAAAATCAATCTCCTACTAGTAACAGTGGTTGCATTAACAACTAATTTAGTTTGTTAAGTTAGCTTAGCCCTAAGAATGCTAATTAAAATGGAGTAGCTATCAATGCAAATTAATTAAATTCCCCTAATTTAAACCTTTAAAAGATGAGCAGTGGCAACAATGATTGTGGCAGCAGTGGTAATCAAGCAATTAATCCTAACAGCAGCTCCAACAATAATGGCTCAAATAACAATAATAACAATAACAATAATAATAGTAACAATAATAACAATTGTAGCGGTAACAACAGTAGTGGCAAAGCTAATACTTTATCAAACTATACAACTTACATTCCATATGATAAAATGCTTTAGGGAATGGAAGAAGAGGACATTCTTGACACTGATGGTGGAATAGTTTTTCAGCGTGTAATTGATAAACAATACCATATTCGATACACTTAGATGATGAAGATAGTGAAAAGTGATTAAGAATACTAAAATATGCTTGATTAAATATAAATGTATTAAAGTATAAAACACGAGGGCATAATCAGCATTAAAAAGTGGTCATGCGAGTTGTTCCTCGACAAAAATATGAAGCGCTCTCATAAATTTTTAATAATTTTTGATGGAATCAGTGAGAGACTCGATTAAAGATATCCAAATAATGGAAAGAAAACCCTTTTAAGTGCTTTTAAAAATGATGACTTTAGAAACTTTGTAAATATAATTCAAGCTGTTCAATATCTGAGCTCAATTAAAGACCCGAACTTTACTATTTCTCCTTTATTACCATGCAATTTTGCCTTCTCTTATGATAACACTTTCAAATTTATTCCTTAACCTTTCTTAATTACTCCGAAAATAAAAGAAAGAATGAAAGAATATGAAAATATGTACGCTCCTCCTGAAATAGTTAAAAATTTCAAGTTTTACAACTAAGAGAAAGCTTCAATATTTTACATAGGAATGAACCTATTGCTAATGCTCACAAACGAAATCAAAAAAGAAGCAAACACAAGTCTTATTGAGCAGCAAAGATTGTTAGAATTTATTAAAAAAACATATTGCACTGATCTTAAAAATGTAATTGAAAAAATGATAGCTCTTGACCCCAACGACCGCTACAGTTTTTCCTAAATCGTAGCTTACATTAGAAAATAGAGTATTTACACTAGCATTGAAACTATAGTGGCCGACACTTTTACAAACAGTGATGACTATGATTTCTTTGCCCATTCTGGATTCATTCAAATTTAGCAGCCGAAATATAAATTTATTGCCACCGTATTCCCTTTTACTAAAAGACGTAATTTACATTAAATTTTCGACATAGTTCATTCATTCATTCATTCATTTACTCATTTATAAATAAATTTACTTCTTATTACAAACAAATAGCAAAACGAAAAAATAAAAATTTTATTCTAATTTTCTATATTATTTTTACATTACTCTGTTCTTGATTAAATTTATCTCCAAAGAAATAAAAAAAACATTCTATAATTCTAATTTCGGTTTAAAATTTATATTTTTTATTCACTCTATTAATTTCTTATACAAAATTGAATAAAACAATTTTAACATTTTAACAAAATTAGTTGTTCAATCTAATCTATTTGATGAAAAAAGAATATTTATTGAGCAGCTAGATCTAGACGTCGATATTCTAATCCCGGATGATACAGCTGTTCTTACAGGCGACAACTATGAGGTGTTTATTTATTCATTTTGTTGATAGTTTTCTTATTTCTTAAAATATGAACATAAATTTATTAATTAATTATATTTACCTATTTTAAAAACTTAACCAGCTTTTGGATCTATAAAAAACAAACATTTAAAAAAAGAATTTTTAAAGGCTAAAATTTAACCAAATAAAATGTGATAAGTTAGAATTTTTTAAATTAATTAAAAATGCGTTAAGATTAAAATTTATTAATTGGACTTAATTGATTTTTTATATTAAAAAGGTATGGCTAATAGGAGGCAAATAAAGTAATGCAATTTATTTACTCAACGATGAAGTACCTACGCTTACTCCTTTGGCTCAAATACCTTGTTAATACTAAAGATATGGGTTTGGATACTGTAATTTCTCTTCTTAATACATATTTTTAGTGAGTGGATATGTAGATAGCGACACTCGCTTGACTACTCGAGTTGATCGCTATGATGTTGCAACTAACGAATGGAAATAAATGGAAAATTGTATTTTCGCAGCGAATGGAAGCACTATTGTTGTGTTCAATAATAACACTATATACAAATTCGGAGGTAAAAATGACGAAGGGCAAATTATTGACCAACTAGAAAAATATGACATCTAAAATAACAAATGGGAAATTCAAAGTTTTAGAATTTAAAAGGGTAGTGAAGATATAGCATTTTTTAAGTCTCTTGCAATTTAAATAAATCCATGCTAGATATTGATTTGTGGTGGTTTTGTCTTCAATAAAGAAACTAAAAACCGTGAACCAAATTATAACTTCCACTTCCTAAATATAGACGATAAAGCAGTTAATATTGATAAAGCACGCAAGCAAACGTATGCAGAGTTCTCTAAAGCGCCAAAAATTGTTTTCCCAAAATCCAAGCAAAAAGAGCAAGAAGAAGATATTTAAAATAAATACGACTATAATTACATTAAATTAAAACAGTAGCAGCTTAGAGAAATTTAAATAGATTGTTTGGTCATGGCTCAAAACAGCATTTGGTTTGTTTAAGCAAAGAATAAAATGTCCAAGGTCTTGTACAAATACAACCATCAACAGAATGTTACAGAGTTCAAAAAAATTAACTACTGAAATGAAGTGAAATTTAAAATTTTATAATTTTATAAAGAAAGCCAGCCAAAAACACTCTGAATAAATAAAAAACAAACAAACAAATAAATAAACAACTAATGATTAATCATTAAACCAAACAAAAAAACTTATCTCTCTAGTTAACTAAATAACAAAGCATCTATTTCTTTCATCTGAAATAAAATTTAAAATAAGTATTAATTTAAATAAATCCTTTTTATATTCACAAAATTTAGTGATACATAAATAACTTAAAACAACATTCCAGTCAAAATTACATATTTACCACCTAATATAAAATCTTCATAGTATATTTTAAATCAACCATTTGTCTGGCTATATATTTTATATAATTTGTCAAGTGTATCCATCCACATACTTTACTTTACTTTCAAATATCTTACTTTTTTAAATTTTAACATTTTATCTTGTTTGATGCTAATTTCAGTAACCACGCTGAAATACAATTAATAGTTTGGGTAAATTTTAAAAGACGAATTTCTTAGGTAATTTTCATTATTTTTTTTGTTTTTATCCTCATTAAAAAGCATATTAAATTTTTAGTCATTTTGAGGTGTTTATGGATTTAAAATAATCTTAAAAAAGTTATATCTCTGGCCAGTTTAATATTTTAAAAAACATCATATAATAAAATATAGATTGAATGATTTTTACGAAATTAATTTCAGGTAAATTAAATAAAATTGTTTGATTTCGAAATTCTTATTTTTAATATTAAAAAAATTTTTTAAATTAAAGTTTTGAATAAATTGATGATAAAGAATTTTCAACTCAAGAAACTGTACTTTAAAATATTTATCTATCTCTTAGAAATCATTTATTTATCACTCAACTGATTTAAGAAATTAAATAAATAATAATAATTTAAAATTAAGAAAGCATAAATTAATGGGAATTTATAATAATAAAATAATTAAATACATAGTTTTATAATTAATTCATTTTTTTAGAAGCAAAAAGAAACAAATTAATAAAGTTATAACAAATATAATGAAAAGCATTTATTGTAGTACTAAACACTATTTATTTCTACAATAAATATTAGGTAAAAATTAAAACAAACTTTTGATTTTATATTATGAAAGTATTATTTATTTATTATTTTTAAAGAAAGAGAAAAATTATTTTTACTAATTTTCAAAAGAATTTATTAATAAGTAACTAAATAGAAATTTAATTTCATTTTTTCACTAATTTCATTTTTGTGCTTGCTTTTTTTATTCAGCAGTAGTATTTTCAGCCTTTTTTATGTCAATAATAGAATTAGGAATGTATTTATCTACTGAGTATTGTATATTTTAGAGCATGTTATTTCTATAAAGTGTAAGTTAATTATTATATTCGGTTTATTTGTTTTTCTTTATTCTTGACAAATAATCAAAATCTAGTTAGGAAATTGTTGTGGGTCTAATACTCATGAACTTGTAGAATGCTTTCAACTATTTGAATTTTTAAATTAAAAAAATCATTTCAAAAGAAATTATTAATATTATTTTATATTACCAGTGAAAGAATACTTGATGCAATAGAAAGCATAACTGTTAAATCGTCTTTTCCTTAGTCAATTACGAAAGCTGCTTACAAGAAAATTTAAATAACATCTTCTAGAAGGAATTTTTAAATAGAATGCATTAATCTATTTGATATACTCTATCCTGCTGCTGTTGGAAATAAGAATCTGAATAGGAAATTATTTGGAACAAAGGAAATATTATAAGGAGCAACTGTATCTAGAATGTTATTCACTGCTTCAAATTCAACCAGATTTGATACTTCACAAAATGAGTTGATTTCATGAGTGTTTAATACTCTTCTTTTGTCTTTAACAATCGCAACGTATATGTAAATTAGAAGTTTGAAGATGTTTACTAATAGTTGATTAGCAATTACCACTAAACTGATGAAACCGATAACATACTCTTCCATTTTAAAGCAAATAACAATAAAACAAACATCTGAATATAAATCAAAACGATCTATTTAAGAAAAAGCAAGCTGCAAAATATAAGAAACCCACTCAAGTAAAGATTATCTTTCTTTGAAGAATCTCTTAATTTTGCTCATAAAAGATGTGTCCTCTTCATCCACATTCTCAACGTCAATTAGTTAAGGAAGAAGGTGTCTTATTTATTTGTAAATATAATGATAAATTATAACCTCAATTATAAAACTAATTCCAGCAAACGCAGCATAAACATAATGGGATTACCAAGCCACACCAGGTTTTGTTTTTACAAAAACACCATAGGCTTTTGTCATAAAGTAAGGACATCCAATTAAAATAGTATAATAAATTATTGCCAAAAAAATCATTAGGTTAAAATAAAATCTCTAAGTCTTCAAGTTATTATTTAGAATTGGTATTGTCTCATCGAATTTATAAACTCCAGCTTCTCCACAAAAGATATCTAAAAACGCATAAGCAATAGAATCGAATGCTTTTAAAATGATATTCTTCCTTTTCCTTCCCATGTACAAAGACTCCCTTTTTAATAATATTCAATACATTTATATTTAATACCCTCATTGAATTATACTTTTTTTACAATTTTTATCTTTCATTTTAAAAATATTTTTCAAAATTTTACTTATATAATGAATGAATAAATGTAGTAATTTGTTTGGATTTATTTAATTATTTTTTGTTAATTTTTTAATTGAATTTATTTAACTTAATATTTTTATCTTTCACATTTCAAAAAACTTTTAAAAATTTTACTTACATAATCAATGATTAAATGAATGAATGTATGTAGTAATTTGTTTGGATTTATTTAATTATTTTATGTTAAACTTTTTATTGAAGTTTTTTTATTGAATTTATTTAACTTAATTTTGCTAAATATTTTTATCTTTCACATTTCAAAAAACTTTTCAAAATTTTACTTACATAATCAATGAATGAATGTATGTAGTAATTTGTTTGGATTTATTTAATTATTTTATGTTAAACTTTTTATTGAAGTTTTTTTATTGAATTTATTCAACTTAATATTGTTAAATATTTTTATCTTTCACATTTCAAAAAACTTTTCAATATTTTATTTATAAAATGAATTAATTAATGTTTTAAGGAATGAATGAATATGCTTTGAATTTATTTAATTAGTTTATGTAAAACTTTTTTGTTTATTTATTGGATTTATTAAACTTAATTTTAGTTTTGAAGAAAAAATTTTTATTTATTTATTTGATTTGATTAATTAATTAAATTACCTTAAGGAGAAAGCTATTCCATTATTTATGAAGGATTGAGAGGAAAAGTTAACGTTTGCGTATCTAAAATTTTCATTTGAAGAAACAATTGAATATATTGCCTTGAGTGCATTAATGGAAACATTATTTAATTCTAAGGATTTAGGAGGGAAGAGCCTTATGAAATTGATTAATCTTCTTTCTGAGAGATTATAATCTGCTAACTCTACTTATCTTAGATCGTAGTCTATTATAATGCTGTCAATTTAAGCATCTTTAAATTTCAAGTATAGTTCATAGACTTACTGAGTGTCTAAAGAGTCAAAAAATCTATGCTAAATGAAATAAATTTGTTTAAAAATTTTTGGTTCCCTAAAGTATTCAACAACTTATTGATTCAGCACAACAGCTTAGGGATTTAAGGATTCATTTTTTTATGATCCATCTGTAAAATACTTTTGCATAAGTTTGATTGATTCATAATCAAAGCACAAAATATGTGCAGTTTTTCCAGCTGGTATATCCTGTTTACAAAAAAATTTTATATTTCATCAAAAAATATTAGATTAATTAAAAAAATAAATATTCTTACAACATCTACTTAGTTAGCCTTCTAGTTTAGCTTATAATTAAACTATTAATTTATAGGTTCTAAGAAATCCTAGACAAAATCAAGATTCATGTGGGGTATACCATTAACAAATTCTTCTGTTAAGCAATTATTGAATTTTATTCTTTGTATTTTCTCACTTGTTAATCCCTTTTTCCACTTTTCAATGACAGCCTAGGTTTTATTTAATTAATTATGAAGATTATTGAAAATAATAATTTAAATAATTTTTATTTACAAACAATGAGTTTTCTTTGAGCTCCTTGGTAATATTTATGACTGGGAAGCGATCAGGATTATTTTATTTGAAGATCTAAACTATTTCATAAAACCCATAAACACATTTTAGTTTACAATTGGAGTTTTGAACGTAAAGTTTGAGATATTCACTAACAGCATTCTAGCTATCTAAACTTAGTGAGTCGTCCAAAAAGATTTTCTCAAAATTTCGATGCTCTTAAATAAAATCTTTGAAAAAGCATTAAATCCAAATTGAAGCATCTATGCTTTTTTGAAGCTCCTTCATATGCAATTTCTTAATTCCAAAATTACTTGAACTAAATTTAATTGAGAGCTTTCTTAATATTTCAAATTCTTCTCTTAAAATTAGGTTTTTACTTAAATTTAAATAATCAAAATTAGATTTTTGTTAAAACAAAACTTTTTCAAAGAATACTCTCCAGCTCTAAGTTTTAAGCTATGTATTATTGGATATGTCCAGTTTCTTAAGGTTTATTTATTTATTTTTTTAATATTCTGAACAGAAATCTTAAAATGCTGATTCAGACATGAAGCAATTTTAAATATGAAGTTCTTAGAGTGAAGAACAGTAGCGAGCTGCATATTTTAAGATGAATGTTGTGGCTATTGAGTCTCTTTCTTCACCGCTGTATGAAACTCCAATTGTTTATGATAAATTGAGATAATTTAAGCTCTAATTTTTAGATTTATTATTCTCATCTAGATAGCCTTGGCTTAAAATTTAATCCCATTTTTACTTTAAAAGTTTTAATTATTCTTACTCTTTTTCTTTAGTATTTTATTCAATTGCTTAATTATTTTCATTATTATTTTCTGTAGCATTTTCTTAATTTATTTTTTTCTTGTTTTTTCTTATCTACTCAATTGATTGAATGCCAATATTTGTTCCTAATAAATCAATTTTTTTGAGCTTTGTTCCAACTGTGTTAGCATAAACAATAGATGGGAATAGATCCTCAGATTTAACATTTTAGTTATGCATAGAGAAAGTTTCAAGCTGTTAGCTAACATACTAAATAATTTAATAAAATTCTTCATCTAGACTGCTGACTTGTCCTCTGATTCTTAAAATCTAAAGTTTTTTAAGGGTCATGCAATAATTTTAAATCTAAGCAAGTGGTGAACCTAGAGCCAATTTTATCGTTAGTTCCTCTAACGAATGTATAATATTTGGAGGAATTTAATCTGTAGCTATTTCAGATGTTTCACAATCTATAGTTTTAATTTAAGAGAAATTAGAGTTATCTAACCCTTTCAATGAATCAACTTGAGGATTTCTCTTAATTTTGAGAGTTTAAAGCTCCATTGGATCTAAAACATCTTTAAAAAATTCTAGAATTTCTTTGGTAATTTTGCAATTATTTATTTCCAAAGCTTTTATTTTGCATAACTAAAAGTTAAAGAACAATTTATTGAATGCAAGTTTCCACAAAGATAAAGTCATATATGAATTTTCATTAAACTCGATGATTTTAAGCTTAATTAAATCTTTGTGCTATTAAATATATTAGTTGATAACAGAAACTATATTCATCCATCCCTTATGCTCTATGAAAGTCTATGAAAGGCCTAAGAATTCTACTTGTGACCTTTCATTAATAATCAAGAGTTAAAATATATCTTACCACTAATTATTATCTATAGAGCCCGTTCCCTTTAAGTTAAGGTACTTTATCAAGAAAACAGGAAGCTTACCCACTATTTTATACTCAGTAAGTTTTGAGCTGTATTTCTGTTCTAACTTATAAAACTCTTCCTTAACATAAGCAGCATCAGCCTATTCAATCTATATCTTTTATTTCATCTATTCTTCATAGTCAACATTTTCAGATTTATTTAAAATGTAAGTACTAATAAACTGCTTCCAAGCATTCTCATCAATCTAATCATTCTAAGCTATGTTGAAGTTAACAAGTTAGTGTCTGTCCGAATTTTCAAAAAATCCGTCTTTTTCAAGCATAGCTTTGTATTTCACGATATTTTCAGCAAACATTTGCTATTTATTTTTTACAAAGAAAAATCAATTTAACTTTATAACAATTTATTAAGATTGCATCTTTATTTTCAATTTTATTCATTCTAACAACACCATTCAAATTTTAAAATATTTATTTTTTAATATTAAACAAGACTTCGTTCAAAAAAAGGCCGTAAAAAGATTTGTATAATAAATACATTCAAAATTGGGGTAAAGGTGATGTGAAATAGAAAATAGTTTAAATCAAAAAACATTTTCATAATTTTTTTTGATTTCAAAAAAATTTTTATCAAATTTTCAATAAAAAATAATTCTAAAAAAATACCATGGACTTTGAGTCAAAGTTGCAATTTTAAGCATTCAATGTCTTTATTTATGATTTTTTAGAGAAAATTATAGATTCCATAATATTTTGCCACTCATATTATTCAAGTTAAGGGTTATCGTTGATAGTAAGCTCAAGTAAAGGATGCTTGAAACCTGGCTGATCTTGGAAAGCCTGGCTAAAGCTCATTGTGATGGGTGATACTATTGTATCGTCAATTTTGCAGTAGCTTATATCTAATGATTGTAAGTTCTTGAAAATACCACTTTAGAAAAGTAAATGAGATAAAACAAACCATCCTTCAGAACTTATGTTTACATTTCCTTTGAATGATAATTTTTTCACATTTGAAGGTTTAATTGAAATGCTTTTATATTTGAGATACAAAAGCTTTAAATGTTGGTATCTTAAATTACAGTAAGAAAAGCTTAGATCTTCAAGGCCAGGACATACTTAGCTTTATAGGAAAAAAGAAGTCAAAATAGCTAAAAAATCCTCTGGTTAGCTGAGAATATTTCTATCAAAATAGATCTGTTTAAGCTTTAAATTCGATTGCTTGTTCTATAATTCATTTAATTTTTATTAGATTGTTTTTACTTTTTCAGCAGTAAGTGTATTCTAAAGAGAAACTTTTTCTAAGCTAAAACATTGATCATCAAATAAGATTAAATTTACTAACTCTTTGAAGGTCTCTTCATCTAAATCAGCAACCTAATTTAAGATAAAGCTTTTCAAATAACTATTTTTTTTTGCAGACTGTTAAAATTGTTAGCCTAAACTAATAAATCCCTATAATTTATTTTTATTTAATCTATTTCCTGAAATATCAATACTTTTAATTTTAGATTTATCTGTAAAAATCATGTGTTAAGCCAAAAGCGTGTAGCTTTCTTAACCTAAATTTGGATTATTCTTAATGACAATCTCTGCTAAATTTGTATCATTTGAAGAATAACTTTTCAAAATCTCAGTAAATATTTAATCAGTAATTTAACAATTCGATATGTCTAATTTCTAAAAGTCTCTAACCTTTTCAAAGATAAATTTAACAAACTAGCACAACACTTAAGAATTTCCGATGCTTGGATTTTATCTAAGCACAAGCTGCTATAAAGCACACTTTTATTTAAATTAAATAAAATATTAAATATCTTCTTGATAATAATTGTAAATACATTAGAAGTTATTGATGAAGAAAAGGCTTTGTAGATTGCCTATAACTTTCTCTCATCTAAATCACAGCTCTTTAATTCTAATATTTCTAAATTATTTGCAGTCAATTTGAAAAACCCTCCAAAAAGGCTTTCCCATCCTTAAAGAGAAATTTAATTGTTTTTATTAAAGTAGAATTTCCTAAGTGGACAATTATAATTAGTATTTCTGACATTCTTATAAAAACTATTTATCATCTCACCTATTTTGATAATTTCTTCATCCTAGAAATAGCAATTATCTATTCTTATACTATCAGTGACAGAACTCTGATTGCAAATCAGACATTTAAATATCTTTATCCATCCATTCATTTAAATATTATTGTTATCACTAATATCAATCTAAATATTTTTAAATATATAAAAAAAATTTTATTTTTCTAAGCATTAAAATCTCAGCAAACAGTTTAAATAAAAAATTGTTTTATTAAGCAATAAATTTTAAATAAAGTCATTTAATTTTTATAATGTTGAAAGAAAATACCTGCTTTATATTAAAAGAGCTTGTGAATAAATTTATAATTGATTTGTCGTTTAGTTAGCAAGAAGATAAGTCAATGTTCAAAATACTTTTTGTTCTTTTTAAAAAGCTAAAAATAGGAATCCAGTTTTCTTGCATTTTGAGAGTAGTCTTTTTGAAAGATAAAGTTGTAATGTCATCAAAATTCTCTCCTATTAGATATTCACCCAGATTTCTGAGACCAGCTTCGTTTTTATCTGAAAAGCATCCACCAAAATTCAAAGAATAGAATAATCTTTATGTATTAGTTTCCTCCAAGTGAATAGAACTTAAGGTATCACTGCTTTATTTTAAGAGTTGTCTATTTCTATTATTTAGAGATGTTTCGTCTAAAGATATGTATAAACCTTCTCTACTATTTGCGTTTTGTTTCTTAGTTGTTATTTTAACATTACTCTTAGAAATTAGATTTGCAAATTAATTAAACTGATTTTTTGTCAACTTATTGATTCCTGGCTATACTTTGACGTCAAGCATTTTTAAATTTTTCAAATCAGTGAAGTTGAAATCATTAGAGACAAACAAATCTTTGAAATCAAAGGAGTCTATTGAATTCTAATTTAAAAAGTAAATTGTATGATTAATAATTTATTCAACACCTTTTTTAATCAATTTTTTGTAAAACAAGCTTCTTAATAAATTAAAATTTCAATATATTAGATTTCTACTTTAATTGCTTTAAATATTCACTAAAGAAACTAAGATATATTGATTTTTACCTTATTCAAATAGATCTTTTCAAGTTGATCCCTTCTCCACCAAATAATATTTCTAAGTATTTGAATGTGATCTCTATTTAAGTTAGAGTTTTATATGATTATGAGCCTTAGTTTCTTTACCTCTCTCTTAATTAAAATGATTAATAAAATGAATTAAAATCGTATTATTCCATAATTATTTCAAATATATTGAATAAAAAAATCATATTTTAAATATTTACTAGATTTAGCTCTATTCTCTTGAGATAATCTACTTTAAATGCTCCTTCAAAATCTTAAATAACTATACCTTGTATCTTAGATTTATTTTTCTGTAGTAAAGAAATGAGCGAGCTCATACCTTCTTCGTCACTGATGCATTGCTTATCAACAATTAAACCTTATTATTCAAGCAAATTAATAAAGAATATTTATGGAAAAAAATAAATATTATACTGAGTATTCCCTCAACTTCGTTAATTTTTTATCCCTTATTATCTTAAATCTATGTTAAAGTATATTTAGACATATTTCTTTAAGTATTAAACCTCATATCTTAATTGAAAAGATTTTTTTCATCAAACTAGCTATCAGCAATTTTAACCTACACCGCTTAGGTCTGCTAATGATTCAATTAGTGTAATTCATCCTGAGAAAGATTGAATGCCATTTATTAAGGAAGAATTAAAAATATATAACAAAGTTGATAATTTGTGAATTTAATAACAAATTTAATTTGTGTCTGCTTATTAAATAGATATTTAAATAATTATTTCTTTGTTTATAGAAAGATTAAAAACTAAATAATTTGCTAGATTCTTTTTCATAAATAAATTGAATTTGTTAAAGATTTAGTTATCACTTCTTAATCTGAATAAAGTCATAACGCATTTACTGTTCGTTGTTTGTAAACTATTACTATAGTTTTTATTTTTCTAGTTGACCACAATTAACAAGTCTATTATTTATTACCTTTTTACATATTATCTTAATCATTTAATTCATTTTGAAGCATTAAATTGATATATAATATCCAAAAAAAATTTTTATCTTTTAATATTTAGATACAAAATAACTTACTCTTTATACCTATTGTTAATTTTAAATAAAGATAAATGAATATGATGATATTAATTTGAGTTCTATAAATAAATAAATACTGAGTAAGATATAATTTATTTAGTACATTTATAACATTGATATAAATAAGTTATAATTATTCTTTTTAATAGACACTTTTTAAATGAATTAAGCAATAAATTTTTTTAACTCTTCAAAAATACTTTGATTGGTGGTTTAAAAAAGAAAATAAAATAAATATTTTAAATTATATTTTACTGCTCAAACATATAGTCAAATTCTTAATATATAACATCACAAATTAATTTATATAAAAACATAATCTAATTTAATTAAATAAGTCATATTTAATACTATATTTATCATATATAATCAAATCTAATAATCAAATTTATTTAATCGGTTAAATATATTTATTTGTAAGTATGAATTTATTATAATATTATAAAGAATTTATAAAATAGAGCTAATCGATTATTGACGGATGGATGGATAGATGATTATGAGAATTAATAGATAAGTGTAGATAGATGGATATAAATTAAGTAAAAGTAAGTAAGTAATTCAGTTAATTTGTTTATTTATTTATTTTTGTATTTATTGGTTATTTATAATAAATTAATTAATTCTTGCTTTTTAAATAAAATGTGAGAAAAGCCAATCTATTTTTAATTTAATTAATTTCCTATTATTTTTATACTTTTTTACTTATTTTTCTTTATTTTAATGTACAGAATTTCATTTAAAACTAATCGCATATTTATTTATTTATTTGTTTGTTGGTTGGTTGTAAAAAACTAGTACAGTCAATAAATTATCATTTTTTTAAAAGAGAATTTATTGGCTTTACACCTGTTGGTTTTCCTATATTACTGAAAGATTGCACATTTTAAGAATTGACTTTAGTATTGCCTAATTTAGAGATGCCATTAGACTAAGACTAGCTGCCTATGGTTGGTTTTATTGTTGAAACAGAGCTGCTACCGTTAGATGGTTTATCACTTTTCAAAGGCAATCCATTCGAAACAGTTAATTTTTTAATACCATTTGAGGTAGAACTGGAAGTTACTGGTATTGTTTTCTTTGGGGCTGTGCCATTGCTCATTAAAGGAATATTTGTAATAGAACTATTATTTGACTTAGAAGCTGTTATTTATTTTTAATTTGTTGTTGATTAAATTGATCTCTAACCTGAGTTATTCCTAACTGTTGTGGAGGTTACTCCACTTAAAGATGACCCACTTTAATAATTCTTCCTATTTTGAGAACTAGCAATTAATGAAACTTTGTTGTTTATAGAATTAGGTTTCTCACTAAACTTTCTATTCTACTTAATTTAAATTGATTTATTAATTTTATATTAACAATTAAAAAAACTATAAAAATATAATTTTTTACCTTTATATTTGTATATTCTAACACATCTAAATCATCACTAATGTAGTTAGATGATTTACTAGATTCATAATTTATATTAGTGATTGGGATCACATAATTATTTACTTTTTCCATAAAATTAGGGTCTTCTTAGGTTATATCATCACAAGCTTTTTGAGTTAATTCCTAGACTTGCTGGTCTTTGTCTGTGAGCAGGTTTTTACATGCTATTGTTAATTTGAAATTTTAACAATTCAAGTAAATAAATAAATAAATAAATTTACCTTCAAGTAATTTATTAAATTAATCTTTATCAGTTGGAGAAGTAATCGCTTAGAATATAGGAAATAAGATTTTTGCTAAATATTTTCTTAGCTGAGGAACTCTGTCCATGTGATAATTTAAAATATTGATAAATTTGTAGTTTCTAAATAAACTTTAGTCAAACTTTTCTAGCAGTTTTTCTACAAATTAAACATAAGATATTTTTTATTAGTAAGAACGAGCTAGGTAAAAGTTGTTGGAAATATATGAAATAACTGCGTCTCTATCTTGTTTATTTGAACTAAATTCAAGGTAATTTATAATTGATTATAAAGATGATTTTCTTATTTGGGTGCTGCCTTTTAGCATAGCTTAAAATATTATAGGAAAATAGAGGTCATTCATTTCAAAGGAATCATAAAGACTAAAGTCTTGTTCTATGAAATTTATTACTAGTTGGAGGAATCTCCAATTAGGACTAGATATTTCTTTCTCTAAAATATCTAAAAATTCTTTCAAAATTTCTGAGAAAAACTAGCGATTTGTCTTAACATCTTCTTTGTAATATTCAAATATTTAGGGTAATATTTTTACAAATTAATTTTTTGGTTGGCTTGCTTCATCATTGATAATAGCTTTCATGTGTAACTTAATTTAATTTCTAAATTCAGCTTTACCAACAAATTCAATAATTTAGCAATAAATATTTATAGCTTATACTCTAACACTGATATCATCATCTCTCAGAAGCATATTGTAATATTATTTGCTAACATTTGACCAAATCTTTTTTCCATATACCTAAAGCAGTCCAGGTAAATTATATAAAAAGTTAACTCTAATTTAGCTTTCAGTGCTTTCACAGTACTCTTAAAGTGTAGCAAAAATAACAGTTTAATTAGCAGGCTTCTAATCGAGTATATTTCTCATCTATTATTTCATTTAAATAAAATTAAAAATTAATTTTTAATTTATTTCTAAAAATTTTTTTTTTCTCTGCAAATTTTCTTGAAATTTTCCAAATGAGTTCTAAATAAATAATAAAATGTTACATTAAAAATGTAAGGACCTATGTAACGCGAAAATGTGAGTTTGACTTAGTTTTATTTTGTGTTAATCAAATCGAAGAAGAGAATTTTAATCTTGTTAGACTTGAAATTCTCACTCAATTTATCTAAAATCCTTGAAACAATCTCAATAGTATCACATTTGATTTAAACATTTTGATCTTGCAAAAATTCAAGAAGCTATTTTTTAATTAAAAAATATTTAACTTAATAACTTAGGAGGAGTTTTATAAATTAACTGAAATTTAAATTAATTTGATGAAACGAAATCAATAAAATTTTCTAATAAATAAATAAATCAATCAATCAATTACCTTTTCGTTCCAGTACTTTTCGAGCTCTTCTTTTGGTAAATACATAAAGATATATTCAATTACATAATTCAACAATCTCTATTTGATTTCAGATTCTGCAGTTTATGAAAATAGTTATGCTATTTCTATCATTTAGTCTCTCACATTGCCTTTCTTTACCTATTTCAAACAAAAATGTAAATAAACTTATTTATTGATTGGCTGATAGATTGAATGCAAACTCAAAAGAAAAAAAAATATATATAAATCCTTTGATTAAGGTATATCTATTTACTTATTTATTTATTTTTCTATCTTATTTCTTTCTAAAAATTATTTGTAAATTTATGATTAATAATACTCCCCAAAATTAACTAGAAGAGGAGTTAATAAATACATGGTAAATATAAATTACCTTCATCAAAATACCTAAAATTCTCATGGATGTTGCTTTATTGATCGAAGGTGATGTTATTCCAGAAAGCTTAACAAATTCGTCATTTATATTCTTTTCATATTTTTAGTAGTTTATGTTGCTTAGAAAATTTTCGAAGACTTAAATCCACTCGTCTATGATTGGTACTTGTTTCGATCTAAGCATTTGCATCATTGTGTCGAAAATGATATCAACATTCTAATTTCCTACTAATTGAACTAAATCCTTTTTTTTAATATATATTTTTTATTTTAGTGTTTGTTTTAGTTGCACAATGCATTTTTTCGCTTTTAAAGCATGCTAAATAATAGCCAAAAAATTTTTCTTATCTTTATCCATTTTGGGTAGATTTCTATTTTTAGAGTATGAAAACTTTAGGCAAGGAAATACTATTGTAAACTACTTATCCTACATCTAATTCATTAATATTTATCACTGCCTGAATGACTGTACCTAAACTTATTAATGACTTAGAGAGTTTTGGTAGTTTATGATCCAAATTTATTCCTTATCAAAAATATTTAATTAAGTTTAATGATGATTTGCAATTCAATACTCTTTCTGCTATTACTGTCTTAAGACATTTGCCTGCCTCTATTTGTGTTTCTGGTGCTTGATTAAACAAATCACTCTATAAAATTTAGTAAAAATATCTTCAGTATTTGGTTTAATACAATAAAAATACAATCAGTGCTTCTATAATTGGTATTGAATCTTCATGCTTCCAAGAAAAATAGTTCTTCAAATTGCTATATAGGGCACACTTTTATATGTCATCACCTGATTTCAAAATTTTCTTAACTCTTTTCAACTCTCCTAAATTATCTTCTAGCATGTATTTCCTAATTTCTTCCTCGCTCTATTTATCATATGCAAATATATATTAATTATTCCATTTACTGAAGGTAATTAATTAGTAGAAAATAACATCATTTGACAAATTTTGCTTTTACTTCAACCATTTCATTTCTTTGACAAATAAATAAATATGGCCAATAATAATTTCTTATAAAACGTTACCTTTTCTTCATTTATAAATTCTTTTCCTTCAAAGAATGTGCCGTATTTATCTTTGCCCATTCTAAAATACCTTTATCTCTCTCTATATATCTATCTACGAAGCTAATTAATTAATTAATTAAATAAGTAATCTCTTTTATTTATATTATTCAAAATTTCCTATGAATAAATTATTTATGATATCAATTAATATTTCTTTTAATTGTTATAGTTTGAATAAAGATTGAAGCAAATAGCCACTGATTTATTTGTTAAATTGATTAATAATTATTTAGTTATTGGCAGACTAATAATTAATTAAATAAACAAATAAATAGATTGATTGATTTTATGATTTTTATTCATAGAATGATAAGTCAGCATTTATTGACACTTAATTAGTAGCTCTGCATTTTTAATTATTAAATAAATTTATGCAAAAAATTGATCATTTCCACAAAAATTATGTTAGATTTTTTTTTGTGTGTAAATTCCACAGAAATTTTTCAATAAATTTGTTGGAAATCATACATAACAAGATTGAAATTAATGTAATTTGGATTGTTCTCTTTCTTTTTATATTCAAGTTTATATCTTATTTTTGATCAACTCTATTACATAAAATCTTTATTTTGATACTTAAATCTACTAATATATGCCAACTAATTAATTGCCAACCTTTTTTTATTCAATTATACATTTTATTAAATAATTTTAATTTTTGCTCATTACTTAATTATAGATAGTTAAATTTGGTATATTTAATAAATTTGATAAATTAATTTTTACACAATTTCCTTTACTTTTAAGCTTTTTGTAATTTAAAAAAGGCTTTATTATCTTTATAAATAAATAAATAATAAAATTTAGAAACAAAATTGGCCAAAATAATTAAAATCAAGTTTTGAAATAATTTGAAAACAAGTATCTTGAAAACCATTCAATTTCCTAAGTGTAATTTAATTTTTTTAACAAAAAATCCAAATAAAGTATTATAAATAAATAGTGAATTTAAGAAAAATTTGTAATATTCCTGCTAAAAATAACAAGTTTTTTTCAAATTTAAAAATTTTCAGTCATTAAAAAAATCTATTAGAATATACTATCAGCCTTTTTTGTATAAATGATAAAAAATATCCTTGTAACTTATTAATTTTAAGTATCATAGTATGTTTCTAATTTAAATTTATTTTTTTTAAATATAAGGTAAATACTTAAAAATTCTAATTAAAAATATTATCAATTTTTATATAAGTAAAGGTTCTTTAAATAATTTATTATAAAATATATTATTGGCAATAATTAAATTACTCTTTTACTATTATTATTTTTTTATTTAAAAGCAAATATTTAAAATTATTTTGATAAATTTTGAATAATTTAAGCTCTATCTATTTCTAAAACTTTCATTTTTACAAATTTTAATCAAATTAAGGAAGATTAATAACAAACAGATATCCATCCTTTCATTATTTCAATATTTCATTTATTTGATCACAAGATTATATAGCAAATTAATACTCAAATAATGATCAATTTTAATTAACTTATACAATATATTTTTAAACCTTAACAAAACCACAATAAATTTAACAGCAAAAATGATTTTTTTAAATTTAAAAAAAGATTTATCTAAATTTTATTGATAGCTGTTATTTAATTATTCGAAATTGATTAAGAAAGTTACCAAAATATTATTTCAAAAATAATTTAAAAGCATAAATTATCATAAAATTATTAATGAATTTTTTTATGGAAATAGAATATTTCTAGTTGATTTTATTTATATATAGAATGAAGAGTTTGTTTTTTGATATTAATATTAAAAGATTGATATATACTTAAACAAAATGAATATTCATTAAATAAATGACACTTTATCAAATTAATTACATAATAATTAATAAATAAGGACATTTTTAATCAGCTTAATTTAGGTCAGATATTTATTCTATTTTCTTTCCCGTTTACCATCTTCTTATTATTTCCTGCGTTTGAAATAAGAGATGCATCATTCTTGACATTTAAATCCCTACTGTTTGTCTTTTACAACTAGAGTTCTGCCTAATCTGGAACAGGATCTAACAAAATTGCATGTTACTCATAGTATTCCATTAAAACTCTTGGGTATCTATCTTTGAGCTCATTGAATGCAATATAGGCAGGTTAAGGAACTGTACCAGAAGGTCTAGGTTTAAATATAACTTTAAAGTAAAGACTGCTAGGTAAATCGACATTATTTCCTATCACTTTCTGAATTCTTGTATAAGGAGCATGCTTCAATATTTTAAGAGGAATGTCTCCGTTGTTGAAATTACCATATTTGCTAGTATCATCTACAACTACTTATGCTGAATAAGCATTGCTGTTTAATTCGTTTTCCAGAACTGGATCTCTAAATTGAAGTTGACTTTTGTTTTTTGTTTGTACAACCTCCATTGTTTTATTGTCTTCAATAGGCTTTGGTAATTGCTTTTAAGATATATAACTAAGGTTTTGATCTAATTTAGTTTAAATATACTAATCTTAAGAATTTGTTCTACGATTTTTTTCATAAAGTTAAGTTTATTTATTTTAAACTTAACTAATTGAATTAACTTAACCAATTGCTTAATTTTCAACCTTCTTTTAATGTTATCCATTACCATTTAAGTTATAAGAAAGGCTTTATTTGTTTTGAGAGTTTTAATTATTTCCATTAGATGATTATTTTTACTAGCTTTAATGCTATCCGTTACTTTACAATAAATTTAAACTCTAATTAAGATTCAATAATTAATTTCCATTATTTTGTTATTGGTTGTTGTGATTGTGCTATAATTAATTATTACTGTTTCCATTTGTCTTCAGGTAATTTTTTTCAGCTAAATTTTAGCTACCATTTTGAGGTTTTTCTAGATTTTCAGCTAATTTAGGACTTCCTTAAATCTAACAGTTATTGTTTGAATTTAAATTAGTTTCAATTAAGCTTTACTAATTCTACGTAATTTGGTTATCTGATATTCCACCATTGATTTTTTTAGGTGATTATTATGGTGCACTTTGAAATTTCTCTACACTAGTTTAATTGTTAATTACAGAAGGCTCTTTTTATAGGTGGTTTTATGCCTAAGAAGGCTCTATTTATTCCTTAGTATTTTCAATGTTATCTTTTTGAATTAATTGAATAGGATTAACTTAAAATGGAGGTAATTTTTTCTTAGCATTTTAGAGCAAAGCAACTCTAAATATCAAATCACTCATTTTTCTTTCAAATCCCCTCATATTGTAGACAACATTTTCTAGATTTTCTACTGGCTCGAATGAACTTTCTTCAAAAGTATAATTTTCCCATTTTACACAATACTTAATTTAACCATTTTCAAATTTTTTTCCATATAAATATTCAACATTGTATTCTTCTTCTATGGCTATATTAAAATAAAAAAATTTATTTAAAAATAATCAAAAATCTATAATTTACGATAAACCGGTTGCTCTTCGTCTTCATCATCATCAACCACATGCATAGTTCTTTTCTTTACATTCTATTTTTGACTTCCTTCGTATTTTATCTTAGCCATTTTAATTAAGTTCAGAAGATTTTAATTTATTTTAAATTTTTTTTATTTATATAATTTTCTGAAATAAATTTTGCTATAAAGAGAAAATAAAATATAGCTAGATAGCTAGCTAGCTAAGTTTCAGCAAATTTTTAGATTCTTTGGCGAATAATTAAAATTTTATTAATTATCTTTTGGAGAGTTTTAATGTAAATTGATAAGTATATAATGATAAATTAATAGTAAGATTTTTAATTTTTTAATAAAATTGATTAAAGAAAGAAGGTAATATTCTAATTAATTAATTTATTTAAATTCAAAATTTAGATAATTTGTCAAAATAATTGAATTAATTTCTAATAAATTGAAATAATTTAGTTTACATTCAATAAATTAAATATTTTTCAGAATAGAATTTTAATTTTGTAAAATTCTTACTAAATTATTCAATCTATTAGTAGTATTTAAATTATTTCTTGTTTAATTTATATTATACACACTTAAAAAATCCTGAAAATTTCAAAAATAAAAAAATAGAGTGAAATTTACTTAAGCGTAATGTAAATTATAAGTTCTAACTTTTAGCTTCAACAAATGTATTATTTGTTGCTGATAGCTGATTTCTTTTCTCATCCCATAATAAATAGTAAATAAAATGGAGATTAACTTGATTGATTTTATATAATAGGATTCTTTATAAATATTTTAATTTAATAGCTTAAGCATTGTTTGCAAATATTTAATTTATAAAATATTTTAAAACTAAAATTTCTTTAAGCAACATTTCATAATCAATAAAATTTACGACACTAGAATACCATATCTTTTTTTATTTTAATATAAAAGTACCTAAAATATTTAAATTTACTCAATATTAAATTTGTTAAAAGTGGTTTTTTATTGAAAAAAAAACAAAAATGTAATAAATATTATTTTGTTGAGATGTTTTTATTTATTACTTATTTTAAATTAGATAAATTTATTATTAAAAGATATAAATAAAATCTAAATAAATACTTTTAATACATAAATTGCTTGAATTTTCTATAACTAAAGGTATCTTAAAAAGAATTATATTACTTTTAATTTTGTTAAGTATTTTTATACTTTTATCTAATAGTTATTAATAGCTACAGTTGTTTTAATTTTTTTAAATTTTATTCATAAATATTTTTTAGAAATGTTTGTTTATCCAAATTAAATAATTAACTAAAACGAAATATTTCAAATTATTAATTAAAAATGTAAATTAAATTAATATTTATAATCGATAATTAAAGTAGATATAAAAATTAAAATAAATTCTTAAAATTATAAATTAAATTAACATTTAATATTGATAATTAAAATGATTGCTTAAAATTGTAAATTAGGTTAATATTTAATATTGATAATTAAAACTAATATTTAATATTGATAATAAAATTAATATTTAAAATTTAAAATTGATAATTAATTTTTAAAACTATATAAAATTTTATTTGTTATTTTCTTAATTTAAAATAACTTTGTAAAAAATAATTACTTTATGTTAATATTTATAACGAACTAGATTTTATTTATGCTAAAAGTATGAAATATGATTATATCTTTATTTTATAAATTAATGTTTTTCTTAAATTAAGATATAATTTCTCAATTTTTATCAAATTATAACTCTATTACACCTTTAATTATATATTTCCTATTTCCAACAGTTTTCGATCTTTAATTTGTTGGTGTTATCTGTTATTGTTATTATTATTATTATTATTATTATTATTTTATATTTTGATCATATATATCTGATTCAATTTTAGTATTTTTATTCAAAGGTTAAAATGCAAAAAGTTTTTCATGAGTGAGATTTTAAGTTTATTTGTTTGAATCTTAAAATTCATATTAGCTTTCTTTGTTTAAATGAGTTTAAAGGGATTTTCTGATTTAAGAAGGTGAAACTCCTGTAGCTGAACTTATTTTATCTAAGTTATAATTTGCTAATTTAATTTATGCTAATTATTTTATATTCTTATGATTGTTGTTTTCTTATTTCGCTTTCTTTTTTACACTGATTCCTTTTTATGGAGATCTCTTCAAACTATGTATTTAAATTCTTCTCTTTTTAATTAGCTCTTCATCAACTTCAGCATTAGACGCTCCTTAATCGTTTTACATATTTCTTACGCTTTATTAATTATTTTAATTCTTAGCTTGAATTATTACTATTTATCCAATTTTAGTTTAGCACATTGAATTCATTGGATTCAATGAGCTATTTAGTGGAGATAATGACAAATTTTAAGAATTTTAAAAGTTTATTGGAGATAAATTTCTTGAGTTAGACTGTAAAATTACTGCATTTCTTGTAGAAAAAGAATTTTTTTAATTTACAAAACTGAAATGAGTTTAATAGTTATTGTTTCCATTTGGTTAGAAACCATTTTCATTTTTGTTTGTTTATGCAGAATTTATTTTATTCTCAGCACTTTAAGATAAATCAAAACTTTTATATAAGTAATTGTTTGAATCATTGAGTTAATTTTATTAGCTAAGATTTTACCTTTGATCTTTATTAATTGTCTCATCATTTTAGTTAAAAATAAACTTTTTATTAATTTATTAAGAATTTGATGGTTCACTTTATTGATATTAAGTTTTTTAAGTTAAAAAATATTGCTCTTAATAATTTTAAAAGTTATTTGGTGTAAGCGATAAAGTTGTTTTGCTCCTGTTTTACTTTCCGTATTTAGTTTGAGATAAACCTTAATTATTAGCAACTACCATCATTTCTTGTTTTGCATTTTAAATACTCTACTTATTATTTTATAGAATATTGTAGTGATATTTTAATCTTTTTTAGTTTTTTAAATGTTTATTTGACAAAGGAATTCCAAATCCAATATTACTCTAAGATATTTACTCTAAAAAATCTTCACTTCTTAGTTTATTTAACTAAAAAGAGTTGTTATTTTATACAGTTAAGATAGACTGTTACTTTGACTTCTCAGCTCTAGTTTAATTATTTTAATCGGTTTATTAATTTCTCTCAAAAGATTATTTTTGTTTATCTTCTTACTTTATTTTCTAAAAATATTCATCTTATTCGTCCATTTCAGTTTTTGATATCCTATTTGCGAATTCATTTTAAAAGTTACTCATTATTGGAGACACAGATATATAAGAATTTCCTGGATATTAAGTTTTACTTTTGTTTATTTCTATCTAGCTTCTTTCTGCTTATGAGGAGCATATTTTGCTCATTTAACTTGAAGAATCGTTTTCAAAAGAAGATTGCATTAATTTTTAATTGTTTTGAAAATTTATTGGAGATAAATTTCTAGAATTAGATTGTTAGATGATTCCATTTTTTGAGGAAAATGAGTTCTTTTAATTCACATAATTATCTTAAGCCTGATAAATATTGCTACTGTTAAGCAAAAAACTGTTTTCATTTCGATTATTTAAAATGAATTACTCAATATTAGTGTGATATTTGTTTTCTTTTTCTTGTTTTATACGTTTTGCAATGTTTAAGGTTAAGTCAAAGCTTCTATTTAAATAATTGTTTTAATCTTTTAATAGAAAAGAATTATTTTATGAAACTCTTTCTTTATTGCCTAATGTATCGAAAATAGAATTTTAATTGAAGTTAAACCTTTTATTTGTTAACTAACTTGTTGCTGAATCATTTTATCTTAATTAAATTTTCTATAATTACAAACCTTAGTCCTAGCAATTAAGAAAGCTATTTGGTGAAATAGAAAGGCTTGGTTTCTGTGTGTTTTTTTTGGAGGATTTTGATTCAGATAAACTAATTTATGCCAAGTTGTTATAATAAATCATTCCTAACTTTGTATTTTAAGCGCTGCCTTTTTTAATTGATATTAAATTATTTTTAAAGCCCTTCTGATTAGTTTCATTCTTAGTAGTTAGAGGTATTCCAAATCCTATATTACTATGTGATATTTACTGTAAAACATTATCACTACTACTACAACTTTACTAATTATTGGAGTTGCTTTGAATAGTTGAGTTGGTTTAAGCATTTATTTTTTCAGATATAGATTAAAGATTAAAATCAATTTACTGTTTATTAATTTATGTTTATTTATATTTTTCTTGCAATTAATTGATTTATTATTACTTTTTTATTTCAAATAGCGTTTTCTGTTGAGAGGGCTTTTAAGCATTATCATTTTATAAACTTTCCATTGTTTTATTTTATAAAAATAAACTTTAACTATGTTGATATTCACCCAAATAATGACCTATTGTAAATTAGCTGTTTGATTGTACCTTTTACAAGTTATCATTAATCAATTACTACTAAGTTTACTAATTAGTATTTAGAATTCCATTTTTTGTTTAAGATATTTAATTCAAATTATTAGAAATTTTTTTAGCTGTAAAGCTTCTTCGATTCTAAAAAATAACCATATTGCTATCATCTTATTTGATCAGACTGTCATTATTCTGTTAATTTTTTAAGTAAGACTAATCATTTAAGTTGATAGATTGTGAGTGATTTTTATTCAACTATTCAACTAAGATTTACTTTTGCTTGTTTAATAATTCATTTATCTATTAAGATTTTTAACTTTATATTTAGGAAAAGCTGCTATTTTTTATCATAGGACTTGTATTATTTACATCTTAAATACAGGAATCTCTTAAAAAAGAATCCAAATTTCTATTTTATCTTTGTTTAGTTGGAGAAATAACTGCTACCAGAAATTTATCTACTAAATTTTGAGGTTCATTTTGCATTTAATTTTCAAATTCACCTCTTTATTCTGAGTTGATATGTTGATATTTCATATTCGATTTATCTTTGGAGAAGAATCTTACATTTTACTGTGGAATATTGTCTTCTTAGTTAAATTGAATATCATCACTTAGTATTTGAGCGCTGCTAATTTAATCAGGAAATTATTTTAACTCATTTTAGCTTTTTTGTTCATTAAGAGATCTGCAAGAAGAGTTATTTTTTATCAATTTAATTATCTTTTTATTACCTTTTTGTTTGATTTTAATTAGAGATTTATTAGTCGTTGTTTACTATTTGCATTTATCTACATATTACTCAAAATGATTATCTTCTTCATCTTGCTAATGCCGCTTTTCCTATTCCTAGCCAATCTAGAAAAACTAAAGCCCTGGAGGAACTAGCATACTATTATAAATCCCTTAGTCTTTTTCAGCTTTCCTCTACTACATTTCATAAAATATGTAGATTAGAAGAATGAGAAATTTAAAAATACTTTCTTATATGTATATGTAATATATATATCTAATAGAGGTTTTTCTAGCTATTATACTTATTAATATCACTAATTTCTAACTACTTTACTTTCATAAAAAATTTTGGATTACCTTGATAAATGTGATATATAGAATTTAAGTAATTAAAATTATTATTTAATAATACTTAAAAATAAACAAAATTAAATATTTGGAAAATCAATTATCCAAAAATGTAAATGTTTTTTTAATTTGAAATTCAACATTACAAATAAATTTTAGGGAAAAAAATCCTTAGCGAAGGGTAAAGAGAAGAATTTAGATAAAGAACCTTATAAAATTTAAAATACACTAAAAATAGGCATAAAAATTTAGTAACAAAATATGCTTGCTAATAATAGTGAATTAATTTAGTATGGAAACTGAAATAATTCCAATAAATATATCATTCATTTTACTAACTATTTGTAGCATTTTTACACTATCAAAATATGAAAATTTAACATAATTTTTATTTAAAAATTATCATCAATTTATATTTTTGCATTTGTATTATTTGTATTGGATATTTAAGATCTTTTTGAGATTTAGTTTTAATTCGTAATGAATGAGAGAGATATTAATAATATTATTATTATTAGAATATTTATTTATTAAAAACTGGAAGGGCAATTAAATAAAAATATTAAGAATGAATGATTTGAATTAATACAATTACAAAAGTTATACAAACAATTGATGAATAAGATATATAAATGAAATAATATTTATTAGATTATAATTATGTAAGTGTTTATAAAAGGTTTCCAAAAATTATTACAATATATTCACAGGAGATGAAAATCATCTAGCTTTGTTTGCATATTTTGATAGAGCTGTAGTATGCAAGCAAGCCAATAAATATATAATTCTACAAATTTCAAACAGATCAGAGAGCATGTTCAATCTTGAGGATTAAGTGTTCGAGCATCTTGGGAACAACAATATCAGTTTCAACCTTTTAGGTTTCGAGCTTGTCATTTTTCCAGACACCACACTTGATGATCTTACCATCAGCAGAGAAGAATTTACCTTCACCATTCCACTTATCTTCTTACCAGAAACCTTTTATTAATTGATTAAAAAATGATTTTAGAAACAGTCTTAAAGATTAAATTATTTTTATTTATTTACCAATATATTGTTTGCCAGATTTCTTATAGTAATAGTGACCGAAACCTTCGAATTTACCCTTTTGGAATTGTCCTTAGTATACGTCACCACCTTCACCGTTGTTTACAGCATAAGTGAATTTACCTTCACCGTGTTGGTTGTTTTCAGACCAGTCACCTTCGTATGTGTTACCGTTAGCATATCTATACTTACCCTTGCCGTGTCTCTTACCATCCTTGACTTCACCTTCATAAACACCACCAGAAGTGTAGGAGAATTTTCCTTATCCGCACATGACACCATCCTTCCATTCACCTTCATAGTAGTGATCCTTTTCCTTGGAGTAGTAGTAGGTACCCTTATCTTGCATATCTTCAAGCCATTTACCAACGTACTTGTCACCATTCTTATAGGTCAAAGTACCTTAGTTGGTCTTCTTATCTCTTAAGAGTTCACCTTTAAATTATTAAATTCAAAAATGAGAATTTTTTAATTTATAAATTTAATTTTTTTACCTTCATATGAGCCATCGACATACAATCTCTTGCCCTTACCAGTGATGGACCAGTTGGATAATTCACCTTCGTAGCAGACAGCTTCTTAGAGTAAGTTATATATGCTACCACTCTTAGGAGCATCTCTCTCCCAAACACCACTAATGTATTCAATAGATTTTTCAGCTTAAGCAGAGGCGTTGGAAAGAGAAGGCTTAATAACGTATAATTTACCTTTTCCGTCCTTGAAGAAAGAGCTAGCGAGTTTACCGAAATAGTATGATCCATCGTGGTAGATGATCTTACCAAAATCGAGGACACCTTATTTCCATTCACCTTCATATTTAATACCATCATCACCAGTTAAAACACCTTATCCGTGGAAAGCGTGCTTTTCGAAACCACCAGTGTATTGACGACCATTAGGGAAAGTCAAGGTACCTTAACCGTGGTAGAGACCATTGAGGAAGCTACCTTCATATTTAACTTTCTTTCTGGTTTCAACACCGTAATCAGTGGGTAAGTCGTTCAAGAAGTTACCTTCGAATTCATAGTCTTCATCAATAAGATGACCTCTTCCTTATCTCTTGTGATGTTCGTCAAGATCACCCTTGTACTTTAATCCAGATCTGAATACCCAGGTGTCATCAGTTTTGACAGGAGCAGATTTCATGGCACGAGCCTTATCTAATTTAATGAAATAGAAAAAATTAGTTAAATAATGAAAAAATTAAATTTGATTGAATTTAATTGCAGGTAGGACTCAAAAAAAACTGAAATAGAAAACGTTATCACATCTCTAAGATTTTCATGCAGATAAAACGCACTAGAAAATAATTATATAAAATTTGATCACTTTTTTTATTTGCATCTTATCTTACATCCTTGAGATCATTTGTTATGGTATATCAATCAATAAATGATAATCATTTAGCAGAATTTTTTTTTTTAGAGTTATGTTAAGTAGATTCAACTTTTAGATATGAGATTTTTGTTTTTTTAATTGGAATAATTATAGCATTTTATTTCTGATTTTAACTTCTTTATTGTTGGTTTGTATTTTTTTTAATTGTTTTCCAAAAAACATTCTTTAATTAAAATTAAGTTTGTAAGTAAGTAAGTGAGTTTGTTTATTGTATTCTGTTTGCTGCATATCAGATTTGTGCTAATTTCGTTTATAGCAGATTAAACAAATTTATAATTTTGAGGTTGTGGGAAGGGGTCAGTAAAATTAAAATTTAAAAATTATAGATTGATTTTGGCTTTATAATATTGCGAAATGACTTTAGAGAGATAAATTATTTAGAAATTTTTTATCTGCTTTTAATAATAAAAATTATTAGCTTGATTTCTCGAAAATTTTCTTGGGTATTGATTTATTTGGCTTTGTTGCTATATATTTTTAAATGCTATTATAATTATATATTGTTTGTTTGATTGATTGACTCTGCTTTTTACTTAGACTTTTTAAAAAATTTAAAGTTGTTTTTTTTACTTATTTTTTAATAAAAATTCATATTTAATTTTATTGCGGTTGGTTGACTCAGTTATTGTCTTTATACCTTCTATTTTTTCTTAACATTTTTCTTTGTTTTGAACTTAATATTAATTGTTTCCATAAATTTAATATTAAAATTTATTGGAAGCCATATTTAAAAATAATGGCGTTAAGAACAGTTTATTTGGAAAATCATGGGAGAGTCCTTAAATATCTTTTTATTTATTTAGTTAAAAAAAATATTTACTTTCAACTTCCTTGGTGAAGTTTTCAATGTTTTCTTAAAGAATCTTGCCATCTTCATCAAGGTGGTTAGCATAAGATTCAACGAAACCGATCCATTGGTAGATATCAACTCTCTAGTCGTTAGCATTGTCGAGGAGAGAAATGATCTTAAGGATCTATTCAGATGAAATGCTGCATTCCTCAGCATAAGCTTCAGAGAATTGAGTGTTGGAGACTTCAAATTGGTGAGGGAAGAGTTAGTTCCAAAGACCGAAACCCTTCTTTTCAGCAAAAATAAGGTAAAGGTAATTGGGTAAAGTAGAGAAGTTTTAACCAGATTTTCTGTTGTAAATATCTCTGACCATGTAGAATCTTTACTTCAATTCTTCGAAGGCTTAGTGATTGTCACCCTTGTATAAGTCTTAGAAGATAATTTCGTATTGGAATTTACCATCCTTGTATTAGCTGTTGAAGACCTTCTTCAAGAAGTCAGCGAGTTCGCTAAGATGAGTTAAGCATTGATAGTAATCTTATTCGATGGTATATCTTAAATGGAAAGCTCTGAAGTTTTATAAATCACCGTATAAGCCAATAACTTCAGTCTTGAATTCTCTAATGTAAGTAGGAATTTGGAGAGTTTGGCTGAAAAGTTGGATGATTAATTCAACTTAGCTGATAGCCTTGGTTAAGACAGCGCCGTAGTTAGCGAGATCCTTCAAGTTTTCAGCTTTGGAGATAGCTTGCTTTAAGGTTTCTAATTATCTCATGAAGACATATTCTGTTATTTAAATTGATGATATTAATATAATTTTTTAAATGAATTCAAAAAGCTTAATAGATTGATTATTTATTGCATTAAGATAGAAAATTGTTAGTCTTTTATGGTGAATTGAAATGAATATCAGACAAGTATTTTCTTAATATTTTGCATAATTTATAGCTTGTTATAAAAATCTCTTTTCCTTTGTTGATATACATTCAGATAGACAGACAGACTTTCCTATTTATTGATGAATCTTTCCTTTCTTTCTTTGAAAGCAATTAATAAATGATTAAATTCTATTGTAGATTTGTATGTGGTATTAATTAATCAAATTATTGTTATAATAGTTAATATTATCTTGAAGATTTAGTCAAGTTAAAAAGATATTTTAATTTAGCCAATCAATTCAAGAATGTAAAAAATTAACTAATATTTAATATTGCAATTAAGATATATTCTTTATTTATTTATTTCTATGTATGTTTGTATACTTGTGCTTCATCTATCTTATTCAATCAATCAATCTATTAGATTGGTTCAAATTTAACTTAAATATTTACCTGAAACTTCTCTTTAATTTTCTTCATCTTCATTCTTTTATTCAACAACATTTTATTCGATTTATTCTCTCATGTCAGCTTCAGCTTCTGCGTTCTAAGCATGGACTATTTTTTAAAGATAAGTATTTAATATAGGATTAGCTAAGGTTTAAATGGTTAAATTGAATGATGATATAAAGAAGGCCTGCCAAAAATAAACTAAATGCATTAAAATTGTGTCTTAGAACTTGAGAAAGGGATAGAAAGAATCGAGTGCCTTTTTGTATGCAGTCTACTTAAAGTTAGAAGGAAGCGACTATAAAAAAGCCAGCAAATAATGTTAGATGTTAACTATTTGTTTAAAAAGATGGTTCTATTTAACTAACTTAACAATCTATGGGGTAATCTAACTTTTTTTTTTCTAGTTTACATGTTAAAATGCATTTAATTGGGCAGACCATCCATTTTAGCAAGGAAGCTATTTTTGAGTTATGCTTTAGAGGCTTAAAGACTAAATGGACAAATCAAATTTTTGCGAATAATTCTCTCATTCTTAAGAAGTAAAATAATAAGAAACAAACTAAAGTAAAGACTAACCTGCAGGGGTGGTGACATCCTTAACAAGGTTTTAGTTAGCACCTTCTTCATTTTCAACTTAAGCTTCGTATTGATATTGTTGAGTGGCGTTGGTATTGACTTGATCAGGAACGTTAGTGGCAGCACAGCATTGATTTCCCATTTCTTCTTTCTTTTTTATCTTTTTGTTAGATTTTTTTGTTGATTTTCTTTTAGTTTTAGAGTCTATCTTATTTTTTAGAAAAATTTTATATTTATTTTTTAATTGCTCTCTTAATTAATTTATAAAGAGCTAGCTGCTGCTTCTGTTGAGAGCGATAGAAAAAAAAACAAATATTCATTTGGAATAAATTTCATTTTTAAGAAAATTATAAATCAAACTACCACGCATTCATTCATACATACATACATTAATTAATTGATTCTTTCATTCAGTCATAAGTAAATATATAAATAAATACATTGATTCTTATTTGAATCTAAATAAATAGAGCAGTAAGTAAATGATTGTGTCATTCACTCATTTATTGATTCTATCAATATATAAGCAAGTAAAATCCAATGCAAAATAAAAATAAAAAAATATACATTTAAAAATATCTTTTGGTATTATTTGTTTGTTTGTTTGTTTTTTTTTTTTTTGATTGAATCCATTAAATATTCGTTCAATATTCTGTTTATAAAATCTAAACAAAAGAAGATATGATAAATTTTAATATTAAATATTCTATTGCTTAATTCCATCTAGGATTTTATATGATAGTAGAAAGTATTAAAGAGCAGTCAACATAAAATAGAATGAGTGTTAAAGATGCTGTCATGCAAAAAAATAAAGATATTGAACTAGATTTACTTTCTACAGTAGCTATTAAATTTCGTAAAATATCTTAAACACACTTGAACAAGAAGATTGATTGATAGATATATAGATATATAGATAGCGCAAAATTATATCTCCAGCCAATTTAATAAAATGCCTATCTATTAGGTAGGGAATTTCCACCGTACTTTGATAATATCAATTAATTAACATAAAGATACATCATATCTTTGATATTTCCTCTTTCTTTATATGCATATTTAATTTCAAAAATTTTTCTTTCATTTTAATTAAAACCTACTAACTAACTATCATACAAAAAAAAAAAAAATTCATAAACCTTCTACATAAACAAATTATCCTACCTATTTGCCTACCTAACTACCTACCATCCTAAATTATTTTTTGGTAAATTAAAAGCAGCTATAACAAAAAATTTTAATTTTACTATAATTTTTTCGTTGTAAAATGTGATAAAGTCCTCAATAAAATGCTAATAAAACATCAAAGAGAATACACAATTATATTATTGAGTCAGTTTTGAACATTAATTTATATTTTTGCTCATTTTGTGAGCTGTAAGACAAATTAATTATTGGAATTATTAATCATTTATTTTTGATAAATAGATTCTTGATAATTTTTCTTATAACGAACCTCGCGAATATAATTTAATTATTATAATTTATTTTTCTCCTACCACCTCTATCAATTAGTTTAGAATTTTTTTACTGACATAGTCTTTTATTGGATATTGAATGCCTTACAGGTCTTATAATCATCAATCAATTAGTCTTGGATTTTAAATAATTATATGTTTAGTTATGATTTTACATTTTATCAAGAATGTCTTGAGTATTTTCAATTCTAAAGTAAAGCGTTGACAACTTCTCCCCTTCAAATATAAGTTACTTAATTATTTGCATAAGCTATTTGACCTCTTTTTCTTCAATAAAAAAGGCTAAAATTCAAAACCACTAATATTTATAAACTAGTTCATTTAAGAATCGTACTATAAAAAAGTGAAGCTAAGTCTTCAAAATTCAAGAAAAAATTATCTTCTCGCTTAACTCCATTTAAGAAAAATTGATATAATAAATATGATGACGTCTCTCTATTAATCCTCATCTAGAAAATGATAAATGCAAATTTTCAATGCGCTAGTAAAATAACTACTTATAAAAATATGGCTTCTCTGTGAAATAATTATATGCAATTAGCCAGCTATAAATCTATTTATTTCATTAAAATAAGAAAGATATCAAATTTATATTTTTACTAAATTCTACATGATAATAATGCTAGAAAAAAATTAATCTATTTTACTGTTAAATTTTTCTAAATTAAGAAGTTTAGTTTAGCATTGGGCGAAAATAACTCTAGCTTATATTTAGATCTACTATACCGTTGTATTAAATTAATGAAAAATTAGTTCTTTAATCACTGCTTTACATTACCAAAATATTTTCAACTCTTTCTATTTTATAATTAAAAACTGCAACAAAATCTTTAAGCACTGAAAGTAACTTTCTCACTTTTAAGAAAGAAAAAATAAAGCTAATATTAAATAAGCACAGATTTACTCAATTTTAAGTTAAGCAACAGACATAATCTGGTTATATTTTATATTATATGAAGTGACTATCTATCTATTCTTTGTCAAAAACTAACAAATGAAATTGAAAGTTCTTTATTTTTTCAATTTCTATCATTTCTTATAATATTCTATTTCTAGCTTGAAAGAACATACTTTCATTTTTAATTTCTATTTTTATCACTCAAAGGAGTATTTTATATAATTTCCTTGCTTTTATATTATTCTCTTTGAAAGTATAAAAAAATTTGACATAACCCTTGTAAAATTTCATAAAAATAAGCTAAATTTGCAATCAGTGAATTTAAAATTATAGCATGTCCAAAAAATACCGATCTAATTTTTATTAGTATAGTACCATCTAAAGAGCTAACATACTTTCTCAAAAAACTTATAAGGCAAGTGTGGCTATTAGCGAAACTGTCTATTTGCTTAAATTTTCTATTTTACATTAATTTCAAGCAAAAAAAAAAAATGAAACTAAGAAAGAAAGAAAGACAAGTAACACAAAAATCCAAATATAAGTTAAAATTTTAAAATCTTAATAGATATATTTTTGGTCCATTCATCTAAATTACTTCTTAATTAATTAAAAATATAATTATAAAATTAAAACAAACTCTAAAAACAAAATATTAATTTTGCTGACTTTGTTATAAAAAAATCAAAATTATCTTTATTTATTTATTTCACTTTCTAAATAATTTGTTTAATATTGAATGATAATTTCATTTCAAGTTATCGTTATTGACGCAGCATTTTAAAATGTGATCACTAAATATTTTCTTTTTGTTTTTGTTTATATCAAATTAATATCTAATATTCAAATATCTTAATCAAAATCAGATAAAAAGATATTTTTTATGAAGATTTTCACTTTATTTTGAAATTCAAACATTCACTCACTATTTTTATTAAATTAATATCTAATTAAATTGTGTTCGTCATTTATTAATTTGAAATACCTCTCACTTTAAATACTTATTTGATCCCAACAAAATTAGAACGATAAAAATAACTGAACAATTTACTTAATTTTGATTTTTTTTTCAATAAATTTAGTTTCTTCTTCTCCTACCAAAAATATTATTCTCGAAAGGCTATAATTTCAAAAGTAACAAATACTTTTTCAGATTACTGCTCAATCTACTTATCTTTTATTATTCAATAAATTAAAAATATTCTGTTTTCAAATATTAAAAACAATATTTTAGATTATTCATTCTAAAATATAATTTATCTTACATATTTTTTTTTTAATCTAAAAATATAAATGAAGAAATTTAAATAACTCTATTTTAAAAACTAAATTAAAAATATTTTTTATTATAATTTTAATTATTTCAATTTAATTTAAAAATATTGTACATTAAATTTATCACATGACTCAAGACAGTGAAATTATTAATAGAAAAGTGATACTTTAAAGTTTCTGCTCATAGGGATATTTATTACTATCCTCGAATAATTACTTCTCTAGTAAGTTTTAAATATTTAGTAGAATAATAAATATTATAGAAATAGGTTTCGAACCTGAATATGCATTACTTTTATTATTAAGCCCTCATAAAAATAAAATTTTTGTTATCATTTAAAAATATTAAGAACTTTCAGAAACTAAAAGTATATCTGAATATTTAAAATGTTTTTAATATATTCTATTTATTGTAATTTTATTTAAACTTTATTTATGTTTAAAAAAAGAAATTTCCATTATTAATACATCTAATTATATAAAAAGACTTCCCATTTTTTAATAAGACATTAATAATTAATAAAATTTTCAATTTTTTTTGGTGAAAACTTAAGAATTATTTTATTTAAGTAAACTTAATTTTATTTTATTTAATAAATTTACAAAATAAGAAAAATATAAAAATAATAATAAATTTATCAATCTTTCTAAATATTATTATTAATTATCCAATTACAAAATATTATAAAATAAACCATATTATTCAAATATTTAATATTTATTCATACTTTTTCAATACTTATTTTCATAATCAGATAGATATTTTAAAGAGGATTAATCTTTTTAATTTATAATACTTATTTATTATTTTCAATTCTTATGATTTATTGATATTTTTGACCCTTCAAATATAAATTTATGTAAATTACTAAAAAAAATTAAATAGAATAAAATTTTTAAATTAAATATTATATTTTATTAGCAGAATAAATAATAAATAAATAAATCAAATATAAGGCTAATAAATAAATAAATTAAAATTTTTTTAATTTTAAATTCATTTTTATATTAAAAAAACATCGTAACCCAAAATAAATAAACTATTTTTACTGAAGATTGAGTATCAAAGTTTAGAGATTAGTGCACTTTCCTAAACCATAACTTAAGCCTAATACACCTTCTTTCCCAATTTAATTTTTACTTTTTAAATATTGAAGAAAAAAAAAATAATTAATTAGTTAGTTAGTTAGGTTAGTCAGAGTGAAAATGAAGAAAAAATATGAAATAATAAGAAATTAATATAAGCGAAGTTGAAAATAAATAAATGAGTTAAATTAGCAAACAATTATATAAAAAGAAATAAATAAAGCAAAAAGCTAATAAATAAATTAAAAGAGTAAGTTATATCTATTGTTTTAAATATTCTTTAATATAAAAAATATCTCAATCCTAAACAAATATAAGATTATTACTATAGATAAAGTGTCAAATTTTAGAGATTAGTGCAATTTGCTAGAGCAGAACCTAATCCTAATGCACCTCCATCACTTATTTCATTGCTACTTTTTAAAAATTGAAGAAAAAATATATGGTTAATTAGATAGTTACAATTAGAAATGAAGAAAAAATATGAAATAATAAGAAATTAAATTGATTAATTAATAAATTGAAAATAAATAAATGGGTTAAATTAGCAAAAAATGAAAAAAAGAAATAAAATAAAAAGCTAACAAATAAATTAAAAGAGTTAGTTATATTGTTTTGATTTATTTTTATATTAAAAAATATCTCAATCCAAAACAAATAAATTGTTTTTACAAAAGAAAGAGTTTCAAATTTGAGAGATTAGTGCAATTTGCTAGAGCAGAGCCTAATCCTAACGCACCTTCATCACCTAATTGATTGTTACTTTTTAAATATTGAAGAAATAATATTTAGTTAATTTGCTTGTTATAATGAAAAAATGAAGAAAGAAAATGAAATAATAAGAAAAAATATGAAATAATAAGAAATTAATTAAATGAGCAAACAATTAAAAAAACTCAAACAAAATAAAAAATGAAAAATAAATCAAATAAATAGCTAATAAATAAATTAAAAGAGTTAGTTAAATTGTTTTAAATTCATTTTTATATAAAATATATCTCAATCTAAAACAAATAAACTGTTTTTACAAAAGAAAAAGTTTCAAATTTGAGAGATTAGTGCAATTTGCTAGAGCTGAGCCTAATCCTAATGCCCCCTCATCACCAATATTATTGCAACTATTTAAATATAGAAGAAAAAAATATAGTTAATTAGTAAGTTAAAATAAAAAAATGAACAAATAAGAAATGAACAAATAAATAATCAAGGCAAAAGTTGAAAAGGAAAGTAGAATAAAAAAAAGAAAACAAATAAAAGCTAATAAATAAATTAAAAAAATTAGTTATTTTGTTTTAAATACATTTTTATTTTTAAAATATCACAATCAAACACATAAACTTTTTTTACTATAAACAAAGAGTCAAATTTTAGAGATTAGTGCAGTTTTCTAAACCAGAGCCTAAGCCTGATGCACCTAATGAACCAATTTTATTGACACTATATAAATTTGAAGAAAAAATATGAAATAGTAAAAAATTAATTAATAATTAAAGCAAACTTTTAAAATAAAAAATGAATTAAATTCTAAGGAAAAAAAAATTAAATAAAAATAAATAAATAAAAAAAGTTAGTTAAATTGTTTAATACATTTTTATTTTTAAAAATATCACTATTCAAAACAAATAATATTTTTACGCAAGATCAATTGCCAAATTTGAGAGATTACTGCAGTTTGTTAAGCTAGAACCTAAACCTAGTGTACCTTCATCACCAATTTAATTTTAACTTTTTAAATATTGAAGAAAAATACGAAATAATAAGAAAATTAATTAATAATAAAACAAAAAGTTAAAAATGTAAAAAAAAGAGAGTTAAATTAGCAAGTAAAGATAAAAAATATAAGCAGAAGGGAAAAAAAATCAAATAAAAAGTTAATAAATAAAAAATATTTAGTTAAATTATTTTAAATTCATTTTTATTTTTAAAAATATCACAATTTAAACAAATAATTTTTACACAAGATTAAGTGTCAAATTTGAGAGATTAATGCAGTTTGCTAAAATAGAACCCAAACTTGATATACCTTCATCACCAATTTAATTTTAACTTTTTAAGTTTTGAAGAAATAATATATAGCTGATAATTTAGCTAGAATAAAAAATATTAAATAATAAGAAAATTAATTAACAATAAAAGAAAAAGTTAAAAATGAAAAAAAGAGTTAAGTTAAAAATGAAAGATAAAACAAGCAAGCAGAAAAAAAAGAAAAATTAATAAAATAAAAATCTAATAAATAAATTAAAAGAATAAGTTATTTTGTTTTAAATTTATTTTTTTTATTAAAAAGAATAACAATCCAAAACAAAATAATTAAATGTTTTTTTTTACTCAAGTTTAAGTTTCAAATTTGAGAGATTAATGCACTTTCCCAAACCAAAACATAAGCCTATTACACCTTTATCATCTATTTAATTGCATCTTTTTATATATTAAAGAGAAAAATATGTTGTTAGTTTGTTAGAATCAAAAAATGAAGAAAAAATATTAAATAAAAAGAAATGGATTACTTAATATTAAAAACAAAATGAAAATAAAAAAATGAGTTAAATTAATAAAAAAAAAAAACATAAGCAGAATATATAAAAGAGTAAGTTATATTGTTTTAAATTCATTTTTATATTAAAAAATATAACAATCCAAAACAAATAAACTGTTTTTACTCAAGTTCAAGTATTAAATTTGAGAGATTAGTGCAGTTTGCTAAGCAGCAACCTAAGTCTGAGGCCCCTACTGAGCCAATTTTATTAAAACTTTTTAATATTGAAGAAAAAATACAAATTTAATTAGTTTGTTAGTTAGAAAGATAATTGAAGAAAAAATGATAATAAAATCAAATGCTAAAAATGAAAAAATAATTAAATGAATAAAGAAAAAAAAACTCAAGCAAAATAAAAAAAGAAAAATAAATTAAATAAGAATATAATAAATAAATTAAACATTTATTTATATTAATAAAACAAATTAACTGCTTTTACCCAAGGTTTAAATTCAAATTTGAGAGATTAGTACATTTTCCTAAACCAAAACATAAGTCTGATACACCTTTTGAATCAATTTAATTAGACCTTTTTAAATATAAAAAGAAAAATATATATTAGTAAGAATTATAGAATTATATCAAATAATAAAAAATTAATTAATAATAAAAGCAAAAGTTGAAAATGAAAAAATTAGTTAAATTAATAAAGAAAAAAAAAACACAAACAAAATAAATAAATAAAAAAACATCAAATAAAAAACTTATAAATAAAGTAAAAGAATTATTTATATTTTTAATTTACTTATATTTTTTAAATTAAAAAATACAATAATCCAAAAAAAACAATCTGCTTTTACCCAATAAAAAGTGTCAAATTTGAGAGATTAGTGCACTTTTCTAATCTAGAACCTAAGCTTGATACATCAATTGCACCAACATTATTAAAACTTATTAAAATTTAAGAAAAAATATATAGTTAATCAGTTAGTAGAAGGATAAAATATTAAATAATAAGAAATTAATTAATAATAATAAAAAAGAAAAATTTGAAAATGAAAGAATTTGCTAAAAAAACAAACAATGAAAAAAAACACAAGCAGAATAAAAAAAGAAAAATAAATCCAATCAATCGTTCATTTTTAAATATTGAAGAAAAGATATGTGATTAATTAGTTATTAGTTAAATACGAAGAAAAAATATCATAGAATAAGAAATGAGCAATTTATAATTAAAACAAAAATTGAATGAAAATAAAGTTAAAATAATAAAAAATATTTGGATACAGAAAAATAGATGAATATTAATGAAAACTTTAATTAGAAAAATAATAATGTAAAATAAATAGAAAATTAAATATATAAAAAATATTAATATCAAAAATATAAATAAATTAAATGTACTTCAGATCAATATGGAGAACTTAGTGAGATTAAAATGAAGAGTTAAAAAACTTTTTTGTTAATAAAAATAAATTTAAGCAGTTTTATTAAAAAAATAATATTTACTTCTTCAAGATTTTTGTTATTATATTTTTTCTATTAAATCATTTCTTTATTTATCTACTTTTCAAAAATATTCAATAGCAATTTATCGAAATTTTATTAATAAATAGGATATTAAAAATTTAATTTCCTTTTTTCTTAATATTTCTATTTAAAACTTATACTTAAAAGTAGGAATGAGAGATATATATTGAAAAAATTATTGCAATAAAAATAGTTTAAAATTTTAATAAAATAATGCTTATTTGTAAATTTTTCTGTTTTATTCCAGTAAGTAAAGAGGGTTGGCCATATTAAACATTTTAAAATATATTTAATAAATATTTACAATATTATAATATTTATAAAACAAACCTCAAATTATTTTCAAATCCCATTAGTTTTTTTTTTAATTATGTATAATAAATAAGGATATTTATTATTTCATTTATAATTTAAAGAATTTATTTATGAAACTAGGAATTAGTGGTGGGGTTGAGTATAGGACCACATTAGTTTTTTATCATATATTTAATAATATATTAAATATAGTAAGTATTTTTTAATCTAAATATTTTATTATATATTATTTGTAGTTCCTCAATAATTAAAAGTAACTCCCTCCAACTAACTATATTTTTTATTATTTAGATTGGTATTTATTGAAAATTTCTTTAATTATTTCAAAATAAGATCTTAATTTTTAAAAAAAGTATAAAAAAAGAGGATAATGAGATTTTATACTTAATTTATTTAAAATTCTTAACAAAAATAAGCTTAACTAGTGCTACATATTTCTTTTTAAGTTTTATTCAATAGTATTTAACGAAAAAGGGATGCCAGCTAATTCAAATAAGCTACAAATTAATTTATTATAAAACAAGAGATAAATTAAAAATATTCAAAAAAGTAAAGGAAAAAGAAGATAATGATTACATTTCTTTATCAAAGCAATCTAAGAGAGATATATAAAGACATTTAATTTAATATTATAAAGAGTATTTTGATAACAATTAAAGAAATATTTTTTCAAAAATAATGTTTGTGCTTAAGATATCAATGATGTCATTCTCTTTAATAATGTAATTAATTATATTTATGCCTCCTTTTGATAACATTTATTTTAATTACTTACTATTATTATCATTATTAATAGATTGAAAACAATATAGTTTACAAATAATTGGTTTCAAAACATTGTATCAATCTAAATATAAAAACTTAAGATATTTAATAAACTTATACAAACATAAATACAGCTAAGCAATTTAATGTTTATTTAATTTTATATTTTTAATATTGGTAAAGTATATTCTTTATGATCAATTTCTAAAAATATAAATTTTATATTTATCAATAGCATATTAATTAATATTTTCACATCATTAAAATGTTTCAAAAATAAAAAATAATCTTGATAATTAACTATTTACTGCTGATTAAGCTTAATCAGGAAAGAATTTTATTTTATTTTAGCTAATATTTTAAAAATTAATGATAATACCAGTTATAAATTATCATAATTAGTAATAAATTTTCTTTTACCTTAGAAGCAATTTCTGTTGCCCCTAAACATAAATTTGGTACTTTTAATATATTTAGTAATAATTATCTTCATAATTATAATTATTGTAATTTATTTATTATTATTCTCAGAATAATGGAAACCAATTTATAAAATTTAAATTACAAACATTTGTTAAATATTACAAATTAATACTTTTAGACTATAGATGAAATAAAATTATAATTTATATGTTTTTATATTTAGTTTAAAAGATCTTTTAGATCTATTTTAAATTTTCAAAAAATTAATAATAATTTTAAAAATAAAATTTAGTTTCCAAAATTTCAAAGCCATAATATTTTAATAAATCTTATGTTTTTTATTAATAGCAAAAATTATAAACTAATAATTATAAATTCAATATTTATTCAATAAAATTATTATTAAATACAATAATTATTTAATACAACATTTATCATATAAAAAGATTATTCAAAAAAAAATTATTTACACACTATTTATTGAATACAAGATTATTTAATTGATCAATTATTTTTAATAGATTAAATATAATATTAATGATAATAAGAAAACAAACTTGCTGAGCTATTCTCATACTTCTTTTAATTTTTTATTTAAATATGATAATATTTTTTTAAAGTATTTCAATAAAATCTACGTTTTGAATAAACAATTTAAAAATATTATATTGATTATAATGATAGCAAGTGAAAAAATAATGAGCGAGTTATGATTGTTTGGATTTAGAATGTAATTTTTTTTGAAAAAATAGAATTCAAGATATTATCAGAATTACATGTAAAATTGTAAAAGTAATGAGGAAATTCAGTGAATTCACATTCTCATAATTATTTATATGCTATGAAATTTTAAGAAGTTTATGAAAATATTTGAAAAATTATGAAAATGTTTCTGTTAACAAATAATAATTTGACATTATAATAAAAAATTATTAATTAAAATTTATTAAAAGAGATAGATACACTTTTTTTTAGAAGAATTATACAAATAATAAATATTATTGCTCTCTTCTAAATTTTATTTTCAAATTGAATGAAATGTTCGATTTTTTAAAATAAAAATAATTTATTTACTTAGACAGTTTGGTTAAAAGTGGTAGAAAAATTTAAGCTATATATGAAAAAAATTATGAAATTAATTTGCAAATAAATAAATCTTCAAATTAATAAATTTAGTAAATTAACGTTAACACGAAACTATAAAATTAATTATGTTTTTTGAAAATTCTTTAATTTAAAAATTGAGATAATAGTTTGTTGTAGTTATTAGTAATGTTTTATAGCTAATTTTAACTTAGATAAATTTCTGTAATATTTTATGAACATAATAAATTAAAATCTCTTGTATTTAAAATAAAAATAATTTTATCATTTTTATAAATTAAAAATCAATAAAAAAACATTTTCTTGTTTTAATTCATTTTTTTTTATTTTTTATTTAGGCCATTAAATATTAAGTATTAATGAATTCTTTTAATGATTACTTTGTATTAATATTAAAGAGTAGAAAATATAAAATAAAGATGATTATTTGTTTTGCTAATCTTACATCTAAGTAGAGCAAAAATACATTTAAAAAAGAGGTAGAATAAGAATAATTTATTTGATTAAGGGTTAGAGTTTTTAGAAAAATACAAAGAATTTACAAGAATAAAGATTAAGTAAGATAGATATTAAATAAGCTGAAATATTGATATTAAAATGGTTAGTAGTTAGATAGTTAGTTATTGAAATATATTAGTTTAATGATGATGATGATGATGAAATCATTTTTACTGTAGCAAATGATTATTTTAAATTTTAAAAAGCTTTTAAATAAATTTAGATTCTCAATTTTATTCATGAGGGTTAGAATCTTTATAATTTTCAGTTATTATTTTAGGTAATTCGTTGTTGCATTCTGGAGAATGGATATCGCTTTCACTTTTAAGTAACTGAGGTGATACTTTTATTTATAAAATGCATTTTTATTCTTTATTTTTTTATGGAATTATCTTTTTAGATAAGTCAATGAGATGAATTTTAATATTTTATTCCTTTTTTTCAGATTATTTTGGTTTCTCGCTTTGATCATTGAGCTAGTTGAAATTTTAAGAAGCTGTAATTGGTAAAGCAATGCATGCTCCAAGCTTAGACTTAGCGAATTGAATTATCAAAATTGATTTGTAGAGGAAGATTTCTTGGATAAGAGTGCAAATAATTGAAAATATGATAGTTAGAGTGTAGTTTTTAGTGTATTAAAGTATTTCTGCTTAAATTTAATTAGCAGCAATTGAATAGCAAGTTCCTTTTGCTTAAGGTTTCTAACTAACATCCCAGAAGAAGTAGTTTTAATTACTTTCACATATTCCACTACATTAAAGTTATTATTCTATATCACTAAGCTTTTGCATAGCTGCAATTTTTTAGTATTATTAATTATAATTAATTTGTTCAGTATGACTATAACTAATATTTTCTTATTTAGATTCGCTTACATTTGAATCAATTGAGCTCTTTGAATCAGCTAAGCATGCTTAAAAATTAGCAAATTAGTTGTTTTCAATATCTGATTTGTTAGTGCAAGGACAATTTTATGAGCAGTTCATTTTATTTGCTTCATCATATAATTAATGTGAGAGGCTTGGCCAGAGTAACTTTGAGTTATTTAAGCACTTTTACTAGAAATCAAGCTCAGTTACGCTCTCTTCCTTTCCTATGAAAAGTGATTTTGCTTGATATTGGCTATTCAAGTTAACTACAAGAGAAGCCAATAAAAGGATTAAAACTAATTTAGAAATCAATCCTGCTCTTTGAACTAATAAATGATAGAGCTGGAATATGAGAGCAGTTGTAATAATACAGAAGATAATCATGCGATGGAAATAAGTCTCTGTAGCTATAAGACTATCTTAGAAAGGGAAGGAAACACCACTAAAGATAGTTACTCCGCTATAAATTACTTTAAGAACAAGAGCGAAGACAATCAGAGTGCTTATTCCTCTTTAGCATAGCACTTTTAAGTGCTCTTGGCTGAATTTTTAGAAAGAATTCATACTGTCTAATAGAATAAAGGTATTGTTTGTTTGTTAGTTAGTTAGTTATCCTGTTAGTAAGTTGGTTTGCTTTGTGATTTTTGATAGTATAATTTAATTAATTTTTTAATGATTATTGTTTTCTTATAGTAAATAATTATCTATTGAATTTAATTACTTATAATTAATTGATTATAGAGAAAAGATCCTTTTATCTTAAAATATGCGCAGTGTAAAAATAGATACGATTAGTACGAACAATTTTTTTTGATTAATTCTTAAATTAAATTTGTTTATAATTTTAATTATTTCACTCAATAAACTTCATAACTTACCATTCAATCATTAAAGAATTTTTTGATAATTAACTTTTCTCTTTTTCATTGCTACTGTAATCTCTACTTTCTTCTGATCGTATGTATCCCTACTTAATTTTTATATTTACTAGATAAATATTTATCCTATAGTAGCAAATATATTATCTTATTCTTGAGTTCTAATAGTTAATTAGCAACAAAACTAAAATCCAGATATATTCACTTAAAAATCATCAATTATAATGTATCAATAACTAACTTTCCTAATAAAACTCTTGAAGCTTTCCCTAATAATTCAGTGTTAATTTGCCTTCTGATATTATAAGTAGAATCAATTTTTAGAATACGGCTTGTTTAATATTAAGAAATATAGTGAATGAAGCATAGCTTTTAGAATTTAACAAAAATTAACTAGAACTCAGATAGTAAACTGTTTGAAATCCATTAATTTTCAAATGGTATTGTAATTACAAAATTTATAAATTTTAGATTACTTATTTTTACAAAAGCAGGCCAGCCTTAATATTATTTATAAATTAATAATATAAAAAGACAGCTATTATATTTTTAATTGTAAGAATTACTCAATATAAACTGAAACAAAAGGTTTTTACCAAAATAAAAAAACTCCAATCTAAAATGAATGTTAGCATCTTAACTTTTAAATTGTTTTGTTAATAATTATATAAATTCGATTGTAGGTTTTTATTTTGAATTAAAGATGCTTTTAGGATTAAATTTGGTTCATTATAAATTTAGCAGAGTAGATTGATTGTACTACTCAAATACTTTACATAAATCTAATTTAATATTATAGATAACCAAAGTCTTAACCTACTAGACTCAAAATAATTAAAAACAAAATGCTTAGACGCAATTTGGAATATTTTAAATTAATTACAAAGTAATTTAATTATTATCATAAAAGAGAAGATATCAACGAAAATCAATTCAATTGAATCAATTTCACAAAAACAAATTTTGCTTTTATTAGAATTTATTTATTAATAATAAATAATTCAAAAACAGATATTACATTTAATAGTAACTCTCAAATAAAATAAAAGAAATTTATTCATTTAATTACTTATTTACTTTACTTGCTAGCTAACTTATAAATTCTCTTTAGAAATTAAAATTGAAAATAAATATTTACTCTGCTATCAATTAGATTTAGATTATTTACCCTAAAATATTATTTATTGTTTTTAAGGCTGTGATTATTTAAATAAACTTGAATTTTGAATTAGATTTTTAAAGTGAGTTAATTGAGAAATAGTAATAGTTTGATTGGGTAATAGTAAATAAAATGCTGTACTATTAGCAATTAATATATTCATTGAGCGGACATACATTTTAAATTTATAAAATTATTATTTCTTGACGAAAAAAATATTTCAACTAGTTATATTCTAATTTTAATATAAATACTTTTATTTATATTCTCTCACAGTAATTATTGTAAGATAACATCGATTTCAATCTTTAAAAGAGATTTCTAAAAAAATTAAATAATAACTTGAACACATAAGATTATGTGATAGAAAGTTATTTTAATAGTTTTTTATACTTTAATTATCACTTCTTCGTTAGATTTGAGACTTGATAATGAAATTACTTTGAGATTTCATTAGAGCTTGAAAAAAGAAAATTTATTTTTACTTTTTTGAACTACTTCTTTTTTAAGAAAATTTAAATTACATTACTGTGATTAAATGCAATTAATTTTACAACTTCTTCCAAAAATATCTGAAATAATCAGAGTAAATATTTGTAAGCACTCTTTTCAATTAGTTTAACAAAATTTAATTAAAAAAACTCAATTTCCCTCAGTTGTATACTTGTACAAATGACAAAACAAAACTATATAATATATATCTCATATTTTAATTAAAAGTAGTAACTTATTCATATGGACAAATTTATAATGACTATATAAACTAGCTAAAATATTAATAACATATTTATTTTTTTATTTTATCAGTTTTTTGCTTTTGAAGTATACTTATTTTATATAGTGGTTTCACTTATTTGAATAAACTTTTTTAAAAACTTTCAATTTAGTAATTTGATGATTAAAAATACATTTTTAAAGCAAAAAAATATATATATTAGTGAGTAGATATATGAATGGTGTAAATTTAAATCTTCAAAAAGAGCTAGAAAACGACTTGTAAAAGAATTACAAAACAAACTTCAAATAATTTTAGAATATTTAGCAAATTTACTTTTAAATAATAAATTGCTATTTAAATTTCGAATATAATCCAAATGAGCTGTTTATAATTCATAAAATTGGTTAAAATAACAGATTTAAATAAGATTATTGTTTATCTTCTTGAATTTTAGATTTTTTTAAGGCTGCATCACTTTTCTAATCAAAATATTTGTAATTTTTCTTCAAAAAAGAATGTCTCAGATTTATTTTAATTGAGTTAATAATCAATTAGAAATATATTTTTAAATTAAAGACATGAAATGGGATGCTAAATCATTAAAAGATTAAGTTTTTAATTAAAGTAATTATAAATAATTCAATCATAAAAATCTATGGTTACTACTCTAAAAACACAAAAGAAAATTTCGTTTAATTAGTTAGTAGGTTCTCACCTAATCAATTTATTTCTTACCAATAAATTTCCTAAAATAAGTATTCATAGACATTTTAATTGCTTAATAATTTATATCTGTACAATTTAAATGTAATAAGACAAATAAAATAATTATTAAAATTATATTCGATCATTCAAAGCTTCAATCTATAAACAACATTTTTATTAACTGTGCAAATATTTAAACAGAAAATTTCAATAAGAAATACTATGAAAAAATATAAAATAAATAATTCATTTATATTTAATTTGTTGTTGTTTGTTTGATTCATCTGAAACTATTTGCCTGGGAGTTGTTCATTCCAAATTCTTCTTTTCTTTCTTTTCCAATACTAGCTATTTCACTCATAAATGTTTAAGAGTTGTGAACATAAGTTCCTCCTAGAAGTATATTAGTATATTTATCTCTATTCATAGTGCCGATGTGTTAAGCTTCTTCATAGGTTGCACCTCCAACTATAAAGATAATTATCTCATTAGGCTTCTCTCTAAAGCTGTGTAAATCAGTAGTAGTAAATTCACTTTCTTTTAAAGTTCCTTCCCCGATTTGATTAATTATGTTCATTATATAGGGTTTATGTTAAGCAAACAAATTAGGAACATCTTTTACAGCACTCTTTAAATTATTCAACAAACGAATACCCAAATTCTTAGTATTGAAAATATCTCCAGATCTCTTAGCTTTTCCAGCATATTCTATAGCATAATTAACATAGTTTAACTTATCTTGACTTACTTGATTCTTTCTAAGCTCTTCTTTCATTCTTCCAATTTTATCATCATTTTCGTATCTATTTATTTTATTTAAGTTTCCGTTTTCATATTTTTTTTCATTTTTTGTAAGAAAAATAAATACCTCAAAGCATATAAGACAACAAGTTTTAATTTTTAATACTTTGGAATATCAGGATTGTTCAAAATATCAAAAACCATCTATTCAATTTTATAAAAAGTATATTTATTAACTATCATTTTATCCTATCTGAAGTGACAGGCATATTTTATTTAATTATAAGCTATTAAAATTGTAAAGTAAACATTTAAAATTTGTAGGATTTATTTTAATTTCCTCACAGAAACTAAAGAAACTTTCCCTTAAATAAAAGTTAGTTAATAAATTTAAATTTTTGCTCAACTTAGCAATTAATTTTATTTTATTGCTTATAAAATATCAAATTAAATTATTCCATTAGAAAAAAGTCTTTCAACTTCTTGAAATAGACTTTAATTACCTTAGCTTGATCGTTTCTAGCTTCTTTTGATGATATTTCCTATTCGACCTATGAGATTGCCATAACTCTTTGTTCCTCAATTAATTTAGTAACCTCACTACTTAATGTGACATGTTTATTTAGATTAGTTGACTTTTTTTTTAATTCTGGCAAATTGTTTACAGCATTCTACAAATCTGCAAGTGTATCCATTTTCTTATTTCTTTGTTACTCAGTTTGATACTATTTATTTATCATAAAAAATACTTTAAATAAATAAAAATTAAAATTCTTATTTTCAAAGTTAAATTTAGAATAATTCATTATAATTTGGAATTATTTTATTCTGCTTTATTAAAATTTACTAAGACCATGTTAAGAACAATTTTTAACAATAAAACACAGATCTTATATTGTAAGAAAAATACTTCATTTATTTGGTTAAAATAAAATTTCTTAATACATAAAAAAATTACTGATTCAATTAAGTTTCTAATATTATCAGCTAGAGCACCAAAATTTTCGTACATATTATCACAATAAAACTAATCATCATGATCAGAGACAACAAATTCTTTTTCCATTTGTTCTTCCTTTGAGGAATAGTTTGCTTCGTTAAAAGCACGCATTTTTCTTTCAATATCTACTCTGTTGTTATTTATTCCAATTAATTCGTGAAGCATTGCTTAATATGTCCATTGATTAAGAAGTGGAGTTATAGGGTCTTCTCTTCTATCCCAAATTAATAATAAAGCTTTATTTTATAAAATTTTATATAATTAACTTTTTAATAATGAATATCAATTTTATTTCATTTAAGTTTTTTATTTTTTTCCAAAATATTTTTTTTAGCAAATATTTAAGCTTATTTAAACTGATTTTCAAACTTATAAAAAATTAAAAGAAACTTAAATTTAAATTTAATTTAGTGATTGACATTATGATAAATTATTAAGTATAGTTTTTATTATTTTTTTTCTATTTTATTATATCATGTTTATATTCATTCCTATGCTAATCAAACTCTAAGAAATGATAATATCTTAAATTTATTTTAAAATTTGTAAATCAAATAATTTACTTTTAGTATCTGCGCCTAACTAACTTTTGTTATTATCTCTTTCATCACGAAGTTTTTTGGTCAACTTAGAAGCTATGTGGAAACAAGGCTCTGAAGAAGAAAGATACTTTATCATAGGGATTCTTTTTAGTGATAAAAGGAGAGATAATAAACCTTCATAGGTTCTTTGGAGAATCTAATTGTCCAATTAACCCCATGAAGTGTATTCTTTAGTTAAACCAAATGTATTAAGAATATTTATAGAAAACAAATCTCTTGAAAGGCAATAATAGTCTGCATATACTTCATGAATCTCTTTAATATAATCGTTTGTATCAATTTATGCTAAACTTTCAATTGTCAAATTTGGTACGCTATTTGAATAGAAAATATAATATTCAGCAAATCTTGGCTTTTCAATTTCTTTCTATAAAAGTTTCAGATTTTCTTCTGTTGGACGGATAAAATATATTGCTTTTAAATGCTACATTTTGCCATCACTTGGCATTTCAATACGCTCGATTAAATAAACATCTTTTTTCAAAATTTTGCTTTGACTAAATATCAAACTAATAATTGGAGTAGTCTCGACATCTAAAACTAAGCATTTAATACCTATATCATAATTATAAATTATTGATTACTTTAAATACGTTAATTGTTTTAATATTGGCTGTTTTTTTATATAATTAAGGCATGATAAAATATCTTCAATATATACTAATTTTTATCAATTACCGCTAACTTATTAGAGCATTCTTTCAAAATAATCCTCTAACACCTTAAAAGGCGAAAGAGTAGTCTATGTTCTCTTCATTTGCATCATTTTTACTTGTTTTGCTAAGCTATATTTACTACTATCACTGTATTTTCGTTATCTTTTAGATTTATTATTAAATGGCTGAGTTAACAATATTAATTTATGACTGATAATTTATTTATAAATCTTTACTTCTCAAAAATTTTCTTAATAATTTACTATGAAATTGAATTGCTTTTCTGAGAAATTTTATTTATTTAGATTTTCAAAATAATACCAAATTACTTAAGATAGATAAACAAATAAATAAATAATCATCATTTTAAATTGATCTATATCATCAGTAAATGAAATAAAAATTTTGAATATATTTAAATATTTATAATCACCATTTTTGATCTGTTAAATTGCAATTTCGAATATCATTTTCTACAAAAAGTATGTATACGTTTTGTTTTAGGAGAACTTATTATAAAGCAGTAGATAGATAATTGTAATTATATTAAATAAGTAAATTTAAATATTAAATATAAATAAGTTTATTAATATTAAATAATTATTATAAAAATAATTTCAATTTATTCAGATATCATAATAAATTTAGTATTGATTAAAAATTTAAATATTTTAAAATATGAATAATTTTGCTTGTTTTTTTATTCAATATACATACACTGACTTTATAAAACTAACAAAATAATTTGTAATTGATTTGCTTTTAATATGATAACATTTTTGTTATACATTTTATCAATTAACTGATTAATTGCATTAATCAATTAGCTTCTATTTAGTTTTAAATGAAGAATAATATTATAATTTAATAATAATAATAAAATTATATTTTTTATATTAAATGAATAGTTTTACTTAGCTATTAAAGTAAGAAATAAATAAAATGGGACTTGAAATTGCAATAATAGATATTCAGAGTAATTAATTAATTTCAATAGATATAAAAAATAAAGTTGCTAATCATATTAAAAGATAATTAGAATGAATGAAACTAAAGATATATATGTATCATTAAGATAAATAAATCAATAAATATATAGACACTTTTTTCTTTCCTACTTATATTAATTAACTAGAATTCTATAAAAAATTTAACTCTCATAAATACTTAACTTAATTCATATTTAGAGTATAGTAGAAGGAAATAATTTTTAGATCCTAATTTATTATTAAAAATGGCTTCAAAAACTGCTGAACCATTACGCGTAAATTTAACTATTTAGCTTTAGCAAACAAATTTATAGCCTTTTGAATAAATAAAACCCCCTTTTTACATTGAATAGCCATAGGAGAAGATTTATAATATTCATTAGATCTAATTTTAAAAACAAACTAAATAGAGTGGTTCAGAATGGCATGATAAAATTATTTTATACAATTATTATTGATAAACTGAAATATTTGTAATTAATATGTTTATTTTAAATTATTATTTAGGAAAAAACAAGAATTATTGATTCTTATTTAGCACATAATGGATTTGTTAGTCATCACATATAATCATTTAATTACTTTATCAATATAAAATTGCAATAAATTATTACATCATCAATGAATAAGGAATTGCGTTTAGATACAGACAACTCTTTCTTACTAGAGTGATCTTTAATTAATACAATATTTTATACTTACAATTAATTATTTTATTAGATATACCAAAATTTATATTGAGCCTCCTGCTCATGACAATAAAACAATGATGCTTCCTTAAGAAGCTAGATTGAGTAACTCTTCTTATGCAGGGAATATTTAGTAAATTTTTATATTACACTGAATGAAAGTATATAAATTTATAATATATTAGTGTTGATTGTGAACTCACATTTAATGGAAAGAAAGAAGATAGTTTGAGAAAGGTCAATATTGGAAAGTAATTAAACAAATAAAAATATATCTAAGTTTATTTATTTTAAATTTAACAGTCTAATTAATTAATAATCTATTTTGTATAATATTTCTATTTTTATTAAAAGAATGCCAATTATGCTTGGATCTAGTCACTGCAATTTAATCAAAGCTTTGGAGTTAGGATAAGTCCATAAATTATAAGAATGTGCTAATGACCCAAGAGGGTATTTCATTATCAAGGGAGTAGAAAAGGTAATTTTTGCTTAAATTGATATATGTTATTGAGTTTAAATCTCATTAGATTTATTTTTATCGAATAAAAATACAATTTTTTATAATATTTAATAATAGGTTTTCCTCATTTAAGAATAATTAGCTGATAATAGAATTTTCATTGAAGAAGACAAAAACAAAGAGTTAGTTGCTAACGTTAAATCAAACACAGTTGATACTAAATCAATCACTTCATTAATTATCAAAAATCATAAAATTTATGTCAAAGTCAGTTCATTCAGCAAGCCTATTCCTTTGCTTATATTTTTTAAGGCATACGGAGTAGAATCAGAATAGGAAATATTCTAGTTAATAGGTACTGAAGAGCACTTGCTCAATCGTCTAGCTCTATGCTTAGAAGATATTGAATAATCTCAAGTTTACACATAACAATAAGCCTTAGAATATCTCTCTAAGCGTCTAAGACCTAAAACGTTCTAAGATAAAAAATATTCCTCAAGAAATCCAGTTGACGAAGCAAGAGATATAATAACAAGTAAGCTATTTTTTTACAAATTTTACCAGCAAACTTATTAGTTTAAAACGGAATAATTTGAGCTATTATTGATATGGTTTGTTAAATAAAATTTAATGATCAATCATTCAACATAATTTATTAAAAATTAGATGTCGTTTTGTGTCACATTCCTTGCAAGAATTATAACTATTATCCTCGTGCTATTTTCTTGGGTTTGATGGCAAGAAGATTAATTGAAGCCTTGGATGACCCAAGCAAAATTGATAAGAGAGATTACTATGGTAACAAGAGAATGAAATGTGCTGGTTGGTACTTGGAATTACTTTTTGAAGATAAATTTAAATAATTTAACATGATGGTTAGAAAAGAGCTCAGCAAAGAAATAGAAAAGCACAAAAATAAATCTTACCCAATTAAAAACAGAGTAGAATCTATTTTAGAGAAGAACCATGATATTATTACTTAAGGTTTGAATAATGCTATTTCAACTGGTAATTGGACAATTAAGCGTTTTAGAATGGACACTGTTGGTGTTACCCAAGTAAATTACTTTAAAATATTTTTTATATTTTATTAACTATCTTCTCTTCAAAGGTCTTAGCAAGAATCTCATATATAGCTGCTATTGGTATGATGACTAGAATGAACAGTCAATTTAAAAAATCAAGAAAGTTAACTGGTCCTAGATCTTTGCTTGGTTCTCATTGGGGTTTAGTTTGTCCTGCTGATACTCCAGATGGTGAATCTTGTGGTTTAACAAAGAATCTTTCTCTGATGGCTCATATTACTATTGAAGAAAAGAAAAATGTACTTTCAACTATTGCTTTGAATTTAGGTATGGAAGACATTGGACATTACAGCTCAGGAGAAATCCATGAAGATAAAAATTATATGGTTTTCTTAAATGGTTAAATTATTGGTATGCACAGAGATCCTGAGGCTTTTGCTTAAAAATTAAGGTACTAAATTAATTTATTTTTATGAAAATGAATATTGAAAAGCTAAATTAATTTATTATCAGATTTATGAGAAGAAGAGGTAAAATTGGTACTACTATTAGTATAAGCACAAACTCTGAAAAGAGAGCAGTTTATTTAGATACAGATGATGGTAGACTTTGCAGATTATTAATTGTAGTAGAGAATGGAAAACCTTTGATCACTAATGACCATTTAAACGACTTAAAGGAAAAAAGAAAGAGCTATTTGGATTTAATTAGAATGGGTTTAATCGAATATATTGATGTTAATGAAGAAGATAATTGTTATATTGCTATTAAATAGGAAGATATTCCAAATCGTAGCAAGACTACTCATATGGAAATAGATCCATTAACATTATTAGGTGTAGTTTCAGGATTAGTTCCTTACCCACATCATAACCAAGCAAGTAGAAATACTTTCTAATGTGCTATGGGTAAGCAGGCACTTGGTATTATTGGTAGTACTTCTATGAATAGAGTTGATACAATTCTTTACTAACTAATTTATCCTTAAACTCCTTTGCTTAAAACCAAAGTTATTGAATATGCTGGTTACGATAAATTCCCAGCTGGTCACAATGCAAGTATTGCAGTTCTAAGTTATTCTGGTTATGATATAGAAGATGCTACTGTACTAAATAAATCATCTCTTGATAGAGGATTTGGTAGAACAATGGTTTTTAAGAAGTATGAAACTGAAATTCAAAAGCTCAAAATGTCTGGTTTAACTGAATTACTAAGAGGTCCTCCAAAAGAAGCAGAAGGCTCATATAAAAAGAAATAAAACAGAGTAAAATCAAAAATTTATTTGTTTTTTTTTTTCTAAATTTAGCATTTGTAAATAGGTTTTAAAGAAGTTTGGTGCTTTGGATGATGATGGTACTCCTATAGTAGGTGCCTCTATTAACAATGGCGATGTCTTATTCAACAAGTATACTCCTTTACTTACTCTCGAATAGTAAAGAGGTCGTGATATTCTCAACAATAACTCTGTCTCTGAATATATTCATGTAAGAAATATCTCATTTTTCACTTAATTTTTTATTAAAATAAATATAAATAAAAAAAAAGAATCCTACTACATTCAAAGGTAAAAAATTAGCTAGAATCGATAGAGTTATTAGAAGTCAATAAGATGGAAACGTTATCATTAAAACTATAGTTAGAGAAACCCGTAGACCAGAATATGGTGATAAATTTAGTTCAAGACATGGTAAGAATTTATTTTTATTTAAAAAATAAAGAAAAGTCAATCAATTTTTAATTAAAATTAATTTAGGTCAAAAAGGTATTATTGGTTTAATAGTAAATTAAGAAGATATGCCATTCAGCGAGAAAGGTTGGGTCCCAGATTTAATTATGAATCCTCACGGTTACCCTTCTCGTATGACAGTTGGCAAGCTCTTAGAATTGCTTGGTTCAAAGGCAGCTGTTTTATCTGGATAGTTTAAGTACGGCACAGCATTTGGAGGAGATAAGATGGCTGATTTATCTTCAATTTTAGTATAGAATGGATTTTCATATACAGGTAAAGATGTTATCATAAGTGGTATCACTGGTGAATATATGTAGTGCTATGTTTTCTGCGGTCCTGTATTCTATTAGAGATTAAAACACATGGTTGCTGATAAAGTTCATGCTCGTGCAAAAGGAAGAGTAACAACTCTTACAAGATAACCTACTGAAGGTAAATTATTTATTAAATAAATAAAATAATTTAATTTTTTTTAATTAGAATGCCTTAAAAATACTTTTTTGATATTAAATTTTTTAATTTGCTAAATATATAATAGGTAGAGCAAAAGATGGTGGTTTAAGATTAGGAGAAATGGAAAGAGATAGTTTATTAGCTTTTGCTTCATCAAACTTGCTGATAGAAAGATTGATGATAAGTTCTGATAAATTTTCTGTATAAGTTTGTGAGAAATGTGGTTTCATTCAGCATACAAATAGTTGCAAGATGTGCTAAACTGATTAGGTAAATTAAAAAAAAATTATTTATTGATTTTAATATTTGAATAGTTTTGTAACATAAAAAATCTAATTGATATTATTTAAAAAAACAAAATATTAACTTTGAGCTATTCATAAAATATTATTTTTGAATTATAAATTTTATCATAAAAATAAAACATATTTTATTAATTCTAAGTAACTAATTAATACTTTTGTTAAATAATAGGTTAGCAAGGTAGTCATGCCTTATGCTTGCAAACTGCTTTTCTAAGAGCTTCTTTCAATGAATATAAAACCAAAATTGAATCTTGTTGATATAAATAAAATTGAAAACTCTTGATTTATTTATTTTTATAGAGTAACAAAAACTTAAAAAGTATTTTAAATTATTTTAACTATAACTATTTCAAAGTCTTTTTAATACATAAATAAATAAATTTGTAAATCTTGTTTAATCACTTTTATTTTAATTCTAAATAAAAATATTTATCTATTTAAATGGCTAATTATAACACTTCAATAATAATAATTATCTATTTAGAAAAAAATGAATCACACTGTTATAAAATGAATATTGTAGTTTAACGGTTTTAAATTTTATTTTAATTTTTCAAATTTTATTTTACATAAAATCATGTTAGAGTTTTATTAAATTTTTTTAATTAAATTAGTTAAATTAAGACCCACTTTAATTAATTCCCAAATACTTTTTCAATTAAATAAAATCAAATATATAAAGATCAGGTGGGCACTTTTATATCTTAAATTTTATATGTTTAAATCTTGCTTATTTTATGGAAAATAAATAAATATTTTCATAATTTTAAATATTTTTTGACCAATCTAAAGTTTTTTTCCTTTATTGATACTCACTCATATTATTGAATTTTAACTGTATCAAAAAAATTTGTAAAATACAAAAATAGAAGCCATGTTAAAATATCTTAATACTTAAATTGTTGTTTAAAGGACTAAATAAGTTATTACTAGTAAAAGTTAAAACATTAGAGAGTAAATCAATAATAAGTTAAGTTGAATTTTAATTAAAAAAAGTTCAAAAAATATTTAATAGTTAGTAGGCTTATATATTTAATAAATTAGAGTTCTACATATTTTATGAATATAAAATACTGCTTGTTCATTCAAGTTCTAATTTTCTAAGTAAAATCGCAGTTCTCTGATGCATGCTAAGAACTTAGTACGTTCTTTGATAGTGAAAATAATGAATGCAAAAAATGTGGTTAAAGCTGTTCTATTTGTGCTTCTGATGATAAGTGCATTCAGTGCTAACAAGATTATTATTTGGTAATTATTTTTTATAAATGAATATTCATTTTCTTACAAAAAATTTTAAAGAATTAACAAGGAAAATGCTTAAATAGCTGTGAGGAAGGTTAATTAAAAGGTTTAATTAATCAAAAATGTTATTAGCCTCCAGATTTAAACTGTTACGCATATGATTAGCAAAATTATTGTAGTCTTTGTTATGATGGATACATTTTAAATTAGAATGGAATTTGCAAAAATGAGTTATGCTCTCAATTTTAAGGGCTTTATGATTAACATACTAAAAAATGCTCTTTAGATGAGTTCTATATATCAGATTAAAGCTTTGAATAATAAAATAATGCAAATTCTTCTCAAAGTATTTAAAATTAATTCAATTTTTAGTATTCATCTCTAAAAGATGACTTAAATGAATAAATCGTAGAAATAATTGCCTTAGAAGTTTTAAACTATAAAATAGTACTAGCCTATTATTATTTTATTTTTTTATGTAATTAATTTATTAAATATATTAAAGGTAATTGGAAGAATGAAATAATATTTAATATTTTATGACCATGAAACTATGTCTGCACTATAATCACTTGATATGTAAGCTCCTATAACTCAAATAGAAGCTGACGAATAGTAACTTAAACTTTATGTCTTAGTTTAACATTCCAAAGCATTAGATTTTCATAGTTATGTGATACGTTATGTCTTAAATACCTTAATTTCTATTGACTTAGTCTCTTATGAATAGAATATAATCGTTTAATATAAAGATATTATAGATGAAGCTTTTTTTTCTCTGCAATATTTTATAATAAGATAATAAAATAATTTAATAATAATTTTATTAGAAGATTTAACAACAAAAATGCTCAAAACATAAAATTAAATAACAAATATTTACTTCTTATAAAACGAAGGCATCATTCTATTCTAAGATAAAACTAAAAAATTTTATTTGACAAATCCTTTATTCACAGCATATAATTAAATAAGTGAAAATTTTTAGGAAATAATTGGTTTGAACTAAATTCTAAAGCAAAGTTTTATTATAATCTTATAAAAAACTCGTAGAGGTGAATGGTAAAAGATGATGCTTTATACAGTATAAAAATAAATAGATGATACAAACTAGATCCGATATGTCTTACAAGAAGTAATATTTAATTTATTTACAGATTTTGTTTGTTTATTTATTTATTTTAAAATACATAGATAATTCATACATTTGACTAAATTTGCTATGATACTAAAATTTATACAACTAAAACAAAAGATTTGATGTATATTCATAATTGTCAAAGTAAATAAATCTTTTGTTCATTTTTTTAACTCATTTTTATTAATTAATTAGCAATTGAAATTTGGAGACTCGATTAAATGCTAAGTTCTATAAATGTTTTTAATAATAAGAACTATTCAATTTAAGATGACTGCATTATTGTATTATTTGAATAGCAAATAGCTGTATATCTGAATCCAGAAAGAGGGTCTCAAATGACAATATAAACATACAATATTAATTTTTCATACTTGACAAAATCCATGTACTATAATAATAATCAAATATTTTTTAGCTTATTGAATACTATTTTTTCTCAAAAGTATTCTTAATAAAATGAAAATAAATTTTAAATTCAACCTTTTTCATAAAGTATTAAATAAATAAAGATTAATAAATAAATAAAAAATACTTTAGTGTTTAGTGATAATGGGGATAATATCTCAAAGTTAATTATTTTATACGATGATGAGTATTTGACTATTGGCTAAGTAGAAGATCAATTTATATTTTTTAGAGATTAAATTGAATATTCAATCAAATAAAGCATGATAATATAATAAAGTCTATTTATATTTGGAGAATAATAAGCATTTTAGATTAATCTAGTGAATTTTTAAAAAAGTTAAATACCCATTTAAAATATAATAAAAATAATGCTTGAAAATGAAAATTTATACATAATAAATTAAAATGACCCATAAGATATTCAATAACTTTAATTTATTACACTTACTCCTCATGAAAAATAAGAATGTACTATTTATTTTCCTAAAAATTCAATAGATTCATAGAATTATGATTTTTCGTAAGTCTAAATTGCCAATAATTTGATTGCTTTTACAAATTTTAACGGCTTAATAGTATTCAACTATAATTGTTCTATGGTAATTGAATAATCTTTTTTGGAAATAAGATATTTTTAAATTCATAATTCAAATATATTAATTATTTTATAAGATAGAATTGTTACTTTATTATTAAATAATTAAAAAAAAATATCAACTATCCAAATAAAATTACCTGAAATATAAAAATTAAATTTTTTTAAAGGGTTATCAGTAATCTGTATTTAGCAATAGTAGACTGATAAAAAAAATAATTAAAGTTTAATAAAGATGAATTTGGACGATTCTGGTAATATATATCTTACATAGCTTAAAGAAATATCTTACGATTATGCAGTTTCTAACTTCATTATTTAGATATTTTAATAAACTCTTTAATACATCGATATGTCATATCCTTATTTCTCATACTAATCGATAACTTTTTATGACGAAATCTAAAGAGTTGAAGAAGTTTAAGGTTCTGATTCTTTATTACTAGTTAGATTTAATAATGTAAATTACTTTAATTTTTAATTTAATAATTATTTAAAGAATATTTTTCTAAAATTAAATATAATTACTCTAATTTCTAATTATATCATTTATTTAGTATTTTAAAAATTCCAATTACCTAAAAACAAATATAGGCATAGAAAATTTATTAAAAAAATATACTTATTTTTAAAAAAATAGGATGTTTATAATGCTGTTTTATTCAATTGTTATGATAATACTCAAATCCATATTAACAAATAAATAGGCAACATCATGTATTTCAAAAGTGATGCTTTATTCATGAGCTATCCATAGAATTAATTATTAGTTTATTAAGTATAAAGTAGGAGAATCAACTAAAATATTTTCTATAATGCGAAATAATCATTTTTAGTGAATAGTGAGAATTAATAAGTGATAGGAGAAACTTACTAATAAATTATATTTATTTAATCTTTAACTGATGGTTCGATAAAATAATATTAAACTGAAAAGAAAAACCATAATCCAACTAATATAGTAGAAAATTCATCTATATACATAACTTTATAATCATATAATACTGAAGGTAAAAGTTTCTTAGCAATAGATGTTAAGACTGATAAATCAAGTTTTGTGAAGCAAATAAAATCTTATAAATTATTATAAAATGGTGATAATTTTTTAATCATAGTTGTAAGCACTACAAATAATTGGACAGTATTAGATAAAAAATTAAATTCTCTTGGAGATCTAGCCAAAAGCATAAAAGGTTACTCTCCTTCGTTACTTTGGAAGGAGAAATAAGATTATTATTATATTTCACTTTCATTTAATATGTTTACTATTTTTGATATGTAAGGTTTGATGATCAGTGAATAAAATTTGTCAGCTTTGGATGTAATAAAAAATAAATAGAATATTATTCTTTTTTAAGCAGACTAAATAGCTTAATATTCTCTTAACGTTAGGAAAAAAAAGGTGACTTTAATCAACTCATTCTAAATAAATAGCTCTTTTAAACAATTTAATATTGATTCTTAAAATAATTTAATTTACATCTAATTTGAAACTAAATTTATAGCACTCTAAATCGATACATTATAATTAGTTTAAGAAATAGAAATCTAAATTAATTACATATTTTTAGGAAGTGATCTTCTAAATCAGGTATTTATTTATTAAATTTTAATTTATCAGTTAAGTGTAATTTATTTAATTTTAATATAAGGTCCAAATATTCAGGCAATAAAATACAATTATTATTTTATAATTATAAAATGAGGAATTAAAATCTATTCCTGTAGATATTGATCTTTCTTCTAAGAGTTTCTTTATTGACAGTGAATTAGGAATACTTGTTATTACTGAAAATATATCAAATTAAATTTATTTATTAACCTACATAGCACATTATTAATTTAATAGTTTCTAGATAGATGTTAATTCTAATGATTTAAGTTTATTAGGAATAACATTTAATTATAATTATCACTTATCTGTTTTAACATTTGGTTCGTTATATTCAGTTTAATTAGTTGATGTAAATTATTTCTTTTATCAAACATAAAAAATTAAAATAGCTCCAGATAATTAATCATCTTTAGTTGGTTTAAATAACGAAAAAGTTATGATAATAAACAACGATATCAAATATCTAACTGTATTTGATAATAAATCTTAAAAGCTTGAGGATAGTTTATTATTAGATGAATAGATGGACTTTTCCAATATTGAAAATTATTAAATAGTTAATTTTAGTAAAATTAATTATGTAATATGCATCAGGAAAGCTGATTATTTTATTGTTTAATTCTCTCCTTTAAAAACTCTCTTCTCTATAGCTCTTGATAATGTCCAAAACTTATTTATCTCCAATAAATATAATATTCTCCTTTACACAAATATTGATTAACAAATATATTTCTTTAACCTAAAAGAACAAATCTTTATATTGCTAAAAGATGATAAATTATAAATTAACAAAATAAGTTTTATAAATGAGAGATTGATAGGTGTTTAAGTTCTAAATCTAGAATAACAATAAATTTTAATTTATGATCTAAACCTTCAAAATAGAGTTCCTTTTAGCTAAGTCAATGTATTCTTTTTTTATATTCTAAAATAGTTTTTACAATATATAAATTTATTTATTAGGGATAAATAATTGACATCAAGATGAAGGATTACTTAATTATTTAGCTATTAAATAATTAATATCTAAATTTATCTATCTATAAATTTAATTAAAACGATAATTAATTTACTTATTATTATTGCTAATTTGAATAATAGTTTAAATTAAGATTTCTATTTAAAGAATAATATTACGAAAATGTTCATAGTATTTACGTTATGGGTATGAAAGACAACTTATTTGCATACTTTTTAAAAATCTTTGAAATGTAAACTAATGTTCAAAATACCTAATCATAGGTGATTTATATAAAGTAATTAGCACTGCCTTGTTCTAATTATACTCAAACAAAAGTTGAAAAGGATTATTTTTATCATATTTGTCCTTTTGTAGCACTAATTTATGACTCCAATACTACATTTGTCTAAAGTATAAAATATGTGGTTAGCTATAATCTGACCATTGATGATATAACTTATATAAATCATAACATTTTTATTGTATAATTATCTTAAAATTAGCTTGATTTATATGAAATTAGTTATGGATTTAAGTATAAAATTTAATCCTTAACAAAAATATAAAACCCTATTATTTATAATTATGAAATAATATAGTAAACTAATGGTTAACTCTCAATTAAAATTTATGGAATTTCTTCTTTCAATCTATTCTAAGCATCTCTAAATTATCAATCTTAATAGTTTAAGTATTAAATGACCAAATATCAAAATTTTAGAACAGTAGTAGTGAAAACATCTAGTATTATTGATAACTATAAGGTATTTAATTTAATATTTTAATTATTTATAATTACTAATTATTAAAAAAAGCATATTATTATGTCATCATAAATAACTTCTAGTGTAGAAACACTAAGATATTAAGTCTATTACCAGCCTCCTACAACCATGTAAGATACAAAATATTTTATTCATCTATACAAAATAAAAAAATATTATTTTAAAAAAATAGCAATTAGTTTCCAGTTATAAATAATATAAAAAGTAAAGATATTATAGAGATATATTCAGCTGAAGGTTTGAATAATATTTAAAGATAATACTTAGAAATATCATCAACTAAATTCATATAAAGCAAGTTTAAGAATTTAAAGATTGGTAGCATGCTCTTATATGTCAATTTCACCAATAGCTAATAGCTAAATTTTAATTAATAGCAATAATTAAAAAAGCTTTAATTTTCTAATATGACAATTAAACTAAATCAATAAAATGGGTCAATTTTTCTTCATTCATATGACTAATTAATCATAAATGAGATAACATTTAGAGACGAAATAATTAATTCCAAATTCATATTTACAAATATCACAAATATTTTAATTAATAATTTAGAATTTTAAAATGTAACTTTATTATCAGAATCTAGCTTTTTTTAATTTTAAGAAGTATAAAATCTAACCATAAATAATCTTACTATCAACGAAAGTTCTTTCTATCAATCTATATTTTAATTGAAGAACATGACATATATAAAGATTTAGAATATATTTATTAAAAATAATAAATTCTTGTAAGGACTTTTGATTGCAAATTAATCTTTGAATATATTTATTAATGATATATAAGCTATAAATAATCAATTAAAATCCTCAAAAGCTAAGGAAAATAATTAGAATCCTTACCTTTTCAACTTTTTCTAAATTTAGAATGTATAATTTAACAATACTTAATTCGATGGTTCTATAGATTTAGGATTTTTAAATTTCACTGGTTTGATGATAAATTTTGAGTTTTTTTATTCTATGCAAATCATAAATTCAAGATTTAGATAAATATAATAAAAAATACCAATAATTTAAATAACTTACGCACAAAAGATAATTATAACAAATATGGTTGTCTCAAAATCTTAAAGTTTTAAATTTATGCTGATATCATTGGTTAATAGCCTTAACTTGTCTGATTTAGAATTCTTTGGCATAAACGAATTATAAGTTAAAAATATTAATTAATATCCACTCTAAAATATTTAAGATCCCGTTTTATTTAATAAAGATCCATCATTATATAACTAACTTGATTAATATCTTTTGAATTTTGGTGGAATTGATAATGCTTAATTGTCAAACTTAACAATAAACTTCTGTTATAATGTTGGAATGCTAAATTTAAACTATTTTTAGGTAGGTTAAAATACAATTCAAAATAGTAATATTTTATAAGCAAACAATATTAAAATATACAATTGTAGCTCTATTATGAAAGAACCTGCTATAAATTTAGGTAATTCATAATCTATTATTAGCCAACTCAAAATATATAATTTAAGTTTTCATAGTAATATTATGAACCTATTTTATTTACAAAATTTTAATTTATGCTAATCTGAATTTATGAATATCATACTTCAAAGTTATTCAACTACAATTTATAATTATGAAACTTAGCTAATATAAATTTCTGAAATTAAATTTTAAAATATTTCTTCGATTCAATCTGTGACTGTATTTTTAACAAAATTTGGAGATAAAATAATAATTCAAAATTGTACATTTGAATAAAACAGAAATATCTTAGGAGACTCTTCTAAACTCATTATTGATAACTAAAGCATTTTCAATATATAGAATTATAAATATTTAGAAGTTTTAGAGTCTATTTTTATTGAAAATACTGGTTTTGGTAATGGAGGAGCTATGTATGTATACTAGGTTTAAAAATCTCTTATTTAAAACACAAAATTTATTTTAAATTAAGCTTTAGAAAATTCAGGAGGAGCAATTTATGCATCTAATTCTAAAATTAAATTAGATTAGTGCACTTTTAAAGATAATATTTCTAGAAAGGAAAGAGGAGGAGCTATATTCTCAGATAATACATAGATATTTATTAAAAAAACAATGATTATAAATAACATTGCGTATATAGGAGGTGGAATTTACTACAACTAACAAAATAGTTTAGAGATAGACAAATTGAGTTAAATATATAAAAACCAAGGTAAAAATTTAAATTATAAATTTTATTTTACAAATAATTTGTTAATTAAATAGGAAAATTTTATGGAAGTAATTTTGGTTCTTATCCCAAAAAATTATTATAAATTGACCTAAGTACAAAATAAGTTTACAATAAAATTATAATAAAAAATTTTCAAAGTGGTAATTATACTAAATAGCCTATATACGTTTAATATTTTGATGAATAAAATGAAATGCTTAATTTTAATATTGCAGAATAAATTAATTTACTTTCATTGAGCATTAAAGAAGAGCTAGAAAACTATAAAATACAAATAGGAAATTTGTCAGAAACAAAAAATTTAACAATTCTATTGGGATAGGAATTAGTTTACATTAAAAAAATAAATGCTTTTTAGCTTAACATTACAGCTGGAAATATTTTTACAACTGATTTCTAATTGTTTTTATTTTCTGAATTTTCTGGCTAGTATATTGTCTTAGATTTACTTCTTAATTTTAGGAAATGCTAAAAAGGAGAAATTTTATACCCAAAGCAAAGATATATCTCGTAATTAAATTTTTTTAATTTATTTTTTAAAGATTTAATTTAATATTCAAAAAGTTGTGATAAGTGCGTAGAAGGGACATATTCTTTAGTTGATCCAAATATATAAAAAAATAATTTCAAAATTTAATGCTAATAATGCTCAAATATTTACTTTAAATAGTGTTATTCAGATTAAATTATACTATAAGATAACTATTGGAGAGAATAAAAAGATACAGATGTTATCTATTAATGCTAAATGCTAGGCTGTAGCGAATCAGCTCCAAATTAGATAAATGGCTGTATCTAAGGCTATGTAGGCCCATTATGTAATGCTTGTGATTATAAAGGAACATAATGGGGTGTAAACTATGCTTAAAAAGGTAAATTATGCTAAGTCTGTGGTAAGCAAGCCAACTCTTATATATATTTAGCTATAATAATTTTGCTTTATAGTCTTTACATAAAAATGAGTGTAAATAGTTAAATTTAAAGCCATCTTTTAATGATATAAATTGATTATCTTAGAAAAATGAACATACTATTTTTGAGCAAAACTAAATTAAGAGGTTCTGATACTGGAATTATTTTGAAGATATTTTTTCACTACTTACAAATATTTTCCTCTTCTATTGATATATTTTATTAAATACCTGATTTGGTAGGAAACATTTTTAAACTAGGTGGAGATCCATCTTAAATAACATATACTAATTTAGATTGCATTTACAAAGACTGGATAATCTCCTAGCTTTGGTTTAACAGACTAACTATGCAAATTGCCTAATTAATAATAATAACAGGGTTAGTCTTAAGTTATAGATATTTACTCTAAAAGAATAATCAGAAATTCTATAAAAAAGAAACCTATTTACTGTTTATATATTTTTTCTTTTATTCTTCGATTGCTAAACTGCTAGTATCTTTATGTGTTTGTAAAAAAATAGGATTTAATTACTATATGCTAAATGATCATCTTTAAAAATGCTGGACATATAAGCATGTAATATTCTAAGTTGGTATAATTTATCCTTTAACAATAATTTGGTCAATATTGATACCTTTGATGTTTAGTCGTAAAATAAAATCTGCAATCTAAAAGAAAGAACAAAATAAAATTTAGTTTATATAAACATATTATTTTATTTATTAAGGATATAAATAAAAGTTTTATTTCTGGGAAGTTCTTAAAATGTTTTAGAGACTTATCATTATGGCTGTTTTGAATTTAGATATGCAAAATATAGTTTAAAGATTAATTATACTGTCTATCTGCTTTACATAATTAAAGATAACAATGGAAAAGAATCCATATCAATAAAAGCAATCACGAAATTTAGAAATTTTATTGTAAACAACTGTTATTTTTTCTTTAATATTGCAAATACTAATCTACATCTTTGAGGAAAAGCAATTTATCCATTTTACTTTAATAATTATAATAATCATCATAAATTTCTATAATTTATTAAAGATTTCCTTTGAATATTATAAATCAGCTTTAGATCTAATATTGAAATCAAAAAATAGAAAGACTAAAAGATTTTTAAGTTTTTTATACAAAATAAAAATCATTAAATTTGATGTCAATAAAAATTAGATATAACTATCAAGAATATGCTATTTATGGAAGAAGCTCTATATAAATAGAAAGAATTTAATTTACCAAATATCCCTCAACTCTTAAAAGAGCTCTAAGAATTCAAATCCAAAAAGTTTTACTAAAATATATTGATATTTTTTAATTATCTAATATTATATTTTAAAGAAAATATTAAAAATTTCTATTAAAAATGTATAAAATTCTCTATCTATCTTTTAATTTAATAAATTAAGTCTGATACTTTAAATTTTTTTAAAAATACCAATTTATTATCATTATCATAGTTTCCTCAAGTTCAGTAATATTAAATACTAGGGTTATCTAAGTTAAGATGCTGTCTAATTTATGAAAATTCTTTAATAAGACAAATATTTTTCTTAAAAATTGTTTTAAAATTCATTTTATCCTAAATCTGAAATATTTTTAAGCCATATTTTTCTTTCATTTAAAAAAATTACTTGTTATTAGATTTTATTTTATAAAAAATGTTCATATAATTATTATAAAATTCTTTTAGCATTCGAAATTAAATATTTTATTTATATATCTTTGTTATAAAATCTAATTTTAAAAATAAATACTAAATTTATACTATTGATTTTCAAATTTTTAATTTAAAATTTTAAAAGTATTCAAAATATAAATAATTTAAAGCTAATATTAGCTTATAAAATATAGATTCTCATATCATTTTAGATAATATTTTAATTTATAAATTTTAGTAATAGATTTAAGCATTTAAAAAAACTTATCAATAGTTTATTTTATAAATTATTTAAAATAATATTCATTCATTCATTTTTTTAAACATAAAAAATAGTTTATATTACTACTTTATTTTTTAAAATATTCACAAACCACATTAAAATAATGTAATCATAGACAACTTATAGGGCAATCACATCCATTTAAATCACATCCTCCATCGCAGCTACAATTATGACAACTACCATCGCATCCATTACAATCGCACCCATTACAATCACTACATCCATTACAATCACATCCAATACAACAAGCATAACAATTACACTCCTTTAAATCTTCAACTTTACAGCTTCCATCAGGTATACAATTAGTTTTGAAAGCTTAAAAGCAATCAGAAAAGCAGTCTACTATTTCACTAAAAAAATCACATAAACCATCTAAAACTGATGATCTGTTAATATTATTAACATTATTACTATTATTAATGCTAAATCCATTCTAGTTATTATTTTATTAGATTTATTAGTTTTAAGCTTCTTATATGCCTAATTAAGACTGATAGTATTCTTACATTTATCAAAAAAAATAGTTTATGATAAATTATTTTTTTTATCCTTATTTTTAAAAAATAAATAATTAATTAATATTTTTATTGAAATGTATAAAATGCTTACCTATTTATTTACTATTTTTAAAGGCTTAAATTTTTTTTCTAATAAGATAAAAATTTACTTTAAAATATTCACAAATTACACCAAATTTCTTTTAAAAACCTGCAATTATGTATTTTATTGGGTATATTTTTATATTTTTCAATGAAAAATATTTAAAATTTTGAGATGAAATAAAAAAGTTAATTAAAAGTAAAAAATAAAATATTGAAAGTGTCTTCTATAATTTAAAAACAGAAATAGTGTTTGTTAACTTTAATTACAACTATATTTCAATTAGAAATAAAAATAATCCTTTTTAATTACTTGAGCAAATAAATTTTTTTATACAAAGAGTTTATACATACTTGAGATTAATATTTAATAAATAACTAAAATAATCTTTTAAATTATTTTAATAATACAGAAAAAGATTTAATTATTGGTGGAATAATTCTATAAATAACTAAAAACATAAAGCTTAATTTATAAATTGAGAAGTAATTAGGTAGATAAATAATTTTTTTAAAGTAGATTTTTATTCAAAGAATTCTTTAGCAAAGTCTAAAATAGCTATTAAATTCTGTTTTAATAATTTTTAATTTGTATAACTAAGAAAATTGATTGCTATTTATTTATTTAATTTTTTGAGTAATTTCATTTATTTTTTAGGGATGAGATATTTAAGTTAAAATTTATTATAAAGCTTAAACAGTGACATTTTTTGTATCTGTTAAAATTTATTAGTTTGACATAAGAAATAGAAGAAAAAGGCATATTCAAATATTATAATATCACCTTGGAACTTGAATTTTATCTAATTTAACTCTATTTGGAGTTTTATTTGCTATTTAATCAAAATCAATGCTGTTCATATTTATATTATTTTTATTTAATTAGTTTAAGTTCATCACAGTCTAACTATTACTTAGAGGTCTTGCTTAGATCGGTTAAAGTTAAATATCTAAATCATAAATTAAAAAGTTTTAATTATTTTTTTAATTCTTTAAATTAAATCTTAAATTTACTTTTTGATCTTCTTTACTCTCCTCCCTAAAAGCTAGGTTCTAAGAAATGTGAATCTTACAAGCCCATTAATTTTTATTACGAAATTCTTTGAGATTCAATAGGATCTAAAGACACATTTGGAATTCTCTGCTTCTCGGGTTATTGTTACACTTTATGAGCTTTTTGAATAAAAAAATCAATTAATTTGCAAATATTTCATAAAATTAGCTAGTTCTTTAATAATATGGAACAAATAAATTTAACGTATTTTTAATTAATATTCCATTAGAATCTACATGCATAAATTTGTTAATTAAAAGTAAAACTTTAATGTTTATTAGAAAATATTTTTCCTTTATCCACATATTAGTAAAATATCCATCATTTTTTTGATACTTTTTAAAATATTCATTTTTATTTTAAAACTTTATTTATTTATTATTTACCTTTTTTAATTCTAATATTAGGTGAGTTATTTTTTTCTTTGAGAGACTCTTGAATACTATGAAGACTGTTGCCGCCACCAGCATCATATTTGGATAAATCAAATTCATCACTACCATTTTAAAAGCCATTATTGTATCTACTTGTGTTATTAGATTTGGCAGGCCCATTTCCAAACTAAAATTTGTTCATATCTTCAAAGTTGTCCATAGTACCGGAAGGTATTCTCTTGATGCTATTACTATGACTGTGAGAATTTCCATTTTAATGGTTATTGTTTTATCTATTATCAAAATTATTATTTTATCTCATAAAATCTATTTCCCTCGATTGTTTTTCTTGATCTATCATATCCATAGCTATTAAGATTATAAAGAAAATTTTTAACTTTAAAATTATTATTAATTAAATCAATCATACCTTATGCTGCTGGAAGCTTTGGGAAATTTAATTTTTTTTACTTAAAGTAAAATGGAGGTAATTTATATACTTAATAATCATCTTACCATTCTCCTTAGCCTTTTATAATTTCTATTTCATCAGGTGTAAGTAGCATCTAACATATTGACATAAGTATTTTTACTTCTCTTTGCTAATATCTTATCGTATCAAGAAGGTCCTCTTTTTATATTTCATGTTCTTTTTCTAAATCTTTTATTTCACTTTGAGCCTATTTGTATTTCTGATTCAGCTTTTTCACCTTCTTTTTTGTGGCGTCAAGTTCTTCCTATAGAGAAGAATATTTTATTTCTAAATTTTCGAATTCTTCATCTTTCTATTTCAATTCCTCCTAAATTTTTTCATGTTCTTACATTTACTTCTTTAATTTATTTCTCATTTAACTGATTTTCTTCTTTTTATCTTAATCTGCAGTACCACCCACAATAAACTTTTATTCCACTTCTTTAAGCTTTTATTCAATCATTAATTTTTCCTGCATTTGTTATTAGAACAATTTTTCTTTATTTTTCATCTCTTCTTCTATTTATTGTCTCTCTGCATTAAGGGCATCATTTTTTTCTTTTAGTTTTTTAACTTCTGATGAATTCATCACATGACTTGAGCTGTGCTAAATAGCAAGTTAAGGCTATTGCTATCCGTTTCCATTAACAACAGCATTAAAATTTACTTATTCTCCAGCTTACTATTTCAAAAGCATCTCCTTCAGCTTCTTAATTTCATCAGCATATTCTTTAAGCAAAGCATCCTTGGGATCTTGGTTAACTTTTGGTTAGTTTTTGATATTCTTTGCACGAGAGGCATATCTCAAAGTACTCAATGTTTCTTCATAATTATAATCTGCAGGTGATATAGCTGCTATCATAATTGTTTTAGTATTACCACCTAAAGAATCCTTTATTAATCATAAAAATTATTATTTATTAAAATAATAAAATCATTGTAAGATTATTCAAATATATTACAATCCATTTTAGGATATTTAATAAATAAAATAATATTAAATTAAATAAAATTTATGCTTTGCAATTTGATTCAAAACTAATATTTTTAAATCTTTTTTTATTAAAGTTTTTGAATATTTTCTCTTAATCAATTTTATAAAATTATAAAATATTTTTTTTAATTTTTTAAATATTTTATTTAGTTTCATCAATATTTTTTTTTAAATATTATCATTTTTTTTTTTGTTAATATTAACTTTTTAAAAAAAATAAATCTAAATTTAGACATAAATTTCTGATAAAAACTTACTTCTATCACTAATATTTAAATATTAAAGAAATCTAGTGTGATTATTAATGAATGAATAAATTTAATTTTTACCTGTAATAGACGAGTGAGTTTACTATCTCTGTATGGAACATGCTAGCTTTTACCATCAACTAAAGCACTTATGACATTACCTAAAGCAGATAGTGAAAGATTAATTTTTGTGGCTTCTTTAAGACGATCTCCTGTTGCTTAAGTTTTGCTCTATCTTTTTTTATTAAGTAATTAAACATTAAAAAATAAAATGAAAAAGTATTGGTTATTTAATTTGCTTGATTTTTGTTTGATTGTGAATGAATAATATATCAATCAATATTTATTTATTTATTCTTAATGTTTACTCTTTAATTCATATTGATTGCAAAAATTAAAAAAAAATAACCAGCACTCTCCTTTTTTTTATTTTTCTCTATTTTGATAGCTTAAATTGCAGTGAAGATATTCTTTAAATTTGCTTCAATTAAATGAAAGATTTTAAGCTTGAAATTAATACCTTTCTGAACCTGCTAAATCGACAAGATTCAGCTTTCCAGCTGTAATATGATCCTCTGTATCTCCCTCTACTTTATAACTACATTCAATATAGAGAGTAAAAATTGAATGTGAACGCGATGAATCCTTATTCATTGCAGTTGCACCCACACTTCTATTTTCTGTTCCTATGTTCATCCATTTTTCCATTTCTGCTACTGTTTTAACTACATTCATTGTTAAATCTTTGACAAATACACCTTTATCAGGATACTCCTTTAAATCCATACGTGCCTTTGCGTCTTTACCTAACAAATCATGTATTTCTTCGTTGTAAATTTCTATGTAGGAGCATCTCACTAAAAAATTTTTGTCATTTGCACTCTCTACTATGTTAATTATATGTGAAAACGTTCTTGGTATAATACCCTTCTCTACTTCATCGTTTGGTTTTCCAAGCATAGAGTGAGTTTTGCCACATCCTTTTTTATTAAAATAGAATTATTTATTTTCCATATTCAAACTTATTTATCACAATTGAATTATTCAATCATTCATATAGACTTTTTTAAGTTTCAATTCGATAAAATAACGAAATTCGAAAGGCAATTAACAAAACCTTCATCTCAAATATATTTTATATAAAAATTCTATTCTAACCTGTTTGCCCATATGCGAAAATAGTCCCATTATAACCCTCTACTACACTTTCAACTAATGGAAAAGCAGAATTTTCATAAACTGTTTGCTATTAAATATCTGGTGGGAATACATAATCATAAGTGAATACTTTAGCTGCTTCTGCATCTTTTCCGTTGGATAAAATAATTTAATTTGTCTATGGATCTACTTGAACTATGTTAGCACAACCTTTTGATATTTCTAACTTATTCATGGGACGAGCCCTCACCATAACTTTAACTGTTTCAGACGACATCTTTACTATAAAGTGCGTTTAATAAATAACTAACTTTAATGCTTAATACTAATATCAAGTTGATTCTATCTATTTATTTAATTATCAATAAATCAATCTATTTTAAGCGAATTAAATTTTGTAAATTAATTAATATTTATATTTTAATTGATTTTTGATAGTTTATAATAAAGTTATGTGCAACTTCATTCTTTTAAGTTCTCTTCAATTATTCTAAATTTACTTGATTTTTAAATGCTTTTTAAACATACTTCTTACTATTTTGCTAAGATTGATTGTAGAAGTCAGCTCTTAAAACCATTAATTCATTTCAGTAATTCTCTTGAAAAATATCATATTATTGCCAAAAATTTTAAGGAAATTACTTAACCTTAATTTGATGAATTTTGCAACTAACAAAAACCGACTTACCATACATTAATTCTAAATTAACCTATTTGATAGAAATTATTTGCTTATTTATTTTATATTTTTCAATAATTCATATTAAAAAGTAACATAGATTATATTGTCTACATAAGTACAAAGTATTTTTTCTACTTTAAATTTTAATTCAATATGTAATTTCGAAAAACTTAAAATATTAATAAATATTCTTAAATTAACAAAAGTACTTTCAAAAATATTTAATCAGAGGATGACTTTCATTTAAAGAATAAATACTATTTCCCATATATTCTTATTCAAGAGTTTTCATTTGATAAAAATATTCAAATTTAAAATATATTTTAAACTATTTTATTTACAAGTTAGATAAGATATTATTAATACTATTCATTTAAAGATATATCGATCTATATATTAACCATAATTTTCACTTTTAACATTACAATATTAGAATGTAGTCAATAAGTAATATTTTTTGAAATATTTTATGAATTTATTTATTAGCTTTAACAAAGATAAGGTAATAATTTTAAAGTATTACATTAATAAAATATTTTCCAATTTTATCTAAAAATAAATAAAAATTTTTTTATTTAATTTTAATATTTTATCATTTTAATTTAATGTGTGCTAAAATATAGTTTGTATTTATTAAATAATTCTTTGATAAACTAAACCAACCATATTATTTTAAAATCAACTAAAAATAAAAAAGGATTTGGCATTCTACAAATGATATAATAGTGGTGAAAAATAAATAAATATTTCAGAAATAAATAATATGCATGATTTTACAAATTATGTTTATTGAAAAAAATAAAAAGAAATCAAGATAAGACTGTTTAGTTTAATGAATAATAATAAAAGATTGGTTGGTATCTAGCAAACAAGCAATAAATAAATAAAAAAAAATTAATATTTTTTTTGGGTTACAATTATTATTATTTACTGAATATACAAAAAAAGTAATAAGATAAATCTATTTAGATAATTAATAAATGTCTGAATAGAATTTCAATAACAGGAGATAATCGAACATTTATTCTAAAAATTATCTACTCTTAAGCAGTCCTTAAGATGCTCAAGTATTTTTTCATTAAAATTAACTTTTTTGAACACATTTTTCAAGGATTTAGTTTGGATTCTAAACAAGAAAATTAAAAGTGAACATGAAACATAATTGATAAAGAAGTCTTTTCTAAAATTGCCTTTTTTTGAAGAGATGCAAAAATATTTTGGGGAGGATTTACTTGGCAGGTTGTTTATCAAAAGCAAAGTTGAGAATTTTAACTCAGGAGACTACTTACTCAAAGAAGGTAGTTGCTCTGATGAAATGTACATCATTTTAGTAGGCAAAGTAGCAATCAAGATATAAGGAGAGTCTTAAAATCAAAGAGAGGATTTCAATCCTTATTAAGAAGAAATGAATACTTAAATAGAAAAATTTATGAATAGACAAGATTTGTATAAAAAATTTATTTAAAATCGTAAGCATTAGCTAGAGGAAAACTATCAAAAAATACTTAAAAGAAGATAGGAATTGATTGAAGAAAATGATAAAAGAATAAAAGAAAAATAAGAATGGGAAGATCAAAAAATAAAATGGGGTTTAGTTGTTAAGCACTAAAATAGAAGAAAATTTTCAGTATATTCTAAAAGAGAAAACAATTAAAATCAAATCGATTTAAACAATCAATTCATATTCTAAAAGTAAGTAATTTCTTTCCAATTTATTTTAAAAAAGCTTTTTTATTAAACAAAGATACAGGTTTGATGGTATTTCTCCTAATCATAAGCAAGGATTGACAATGTAATTTGTCTTTAAGCATAAAAAATATTAGTTTTTTTAAATTGATTTATATTTTCTTGGTTGAATTTGGCACAATTAAAATAATAAACAGGTTTTTAACTAAAATTATTATTGTTTAAAACAAATAAATATAACAAAAAAATGGATTTAAAAATTATAATTTAGAAATTTTGTAAATTCTAAGTATTAAATTTAATTTTGATCAATGAAACAAATTCTCAAAGAAATAATAATTTAACAATATAAAATATGTTTATTTTTTTAATAGTTTTTTTATTAAATATTTAAGCAATTATAAAGGAGAAGCAGTTTAGGATAATTTGTTGAAAGTTTATACTGAAAATTCATCTAAAAGGGGTAAAAAAAAGAAGATTAATGAAGGATTCTAAGATTATCTTTAGATGGTTTAGGTGAGAAATTCATATAATATTTCTTTAAATCCTACAAATAAAGAAGAAGAATAAATAATGGACCAGTCTCCAAAGGAAAAAATTATTAAGGTTTTGGAGTAAGGTGAGTATTTCGGAATGAATTCATTGTAAGAAAATAAAATTTAAGAATACAGTGCAATTGCATTAACAAATGTAAGTGCTGCTGCTATTTCTAAAAATTTATTTGAAGATGTGTTATTCAGCTTTTTTGAAAAGAACCTTTCTAAAGAAATCAGCTTTTTAAGAGATATTTCTATTTTTCAGACTTTAAAATAATATGAGCTTGATTACATTCATATGCAAATTATTAGCAAAGTTCTAGAAAAAAATGCATTCGTTTACAAGAAAGGAGATTCATCCTAACATTTATTTATCGTTCTTGAGGGGGAAGTAGAGGTAACTAGTAAAGCTCATAAATATAAAATTAAATTATTGTCTTATTATTAATTAGATTTGTTATGTTGGAGATGAAGAAGAAAAATAAATTATTCAAACAAATTCTTAAAAAGATAACTTGCTAAATTAAAATTCTCCTTAAAAAAGGGAATATCCTGTAAACTTTTAATAATCTTATTAAAAATTAAAAATTTCAATTTATTTTAAGGTTGCAATACTGGGTAAAGGTGCTATTTTTGGAGAAAGTGAAATTCTAAAAAATTCAGAGAGAAAATCAGAAGTCAAGGTGGTCTCATAAAAAGCCCACTTTTATTTACTTCCTAAAGATGTATGAGTTTTTAACTAAATAAAGTATTTAATTTATCATTGATTTATATAATAAAAGTATGTCAATATTTTGCTTGAAAAGTAAGAATTTAAGTAAGAGCTGGAATTTTAAAGGCAGTTAAAATCTCAATGTAGAAAGAAACGTTTAGACCAGCTAAAAAACATTGAAAAAGAAGGAGAAATAAGAAAAAATTAGATAAAATACTAACTTTTTAAGCTTAAATAAACTAGCAGCACTGAAGATTGTTTGTCCACTTAAAGAAAATTAATTTAAAATAATTCAAACTTATTACCTATCTTACCAGCAAATTATACTGCTAGAGAAATTAACAAATCCTAAGAAAATAGTGCCAGGTTGCAAAAATAAGATGATGAAGATAATCTTGAAAATCATTTAGAACTATATTAAACTGTTCCTTAGAAGTCTAGCAATAACCTAGATGGACTTAAATTAGCAATGAATAAATTCAATTCTATTGACTTTAATGATAATAGATTATACGATTTTTGTTAACCTAAATTCGGCTCCGTTAATAGCGTTTAGATACACCCAAAAAAATAACTTCCAAAAATATAAATTTTATTTGACTAAATTTCAAATAAGGTAGATAAAAGAAGCTACTCATATAGAAACACTTAGATTCTACAAAGAGAAAGATAATATAGTTAGCCATAGATAGATTTAAGCTATTTGAATAGAAATCATAATTAAAATAGTCAACTATAACTCTCAAATTCAAATAAAGTAGCAGAAAAAGATGAATAAAATTAAAACTAAAAATAAAATAGATCTATTTCTTTAAATAACTAGCTGCCTTAGAATAGCTAAAATTAACTAATTAAAGAAACGAATAAGTAAACATAAAATATCAACAACAACCACAATAATAATAAAACAATAGATTATGGTTATGACATGCCATTTGAAAATGTTTATATTAAAAAATAATTATCAATTTAAACATAAAATTAACAAAATAGCATCAACAATTATAATTTACTTGAATAAAAGCCTTAAAAATAATTCTAAATAAATGATAGCAATAAAATAGTTAACCAAAAAAGAAAACAATCACTTGAAAAAGCACTTTCTTAGTCTTTAGATCAATCAAAACAACATAATTATAATAATTTTTAGAAAAATAATGCTGAATAAATATAGTATTAAAAATCTAGTTCATTATCATAAGAGGATTATATAGAAAATGATGTAATCAATTATTAAATACCCATTTCATCTAGTCCTATTCCTTAGCTTAATAGTATAGAAAAAGACGATGACTTAAGCTTATAAGGTGAGGCATATGCTTATTTGAAGAAAGTAAAAAAGATCCCAGATCATCTGAATGTAATTCCTAGCTCTCCTCCTAAAATTGACCCATTGAGACCAAAAGACAAATAAATTTTTGTAAGAAAACCTATTTTAAATAAAATAAAAAAACGAGAAATAAAAATTGATAAAGACAAAGATAGACTTCCCTAGTTCTTTGAAAGATCTATTTAGTATCAAAAGTCTGTCATGAATATGCTGAACTATGAAAGACAGAGAGCTATGATTCAAATTAATTATGAGAATTCAAAGTCAAAATAAAATATTTCAAAACAGACATTAAATTAATGAAAACCAAAACAATCCATTTAAAATTAGTCTCATGTTTAATTTAATTTATTTTTAACTTTATAAAAATATTATTAAGTTAATATTATAAATTATGTAATATTTTTCAAATAAATTTTAAAGCAATTAAATATAAAAAACCATATTAATAAAAATCTAAAATAATTTAGTTCAATTTGATATAAATTTAATATAAATAAAAAAGGTTATTATTATTTTTTGTAACTCTACATTTAAAAGTGTTTGTGTAGGATAAAATATTTATAAATATAAATCTAATTAAATTAAAAAAATTTTTTTAATTTTGCTAAAAATTATAAATTAATTAAAATATATCATATTTATAAGATCTATGGCAAGGAATTTTGAGTAAAAACTACAAAATAATTAAATTAATTAAATCCAATTTATGTATAAAGATTTTATTAATCTTGATTGATTGATTTTAATATATTAATTTTTGAAAATAATTACAAAAAAGTAAGAAAATCTATTAATTAAATTGTATTAAGTTTTTTATCAATAAATGTGAATATCTTAGGAGTTAATTTTCAATTGAATTATTTTTTATTTCCAATTCCATTTAATATTGATATAATTCTAAAGAAATCAAAATTAATTTTATAACAATAAAAAATACTGATCGAATTATTATTATTATTTGGATAATTGATATTTATTTAAGATATTTATTGATAAATATTATATTATTCAAACTTTGTTTATATACTTTTAATTTAATAACTTTTGAAAAGTGTAACAAAAAATGGAAAAGTGAATTAAGAAAACTGTAATAAAACCTCTGAATTTATTTTAAATTCTTATTAATTTATAATTTTATTTTTAGAAAAAATTAATTTACAATTTTAAACAAACTTTTTCTTAAATAAAAAAAATGTATTTATGAAAATAAAACTGTAAATACAAAGTAACATAGACTTATTTTTCAAAAAACGAGTTTTTCTTTTAATTCTTATTGTAATTATTCTGGGAGAAGACCTTCATCCTCTATGAATTTTCTGTAAGGATCAATGCAAAATTCTTCACTTGATTTACTAGATGGTGTATCTATTTAATAGATTTTATTTTTATCTTTTTGGGTAATTTCCTCATCACCGCTTTCGTTATCACTTTACTAATCAAGGTCGATTTACTTTTTGTTTTGGTTTAGAACGTTGCTGGTGTTACCTTAATTGTTACTCACAGTTTTATTTTCTGTATTTTTAGATTAATTTGTCTGGCTATCAAGTAAAGAGAGTGCTTAGTTTTCTTTGGGTTCTACTAATTTATAATATTTATCTTTTTGCTGTAAAGATACTTGCATTTAGTTTTTATGAACATCTTATCTGAGTTACTCAATATGTGAATTCTTAGAACCACTAACTTATTGATTAGGTAGTCTTTAGGCTTTTGATTCATTTGTTTTTAATATTTTAGATTCATAAAAATCTATTAAGAAATCAGTGTCATATGCTTTTACTTCATGAGTATTAATGATGGTAGGAGTTGGTGTCACACCATTTTTTCTTTTTTCCCATTATATTTCAAGATATATATTTTTATTTAATATTTTTGATGAAAGGACTCCAGCAGCTTTATCTTTATATTTAAAATGACCTGTAATTGGAATTACTTCATCTCTAATATAATCATCTTCTTCATCACTTTCTTCATTTTAAGATGCTTAATCTAGATTATTCGCAGGCTAAGCAGTCTTTTTGTCATCTTGTCTTCCTTTTGAACAAATATTACCTTTTTATTCTAACTTATCATAATTCAACAACTTGTATGATGTTTATAACTATTTTGGTTTTTTCAGCTCTTTTTCTTTATCAAGATCTACAACATTTTTAATTTGATTCAGATTTTCATCTGACGAACCTGACTCTCTGTAATTAATGTTAACACCGTTTGCACTATCAACAGATATATTATCAATAACTTCAAGTTATTATGTAAGAGTTTAATGAGGATTCAATATTATTTCTTTTGTAGTTCCTTTTTTCTTTACATCTTCTTTAGTTTTACTGTTTTACTTTGGAGGTTATGATTCTTTTATTTTTTCAGTGTTTAAGTTGTATTTATTCACTATCTGACTAAGAATTTAATTTTACTTTTCATTTTCTATTTTGCTCAACAAATCTTTTAACTATTATTCAATTTCCTTTCCTAATTTTTTTTCTTCAGCTTTCTTTTGAATTTTCTCAATTAACTCTATATTTGACTCATCTATTGCAGCATTACCAACTTCTTCTAAACTTCTTTAATCTTTATTTCCAGATTTCTCTTTTTATTCAGAGGTTTTATTCTCCTCCTTATCTCTATCTTCATTCAAAGGACTTTCAGCATAGTTCTATTTTTGAATCTTCCTTCTCGTATTATACTTCTTTCTTCTTCCTAAATCATCTACAGTAAAACTTTCATCTACTTTAGAATTTTTCCCACTAGTTTAGTTAGATTAAACACTACCTCTTCCTCTCCTTCCAGTTCTATGTCTTCCGTTTGTTTGGTTGCTGTTAGAATTCTATTGTACAAGTTGAGTTGTTTACTTTGGTAAATTTTTATTATCCTCTAAATTTTGTTACTGCAAACCTAGATTTAGTAGTGGTTAATTTGAAAGATCCTCCTTTTTAACATTCATGAGCATTTCAGCGTTTCTTTAAGCTTACAAAAGAAATTAATTTTAGTAATTCTAAAGTAAAAGTGGATTAGCTAAAGCTGCTTGTAATTAGCCATTTTATTGTTAATTCTACTATTACTACTATTATTATTATTATTGCTGTTATTTCTATAATATAAATGGTAATTGCTGCATTGCTTATAACTAGAGCTAGGCTAAGTTTTAAAATTATAACTATTACTGTATCAATTAAGGATTTATTTGTTAAAATTAAATTTCATTTGAGATTGTCTTATTTAGATCAATGAATTATTATGGTATATTCCCATTTTGTTGTCCTTAGCCATTTTAATTTAAATTAATTTGCTATAAATTATTAGGAACTTCTTTTTCATTTGATTTTGCTTTTTTTTGTATTTTTTCTAAAAATTCAGAATCCAATTTTACATTTTCTTTTTTGCTTGTCCTTCTTCTTCTCGGTTTACTTTTAATAAAATCTATTGCATCTTGTATGAGTTGATTATCTTCTTTATTATTGAAACTTAATCCTGATTCATCTACATTTGTTTTTTTTCTACGAGTTCTTTTCTATGGTTTTATTTCACTAAAAGTAGAATCATTAATTTAACTGTTTTATCTTCTTCTTCTCCTAGTTCTTGTAGAAGTATTTCTCTTTTAATTAAGTTAGTTTTTTCTTTATGAAAAACCAGAACTTGAATTAGAAGAATCTTCCTCATCTCCTTCTTCAGATTCAATCATTTTTTTCTTTCTCTGCCCTCTTTTCTCATTTGATTTCCTAGAATTCTTCCTTTGCTCTAATTGAGTGGAAGGAATCTCTTCTTCTACACCAATAAACTCATCATCATCTTCATATTCTTCCATTACCATTCCCTTTTCTAAGGGATTTTAGTAATCTTCATCTGAAGTTGTTTTGCTTTAGCTTGACTCAGCATCTTTATAATCTTCATTTTCTAATTAGCTACCTTCTGACATATCTTTGTTGTTGTCTTTTTATTATTTTTTTTGTTTGCTTTCACTTGCTTTTTCTTTTTATTCGATGTCCATAGTTTCGTTTACTTATTATAGAATATCACTTTCTGGTATATTACCGTTTGTAGCTTCTACATTCAAAACAGAAGGCTCAAGAACATTATTTTAATTATCATTTTAATCTTTTGAATCATCAGAGCTGTAAAGCTTTTTCTTATTTCCAGCTTCATTTAAATTAAAATCAACTTCCTCTTCTTCTTTTATATCAATATTAGGCATATTATGCATACTATCATCAACAATATCAACCATTTGAAGGCAAAATAACGAAAAATAATTTTAAAATGTATTTTCCTCTTTTTAGAAGTTTAAATAATGAAAAGTTTTTTATAAATTAAATAATAATAAGAGATTAATTAAATCATTGTGAAAAACATTAAAATTATAAAAAGTTAATTATAAGAAGGATACTTTAGAGAGGAGGGAATGACAATAATTTTTTACTTCTAAAAAGAGGATAATATATTTTCAAAATTTAAGTTAAAATTCTAATTAAATATTCAGTATTATTAGCGAAACAATCAATAATAAATATCTTCAAATAATTTTCTTTAAAAGACGCACACTATATACAAAATTCTAGCTATTTTATCAGCATTTTACAAATATGGAATTTCCTTCATAATAATTCTTTAAATATTTCGCTTATTTAACAAATTATAAATTTAAAATCTTAATTGTTTATTTACATTTTATATTTTATATTTAATCGTAATGTTAGTTTTTTGATCAAATTTGCCATGCTTCCCATTCAAAAGGATCTGCAATGTAATTTCTTTTTTTGCTTCTCATTTCAGTGCAATACTTTTAAATTTTGGTTATATAAATATTTTATCTAAAAAATAATTAAATAACTTACCATCTTATCTCTTAAAATTTGGTTTTACATAGATTTTTGTTCTGCTAATTTCTCTCTAACTAATCTTTTATCTGAAATCATTCTCTCTTCTCTTAATTGGTACTAATCTTCTTTTTCATCTCTTTTCATTTCTGTATCTGCTAGCAATGAAAAGCCAGCTTCAAATTAATCTTGATATAATCTGTAAATTTCCCACCAAATATATTAATTATGAGGATTGTGATGTAACTCAGCATGTATATTTCTCCAGACATAAGGTGAAGGAGATTTCAAAATCTCCAAGGTAATTGTTCCCATTTCAGTTTAATACCACTTTGAGTGATGGGCATTCATAAACTTATAAGTTTTGATATTTAAGTAAAAAAGCACAGGAAAGTCACCTGTGAAAGCGACACCGCTTACAGTCAATTCAGGGAGGGTAATACTAACATTTAGTCTTAAAATTTCTAAATACCCTTTATAATTTAGTAAAATTAAAAAAACTATGTTATATATAACTCAAATTTAAAAAAAAAAGCATTCTTCACTAAATTGCAAATTATCTTAATTTAATAAATTAAAAATCATAATTCATTATTTTGAATTTATTTATTTGTGCCAATTTTTGAATAATTTAAAATGAATTTTTATTTATTTACCTGGAACATCTATCTTAGGACTAAATTTTATCTTCATTAAAATGTGTGTCATGTTCTAGGCCCACATGTAACAAGGTTCAGCCCTATTAAATCAAAAATTAATTCAAATTCTATTTAAAAAATTTCAAATTTTATGATTTTACTTTACAAGAGAAGGTGATTATTCTGGTAGAAGATTTGTCAAGTTTGAAAAAAGCGGAACATTTTCCAATTTCAATTTCTTTCTAATTTTAACGAATTCCTCATATAAATCTCTCTGTTTAGGATTAAAGTATTTTGTAATTAGAGTAGAGGAAGCATTAAACCATCCTTTATGAATTGTATGATGAAGACATCTATTAAAATATTTAAAAAAGCATCATATTTTTACTAAATTTATTAAAATAGTATTATTTACTATAATCCAATTATTTCATCTTTTTCTATTAAATTATTAATAAGACTCAGAGTTTCTACTTCTGATTTTGAATTTTAAAACATTTCTAAATAGTTAACTTCATTTTCTGCTTTTTAATTGCATCTTGTTAAGGTTATTTAAACAAAAATAGCTGCTAGAATAATAATATTCTTCTTCTTCATGATAATATAAATAGAAATTAATTAATGAATTGTATTTAATTTATGAATGAATTTATATAAAAATGTAAATATTTTGATGCTGATGAGCAAAAATAATTATTAATTTGAAATCTTACAAATGCTTAAAAAAAATATATATGAAATCAATTAAAAAATATGTTATTAAAAATTATTCAAGATTTTTATTAGCTTTTGAAATATTTTAAAATTTCTTTTTTATTCATAAAATTGTAATTTTAATTATTTATTTATTTTACATAAAATATTTTTTTTAATAATTCACTTTGAACTTATTATTAAAGTGTTTGATTTCATTTTTTAATTTAATTTCGATTCGTTTTTGAATAATTTTAATCGTAGAGAATTAGTGAAGCATTTCAAATTAAAAAATGAATAGAATTTATATTCGTTAGTTTTGCTACATAAATTATGAATAAATATAAAATAAGATAATACTAAACAAAAATGATTACAAAATAATGTTAAACCTACTATTAATGTTAGCTAGATTATGTAAACCAATAATACGTTTTTAAACAAAGATTAAATATAAAGTTTTTTCTATGGATCACGAATATAAAGATAAGAAAGGTTAGCTTTTTGTTTTATTATAAGCGAACTTATCAATAAAGAAATCAATAGAAATCTCAATGGTAAAATTGGTTATGATAACTGGTTAAATGCATAAATACACCAAAAAAACAATCAAAAAAGCTGATTAAAAAGCTAAGATATACTTAAAATTTTGTTATTGAATAAGCAAGTAAATCAAATTAAGTGAAAAAGGGATAGTTGAGATTAATAAATAAATTTTGAACAACATTTTTGGAGTAAAAGGATAAACAAATAAATTAGCAAAATAAATTCAACTTTTAAAATATGGCTCAAAAATAGTTCAGATTAACTAGCGATGGATTTCGTAAAAGCGTGAGATAGGAAGTGAGTTAAAAATTTTCAAAAGAGGAGAAGCTGTTTTATGAAGTATTTGAAGAAAAGGGTTATTCTAAGGACAACAAAATAACAAAAAATAGTCCTATCTTTGAAAAGAAATACAATACTTAAAACGATGTTATCTTTTTCCTAATTGAGCAAGTGGAACAGTAATATTAATACTGCACTGTTGAGTAGCTTGTCAATAAAATCATAGATACTATTCAGACCTTTCATTTAGACAATTAAGAGGATTAAGTAGAAATTAACACACTTCTTGAGTATCAAAAAATGCTCTACTAAATTTATGACAGATATGCTTAACGCTCCTAAATATAAAATCCTAAACGCGAAAAGTGCTATATGGAAATTTACCATATTAAAAATCTTGAATTAGTGACAGATATTTTCAAATATTATCAGTAAAAATTAAGATAATCATTTTTTATTTGGTTTATATTTAATAGATGATAATGATAATACATCTTAAAAGCTTTATTAATTCAATTAAGACACCTCAATATTCAAATAAAATAATTTTTTAAGATAAAAGCAAGAAAGTATGAATTTAAATAACTTTTCTAAAATGGGAATTAATTTAAAAAAACAGCAAATAAAAGATCTTTAAATAAAAATTTATTATAAAGAAAATAAAATAAATTAAAGCTAATTAGATATATATTTTCATTCTTCTATGATAAATTTGTTAGCTTTTAGAATAAAATATTACAATTTTTATTAAATAATTTTATAATTAATATAGAATCAAATACAAAGCTAGACTAGTGTCTAAAGAAAACGTATCTACTTTAATGAGCTAAATTGAGAAACCAGAGCCATAATTTAAAAGTATTTATGAATAAAAGAGCTAAAATTTGTGGAAAGAACCATTCTCAGAAAGGGCTGCAAATTTAGAAATTGTTGTTTTAGGTAAAAAAAAACCTGCTCATAGCCAATATGTAAGCAATGGGAAAAGTAATACTAATCCAGATGATTCTTAAATAAATAACACCGAGTGTGATAAGAACAAAGATTATGAGCAAATATCCAAGGTTGTGGTTGATTTCAATTTGATTTATGCTTGTATACATCCAAAATAATTTGAAAATAATAATGTCCACACCAAAGTCAACATTCAGTTCAAAGATTAAACTCCAAATGCTCCTTACACAGGTTTAACTACTATTCAAATGGGATTCAACTTTACTCTGGACACTGAAACTAAGCTGTATGTTATGGATTAATTATTAAACTATTTCGGCACAGATATAGATAAACTTAATTACGAAATTAGTGAAAGAACGAATATCATAAACGATATCCTCCTTTCCTTTAAACAAAAAATTGTATATAAATAATAAAGAGGTTTGGAAGAAAATCGTTAAAACCAAGAGCGTGATGCATGTTCTATTTAGCAGTGCTCTATATTTTGAATTATTCTTCATTCGCTCAACAAAATAAATCAAGTATAATAAATAAATAAATTTAATTCTTTCATTCTTACCAGCTTTTATAAAAACCCTATAAAATTCTATATTCTGTATGTATGTATATTTTGCTTATAATTTGGATTATATTCAATTAATTTTTAAAATATTAAAATTATAACAGCAAATTTAAGTTTATTTTTATCAAAATTATCATTTTCAAATATAAAATATTTCATAAATCAAAAACATATTTTAATAAAAATAAAAAAGTATTACCTAAAAGTTTAATCAAATTCAAAATATATTTATTAACATTTTTAATGGTCTGTATGTATGTATATTGAATACTTTTATTAATTTATGTTGCATTAAATTTAAGATAAAAAAATAACTTCTGCTAAATAAAATACAAAGAAATACTCTAAATTTAAATTATTAAAAATTTATATTTGTAAAATTTAAACTTTTTTTAACAAATAAATATTAATATTTTAATTATATTAAATCCTATATGAAATTATTAACACTTAAATATATATAATAAAGTGAAAATCTAAAAATATCAATATATTATTATTTATATTAACTAAAATACAAGGATAATTGAAAGAAAATACAAAGAAGATTATATTTTTTAGATTAATAATTAGATATTCAATAATACTTCATAATGCTATGTGTATTAGTTGAGCTCTAGTTTATATTTATTATATGTTAGTATATAAATACATCTTGATATTCTAAAAATTAAATTTGGAAAATTTTTAATATTAAAAAAGCATATCTTGATTAATTCGAACAGACACTATATATAATTTAATAAAATTTATTTTTACTTGATAATTTATTAATTTAATAATATCTATAAATTATTATTATTATTATTTATCTATCTGCTGAATGTAATTAAAAATATTATAAAAGTAATAAAATTTAGATATTTTTAATTAAATAATTTATCTCAGTAATAATTAATATTTTTTTATATTAAAAACATAGATATCCAGAAAATTCAAATAATTCTGAGCTAATTTTCAGTCAAATTAATTTATAATTCGCTATAAAATAATTCAAGTATATTAAGTAGATATTAAAAATTAATATTTAAAAAAATATTTTAAGTTATTATTTATCTTTGATAACCAAAAAAGATCTACACTGAAAAAATATATCTTAAATATATATGCTTTTCTGAACAATTGTTTTTAACAAACTATCTTAATTATTATCATGTAAGTTACTAAAAATTGTTTATTAAAATAAAGCAATACTTTAAAACATATCTTCAATATATTGAATATAAAATCAATGGTCTATTATGATTCAGTTTTATTAAATAAAAGAACACTCTCTTCATTTAAAATAGCGGTGCTTATCAAATAAATTTTTTTTAATTAAGTTTTTATTTAGAAGGTTTGAATTTTTGGCCCTATTTAGAGATATATAGATAAAAGATAGATAAATAGATTAGTAGAAGTTAATTAATTTTTTATAAAATAAATAAGACAAAATTTCTGAAATTAATAGCCAATAATTTTTGTTAGAGAAAAATGAAAATTGAAGATCAAAGCAAAAATAGCATTGATAAAAGTAAAAAATAATAATAAGCTGATCATTCGATTTGCTTAGGAGAAGACATTTATGATTTATAAGAGAATCAGAATGATGAAACAAAAGAAATAAAGTTTAGAACTGAGAATTAATATCTCTAATAAATATAAATCTTAAAAGAAGAAAATGAAAAATAAAAAAAGATTATTTTTTAATTGAGGAATACAATTAAATATTATGAGGAAAAGCAATAGCCAATTTACTAAGAAAACCAATTTAACCAAATATTAATGCCTAAAGAAAAAGATTTAATTAGTGAATGGATCACATAAGGTGGAAGAGAGATTAGTTTACAGCCTGTATATAGAGCTACAAGTGATGGGTTTTAGATAAAAAATATTTATTAGAAATGTTCTGAAATAAATAATTTAATAGTACTAATTTAGACAGAATAAAATAAAAGATTTGGATTTTTCACAAACCTTGAAATCAAAGATAATGGATATCAATTCATAACCCAAAATCCAAATGAAATATTTTTGTTTTCTCTTGATTTGAAGTAAAAGTTTACTTCGAATAAAATTAACTGCGAGCATGCATTTTATTCAAACGATAGTTACTTTTCAGTTGGTTAAAATGATATTTTAATATACACTAACTCAAATGAATCCGAAAAATCTTGCAATAACTTTGGTTGTTATGGAGAAAAGCAAGGAATTAATTCAGGAGGTTTTCTAAATGGCGGATCTAGAAATTTCAAGACAATTGAAATAGAAATTTTTAAAGTTGATTACCTTTGAATAATTAATTAGTCTATATTAATAAATATTCTAATATAAGATTATCTTGTTTTTTTCTACTTCAGCTTTTATTTATTTCTTAATACGATTTGTTCATCAAATAAATTATGATTGAATGAGTTATAATTAAAAGCTCTTATTTTTTATATTCTAAAATCAAACAAATTATTGATTAGAAAAATAGGTAACAAACATTTAATCAATTTAAGAATTAAAGCTAATTTATTAGCAATAATATTAATTACAAATAATTAAATAATTTATTTTTGTGGATAAGAATGGATTTATAAATTTTGAGATAGATCCTATTAAAAACTGAAAAATTTACCCACAGAATATTGTTTTTTGTTATTTTTTATAATTAAAATCTAATAATTCTAAAGTTTATGAAAAAACATTCACAATTTGACAAACTAAGCGAAAATTTGGCTCCTGCTTTATTAACTTATTATTATGAATTAATTATTATTAAAATATTAATTAAAATAAATTATAAATTATTTAAAATATTTTTTTCTTACATTAAAAAACTTATACTTAAAATCTTGCAAATAAATTTTAATAAGTTGACTTGTAAAATTAGCATTTTTTAAAAAAGATTTATAAACCTGCTTTATTTACAGATATTACAAAATTAATAAATAATTATTAAAATATCAATTAAAATAAATTATATATTATTTAAAATTTTTTTTTATTACATTAAAAAATTATTAATCAACATAAATAAAATCTTAATTAAAAATAAATTTTGATTAAAATATGAATTAAAATAAATTATAAATTATTTAAAATATTTTTTTCTTACATTAAAAAATCTTTAAAGCAGCTTGAAATTTTACAGATAAATTTTTTGCTGACTTGTAAAAATATTATTTATTTAAAAAAGATTTATAAGTCTGTTTTATAGCCTAATTATTATGAAAAATTATTATTAAAATATCAATTAAAATATTTTTTGTTACATCAAAAAATATTTAAACAAACATAAAATTTTACAAGCAAATTTCAATTTATCTTACTTGTAAAATAAAATTTTTTTAAAAAAGATTTATAAAACTGCTTTATTTACTGATTATTATTAAATAAATAAATTATTACTAAAATTCAATTAAAATAAATTATTAATTATTTAAAATATTATGTTCTTAAATTAAAAGATTTTTTAGGTGCAACTACATCTTAGTTAAACTGAGTTTTTATAATTACACTCATTTTAAAAAGATTTATTCAGTCATTATATGTAAGCTTTGATTTATGGAAATTAAATAGAAAATTCAATAATTAAGATATTTATTAATGGAAATTACTCAATAAGTTAAGACTTGCTTAGCAGAAGGTATTTATTTATTTAGTTATATCTTTTTTTAAAAAGGTATCCGTATTAAATTTAATTCTTACAGTATAAACTATAAAATCAAAATAATATATCAAAGAATCTAAAAGCGAGTTATTTAAAATAGAAATGAGCGAAACTTAGACTCAAATTAATTACATAGATTGGCCCAAGGAAATTAAGAAAATTATGTTCGTGATTGTCATGGAACACGAAGCAAACGATTTAATTAGTTTGATCAATCTAAAGAGAGATGAAACTACTTTAAACAATCCCTTTTTGGAAGGATATACATGTGAGTATAATAATAAATAGGTAATTTTAGTTAAGCCTCCAATCGATCCTGTTTACAAGGTTTAATCAGTCAGCACAGAGCCTGCTTCTTTATGTGTTTATGCTGCTATTAAAAAATATAACCCCGATATAGTTATTAGTGCAGGAACAAGCGGCGGTGTTAAAAGAAAGGAAAATCCAGATTTGCATTTGAAGATCAAAGATATAGTTGTAGCTTAAAGCATTTAGTTTTTTACAAGAACAATTATTATCAAAGACTGGGAAGGTTATGTAGCTGGTAAGCAATATAATTTGCTTAATCCCAAGCCTTTACATCAAATATTAGCTTTAAAGCCTGTAATTATTGGCACTGATAATAGCTTTACCAATGACAATACTCATGCTATTGAATAAGGCATAGACTGCATTGAAATGGAAGCAGCAGCTGAATTAAGAGTTTGTCACTTACTAAATGTTCCATTTACTGCTATAAAGATTATATCTGATGTTGAAATGGATGATCCTACAGAAAGAGAAACCTTATTTAAAGACTTCTTTGTCCATGGTATTAAAAATCTATCTATCAAATTAAAAGAATTCCTTGATGATATTGATAAAATAGCTAATTGGTGAAATAGCTGAAAATAGTTAACTAATTTATGTTTGATTTAATAAAATTGTAGTAAAACATTTATAAATTAAAATCTTTTTAAAAAAATGCTAATCTTTTATACAATTTCAATTTCAATACTATCTCCTAATTCTTTATTAATTTAATATCTTAAAAATTAAAAAGAATTTATTTACTTTAAAATCTAAAATATCTTGATATTTATCAATAAATTATCATTCAAAAAAAAATTCACAATTAATTTAATAAAATCATTTTGTAAGTATTATTTTAACAATTAAAAACGAAAAAAAGCATTAAAAAATTATTAAAATTAAATATTTTTATTTTATTTGTCAATAAATTCTAATTAAAATATCAAATAAAATAATTGATTCATTTTTTAAGGAAAAGCACCCAAAATACTTTTATTAAAGCATAATTTTTAAGTTTTTGAGAAATATTTAATAGAATGATTTTTTCAAACAAATTAAAGGTTTAGTTCATTTTAGCAATTTATAAGGAATATTTTACTTGTTTGTGATTAAAAAAACGATTAAATAAGTTATGGTATGCATTGATATTTAAATTGAATAAACATTATAACATATTTTAACAAGAAGAGCGATGACAATCAAAGCGCTTATGCTTTTAAAATCATAGATCAGAACCCTAAGGATATTTATATAAAAGGAATGTAATTCTTAGAATTTCTAACATTGTTAAATGTATTACTTATTAAAGTTAAATAGATTTAGAAAAGCACTTTTTTGAAAGATAGTTTAATTGATGTATTAACTAATATTGTCAATTTTGTTGATTAATAAGTAGAAAAATAAGGATTAACTATCTATAATATTTATATTTCAGCATTAATTAGACTAATTAATAATTATAATAAATAAATAACAAATTTTTTGAAGATTAAACAATAAGTATTTAAATAAAGAAAGAGACGAGGAATATTTGGACTTTTTTAGAATAAATTAACTTTATATAAACAAAGGAAAAATTAGATTAGAAAATGGAAGAAGATTTTGAAAACGTTTATTCAGAGGAAGATGTTAAACAAATAACTTAGAGCTTAAATAAAGATCTGCAGGATTAAAAACAAATTATTCAAAAATTGCAAATGGATAATACTGAATTGAAGAAAGAAATTGATTAGCTAAAAGAATAATTGAAATAAAAATAATAAATTATATATGATAATTCTAAAAACCTAGTGAAATTTGAATTAGAAAGATCTAAAGCCATAGAAGAAAACCATATCATGAAGAAACTTCTGGAAGAAAAGGATTTAGTTCGTGTTTTAGACTTATTTTCTTGGAAGTCATTTGAAGATGGATAAGCAAAAATTTTAGAGTAGGCAAAATAAATAGAAATTTTAAGCTCAAAACTAAGAAATAGCGATTAAATTGATAAAAGCAATTCTTAAGGCATACTATAGTATAAAATATTTAATTAGGAGAATGAAAAAGAAATACTTGAGAGCCAAATCAATTAGCTAAATAATGAAATAAAATAAAAAAATTAATAATAATTAGAAAGAGATTACTTTTATGAGGTTATCTCTAACCATTTAGGAACTTTTGATAATAAAGATGATTAATAGTATAAATAAAAAGCAAAGGAATACATACATTACTGTTTTGATGCATTAAAAGATATTATAAATTAATTAAAAATTAATGTAAAATTAAGTTTTTCAGAGTCTGTTTCTGTTTGAGCTTCAACGCAGTATTAAAACTATTTCTATATATTCATATCAAATAAAAATTTCCTAAATGAAAAATTATTAGAATATCTTTTATCACAATTGAACATACATACATATTCTAAAAGCTTTTAAAATATTTAAATGAATTAATATATCAACATTTATTTTTTTGTTTTAAATCGCTCTTTTTATAAAATTTATATATTAATTTATTATATCATTAATTTTCTATTAGATATTAAATATTTATGTAAAATATCAAATAATAAAAAAAACATTTATTAACATTTTTAAATTATTTTCTTGATTGAAAGTATTAATTTTAAATATTTAAGCAAAAGAAATTCATTTAATTACTGAAACATTAAACAAAAAAAAATAAAATTATATTAGTATGATAGTTTTTTTTATATTAAAAAAATATTTTTGATAGTAAAGCTTTTATTCTCATTAGTATTATGTTTAATTATTTTTAGATTAACCAACGTCCTACTTCTTTTCTTCTTCTTATACTTCTTCTACTGGCGTATCAGAATGACTTTTATTTGTCGCCATATTTTCTAAAGGTGACTTTATTGTATTCGAGGATGAATTGCCGCTATAGTTTCCATGAGGTATTTACTCCACAGTTATGTTCAGTTAAGGATGTTGATTGCTTTAGTTTAATTTAAAAATGGATTCTCCACTGCTTCCCTCTAGATTTAAGTTCTATTTTTCAACAGTGGCCTCTTAACTTGAATTTTACTGTTTCTAATAAATGTTTGGATCTACCTATCCTTCAAGATGTTAAAGAAAAAAGGAGACTTAAGATTGATTCTATGCAGAACTACTTATATTAATAGTAGCTTAAGCATCATTTAAGGATACGTTAGGTATTTGAGAATTTTAAGCAAAATTATCAGCTTTATTCGGTCTCTAGATTTCAAGAGAGTCTATCTAAGCTAATTTATTAATATCGGATGAAATGTGATTTTAGATTATAGGAGAAATCTAAAACCTTTCTTGAGCAGTAAGAGAACCATATTGTTCTAGAAAAGATTTCAAGAATTATTAAGCAGGGTCGTCCTAGTGTTACAAACTCTAATTTGACTAGTTGGCAGAAGCTCTTTAGCTATCCTTATCATCGTTTTATCTATCCATTTTTTACTTTTATAGATGTTCTTTTTATATTTATTTAATAATTTATTCAAAATTTGGATGTTCTTCAGCGAGTATTTATTCTCTGTATAATCTATTTTAAATTATTTTTTTAAAAATTTATTCTTTATTCAAGCTACTCATAGTGTTGCTCGTTGAATTTTTGATATTATTATTTGTTGATAAATAATTTATTATATTATATTATATTATATTTGTTGGCTCAAATCACTTTAATTTTTTTGTTTTGTAGCTTAATTAATTTATTTTTTGTTTTGTAGCTTAATTAATTAATTTTTTTCTTCTTAGTAGAACAAATGTGTTTATAATTCCTTTTCCTTAATTTTTTTTGTCTTTTTGTGTAAAATATATATATTAATGAATAATTTTACTTATTTTTCTATTAATTTACATAATAAACTTTTTAGTTAAAAAATTATCTTTAGAAAGTATTAGAATAGTTTATTTATTCTTTTAAATTGATAAATTATTACTAACAAAATAAATTTATTTTTTAATTAAAAATAATTATTATGACTGTTTATATTTTAGTAATAAGCTTTTTAATTTTTAATTATTATTTATTAATTAGTAAAAAATTATATGACTAAAGTACATTTTTATTTCTTGAGTTAATAAGTTTTCCTAAAATTTTAATATAAATAGTAAAAGACTTTATTTTAAAAGCAATACCATTTTAAATATATTTTTATAATTTATGATTTTCCTGAAAAAATAAAAATAATAATAACTTGAATGAAAATATTTTAATGTAGATTTAGAATTTTTTTTGAAAATAAAAACTATTATTAGAACTAAATTTATAAATACTAACTATTTAATTGATAATAAGTGTTAATATAATATAATCATAAACATTTTTTGTTTATAATTAGTTATAATAATTATTTTTATTTTTAAAATATTAATATCGTTCACTAATTTAATAAATGTAATTTTTTTAAAGTATTTAATTGTTCAAACATTAAAAAATATATTTAAATAAATATATAATGCATATCTATAATTCATAAAGATCATTTTTTTAAAGAAAATTAAAAAAAAGTATTACAACAACCATATAAAAAAATTATAAAAAAGTAAACAGAAAAATTAACAAGTTTTATTAATTAATTTATTATATAGAATATTAATTAGAAATATTTAACTAAAACTAATTTATCTAATATTAATTTTCTGTACTTTAATTTAATATTTTCAAAAAAAAATAATAATTTCAATTAAAAACTCATAATACATTAAATTGATAAAATTTAAAATATCAAATATTAACAAAAACATATAAAAATTTTTAAAATTATTTTGTTGATTAGAAGTATTAAGCAAAATAAATTCATTTAATTGCTGAAATATTAAGCAAAAAAAAAATATAATTATTTTAGTATCAAATTTTATTTATATTAAGAAAGTATTTTAGTATTGGAAAGCTTTTATATTTCATTCTTTTTCTATACTATTCAGTTTAATTATAATCCTACTTATTCTAGGATTAACTGCTGTTATTGTTTACTATTTGTATTTAATCCACTTTTATTTTCATTTAAGCAATATCATTTCTTTATTGTATTTTAGGTATTTGAGAGCTATTTAGATTTTAAACGAACCTATCAGATTAATTTTATATTTGAGTCCATTTAAGCAGGTTAATTAATATTCTATTATATTTTATTTAAGAATCTAGGAATAATATATTGCCTTTCTTCAATATTAAGTTTATCTAATTGTTCAAAAAAAAATTTCAAAAATTATTCAGCACCGTCTGAATGTGGCATATCTTAATTTAATGAGTTGACAGCATTTTAGTTATTATTTTTTTCATTTAACTTATCCTATTTTTTTTTTTACTTTTCTAGATGTTCTTTTTAAATTTCTTAAATAATTTAGTCAAAATTTGGATTTTCTTCAGCTAGTATTTACTCTCTGTATGCGCGATTCTAAATTATTTTTTAAAAAATCTATTCTTTAGTAAGGCTATTCATAGTGTTGCTAATTGAATTTTTAATATTATTATTTTTTGATTAATAATTTATTATATTATATTTATCATCTCAAATCACTTTAATTTTTTTGTTTTTTTAATTGATTTATTAATTTTTTTGCTCTAAGTAGAACAAATATGTTAATAATTCCTTTTGCTTATTATTTTTACTCTCTTATGTAAAATCTTTATATTAATGATCAATTTTACTTAGTTTTCTATTTATTGTTTAATAAATTTATAAATTTAAAAATGATCTTTTAAAAGTACTAGATTCGTTTATTCTTTTAAATTTGTAAAGTATTACTTATAAAATAAATAATAATTATTATGATTGTTTACATTTTAGTAATTAGCTTTTTAATTATTAATTATTATTTGTAATTAATAAAAATTTATATGATTTTAGTACATTTCTATTCATTTGAGTTTACAATTTACGCTTAAGTTTAATATAAACAGCAAAAGACTTGATTTAACAGAAATACCTTTTGAAATATCTTTTAATAATAGTGCTTTTTTTTGAAAAAATAAAAAATTATAATCGCTTGAATCAAAATATTTTAATATTAATTTAGAATTGTTTCTGAAAATAAAAGCTATTATTGGAACTAGATTTATATAAACTAACTATTAAATTTATAAGAAATGTTAATGTAAATTAAAAAATGATCTTTTGAAAGTACTAGATTAGTTTATTCTTTAAAATTTGTAAAGTATTACTTATAAAATAAATTAATAAATAATTTAAAAATAATAATTATTATGATTGTTTATATTTTAGTAATTAGCTTTATAATTAATTATTAATTATTATTTGCTAATTAATAAAAATGTATATGACTTCAGTACATTTCTATTCCTTTGAGTATAAAAATTTCGCTAATTAGAATAAATAGTAAAAGACTTGATTTAACAGAAATACCGTTTTAAATATATTTTTATAATAATGATTTTTTTTGAACATATAAAAAATTATAATCGCTTGAATCAAAATATTTTAATATAGATTTATAATTGTTTCTGAAAATAAATACTATTATTCGAACTAGATTTATATAAACTAAATATTAAATTAATAAGAAGTGCTAATTTAAAATAATGATAATCATTTTCTTTAATAATTAATTATGTCAATTATTTTTATTATTTAAAATATTAATTTTGTGCACTTTTAATTTAAAATCATTAACTTAAAATATTTAATTTTTGAAACATTAAAAAATATATTTACATAAATATAAACTACCATATTAAACTGTAGAAAAGAATAATTTTTATTAAAGAAAATTTAAAAGAATTATTACTAAATCTGTAAGACTTTGAATGATAGATAAAGTATACAGTACCGTCATTTAATATAGGTTTAACGTATATATGGTTGATCCTTTTTGGTTATATTTATAAATGTTTTAAAATTGATTATTTTCTCTCTAGTAATTAGTTAATTCTTTTGTATTTTTCATTTAGCAAAGAAATATATTTTATTTATGTACATTATTTTCGAAAACACTCTCTGTTTTAACTGATTATTTATTTTTTTAGATCTATCTCATTTTTAATTATTAACTTTAAAAATTAAGAAAAGAAGTTTATAACCTTTTTTGAAATTAATAAAGACTTTCTGAATCCAAAAAAAAAAAAAACACAACTAGCCAACTACTTATTTACATTTAAACACTAAATTTCATTACTAAACACATATTCGTTTAGTACACTTTTTAACTAACCTTAACTCTAATTTACACTGAATGGTAAATTATTGATTAACTAATTATTTAAATCAAAAATGAACTAGTGAATTTAGTTTATAATCATAATTTTAAAAAATAATGTGATGAAGCTTTTATTTTATATTTTTTTAAATTTTTTTTCTTATTATTCTTCTCATACTAAATCTAATTTAATTTTCTAATTGCTGAAATTTCATTTATCTGTCTTTGATGATCTGTAGTTTTTCTTTTTGGATTCTTAATAAAAATTAAACATATTTTTCAAATTAGCCGGTTTTTTGATGTTTTAAAAATTTTATTTTACATCTTTTTTATAATATATTTTGACAAGTTCACTTACAAATAAAATTTGAAGGTATTTATAATCTAAATTTATTATCAATCCTTAACATCTTATTTGAAACATTATGAAATATAAGCATATTTTCATTATTTTCTTAAAGAATATATTGTTTCCTACCAGCTATTAATTAATTGATACGCAAAAATTTGAGATTTAAATAATTAAAAAGAATCTGATTGGTTAATTAATTAAATAAATTATATTAAATTTAAATACAATCAATTTTTTTATGTTAAAACAAATACAAATTTAAATTGACCAAGTTGAATTTATAATTTTATGGACTTTAAATAATATCTATTCAGTCTTAAAAACAAAAGAAAGATATTTTATTTTCTATTTATCCACTATATTATAAAGTACGATCAATACTTTTAAAATTGTAGATCATAAAATTTAAAGGTTGAAAAGCTAGCATTTATAAAAAAATTTTAAGCGTCTCTTTTTCTCAAAAAAATAAACAAATCATAAAAAGGATTAAATAAGAAAATAATAATCAATTTACAAAAAGCAACAATAGCTTTACTGTTTAGCTATTAAAAATAATATACATTATAAATTTTTGGTTATTAAAAATTTATTAATATACTGATCATAATTAATAAGAATAACATATATCTTATTATCTATCGTTTTACTTTTAGATAACTAGCTATATTTTCATTTATAGTATAATTAAAGGGCAAACAAAATATCATAAAATGAAAAAAATAAAAATAATAAATTTATTTGTGCATCAAATACACTAAATTCTTATTTAAATTAAAAAAGGCTCATTTAAAAAATATCAATCCCTTGCCTCTTTATCTTAATTTTTAGTATTTTCAGTAAATTAAATATATATCTAAAATTTGAGGGTTTAAGTAAGTAATAAATTAAGTTTAAAACAATCAATATGTTATTTGATTAGTTTGTGAAGCATTTGCTTTAATTAATATATGCAAAATTATAAAAATTAATTCAGTATAAGTTTTTAAATTACAATTAACTATTCAAGTGTTAAATAAATAAAACTAAATATGGTTAATTAATGGAATAAAATAAATAATTCTAAAATTAAATATAAATGAAAGTTTCAAAATTATAAATTATAAAGTTAAGTTTTTTTTAGATATTTTTGATATTGTGAATTAAATAAATATCGTTTAATTATTAAAACCAAATAAAAATATAATTTGATCAACATGCTTCACTTTCATTTATTCAATATATATTTTTATTTCAACTTAATACATATAATTACAAAAATTTATTAGAAATTTAATTTCACTTTCTAAATTTACTGAATTCAATTTTGATTCAACCTTTTAAATAAAATTATAAAATCATTATTATGTGTAATTTAAACGAAACAAATAAATAAATAATTAATTAACTGCTTAATTTTTTTAAAATTATAATTTTTTATTAATTTTAATATTCTTATTCCATATATCGTAGATTATAGATTTATTGATATAGTTTGTGAGCAACTTATTTTATTTTTTTAATTATAAAATAACAAAACATTACGTATTATAAATTTCAATCTTGATAATAGATTTCGTTTGTACAATAAATTTTATAATTTCATTTAATCTAATCTAGATATTTCTATTTTACTTTTTGTAAAAGTTTTTTCAATTTATATCAAAATTCTTATATAATTTAATCTATTTTTTAGCCAAAAACAAAATGTATTATTTTAATTACCTGTTTATACAGATAAATATATTTTATTAAGTAAATTATGACATTTTAAACAAATATATTATTTTATGATGATAATGTAAAAATATTTTTAAGTTGTATATTTTTAATATCAATATATCATTATTGTCTATTTATTATTAATGTAAAAGCAATTTTAAATAAAATTAAAAAGTTAAAGAAACAAAAAAATAATGTTATTATTAAAAACAAAACACAGTTGAATTTATAATAATTTAAATTTAATATGCATCCTTACCAATTTTCTTTTTTTTTTTATAAAAACTAATAATGATGCATTTTAGCTAGCAAATTAATAAATAAATAAAATTTATTAGGTTCTACTTACTTTGTAAAAGTTAAATAATTTTTAAAAAAAATTATAATTATTTTAACAATTAATACCAAATAGATATACCAAAAATGATTTATGAAATACAATTTTAAATAAAAATAGAACTTCATTACTTTAATTTTTTTATTGAATGTGGCATAAATTAAAAATACTTAGTTTTAAAAAACTATTATCACTTAACGCATTTAAAATTTAATAATAAAGATATCAAAATTAATAAGTGTTTATAAATATCTGTTTAAATCTAATTTAGTTTTAATATTAGTAACTAGCTATCTTATAAATTACTGCCAAACAACTCAAATGACTGATAAATTACTAAATAATTATAAAAAATAGTAAATAAAAAATAATTTCTGCATTTAATATTTACTTTTTTGGGTAAAATAATACATTTTATCAAAAATATAATATTCGTATATTCACACAAAATACATTTTCTAACTAATTCAAAAATTAGATAACTGAAAATATATTATTTAGCTTGAATTTATTATATTTTACTTTCGAACATACTTACAGCACATAAAGTGAATGCGTCGCATAGTAAATTAAAGCCAGATAGATTAAAAATTACGATCTACTGTCTCAATTTATATATTTTTTATTTTAATAATCTGTTTAACCTTTAATCAACCAATTTTAATAATAAAAAGAATAATTGTAATTATTTATATTTAACATTCCGCTGTATATTATTTGATGAATTAATGTATACTAACTCCTATTAGTCCATACGATATAAAGATACCTAAGCACATGCTTAGTTATATATAATTATAATCAAAAAATAATTTAAATTAAAAAACTAAGTAAAAAATGAGTCAAAATAGCAATTAAAAAAATTTTTCGAAACATAAAAGCTTTGACGTATGTTAAACTTATTCTTAATCTACCTTATCTTAAAATTCAATAGATGAATCTGAGTATACAAATTAATAATTTTATACTAAGATTTTAAAATATCTTATTTTAAATATCTAGCAGAAGTGCATGCTAAAACATCTAAATTGAATCTTAAATGTTAGATTCTGCCTCTAACAAACTACAAACTAATCTAGGAAAAAATCTTAAACATATTGATAGAGATCTTGCTCTAAAATCTCAGAAATGCTCTAACTTACAAGGTAAAACAATATTTTACATTATCATTTTTAACAAATATTGGTAATAATAGGTGATTCAATGTCTATTATAAATGATAACGATACATAAGTATCAATAAACTCAATAAATAGTCTATAGACAAAAATTTTTTCTCAAAATTTTGAAAATTATAGAATTTAAAACTAATAAGAATTTATGCTTGACAATTCTATTTATGCCGAATGTTGTGGTAATAAACAATAATCATTTAATTTTTAATATGTAAGGTTTTTTTAATTATTTAATTAGCTGATAAATTCTTATTATCAAATATTCCTCTAAACTAATCGAGCAGTATGATAAGTGATGATAATGATTATGATTATAATGAAAACATCTTAAATAATTCGATTTTCCAAAAAACACAAAGCGAGTCCAGTAGCATAAAAAGCCCTCTGAGCAAGAGAGTAACTTTCTAAGACTTATCCTTGAAAAGTATTTTTTATATTAAAAAACATAAAAATAAAACATTTCTTTTTTTTTACTCTTTTTAAATTATTTATTTATTTTATATCAAATACATTTATATAAAATAAGGTCCTTTATAATAATCAAATCTTTGTTGCAATAATTAAGAAAAATCTATAAAATAATTATTTTCGTTTGAAAAAAGCTAAGTAGAATAAATGATTAGTTCATGTAAATATATTAATTATTTTTAAAACACTAATTTACTTTTTTTCTAAAAAAGAATCTGCTTATTAGTCTAATTAATCTAGCTCATAAAAAGTTAAAAAATCTATACTGAAGAAATCTAAAACATTTGAACTAAATTTCAGTAAAAATTTAAAGATATTATTTTAGATTGTAAAAATTTTATTAATAATAGAAAAGGAAAAGGAAGGCTAACAGGAAATTCCAACTTAATAATCTAACATGGACTTTTGCAATATCAGAAATGAAGAACTCATTTAAATATTACTTGAAAATGAAACTTATAACTCCAAATATCTAAGAAAATATTTTTTTAGTGATATGACAACTAAAATATCTAGCTCTGGTGAGAGAAAAAGTAAGATAATTATGCTCACACATAATTCATTTTATGTATTACAAGATTATAGTAACTATAAGCACATATAAAAATTTGATATTTCTCAAATCAACAAAATAACAATTAATCCTGAATATCAAAATGTTTGCTCAATTGTCGTGAAAAATTAGTTTTTATTAAATTTATAAATAAATCATTTTAAAGAATTTATATAATTTATCTAAAACATTTTTAAATCCGTCTTAAAAATGTTTATACCAATAATATTCGACAAATAAAAATAAAAATTTATTTAATAATCAAACATTAATGTAAACAATAAAGTGGAATCAAAGATGGAATCCTTTTTGAATAGCAAAAAAAAAGAATTTTACATTTAAATTATGTTAATAGAAAATAATATTTTACAACATGACTCTAAAACTATAGGATTACTTTAATTCTTTTAAAATAAAATTTTAATTACTGCATTGTAGAAGCATTTAGAGTTAAATAGACTTACTGAAGTAGATTTATTTGAGATATGCACATACAAAAGATAATTTATGTTTAAATCTCTCAGAAATCCAGATCATTTATACTTAACCAAGCTTTTGGATGATTAAGAATTTTAACAATGTTTAAGCCAACTATAAAATTTTGAAAATCAAATTAAATGATTAATAAGAATAGATTATTTATTTCTTTATATTTATATATTTTTCGTATTTCTAATTTTTAATCAACTGTCCATTAACTAATATTCAGTCATATATTTTTTTATATTATATTTTATACTTCTATTATTTTAACTACAATTCTAAGAAATAGAAAATATCAATTTATTTATATATTGATACTTTAAGTTAAAAATTTTAAAAAAATGAACTAAGTAATTCATTTTAAAATGATTTAATTATAAAAAAAATTAATAAAAAATAGAAATAGTATTTAATAAAATATTCTATCTTAAAGTTTTAAAAATTAGTTAATTTCAGAAAAATATATAAAAAAAATAAATAAAAAATATTTTTATACACCACTTAACCCCAAAAATTTTCTAATATTCAGTCATATATTTATTTTTTATTTTAAAAATTTTATTTCGATTATATTCACTAAAATTCAAATAAATATTAAATATAAATTTATTTTAGATATTATTACTTTAAGTTAATAATTTTTTAAATATGAAATAACTCAGTCATTTTAAATATGCGCTTATAATTAATTTATTATTGTTTGAATAAAAATATTTTAGTATTGATTTAGAAATTTTTAAATAATAAAAATTATTTGTAGAATTGAAATAATTTAAATTTTAGGTATTTCAAAATAAATTCAACGTTCTAAATGATTTTTATTTGAGTTCAAGATTTATATAAAAACAAGAAATTAATTCGTTCATAGATTTATGAAATGAAAAGATATAATTTGTGCTGGTAATTAAATAAACAAAAAGATTGATACTTCGCTTTAATTAAAAATAAAAAATTATTAGCTATGATTTATTTAAAAAGTGAATATATTAAATTGAATAATAAAAGAAAGCAACTTTCTCAATTAATTAATATAACTCAATCTTTGAATTTTAAACTGTAAAACAAGCAATTAATTATTCATAAAATTAAGTAGATAAATAGCCAAGTTTTTTCAAATGGGAAACGAAACATCAGCTATGTCACCTGAGTAGCAGGCAGAAAATTATTATTTTAATGGAGTAGATAGATTTCGTCCATAGGTATATAAATATAATATGAGCGGAAGCGTTGTAGATCGCTAATAGCTAAATGAAGAATAAATTTAAAAAGAGGCTGTTCAGGGTTCTGCTCGTTTTGGCAACGAGCAAGAAAATGTTGATCGTTTTAAAAAGGGATATAACGAAGGCAATTTAAATTAGGATATTCGTAGAGAAGAATTTAAAAATTCTATTAAATATGTTCCATAAGACTCAATAAAAGATAAGGATTACATAGAATTCCCAAGAATGACATTAATGAAAAGAGAGATGGAAAGACATTATTAGTCCAACGATGTGCATAGCGTTTACTAAAATTTGGAAGTTAATCCAGAGTTGATGAAAAGAATTGATAAGCACATTAACAAAACCGAAGATTAGCTAGAAAGAATGGATTAAGAAGAAAGAAAACACACCATATTAGATTAATTAGGACGTATTGCCTACTTAGAAGATAGAATGGAACTTTTGTAAAAAGAAATCAGCAACTAAGTATTTCATTTAAAATACAAACATAAAAAGACCCTCAATTTTTAAGGCGACTACAACAAGCTCAGAGACGAAACAAGTAAATATTTTCCAAATTAAAACAGATAAATCCAAAAATGAATAAATAAATAACTTCACTAAAAAATTTACTATCAAAACTACTTTTTGATAAAAAGCATAATAAAATATTGACTGAACGAAATTTCAAAACAGCTAACTATCTAATTATCTATATATCTATCTATCTAATAATATCTTAACCAATTTAAAAATTTGATTTTTCTTCGTAACTTGATTTAATAAAATTAACTAAAATAAATAAAATAGCTTAAAGAGATAAAATAGCTTAAAAAATAAAATAAAAAGGTTCAGTATGAAGTTAAAAAAATTATTAAAAGTGATAAAATAAATAAATATTTTAAAAGTCTTTTGTTAAATTCTAAAATTCAATTTTATAAATTATTTAATTTATGTATTAATTTTTTTATTTAACTTAGTTGCACATCATGCAAGAATAAACTAATTTGAAGAACAAAATAAAATGAAAGATTTAACAAAAGTGCAAGAAGAAATGGAAATGAAAGAAGAAGACATTAGATCTTTAGAGAAAGAAATAGAGTCTTATAATGATTAAATAAATTATTGGAAACAAAAGGCCAGCATTGATGATAACTGTATAGCGATCATTACAAGTTTAAAATTTAGAGCACAAGGATTGATTACAGAAAACAAAAGATTAAAGGATATCCTTTACAAAGACGAGGAATATGCAGATATTAAAAATGTTATGTATGATAATAAATAAATTTAACTTCAATAAGAAATTTTTGAGGAAACAGATAATTTGCTTAAGAATTATTACGAATCTGTAACTTACGATCGTACCTTTGATGATAAAAAGAATGTATCTAAGACTTAGAATACTTCAATTAATACTAAAACAATTAAAAAGAACTGATTCTCCTAAGCTTTTCCAATCCTATCACTAAATCTCTCTTTTATATATCTATCTAACAGATGAAAATTAATTAAATAAATAAATAAATTAAGAAATAATCTATTTTTAAATCCTAATTTTGTAAAAGATTTAAATATCAATTTATAATCAATCTATTTCATGTTAAAATTAATTTTTATAAATCCATAAATATGGCCACTTATATTTATTTACCTACCAATCATTTATATATATTTATTATTTGTTCTAATAACTTAAATTTTTATATTTATTTAGAATATCAAATGTAAATTTTCATTCTAATATTTATTCTATATATATATTTTATATCTCTATTAATTCATTTTTAAATTAACTTAATATTTTTTAAAAAAATAAATGGTTGTGTTTATTCATCAAGAAAAAAATAAATAAGTTAGGATAATATTTAACTTAAATTTTTTACATACATTTTATAATTTATTAAGTTCTAACTAAACTACATACTCTTAATTCAAAGTAGATTCCTTGATAGATAGAAAATCATATACACTCACTATCAATTTTATATTTAATAAATATTCTTAGCTAAAATAGCAACCATAAATAAATATGGAAGTATTTAATTTAAAATTTAAATATATTTTGAGTTTATAAATTATAGTTAAATCTGAATTGTAGACTATTAATTAGTAGAAGCCCTATAGGTAGAAAAACAGATACTCTCACTATCAAGTTTATATTTAATAAAAATATTTTACTTATTTATATAACAACAAGAAATAAATATGGAAGTATTTTATATAAAATTTAAATATATTTTGAGTTTATAAATTATAGTTAAATCTAAATTGTAGACTCTAAATTGGTAGAAGCCCTATAGGTAGAAAATCAGGGACACTCACTATTAAGTTTATATTTAATAAAAATGTTTTGCTTATATAAAAACGAGAAATAAATTGGAAAGTATTTAATATAAAATTTAAATATATTTTGAGTTTATAAATGATAAAGTTAAGATTAAATTGAAGACTATAAATTGGTTGAAGCTCTGTAGGTAGAAAATCAGACACACCCATTATCAAGTTTATATTTAATAAAAATGGTTTGCTTATATAACAAAGAGAAATAAATATGGAAAGTATTTAATATAAAATTTATATATATTTTGAGTTTATAAATTATAAAGTTAAGATTAAATTGTAGACTCTAAATTGGTGGTAGCTCTATAGTTAGATATATTGATTGATAGGTTTATACTCATATTTTATACTTTCTATCAGAAACAGCAAAACTTTGTATTATTAGTCTGGAGTTCTCTGCCACTATATATTCTAACATTCCCTCTTATTACTCAGATTTTTACTTTAGGGCCTCGTACTGCTCAATGAACATTTGATTTTCTCTCTTAAGACGCTTTAATATTTTAAAATGAAATTAATATGCTTAAAAAGATAATAATAATTAAATACTTCCATTTCTTCTCTTAACCTTAAGACATCTTCTTGATTACCTCTTTGATAATCCATTTTTTGACTTAATCTTTGAATATTGTTTAATTTAATATAATATAAATTTTAAAAATATAACATAAACTTATATATAAATAATATTACTATTATTTAAGCTCTTAATTTGCTCTTTCTAAGTAGACAAAATTTGAAAGCAATTCTTGGTTTTATTATTTCAAATCTGAAGCAAGTATTAAATCTCTATCTTTCATATCTAATTCCATTTTTAATTATTAAATTATTAAATCTTTCTCATCTTAATTATTTCCTACATTTGCTTCTAATCCTTATTAATTATGTGATACTTGTGGAGATCCTCTATTTTGCTAATCTTATCTTTATTGTTGATCATGATTGTCAAATTTATCTTAGCTAGGATCTTTTTTGATTGGCTAATCAGCTTATTTATTTTAATCACCTGCTTACTCTTATTTTATTTTATTTAACTCTCCCTCTAAAGCTTCAATATAATTATCATAAATTTTTAAAAATTTTTCTAATTTTGCTGAATTTTCTTTAGAATCTCTCATAAAAGAATTTAATGATAGGTAAATCTTTCTTCTTTTTTATTTTCCCTCTTCTGTTTAATCTTTTTCAATATTATCAAAATCTTCAAACTTTTGCTTATTCTTAGCCTATTATTATTCGAAAATACGTGATACATTTTCTCTAGCTTTATTAAATTCAATTTTTAATTATTCAAAGCTGTTTTAATCAACTTCGGCCATTTTTAAAAAGCTATTGTGTTTATTCTAATTAATATTCTTTTTAGATCTTAATTATTATTAATTAATTATCAAGTATTTATTTTGTGGTTCTATTACATTCTTAAGAAATTAGAACTAAATAAATTGAAAATTTATAATTAATTTATTAAAATTTGGCAAATTAATTAATTAAATTTATTTATTTTGATAGAAATCTTCCTAAAATAAATCAACCAAAAAAAGTAATAAAATTTATTAATAATTTTAAAACTAATTTATAAAGGTTTAAACAAAATCATATTACACTCCTTCAATAAAAACATCATTTCATATTTATTCCTAAAAAAACTAAAATTTTATTGTTAAAGAAAGCATCTTACTCCGAAGACATAATTATCAAAATCAGATCTATTAAATATTTATTTCCATTTTTTAATAATAAAAATACATTAATTTATTAATTATTCAATTTTTTTTAATTCATAAATTTATTTTATTCATTTTAAAATAAAAGAAAATATTTAATTTTATTTAAATTTTATGATTTATATTTGATTAATAATTTCTTAAATTTTCATTTGTAATTATTTTGCTTAAAAATGAATTACTTTTATATTTCATATAAAACTCATAAATATTTATTTAAGATTATTATAGAATTAAAAAATTGATGAAAATCTAAATTTCATTTCGTGAATATTTTAAGAAATTTAATTTAAAAATTTAATATAAAATTCTTTAAATAAGAACATTTAATTAATTTTTAAAATAAAACTTAAACTAACAAATATAATATGAAAATACAATAATTTTTAAATTATATTGAATTACTTTAATAATAGTATTTATCTATAAATAAAATTATGAGAATACTTTTTCAAAATGATTAAGGATTATTAATTAAATTTATGAGTATTTACATTTAAGCACAAATTGTATGAAAAAATACAAATTTAATTTTTGATCCTTGAACTATTTATGTAAATATTCTTTTTTTTTGTTGTATTTTATTGAGATAAATTATTTTTTTATAAAATTATTATTATTTAATTAAGATTTATTCACTAAACATTTTTTTTAATTTGAGAAGCAGGAATTCTTTTTGGCAATTTGTCTTCTCTCATAAGCTTTATATACTCATTCATGCAGTGATTAAGATCGTAACGCTTATCTATTTCAAACATTTCTTATTTTAAGAAATCATCAAGTATTTTGGTACCATTCTTAACATATCCCTCAATACGTTTTCTAAGCTCATCTCTTTGTTATTCTTTTTCTTTGAATTCCTAAGCATATTTCATCATTTATTCTTCTATGCTCAAAACTTTGTTATTTCTACTCTTCTAGAATTCATCTTTTATTTTTCTATCATTTTACTCCATTAAATCTTCGAATGTGAGTTTAGGTTATGGCACGTATAAACGAGAGTTAGCCCATTCATTAATATCTGGATATTTTTCTAAAATGAATCCTGTTAGATTAACTTCGGGAATTTCTCTTGGTTCAATTATTTCTTTCTTTAATTTCATTAATTCTTCATAGTGTCCAACAAATCCTTTCTTTTCTTTCTTCTTATCTCCTTCAGACTTTTTTAAGTTAATATATATGCTTAATTTAGAGCATTTATTTAAAACAAAATTGATATTTACTAAGTTTTTATTTCTGTTGTAATACTGAGGAACATTAGTTTCATCGTACATGAGTGCAAAATTCTAACTATCATTCTTTTTGCCCATCTTCTTTTTGAATTAAATTTTGCCTTAATCATTTTTACCATCTAGTCCTATATTGAGTCTCTTAAGATATTTTTCAAGATTACCGTCATCTATGTGATTTCTTAGCTTATAGTAATGGTAAGCTAAACGAGCATCGTGCTCGGCTCTTTCTATTTCCTTCTTTTCGATTCTCCTCAAGTGTTCTTTACTTATTTTCATCTTCTTCAGTTTTATTTCTTCTAATATTTCTAAAGCGTTATACAACTGATTTCTCTCTTCAAAATCAAGACTAGTAGGTGGTTAACTCAATTTTTCATTAATGTCTTTCTCCTTCAACTTAGGTCCCATTTTTTGATCATAATCATTTGCCTTTTTAATTAAATTTTTCAGTTTATGCAAATTAATTTTATTTAAATTTATTTATTTTTTATTTACCTTATTAATGATAGTGTAAAGCTCAAAAGTAGACATCTTCTTCTTAGACATAGGATCAACTTTCTTTCTTGTTACTTTATATTCAATGTGATTAGCTAGATCATTACTGTTCATAACTTTGAAGTCTTTAACAGTGTCTTTCAAATATTTGAAAGCTTCATCATAATTAATTGTCTAAACAAACTATGACACTGGCTTCTTTTTGTATAAATTCGGTCCAACTTTTTTATCTAACTCTTAAATCTGAAGTTGTAACAAATTACAATTCTCCATATTTTATTTGAATTTTTAAATTTGTTTATGCATTTCATTTTCTGGATTATAAAGGGCTGCTATTCTCAAATGTGGATCAAAACCTTACTCCACAGTAGGAACAAGCTAATCAGTTGGAATATCACATTTATAAACCTTTTTTTCTTCTTTGAGCTTATTTGGTTGCAAAGAAGGTTATGACTGTAATCTTTAATTACTTCTAGTTGCAGTTATGTTATTTTGTTTTTGAGTACTTTAAGATTTCTAAATTGTGCTTAGTGCTCCAGTTGACTTATAAGTTGTGCTTTACTTCGACAAATACTTTTTCCCAGTTGTATTTTTCTAAATTAAAAAAAATAGATTTATTATTTAAAAGATGAATTATTTAAAAAAATAAATAAATTAATTACATCAGCTTGTTTATTTTCAGATTCACTCAAGCTTGAACTGCTTGATCTATCTCTCTTTTTTTTGAAAATATTACTTGATCCTACTCTTCCTTCTGCTTTAGCAGAGAACAACCTCTGCTGCTGTTCCCTTTCCTTATTGTGGTTTGAGAAAATTTTATTGGTTACTTTAAATGAGGAGTGAGTCTAATTCTTTATGTAGCTGTTAAGAGCTTCTTTATTTACTTATTCAGTATTTTTGTTATGTATGAACTCGTACCTGCTGACAGGAACTGCTTCAATTCCTGCAATTAATTAATTAATTATCAAAAATAAATAAATAATAAGTAAAATAATTTATTTATATATTTTATTACCTGGATGAGAAAAATTTTATTAACTTGCTTGATTCATTTTTTCATTTGTTTATTTTGACAAATCATCTTAATATTATGATGTTTGGTTTTAGTTTTAATCTGGTGTGTTATATGAAAGATCTAGCTTATTTTTAGCTTCATTATCTTATTGAGTTGTAAGATTGTCTACCTTTTCTTGAGAAGGCGAAGTATATTTAAAAGTTTTTTTATCTTCTTCCTTCTTTTGAGGTTTTTTTTGAGCAGCATTAATTTAAAAAGGTTTTTTTTAAGTTAAAGCCTGATTTTTAGCCTTAGTATTATCTAATCTTTTCTTAAGTTCTAAGACATCTACGTCTGCAGATTATTGTTAATAATTGTATTTCTTTCTTTGCTTTCTTTCTTCTTCTTAAGCCATGGTTTCTTAAAATGTAACACCATCATCTTCTTAATTAAAATCTTCAAAATCTTTTATATCTCTTGGTGAGTTTATTGAAAAGCTACTTAATTCTCTTTAGTAAAGTCTTTCCGACTGTTCGCTTTCACTGCTACTGTATTGTTTCTCCTCTAATTTGTTTAAATCGAATTTAAGTCTTGGTTTCCCCCTCTTTGACTTAAATAAATTATCTCCATCAGGATCACTGTCATCTTCAAACTGTTTCATCTCTTCATCAGTAACTGGCTCTATTATTTTTAATTGTGGACATTCATTTTTAAAGATTTTTTTATAATTTTCTTACATATCCCTGCTTTGAGAAGCTTCTTAATCACTCTACTCCTCCTTTACTTACGCTTTTCAGTTTGTATTTCTTTCTTTTTCTCCTCTTTTTTCTTTTTTTCAACTTCATAATCTTTAAGCATTTGCTTGTACTCCTTCATCGATATTGAGAAAGTGGCATCTTTATAAAGTAAATCAAGGGGTTTATTCCAAATATCAGCAGCATATTTCCTAGGATCTATAGTACTTGCAGCTCCTCTTGAAAGGGCTTCATCGACTTTCGAAAGATACTTTAGATCTTCCTCACCACCTGTTCCATCTCCACTTTACTTGATATTTCTCACATTTGTAGCCATATTATCTTCATTCATTTTTTTGATTCTCTTCACATACTTTTCTAGATATTTTTTATGCAACTCCTCATTTTATCTTGGGATCTTCTTAAATTAATTATTCTATTCATTCTCATCCTCTACAATATCCTTAATCTTATCTTTTCCAGAAGCTCTCATCATATCTAGCTTCGTAATAATTTAACCATTTAGATACTCCAAATTTTTAAATCTACATATTTTATGAATTAATAATAAAATTAAATCCAATCTACTATAAAATAATTATTTAATAATTAATTAATTCTTTATGAAAACTGATATCAAAATTAATGATTTTCTTTGTGTTTTTCTTTATATTATTTATAATATGAAGATATATTGTAAACATATTGGATTTTTATCTATCTAACTTCATTTTCTTTTGTTAAGAAGGGAAACTTCTAAGAAATTGTGAAAATAATATGTATTTTAATTAGATTTTTCACCTTGACTTACGAGGAACAGGACAAGGTTCTACAGCATATTTTGCAAGAGTGTTTCTGTGACTATATTTACTCACTGACTTGCGAGTTTCATGAGCTTCTAATTCTTCATTAAATTTATAAAATACTTATAAATCTTTCTTCATCTACTCCTCTTCCTCTAGCGATAATCTAGTAGGAGGATGCTACTAATAACTAGCAGTAAGTATTTTAACAGGATCATACTTTTTATATTTTTCAGGAAAGAATAATTCAATAATAGTATTTATCCTACTAATATGATTGCATAGTGGGTTATTAGAAAACTCTAAAATTTTAAGATGAACTAAAGTTCCTAAATCTACAATGTCATCCAAGATTTCAATTTTGTTATGAGATAAATCGAGTACTTCAAGTTAAGGAGCTCCTTTAGTCAATATTTTAGGATCAAATCGAGCAATTTAATTATGCGAAAGAATCAAGACTGATAAATTCTTAACTATCTCAAAACACTTCGCTGTTGGAAGCTCTTTGGAATGTTAGTGACTTAATTCTAACTCCTTGCATTCTTCAGGTTCGAAATCAGGACTTAAAAATTTCTTTCTTAACTTATCAAACCTACCATAGTTAATAGTTTCATATTTGATTTTTTGCAACATCTTTCACAAAACAATATAAATATATATATATATGTTATATATTATTTAATAATAAAATTATTTGAATAGTATAAATGCTTAAAAGCATAAAAAGTAAGCTTCATAATTCTGATAACCTATTTCAAAGCTGAATAGCTAAATAACAAATACAATAATTCATTTTAATTCCCAAATCAAGAGATATAATATGAATACTTTATATGGCTAGAATAATGATATATTATTAATATAAATAAAAGTAATCTAATACTACTTGTAAAGATAATTAATATTAGTGAAATAAGAATAACCCTTATTTGCAGTGAAGAAAGTAAAGATTATTAAAAATTATAATTAAAATATTTCAAAAAAAGAATAAATTAACTTATAAAAAATATATTTTATAATTTTGAAAGTGCTTCTTAATTATAAAAAACAACTTCATTTGCTTAAGAAAAATTACTGTACTAAAAATATTGGCTTAAAATACGTTTATTATAAAACTTATTAAAGAGAAAAGAAAATATTGAACTAAAAAATTTAATTTGCTAAATTCATTATAAATAGAAAGCAATCAGTCTTTTTGAAACGTAATTAAATGATAATATATACCAAACAAAAGATAAACTAAACAAAATGAAAGTGAAGTTATAAATAAAATAGGACTTTAATAAATATTAATACATTTAATAGATTAGTGTGTGTGTGTTTAAAATGTATTTTTAAATGAGTCTAAATGGATTTTAGCAAAATTTTAATGAGCATTTTTTAAAAACTTTTGCTCATTACATCAATATAGATAGATTAAAAAAAGCTAGCTTCAAAATCATATATTGTTATCCCACTTTTTGACATTATAATAGACTGGTAAAGCAAGCTTAAGAGAGCTCTGTAAGAGGTTAGCGTAATAGAATGGATAGATAATATATTTAACGTAATATATAATATAGTAGTAAAATACACTGCTTGTGTAAGTAATATATTATTCGTTTGGGTTTATAATTCTTAAAACACGTTCGAGTGTATTCAAAGCAAACTGAACAATAATAAGGAATATTGTCAATTTGAATTACTTTATCAAGTCAAAAATCATACCATATCTTAAAGGCACAGTTTACCACATTAAAATGAGAAACATGACATTTAAAATTAGGTTGATTGCTATTTAGACAACGCATACTACAATTAGCTGAATATCGCTATTACTTATATGGATATTTTATGGATTGAAATGAGGTTCCACAAACGTGCTTAAAATCAAATCAACAAGCATAAAGAAGAAGAAAAAACCTAATTTAATCTTCAATATACCTCTACCTTGCTATGTATCAATCATTATCTAAACCCTTAAATTTTTTAAAGCGCTTGTGCTAAGTTTTTTCTTATTATTACTATTTTGATTAGTTGTTTAAGTATATCAAAATTAAAATTCTTTATTAACTATTTTCAAATTTATGGTTTGTTTTACTTGATTTATTCATTCTAAAAAGCTAAGATATCAATCAATATTAATTGATATTTGAATTATTTATTATTTAAAATTTTTCTAAAATCAACTAGTAAATTAATCTATCTATCTATTAATTAATTAATTAATTTATTTATTTAATAATCTATTTTAGAGAATTAAGTTTCAATCAAGAACATATTATTGATGTTTTCTTAAATTAATTATAAATATTTAAATCCAGTATAAAATTATTTAATATTTGAATAATTTTATGACCAGTATTGAACTAATCACATAATTAATTATCCATAATTTAGATAAGAATATTTAAGAACTTTAAAACATGAAGTATGAACTACATCAAATGAAAAAAAGACAAAAGATCTTTGAGGATGAAGTGAGTCTTTATAATTTATAAAAAATTAATTGAAAAAAACTCAAAAAATAATAAATAAGTGAGGCTTGAAGGATTAATAAAATGTTTATATAATTTAAACACCCTAAAAAAAAATTTATAAGAAGAATTAATTATATTCATTTAATTAGCTTATTGAATTAAAATGAACTAGTAATAACAATAAGAATATAAAAAATGGTTAGAGAAGAATATTTAAATATGCACTAAAATTTTATTTATTAAAATAAGAAATATCTTTATAAATAATTGAAAAAAAATAAAGTTTAAATAGAATACAACATAAATTTAATTAATTGATCATTAATGCAAATTGCTTTATTTCATGGAATCAAATAATTGCAATATCAAACAAGTTTAATAATATAATTTGTGATTTAATTTGAAGTTTAATATTATTTATTTCTTGGGGGAAAAAATGAGCGCTAACCAAAATTTATTTATTTATTTATTTTGAAATTACTTTTAAAATTTTTGTTTTCTGATAGATTTTGAATTGATTTTAAAATAATTTATTTTAAAATTATAAATTATTTAATAGAGGGTTATTCAGGCCATTTAAAAAAGTGTAAATATGAGTTGCTTATTGATAAATTTTATTAAGAATTTACACTGAACAGAATGCAAAATGATTTGAGAGTGATTAAGAAAAGACTGAAAGGCAGAATGTTAACTGATAAACTCAACAAAAAATAGAACTAAACAAACATGCTTTTTATCCTTAATATACACATAAAATTAAATCACTTGCTAATTATAAAAAATTCATAACAAAAAAATTAATAATTAGTGCATTCTTCTTTTAATCAGGTTATTTGTTTGATTATTTCTCTCGCATATTTAATCTTACTAAATATGATTCCTTAAATAAATCCTCCCTACCTTAAACATATTGAATCGCAGGGTTATGTGTTCTCTTATATATTCAAGAGTCAGATGAGCTCTAAATTAAGAAGTATAATCCTCATTTATAACCACTATTAAATTATAATCGTATTGGCTTCATATTGCTCATTATTATTATTAAAACTAGATGACAATATATACCAGTATATGAGCAAACCAATTACAGAAATAGATACTATAAATCTTTATCCTAAAGAAGATAAGATACCTGACCCATTCAAGTCTATTCATAAAGTAAAATTTGACAGAGTTACAAAAATTATTTTAAATCCTACTTATTCATAAGTGATTAATGAATGAGTCTGCTATTCTATTTTTAATTTTTATATAAGACTCACAAGTTAAAGATTAATAGAAGCAAATAATGCATTTAAATAATAAATTAAAACTAAAACAATAGTGGATTTTTCCAGCAGGAATTCGCCCTCTTAAGCCTGGAGATGAAAAATATACCAAAGTGAATCAAGTGCTGGAGTCAAAAGATATCTCTAATGCATCAAATATTTAAGATATAAACTACTTTTGCATCAGAGATCCTTCAAATAACAAAATTTATAGATGTGTCTCAGGAATTTTTTATGTAAATAAATCATTAATTTAATTCTACTAATATTTTTTAGTTTGTTTTTGCTAAACCTCCTTTCTCAGCTAAAAACTATCAAACCACACACAAACCACTTTAGGATTAATTTTTCTCAAAAATATTAATAAAGCAGCAATAATAATTATAAAAATACCTTACAATTTTATGTATAAATAATGATGTAACCACCTATAACTTTAATTAAAATATTCTTTTTATAGCCAAACAATTTAAATGTGCTTCTATGAATCATGTAATCTTTAACAAAAATATTAGGAAAAAATATCTACTAAGCAACCTAAGGAGAGAAAAACTGTAACCTACTTAGTTCCATTCAGTTACTGTGTTATTTCAGAGCATTTGTTTTATCACCCTATGAAGCAGTTAATTCAGATTCTGATAAGCGTTCACATAAATCCTAATGAATATTATAATTAAATGAAATAGTAAGAAAATTGTGGTATATTTATCGAATCAGTTATAGAGGATGAAGGAAAGTTTTTAGATTTTTTAATTCAAAGTGTATTTCATATTTCAGAAATTAAGGGACACAACCATAAATTTAATATTAATTTAACCACTGATCTATCACATCCTTTCCTATCCTACTATAATAAAAACGATTTAAGTTAACCATTTCTAAATTTAATTTGTCCATCTAATATTTCTTTTGAGCATATCATATTTAACTAATCGCCTAGTAATCTATTTCATTTAGTAATTTGTCTATTCTTGGAATATCAAGTAGTAATAACATCTTCAAAACAATCCACTTCCACTTTGTTCTGTGAAAATCTCCTCTCATTAATCAAACCAATGAACTGGAAAGGATTATATTATCCAACTTAAATGAACAGTGGATTTGATTATTAGAAATGTTTTCAACCTTTTCTTGTTGGAATACAAAAGAAATCAGAGGATGGGGTAAATTTATCCAAAAAAAAATTCTTTACTTTTAAATTAATTAGATTTTGTTATTAAATCAAAAAAAAATAGCTTGAGAGATTCCAAAAACAACCTAAAAATAGGGTCATCTACGATCTTGATGAAAACAATTTCATCTCCAAACCTGTAATTATATAAAAAATTTAAAGCATTAATATTTAAATTCAAATGTTATTAAAATTTTTTTACAAGAGTTTTATTTAAATTTTCAAAAAAATTAGGAAGATCTTCCGATTCCACTAAGCTATAAAAATTATTTAATAAAAAACTTGAATTTCATTATTGCTGATTTGAGGTTCTGGGAAGAAGTAAACTCAATTTGATTTATTTAATGTTGTTAAAAAGAAATGAATTAAGCTAATTAAATTTTAATTAATTATAAAAATAGCAATCTATAACCATTGAAGCAGAAATGAAATACAAATAATATTTTTACAACTTTTTTCTCCTTGTCTTTCATGATGTACTTAATTATTTCTAAAAAGGATCTCCACCTGTTTCAAATGTTTCCACTCCTACCCTACCACCTGATTCAGACAAAAAAAATACTGATCAAAACACCAAAAAAAAAAATTAGTCAAATTAAGTATCTGATAAAAATTAAAAATCTGTATCTAATACGGCAATACCCTAAGATGATGCAAAACAGCAATTTATTTCATTTGGTTAAGCCTACTTTAATTAAGAAGAATACATCAAATCTTTTGGTTAGTAAGACTAGCTTTTCTTCCAAAAGGTTTGTTAAACATAAGTAATTTATATATTTACACTTTTTTTTTCTAGCTTTTTTTACAATTCAAAAAAAAAATATTCCACTTTGAATTCAATAAATTAAATGCTGATTTTTAAATATTTTTGTGAATTAAAAATCTAATTTATAATTAAATATTTTAATGAAAAAGTCTTATTTATAATTAAATATTTTAATGAAAAAATTAATAAAATAAATACAAAATTTTTGATTAAATAAGGGATTTTAGGAGTTTGTTAAGTAATGCTTCAAAAGTATAGATTTTAAAGCAGATTATGTGAAAGAAATGAGAATGTTGGAAACAGAATTTAGCTTCCATTAAATATTTTTATACATAAATGATTGCAGATATTTAGCTAAGAGATAATAAGATTAAACACTTAATGATAAAATTTAGGAAATAGAATAAATGCAATATAAAGTAATACAAGGAGTTGTCCAAAAGTAATTTTTCCCTGAAATACAAATGTGTATTTCTTTATTTTGCTAAGATTATTTGGAAGGTGCTCTATAAGTTAGAAGTTTCTAAGATATAAAGACTACTGCAAGAAGTCAGTCATCAAATGAAAAATAAAATAATTTCTTTTATGGATTAAATTAAAATAATGTGCTAAAGTAGCAATAGCCAACAAAATTAAATGAAGCTTAATAAACTCTTCAGAAAGAAAACTAACTAAACAATTTTAATAGTCTCCAGTTAAGTTAAAGATAAGGAATTGATGGAATAGAAACAGCTCGTTCACATGAAAGAAATCCTTTATTCATGTGCGACATAAGTAAAATTGAAAATATTTAAGGTATCAGCGCTAATAATATTGACAAGCTAGACCAAAAACACTATGAATAAATTATCAAAGAAATGAACTTAAATGTGCCTTAAGGCTATAATGATTGTGATAAAATTTCAACTAACGGTTCCTATAATGACTAAGATGGAAATGAAAATACAAAACATTTTCCAAATAGCTTATAACTGTTTAATCGTTAAAGTAATCTCGAACAACGAAATAATTTAGAAAACAGTCCCTAAAAATAGCTCTAAAATAAGTTAGGTGAAAACAATCTAATGTCCGATAGACAATATTTAGGCATAAGTAACTTAACAGGGAGCAATGCAAACAATGGATTTATTTTATCTCATAATACCTATCTCAATACATACAATTAAGACGATATAACCACTTGTTCTCACAAAGCTTAAATTTTAAACAACTTTTCTCAAACGAAGTTATCTCCTTCAAGTTCAGTTACACAAATAGGCTAAACCAATAATCTTAATTTTCTATCTAATTTTGTAGAATCTTAACAGTAAGTAAGCTAGTAGTTTAACTCTACTTAAAATAAATCTAGTTTTCAATTGCAAAATGAAAAATCCTTATTATTAAATCTCTATTTAGGATGCTTTGATCTTTGGGGTCACTATTAAGAAGAAGGAAACTTCAACATCACCTGAAACTATTAAAAAATTAATACTGACACACTAATAAATCAATCAATAAATACATTAAATTTACTTGATAAATTACTTAATAAATAAATAAATTTCTTATGAATCAAGAAACACATTCAAATAATAAATCAATTAACTCAATCACATTATCTTTCTAAATTCTTATTAAAAATAATATATTAAAAATTTATTAAAATCACTTGTAAAAACTAAATTATTTTTTTAGCAATTCCTACTTTCTTAAAATATCTTCTCAAATAGATAATAATATGGAATTTATTAACTCACTTATTTGCTTACTTTATAAGTTATATGTTTATCGTCTATCTTATTTAATAGTTAAAATTTATTTTACTTCCAAAATTAAATTTAATTATTTAATCAATTTATTTTGTTTATCAACTTTTAATCATTTTATTTAAATATTTGTTTTGAAAATGTTTACTTTTCTTTCAATCCAACATAATTTAGATAATTCAGCTTTAAAATAATTATCTCTTGTATAAAGTATTAAATAATGCTTGTAGCATTTCTTTTTATCTAAAAATTTTCAAACCAAATCAAAAATTTTTCAAAATTGAACTTTAATTAAATGGGATCTAAATTAATGAGAGTCAATAGTATCTTAATAATATTTGCGAAAAAAAGATGCTACTGTTTTTAATTAAAATTTAATTACATACAATTCAATTTTTTACTTCATATTGTTAATATTTTTCCATAAAATATATGTTTTAGCATATACTATTTCGTATTTTTAAAATAAATCTTCATAATAAATTAATTGAATGATAAAATTTAGATTAAAAAAAAAGTTTAGCCATGTTTAAATAGCAAAGCTAAAAAAAAAAATAATATTTTTAATTTATTCAATAAAAAATATTTATACAAAGTTAAATTTAAATTCTTTCAAAAGTTAATTAGACAACAAAGAGTTGTTATTGATGTTTAAAACTTAAACGTTATTGATTGAACTTATTGTAAAAGAAAAAAATTAGTTGTAAAGTTTTCGCATTGATTCTTGATTATTTTGCTATGTATAAAAAATAAACTAGAGGATTTAAATATTTCTCAGTTATCATCTAATGAACCCCTTTAATTGTAAAATATGATGCTTATTTCTTAGCTAATTAAAAATAAATAATTGTGATGAAAAATATTGAGGTAAAAATATTTGCTTATCAAATATTCTTTAATAATATTTCTTCTATGCTTTAAATTAAAAGCATATTTCTCATCTACCTATATATTTGATAGAAGGGTAATAACAGATGTAAGCAGAATCTTTTTTTTATTATCATGAAAATTTTTGTTATTAAATTTTAAAAAAGCAGGGAAATCAAAGGAAAATTATATGATGAACCAACCTAATTAGTAAATATATATAATTAATATAAATAATATTTAGAAAAAAAGAAATTAAGTTGAAAATGAAATCTTCTTTTGGGTAAACCTAAAAAAATTAAATAGTAAAGTCGCTAGTACCATTTAGGGGCTGCTTCTTTTTCACTAACACCATTAACATGCTTGTTTACATGGTGTACACTTATGCCATTTTCTATTAAGTTCAGCTATATCCATGGTACTAGTTAGCGATTGTTATCACTTTTAGTTTGCATTCTCTCTTAAATATTATGTCTGCTACATATTTAAAATTAACTCTTTTAAAGATTTAGAAAGGTTCATGCATTTTTATTGCCTTGCTTCATTTCATGTTTGCTGTTTTTAGCTTAATCGGAGTCATTGTGTACCACAATAGCGGTGAGTCCACTAAGAATCTTGTTTGCACTTTCATCTTGTTTTTCTCTGTGATTGAAATATTCATAGATGCTTTTAACTTTAAATACTTTAAATAATTGATCATTTCAATTAATAAAGATTTTGATAATTAGGAATCTGAATCCGCATAAGAAGAAGATTAAATTTAAGGCAATGAAATAGAAAACTAATAGCAAATCACTGTAGAAAAAAACAACTCTCAAAAGAATACAGATTATTTATATACAAATAATTAATATCTTTTAAATGGTATTGGCTTCTAACAATTTTTATGAGTGAGTAAACAAAACTAAACTAAAATAAAATAAAATAAATAGTAAAAAAATACAATGAATAAAAAAACTTACTTAATCGTTTTATATCTATAAATTAATAAATAAATCAAGTATAAAAAAACCAAATAAATACGATATGACTCTTAATATTTACTTTACTAAAATAAATAACTTTAAATGGCTTAAAACTTATAATGTTACAGTTGAGTTAACAAACTAAACACATTTTAATTAACAAGAAGTATGTTTGTTTGTTTGTTTTTCTTTTTTGTCATTAAGCCTAAATATTTTTAATTTCAATAAATAGATAGATTATAGAGATTACTTTTCAATAAAATATTGATTTATTATTTGTCTTTTTTTTTTAATTAGTTTCTGTAAGAAAAGACAATTACATATTGAATGGTAAATTAATTTAATTTGTTATTATCTTAACTTGTATATACTTCTTGTATTTATTTTTAATAAATTCTATTAATATAATACATCTTAGAACTAATTTTTATATTCTTTTATATTACTTACAAATATTAATCTTTTAAAATTAATTGCTCTAACTTACTATTTAATAGTATTTATTGACTTATTTTCTGCAAGTTTTTCTATTTGATTGATTTTAAGCTGCTCGCTTATTTAAATCAAAAATACGAAGAATTAGCTTATCTTACCTCTCTTTAGTTAGAGGCATGTTAAATTAGCTAATGTTACAAATAGTGGACCTAAACAAATTTATTTTTTATTAACTAGTTAAATTTCAATATTAAACCAAGTCCATACAAATTAAATATGACTAATATTCTTATGGTATTTTCATTTTTTATTATTTATGAATAATTGTTTCCACTAATATTTCTATTTGATTTAAATATTTTTTATAAAAAAACTTATGTTATCTTTCACATAAAATTTGATATTTATGAATATAATTTACATACAAAATTGTAACTATAAAAAAAGATATAAAAAAGATATTATAATATTTCTTCAAAAAAGAATTAAATTTTTAAAAATTCATTAGAAACAATTGTATAATTATTTTAATGTTATTGATTAAGTTCACTTTTTAGTTAATTATGAAATTAAAAATATAGTTTGTTTAAATATTAAAAATGATATCTTTTTAATCAATTAACTTCTTCTTTTTCGAGAATTTAAATGAGAAAAAATATAATTAAGTAATTAAAATGAAATATTTTTTATAAGTGATATTTAATAAAGAAAAGATTAATTCCATAAAATAATACTTTAAAAACTATATCCAAATGTACTAATTGATGTTTTTAGACTTTTTTTAAATTCTTCAAAATAATAATCAAATCCTCATATTCGTATATACGAATTTGTACAAATCGAGGAATTATGTGTGGTATTAAATAAATAGGTTAATATTTAAATAAATTATTTTTTTTAATTAAAAAAAAAATTTTCTGGTCGTAATTTGATAGAGAAGTTATTAAATTGTAAATTCAGATTTCAAAACTATATGAGTTTTTAAAATCATTCATGTGATAAAATTTATATTTTTATATATTTTTGGAAATTTTTATAAATTGCTAGAATTAATTATGTAAAGAAATTATACAAGGTATCTACTTTTTATAAGTTAAATATATTAATTAATATAGAAGTATTTCAAATCTAAGTCAAAGTATGGTCCTTTTTTTTTAAAAAAGAAAAAATTGGCAAAAATAAGATGATTTTTTTTATAGTATTTGATATCTAACAAATTTTTAATACTGAATTGAATAAATTACTGAAATGTTTTTTTTTAATTAATTGGTCCTCATAAATCAAATAATTTTTTAAAATATTCAACTATTTATTTAAGAAATTTATTAATAATCAATTTATTTTATATTACGTTTGAAATAAAATGTAATTGATATATTCTATAAGTGTAAAATTTTAATAGCAATTAATCAATTGAATCAAAATGAAAAAATATTAGTAAAATGTTTAATAAAATCAAATAGCCTTTATTAATTGAAAAAAAGGATGTTTTGATAGTTTAATTAATTTTTAAAGTAACAATTTATTTAATTTTTTTTTGTTATCAAAAAATAAATTTTATTTCTTAAAAACTCCAAACAAATAACTGAATATTATAATTATTATAAAATAAAATCTCATCATCTTCGAAGTAAAGTAATTTAATGATGAATTAAAAGAAATTAATTTATTTATCTATTTATCAATTATTAAAAAAATCAAATAGAGACTCTAACAATTTTTAGATAATCAATCATCAGCTTTTTTTTTATTATAAACAAAATATGTTTTGCTTCACGCAAATCCCCCTAATTATTCTAATTATTTGATCATAAATTTAAATAATATCATTATTTTGAATATAATAATTCTAAATACGTACCTAAAGATGTTATGTATCTCTGAATTAAGTTATTATAAAAAGGATAATATTTTTTACCACAAAAATAACAATGAAAAATTTACATCATTAGTTCAATTATTAATTAAAACTTGTAAATGTCATCTGAAAGTTATCTGAATAATAAAAATTGATGTCATAATCATATTTAAAAAGTCTTAATATTCTTTCTCATGTAAAGACAAAAATATAATCAAAATTATCTTAAATTATTGTAGATGCTATTATGATAATTTGAAGTCAAAATTAAAAATTTTTAATTTCATTTTCATTTTTTCAAATGAGATATTTAACACATTTAAATTAGTAACTCTACTCCATTTTTAAAATAGTCAGTTTTTTTGATCATTTTTTATGTTATCAAAAAAAATTAGTAAAAGAAAGGTGAAGAAGAAAAGAAAAATAGATAATCAAAAAATTTCTTGTGAAAAATTCTTTTGAACCTTAATCTTATTTTAATAAACACTTTTCAAAAGTGTAATTAGAATATTTTATAAATATTCATATTTATTATGTTAAAATAATATAAAATTTTTTAAAAAATTAAATTTGATCATAAAAAATAAAAAAATAATAATAAAAATTAAATTATTTTTAACTAGATTTCATTTTTTAAATTAAAATAGTTATAAAAATAAACTAAATTAATTTAATAAAATATTATTTATATTCTTCATCACCATTTTCACACAAATAAACCAATTTTTTTAAATTCATTTTATAAAAACAAAAATTTAATGATAAAAAGAAATAGACATTAAAGACTTAAAATATGCTTAATGCTTTTTTGGTTTCAGCAAAAATTATCTTTTTTAATTAATTGGGAAAATAGTAATTTGTAATTGATAAGCTAAATTTGTACAAATTTGATTTATTTATAAAAGAATTTACTTACCAACAAGTAGTATAAGAAGATACTCTTTAAAAATTTTTATTTTATCGATTTCACCATCATTTTAGGATAAAATTTGTTGAATAATTTAAAGATGATGTAATTAGTTAAAATATTTAATTCATTTTAATAAGTTGAAGAAAATTTAAGTCTGATTTATAGCTTTCAAGCTAATCATTTTACTTTACTCTTTCAATAAAGACAGATTTATTTATTAAAAATTTTTAGATTAATTTTAATCAATCATCTCGTGTAAGTAAAAATAATATGTAATATCACTTTTTTATGGATCGGAAATAGAAAGAAAACTATATCACAGATAAAATTTTCAAAATTCTTTGATAATAATAATTTATTATTCAATTAAATTTGTTAAAGTAATAAAAATCTAAATGAAATCTTCCTTTGGAGAAACCGAGAAAAATCAATTTGCTCTTAGCTAAGTGCCATTCCGTGGCATCTTTTTATTTACTAACACTGTAAATCTACTTGCATATTTGGTATATACTTATGCAATTTTCAACTAAGTTGACCTCTATCCTTGGTATTAGCTTGGACTTGTGATGGCTTTTAGCATTCACTCTCTCATTAATCTAATAACAGTTAAAAACCTAAATTAAACTCTATTGAAATTTTAAAAGGGTTCTTGCGTTTTTGTTGGATTGCTCCACTTTATCTGTGCCATATTGAGCAAAATGGGATTTATTGAATATTACAACGAAAATCAAAAAACATAAGACATAATTTGCATCATCATTTTAGTTTTCTTTATCATTGAAATTTTTGTAGACATCTTAAACTACAAGTTCTTTTAAAAGATCTTAAGATTAATCAATGGAGAACCTGAAGAAAGACAATAATCTGAATCATTTTCAGAAGACAATGAAGAAGAAGAATCAGAACAAAAGAAATAGAAATTAGAATAAAACGACATCGAAAACTAACAATAAATTCAAACTGCTTTATAGAATGAATCTAAATACATTGAGGAAAATACCTAAAGAGCATTATACACTACAGGTTTCTAGCATATGTGCTGACTCAATTAATAAAATTCTTAACAATTAATTAACAAAAACCCAAAAAATTTCATGTATAATTTTTGTTCATCTTCATTTATTTTATATAAAATAATAACCTTAACTTAAAATTCTACTTATAATTATTTATTTATTTATATTTATTCTATGTAATATAATCGAAATGCAAATAAATAAATAAATTAGTTTTTACAAATTACCAAATTACAACTCTCTATAAAATTTTCAATCTAAGAATTAACTTTTCTCTTTTGTTCAGATTCTAGCATTTGGATGACATATACAAATTTGTGGAAAATTTTTAATTTAAAACATCAAATTAATATTTTGAGAATAAATAGTATTTTAATTAAATTTGTTATGAATCAAGTATAATTCTTACATTAATTAGCTTACAAACAAACTTTATATTACTAACATCTTTATTCGTCTTTTTATAAGGCTTTATTTGTTTATTTATTAAGTAAAACTTCCTTGACTATTTTTAGAATAAAAATACAAAATATTTATGATAATAAACAATCCTTTTACTTTTATCATCAATCAAATTTCAATATTCAAATTAATAGCTCACATTCAAATTAAGCGACTAGGGGTATTTTTAATTTTTACTCATGATTTTAAAAATAATTTATATAGATAAAAATTCTGTAGTAAATTATGATGAAATAATTTTTAAAATTTAAACCTCGTCTTACTAACCTCTAAATTGATTAATGATTTGAAAAAATTAATTAGTTATTATATTATCTTTAATACTCCTTTTATTAGAAATTTGTAGAAATGGTAATGAATTTTAGAATACTACGTATTAAATTGAAAAAATGCTTCAAATTTTAAGTAAAACAAAATATTAGATAAGAGAAAAACAATATATTTAAATTTAACAATAAATTATCTACGCTTAACTTTATTTTGATTATCTTAAATCCATCAATCTATGTTTTTAGACAATGTAAGAAAGCTAAATCTTTTAAATATGAAAAAAGAAGAGAAATGAGGAATATTGGATTATGTACTAGAGGCTAATTTTATTTGTTTTTTTAAACACTTGAATTTTACCACAAATTCTGAGTAAAAATACTTCTTTCTCTTTATAACTTTTTAATTAAATTATTCTTTTATTCTTTTTTTGTTTTGATATAATGATTATTTTTCACAATTTGAACCTGTCTGTCTATACGCAAATTTAAATAATCTATAAATAACTTTCTTTTCAAGACTAAAATTCTGAAATGATTTCTAGTAATAAATAAATAAAGTAAAGTAAAGTGACTTTGTAATCCACGAATATGTTAAGAATGAGGATATACTTAATAATGTATTTTTTTCAAGTGCTCTTTCAAATTAAAATTTGTTTTAAATCTTATTATCTGTTTTTAATTAATTTTTTAAAAACAACTCAGAAGTTATAATGCTACACATAACTTCTAATTTTTAAAACTGTATGAGATAAAATAATTTCAAATTAAGTTAAAAATTAATAATATTGAAATAAAATAAACCCAAATTTAATTCAAAATTTTTCAAAAATAAAACAGTTTTAAGGAATTTATCATTTTATTAATTGAAATAAGTATCGAAGTAATATTAAAAATGGCAATTACAATATCTATGGTACACTATATTTTACTGATGGAAGAAAATATGAAGTTTATTAGTTTTTAAAATTATTAAAAAAATGATTAAGGCAGCTTCTATTACAATTATCGAAAAAAATATATTGGGACTTGAAAGAATTATTAAATATAAGGTTAAAGGATCTATTATTTAGTCAATGGAGATAAGAATTAAGGCCACTTTAAAAATTGCAATTACTATGGTTATTATACATTATACCTTTTACTTTAGTAACGGAAACAAGTATTAATGTAATTTTTTCAAATGGTAAATACTATGGTTAAGGGACCTTCTATTGTAAAAACAAAGATAAATATGAAGGAAAATGGAAAAATGGTAATAAAGAGGAGAACTAACGGATTTATTATAATGCAAACAAAATTTGAATGAAACCTCTTTTAAATTCAAATAAAGGCAAAAAGATTTAAAATAACTTTAAATTTAAATAAAAAATAAGCTCTTTAGAAATCCAAAATATTACATCTTAAAGTTTAAGCTAAATAGTCTTAATATAGTAGTTTGGATAAAAAAAATTTAATGAATTAATTAATAAATACTTAAGCTTAAGTTATTGAATTTTAAGCAACAATGTATAAAAAATTTAATATTAAATGATAAGTAAACATGAAGAGTAAAATAATTTATATAATTTCTTATTTTAATATTTGTAATAAAACTAATAATAATTTTATTTTTATTTTTTTAAAATAGCTATACAATTTTTTGTTTAAATAAAAATAAATTTTAATTTTGTATTATTTTTGTACATATTAAGTAAAATTTTTGTGAATATATAAAAAATTATTATTATTAATAATTTAAATTTATTTTAATATTTATTTATAAATGCATTCAGAAGTTTCTTAATTTAATAAAATGGAAATGGTAATCCTAAAATTTTTATATTATTATATCTGGAATGGGATTATTTTTTATAGGATTTATATTCTATTTTACCAAAATTTAATGTTTTTTATTAACAAAATTTAACTTTTAAATCTTAAATTCAGTAAATTAGTAATCATGCAAGACCTGAAATAAATCTTATAAATTTAAAAAAATAAAATAATATTTTGCATTTTTTTACCTATGTAATTTATAAAGAAAGTTGAATTAAAAACGTAAAATTGACTCCAGAATCTATCTTTTTTTAAAAAAATATTACATTAAAATCCAGATTGAAATTAAGACAAAGTAAAACACAACAACTTTTATAAAATTGAAATAAGCTTGTAAGAAAAAATAAAAATTTTTATTAAATATAAAATTTTACTAAATTAAAAAAAGAGAGACAAATAGATAGATATGCTTCAATAATTATAGCTATAATATTACTAGCAAACAAGCAATAAGAATATTCAGCTTATTTGCTTCATAATAACTAACTCCATTAATTTTCTAATTCACATAGCTTTTTGCTTTAAAATAACCCTGTCTACTTAAGTAACTAATACCAAATGGGTATTTGCACTTATGCTCTTACCCATATATTACTTGATAGGCTTAGCTATTGCATGCAATTATAACTCATGTTTAATGTGCTTTTACAAATTTTTCAGCTACTTTTTAGCATTTATTCATACATTAATTGCTTTCATGAGTCTATATTACATTTTTGATAATAGCGAAGATAGATAGTAAAACAAATCTATTCCTGTTTCTTTTTTTATATTTATTTTCATGTTTTGTATTATTTAAATATTAATTGATTTAAACAGTACAAGCTTTGTAGAGAGATAAGAATTTCGCAGGTAATTCTACTAAGACTTATTTTAAAACTAGTAAATAGCAAACAGTCTTTCAAATTAACCATTACATCAACAGAACGTAATCCGCCATTAAGAAAATCACTTTTATTCAAATAATGCAAATTCTACTCAAATATAAAAATAAATAACATTTGACTAGGAACTACCTTTTTAGTCTGCTGTGAAAAGCATTAAAACAGACGCATAATAATAAGAATGTGGCTATATTGAATTAAAATGATTTAAAATTATAGTAACTTTTATTGTATTTTTTAGTATTATTAAAAAGCTTAAAAAATGTTTAGATAAAAAATCATTAAATTAATTCATTTTTTTATTTTAAATTATTTTTTGAGCCCCTTATTCAATAGAATTGAACATACATTTATTTACATAAAAAAATGATCAAATCTAAAATATAAATTAAAATCTAAATGATTAATTACCCTCAATTTTATTATTTATGGCTCATTAAATAAATAAAACTATATATTAAATTCTATATTTAGATATATCTTTTTTAATGGGAAACTAAGTCAGATAATTTTAAGAGAATGATAAAAATATAAAACCAAAATTTTTTATTACCAACCATTTTTTATTTTAAGAAAATTTTTTGATATAGAGATTTATTCATATTTTAAAAATGAATTTTTAATAATAAATTAATTTGCCTTAACTTATGAGTATTGGTAATCAAAATAAAATATCTCTGATATTGTTATATAAAATTGAAATATATTTAAGCTTGAAAGCTATGATCTAAAAATGGTTGAAATTATAAATAAGTATAATTCATTAATTAATATTTATCTTTTAGAAGATATTTTAATTTATATTTATTTTACATCAACAAATTAATTGATTGTATTTTAATCTCTGATTGGGCTTTAATCATTACTAAAACATCATCTTTGTTAAACAAAAACCACATTATTTGTTTTATTATTCAATGATAATAGTTTAAAAATGTACTTTAAGATGATTAAATACTAAATTTAATTATTTTAACCAACAAAATTCAATTTTCATCAGATAATCTGATAATTATCAAGATTAAGAAAATCATAGTATTTTATTTATATAAAATGCCTAATAAATTCCAAAATTAACTTGAAAATAATTTTTTATAAAATTGATTTATAAACTTTGTTATAAATTTGTTTTAAAAAGCTAGTCTAAAAAATATTGCCCCAGACCACACTTTTCCTCTTATATAATATGCTTTGGTATTATACATTCGATATGTACTGTTATATTGGTTTTTTTACTAATAACTATTGTATTTGAAAAATCTAACAATCACGGTGAAGAAAATAAAGGATCTGCCATTATTGTTATGCTTTTTTTTATTCTTATCATATGTTTGGTAGTACTCATAGATATACTAAATTATAAGTACTTAAATTAGCTTATTATTTCTCATGAAAATTAAGATGAATTGACAGCTATATTTAATCCTTATTAAAATTAACAATAAAACCACGTTGAATTAAAAGATGTTGAAAACTAGAATTAAAGATAACGTTGAAAATAAATTAATATATTTAAAAATAATATTATTTACTAATTAATTATGCATCTTTGTTGAGGTATTTTGCAATTATTTTAAATTCATAAATTGATTAATAT